CGAGGGTATGCCGCATCCGTGAAATTTTCTCTCCGGTTTCCCAGTTTCACCGTCCTATCCATTCATCCTTGCCTTTTTTTTCAACATTCTGGGGTACGGGGTTTTTGTTTCTTGCTCAATTGCCCTTATATTTATATACTATACTGAAATTTCTATCTGCCGCATCCCCGCAGGTCCTCAACCTTTTTTTTCCCCGTTCCATTTTCCCGAACTTTGTCTCTCACCCGCGTGACGGTTGTGAGATAAGGGTTTACTGTTATTACTTCGTCGAAGCTCTCTATATAACCGGCTCGACACAATGGCACAGACCAACGGGGAGTTGGAGCACTCGAAAGGTGTGTGTGTTGGCCTTGGAACCTCCATGCCGGACAAGGTCCATTGGAATACAACATGGGTTCCGGGTAAAACCAAATGCAGGGCACACGAGCTAACGGAGGAACAGAGGCTCCCCAAGCTTCCCAAGAGATTGCCAATGGCAACGCTCCCGAGGGCACAGAGGAGGACAACGCGGGTGGTATGTTTGGTAACCAGGCGCAGAACTGTGTAGCGGCGTTCTAACTTGACTATAGGTCTTTTCCAGATCTCCGTGAAGCTCCCTCATGCGCCGCATAAGATTCAAGTGATGGTGGGTCCGATTTTTCGAAAGGCCACGAAGAGCAAAAATTTATCTGACCCATTTGTTTCTCTAGGTCTCCAGCCAAGAACAGGTCCAGGATGTCCGCCAATCCATTGTCGAGTTACCAGGAACCTTCCAATACACTTGCTTCCACCTCGAGTTCAACGGCAACCGCATCAACGACTTCGTCGAGCTGTCTGAGGTCCCGGACCTCGAGGCCGACTCCGAGATCGTCCTGGTCGAGGATCCCTACACCGAGAAGGAGGCCCGCATGCATGTTGTGCGGATCAGGGAGCTAATTGGTGCTTCTGGTGACCGTGTTGACAACCTCCATGGTATCTCCGCTGGCCTGTCCCTGCACGATGTTATCACGGCAGACGCTATCAAGGCCAGCGAGTCCGAGAAGGAACACTCGCTCTCCAAATATGACCTGACTGGAGTTTCACCGCTGCAGACTATCCTGCCCACCGCACAGGCTCCTCTGCCCAAGACAGTGAAGTCCATCTCGTTGTCTGCATGGAACCCTGTTCCGTACAACCTCCGCCAGAAGGGTCACTTGCTTTACCTTGTGGTTTCTACTAACGAAGGTGAACAATTCCAGATCACTGCCCACGTGTCTGGTTTCTTCGTGAACAAGTGCTCGAGCATCAGATTTGACCCATTCCCGAAGCCAACACACCCCAAGAAGGGCAGCGCCCACTCCTTGCTCACTCTCATCTCCCAACTCTCGCCCTCGTTCAACGAGTCCTTCGAGGCTCTGCAGGAGTACAACAATGAGAAGGATCTTTTGACCACCTTCCCCTTCCAGAACGCCATTCCCAACAGCCCATGGCTCATCGCCCCCAGCACTTCGAGCTTGAGTGCCCACCAGCCCGATATCACCCGTTCGCAGGAGAACTACCTGATCTCTGGTGTTGATAACGCTGAGACTCTGCGTGACTGGAACGAGGAGTTCCAGACTACCCGCGAGCTGCCCCGCGAGACCGTTCAGGATCGCGTGTTCCGGGAACGGTTGACCTCCAAGTTGTTCGCCGATTATAACGAGGCCGCCGCTCGCGGTGCAGTCCTGGTTGCCCGGGGCGAGGTTGCTCCTCTGAACCCCACTGAGGCGCGGGACGCCCAGATCTTTGTCTACAACAACATCTTCTACTCCTTCGGTGCCGATGGTGTTGGGACTTTCACCTCCGAGGGTGGTGACGAAGCCGCACGTGTGGCCGTGGGTAAGGACGTTCTTGGTATCAAGGCTGTTAACCAGCTTGATATCGAGGGTCTGTTCACACCCGGAACCGTCGTGGTCGACTACTTGGGTAAGCGTATTGTTGGCCAGAGTATTGTTCCTGGTATCTTCAAGCAGCGCGAGCCCGGTGAGCACCAGATTGACTACGGTGGTGTTGAGGGCAAGGAGGTTGTGGCCACCCACGCCGACTTTGTTCCTGTCTTCGAGAAGCTCTCGAAGGCGCTGCGTGTCAAGCAGCACCCTGTCTGGGACAAGGAGAACCAGCGCCACGACCTGGAAGGTAGCGTTGAGACTAAGGGACTTTTGGGTACCGACGGCAGGAAGTACGTCCTGGATCTCTACCGCGTGGCTCCTCTGGATGCCGAGTGGCAGGAAGAGGATGGCAGCGATGTTTACCCCCACCGCATGTCCGTTCTCAGACTTGAGTTGGTCGAGTCCTACTGGCGCCACAAGATGAGCCAGTACGTGAAGGCCGAGGTGGAGAGCCGTAAGGCTGCTAGTGCCGAGGCTGCCAAGGATGGCAAGACCGAGGAGGAGAATGCGGACCAGGAGCGTGTTGACATCTCTGGATTCAACCTTGCTCTCAACCCCGACGTTTTCAGCGGCCAGGTGCCCCAGACCGAGGAGGAGAAGGAGCAATGGGCAAAGGATGAGCAGGAAGTCCGGGATGCCTGTGATCACCTGCGATCCAAGATCATCCCCGACCTGCTCAAGGACCTGCACGACGGCGACGTTGGCTTCCCCATGGATGGTCAATCGCTGACCCAGCTGCTGCACAAGCGTGGTATCAACCTCCGTTACCTCGGAAAGTTGGCCCAGCAGTCCGCCGAGAAGGGACCTCGCCTGCAGGCCCTGTCCATCCTCCTTGTTCAGGAAATGGTTACTCGTGCCTTCAAGCACGTTGCCAACCGCTACCTGAACAATGTTCCCGCCCCCTTCGTCGCCCCTTGCCTTTCTCACCTGCTGAACTGTCTCCTCGGCTCAGATGTCAACGCTACTCCCAAGGCGGAGATTGACGAATCTCTGCGTGCGATCTTCCCCGAGGGTGACTTCTCTTTCGAGAGCGTCACTCCCGAGTCCCTCCAGGCCGAGCTTGAGAAGCAGGTCACCATCCGCTTCCGCTTCTCCCTTGATAAGGACTGGACCAACTCTCTGAGACACTTGCAGCTTCTGCGTGACATCTCCATCAAGTTGGGTCTCCAGCTCGGTGCCCGTGACTTCGCCTTCACTAAGGCTCAGGTCAAGGAGCAGGTTGTTGTGCCTGTCACTAACGGACCTATCCACGAGGAGCCCAAGAAGAAGGGCAAGAAGAAGGGCGGCGACAACAAGTCCCCTACCCGCGCCGCCCCAGCGCCGGCTAAGCCCGCTGTCACTTTCACTGCTGATGACATTCTGAATGTTGTTCCTTTGGTCCGTGATGCCTCTCCCCGCAGCGCATTGGCAGAGGAGGCCCTGGAGGCCGGTCGTATCTCTCTCATGCAGAACCAGAAGCAGTTGGGCCAGGAGCTCATCCTTGAGTCTCTGTCTCTGCACGAGCAGATCTACGGTATCCTGCACCCTGAGGTCGCCAAGCTCTACCACCAGCTTTCCATGCTATACTACCAGACTGATGAGAAGGAGGCTGCTGTGGAATTGGCCCGCAAGGCTGTCATCGTCACCGAGCGCACTATGGGTGTCGATTCGGCCGACACTATTCTGAGCTACCTCAACCTGAGTCTGTTCGAGCATGCCTCTGGCAACACCAAGACCGCTCTGGTTTACATCAAGCACGCTATGGATGTCTGGAAGATCATCTACGGTCCTAACCACCCCGACTCCATCACCACGATGAACAACGCCGCCGTGATGCTGCAACACCTCAAGCAGTACAACGACTCCCGCCAGTGGTTCGAGGCCTCTCTCTCCATTTGTGAGGACCTCTTTGGTAAGGAGTCCATCAACACCGCCACCATTCTCTTCCAGCTCGCCCAGGCTCTCGCTTTGGACCAGGACTCCAAGGCTGCCGTCGGCAAGATGCGCGAGGCATACAACATCTTCCTCGCTCAGCTTGGACCCGAAGACCGCAACACCAAGGAGGCCGAGAACTGGCTCGAGCAGCTCACTCAGAACGCTGTCTCTATCGCGAAACACGCCAAGGACATCCAGGCTCGTCGTCTGCGCCGCAACCCTCTGACCCCTCGCGTGTCTTCCATGGGCACCCGTGTTCAGCCCCAGGTTGGCCAGTCTGCGCCCGAAATCAGTGCCCCTGCCGATCCCTCAGGTCTCGACTCTCGCAGCATCGACGAGCTTCTGAAGTTCATTGAAGGTAGCGACGCCAGCTCTTCGCGCTCTAAGCAGAAGAAGCGTGCCGCCACCAGCAACCCCAAGCTTCGCGGCTCCAAGCAGTCCAACAAGGCATAAATGATTTCCTAGCCGGCCAATTCCAGCCAATTTATACTGCATTAATTGGTTCCCGTTCTTATTTTCTTGGTTATTACATGTGTTAATATCTATATCCATTGTCATTTTGGGGATCGGTAGGCAGGCTTGATGAGCGAAAAGAACTGTTGTATTTTAGGTCTCTCTCCTCTCTTTTTTTTCATTTTTGGTTTCATCTGCCAGGTTGGGTGGTCTCTCGGGCCGTGCATGGAAAGGACTCGGTTGTCTTATTGGGCTCATATCTGGTGCATTATGCGGATCTGCCACTTGGGTCATTTTCTCTTTCTGAGTAGAATCCATTACGTTAATATGCACATATTTGAAATTGAATGGATACGGATACATAGATACCTTCAAGAACTTGACTGTATACATCAATGTACTGGGGAGACTAACATCGCCATAATAGGCAATATGTGTTGGCCCGCTTTACCGTATTAGTCAATGTTTGTTTTCTTTGTTTGCCGTGCATAATATTGTCATTCATTTTCCACTTAACGCGCACTTTAATTCTTCGGCATATCTTATTTACATTGGATTATTGCTGAATTATTGGCAATACCTGGTTGAGTGCCATCATTGTTCCTATCATGCATCGTTGAGGGGTTTGTTAGTACGGGCGTTGGTACAGTGTGACCCCAATGACCAAGAGAAGAACTTGTGACAGTGCTGATTCTTCTGACAGTTGTATGCTATTAGTAGCAGATATTATTATCCATTTTGTCCCAAATGGAGGACGCGCAAGCCACCGCAAAATGGGCAAACCGTGTCCTGCGCCCCTTGACCTCCATCTGCCGTCGAATCGCAAAGCACAAAGAAACGTTATCGATCATTGCGACCGAGTCGAAACCACAAGAAACTGCAGAGGGCAGTGATGTGTCTAATTTGGAAACAGACCACAAACCAGAAAGCCAGAGCAACTGCTCAGGCTCGGATGCGGATCCGGACGAAAACGACCCAGCTTGGATTCCAGGGAAAAAGCCCGAGCGACGTCGACCCAGACACAAGTATTCGTCGAAAGCAGAGGATACTGGAGGCAAAAAGCGCAACAGACTATCAATACACAGCCCGGAAGCCCCACGCATTCTGCCCGGCGCTATTGAGGTCGCGACACCACTCATCACTGGAAGGAGATGGGAGATGCCCTCGATTGCACAGTCAGAACGCCCAGAAGGCCAAGTCAACCCTAATACCCAACTATCACAGCCGCAAGTCTTCCGTGATCGATATTCGCTCCACAAGAGCCCTTGGCAAGAACTTCTCGACCAGTCTGGTGATCCGGGCTTCGCCGACATAGCACACAACCTTGATCGCGTCTTCCAAAATTTCCTTTGCAACACTATGATATCCAAGCAAGAAGTGAAGCCCTTATCCGAAAGCAGCAGGCGTGGTGCCCGATCCTTGCTGTCTATGGTGGCACGAAGTCTGCCTGAATTTATTGCGAGCGAACAAGAAGCACAGGACGAATTGGACGAGAACGGGGACGAAGATATGTGCGATGCATATTTTACAGAATTGGAAGCATTTTATGCGCCGTATGGGACAGGGTGGAAGCCACTCCGCGAGGCAGTCCGCGCACAGGGTATCTACTTGGTTTCTACCCTGATACAGAATCATTGGATAACAGATTCGATTGCCTGCGCACTGATTGAGAAATGTCGTTCCTTTGCGCCCGAAGAAAGTGACTCATTGCTCTCTAAATTGCTTTCCACACGCAAAAATTACCCATACCCCCAGGCTTTAAGGCCAGTGGTTGACCATGACCCTTCTGATCCGATCCGATTGTTACGCAAATATGCTCATCATGGTGTTGCCAATCGCTCTTATATCTTTGACGAACTTGCAAAGCTTCTCTTGCGGGGAGCGCTACCCCCAGAATGGATGGGAACCAAGCTATGGACTAGCTGGATGACACGAGCAACGATATCCCTTTCGAAAGAGGATAAAGACTGTCCTGCAGCTACGCGGTTGATTGAAGCTGTGATTCTTTCAGCTAGTGATGTCCGCCATGTCACCGCTGCTCAGAGTCCCACGCCAAAATTCCATGTGAAGGGAAAGACTGCTCGTGCTCGTGCGACCAGGGCTGCCTCCACCACAGCGTGGGAAATCTCAAATCTCGCGCGGCCTTGTCCCTTGCAAGTGGAGGACGCATTGAGCAATCACGTTATAAGCCTCATGGCAGCGCTCTGCGGCATGCACATTTCACGGTCTCGTGCCTCCAATGACGCTGATTGTGCGGATGGAACGAAGGCGAGCTACATTACAAGCTATCTCCAAATAGCTCTGCGACGAGAACTGGAGCCAAATTCCGTCGCACGGCGGCCTGATAACACCCCTCATCAATTGTTACGGCGTGGCTGCATTTTACTGGCCACCAGCCTTGTACAGTGCAACGACGAAATTTTATTGAAGAAATATCACTATGTGATGGCGTCAACAGCCAGTGTTGATAAATGTGCAGAGATTATAGCATCTCATTCAGACATGGTTAGAGAGTTAGCATTGTTTGTGCACCAAGCGTTTCGCTGCCTCAGAAAAAGCGCAGAAGATGAAACCGAACATACTAGCGGCGAAATACGTGACATGGTTTCGCAACTGGCACGCTTAGCCGATACGCCGGGTTTGTCCGCCTTGCTTGGGCGAGTAGCAGCGGAAGCTGCCATGGAGTTTGCAGAAGCTACAGGAGATCCCGATGACCACATGTGGGCCGTTGATGTTCAAGAGACGGCCGTGACAAAACAGCGCAAGGAAGAGACTGCCCAAAGGTCTTTAGAACAACCCGAGGAATCTAGCCAGAGTACGGGCCTGTTCCGTTGGGAAGATAGCATAGGCGAATGGGTGGCATCCACGCCAGCGACCAAGGGAAAGCCCATCCTAGTCCAAAAGGCCCAAAGACCTATGCGCATGCTATCAAGCCCAGTGCCCTGTATCGCTTCTTCTACAGACACAGATAGCAGCTCACCTGCGTCTGATCGCTTCCAAGACTCTGTCTCAAATTTGCCCTCATCTCCCCTGCCGGTGGCGACCAAGCGAACTTTGGAGGACACCGAGGTTTCATCCATACGGCCTAGAAAACGACAACGACCCACTCCTGTGGTTGTAGTTGACAGGGGTGGAAACAGCCCCCAAAAACGTTCTCCTAGCCCGACTAGATACAATCCTACTGTGGAACCAGTCACTCGCCGAGGCATCTTGCGAGAGCGCAGCACCAATCTGACTAGACGGATGACCCCCGCAACACAACAGGCACGGAAGGTTGAAGTCGTGATCATCAATCACAAAGAAAGCAGCCCACGCCAGCCTATTGTTCGGCCCACTTTGGAGCGTGCTGCGAAGCAAATCCATCGTACGGTACAGAGACGAAGGTCGACGCGCCCTTCGGTTTCAACTACGCGTCGTATTGTTGAGCCGCCGACACCTCGACAAACGGTCATTCCATGTTACCAGGATGGCGACAGTGATGATGAGCTCAGCTTTTTCTGAGCGGGGCCCGAACCCGGGGGCTTTCTTGGCTGGTCCTAGTTGGGACCAGTGACAGTTTGACTGCGCGGGCAGAGTGTCGGATATTCCCCGGAGTCTCCTGGTTCCGGGGTGTGTAACCCATTTTACATTGCAAACGGACCCCTTGGTTGCCTACATGGCCGAGCTTGACCGACTGTTTACAAGATCTTGATTCATTTTATGTGAAGGGAACGGTGGATATGGATGGGTGGTCCACTTTTGTTTTTGGGAAATCGGTGTTTGGGACTTTTGATTTGATACCCATAGCCTTGGATTCGTGTTTTTTGCTGTTGAGATGTTTGTTCAGGACCTCTATAATTGTTTCATTTGATTTCTCAACTTTGGACTAGTCTTTGGACCTTACGATGTCAATGGAAAGACCTCACGATTGGAGATTGACCTGAGACAAGTTATATGCGCAATATATCTGGCACGTAAGATAAAACAAATTGCAACCGACAAAACACCGGGGCCAACACGGGATGGCCTTGAATGATATAGACCTGCAGCCCGCTATCAGGTAAGACATCGGATTATACATATTTTCCCGTTTCAGTTCGCCAAACTACTTCGGAATATAGGACCAAAGTGGTAAGAATAATTTTTCGTCCATCAGAGGGCGTTTGGCCAAGCACGGTTTCTCGAGCAATTCTCCGTGAGAGGAGATTGAGGTCTGATATAAATGAAATGCCAAGAAAACAACCCCTGAAGACGGAGATAACTTTTAGATAAATTTTTACAGTGATGACTGGAGCAATAGCCTATGACCGGACTGTTTCACGGCCCCTAATATGGGTTGCTCCGTCTCAGTGTGTGATGGGTTGACATGGGCGCTAATGGAGCCCCGTTGACTATGATACCGTGACACCACCAACCCTCCTTTTCCCCGCTCCCGACTGCAGATTGGCTCATCGATGAAGGGCGGGCCTCTTTCTCAAACAAACCAGTCGTAGGCCAAGCATTGACGCGGATCTAAGCCGGCCTATGTGGCGGTTGTTGATCCTTGTCAAACTCTGCCTGTCCACTGGATGTTTCACTCTTCATCAGTACCGGCCAGTCACAGCCCTTGATCAGTATTCCCACCACTTTACGACAGCTCGGGCTTAACCTGTCGCATGTTCTAGGTCTATCTTCTGCCAAAGTCTGCTGAGGCTATCTGCAAATATGAGCCCCTGATTCGCTGCAATGGATCTGCAGGATCGTCTGCCTTTATACTCCATACGCACATGAGAAATCCCTTGCACTGATCTGTGGTCCCAGCGCCAAAACCCCCTCTTTCGAGAAGATTGAGAAAAGACCCAGAAATCAAAATGGAAACGACCGGTTTCCACATGATACGGGCCGTGCTGGAGGTGGAGAGTCTTGGTTGAATTCTACATATTGGTCCGGTTGGTCCTGACTCTTGTCTTACTCTTTCTTTACTGGACTGGACACAAGGGGAACTAGTCCTTTCTTCTATCTATTTTCGATCTTTCATTGTTGTTCTTTCATTTTTGCTACAATCAACATTCTCTCATTTCTTTTGCCTTTGTTTTTGAGACAATCTCCATTGTCCCCGACAATTTTCCATCTTTAGCCCATTTTTTTTGCAGTGACTGGATCACTAGCATTCCTTTCGTTGCCCGTCGACAACAGCCTTTAACAAACATCGCCCACTGTTCTGAGAACATTTTTGCTTCTCGCTGAGCCCAATCGGACTGAAAAAATATCGACAAACGGCTTTTATTCCATGCTTTCCCTCTGATTTCTATACATTAGATATAGGCAGGTCCTTCACTTGACACCAGCCACCAGCCATCCAACAGAAAACCCTAAACGCCTGAATCCCCTTCAGCCCTTGCTTCTGCCGTTTGATCAAGCAACCTGGGGTTGTTTCGTTTGCTGTTTTACTCGACAATATCTTCCGAGCCTTCTGTAGGGTCGGTCCAGATATAAACGTTCCCCTTTTCAATCCACTTTTTCCAGCGAGCTGGCCTCGCTAAACAATACACCAAGTTCAGTCCTAAGCACTTGACGTGCCGCGTCTTTGGTGGGTCGTCATGCACTCCTTTCTACTGGCGATGTCCCTCGCCGGAATGACCAGTGCAACGGATGTTGAATACATCGAAAAACGATCTGGTGGTTACTCTCCCTACTACGAAGCCGTCAACGATGAGCTGGCACGCTATACAATTCTCGCCCTTGGCTGTGCTGCCGCCGCTTATTACATCTGGCAGCTCGTCTTCCGCTTCTCTCGCCATCTTCGACGCCTGGCAAGCTTCAGCGATGACCGACAACGGTACTTCGTCTCTACACACAACACCTTTGCCTGGATCAAGGAGCATATCATCTACGCTGCGTTGTTCCGCAGCCGACACAACCGTGAACTCCAGCTCTCATCAGCTATTAACATGGGTACTTTGCCTAGTCGCTTCCATGCTTTCTTGATCACCGGCGTTATTGCCATGAACGTCACGCTCTGCTGTGTGACAACTCCTTATGGATCCGAGACAGACACGCTTGCCGGAGTCATTCGTAACCGCACCGGAGTCATGGCTACCGTGAACCTGATCCCATTGGTCTTGATGGCAGGCCGTAGCAACCCTCTAATTGCTATGCTCCATGTGCCTTTCGATACATGGAATCTGCTCCACCGATGGCTCGGTCGCATCGTGGTGCTGGAGAGTCTTGCACATGTGTTTGCATGGGCCATCCCAAAAGGTCAAGAGAAAGGCTGGAAGGTTGTCGGAATGGCTCTGAGTAATAGCAGCTTTTTGCTGACCGGCTTGGTGGCTGCTTGTGCATTCACTGCGCTCTTGCTGCACTCGCCCTCGCCCATTCGTCATGCTTTCTATGAGACATTCCTCCACCTGCACATTGCCATTGCAGCCGTTTCCATGGGTTTCCTTTGGGTCCATCTCCACAAGATGCCAGCGCAAACCTATCTGCTTGCCTCCATCATCCTCTGGGCCCTTGAGCGAGCCACCCGCTTCCTCATGATTGTGTACCGCAACTGCGGCCGTGAATCCACCACCGCAACCATCGAGGCCATGCACGGCGACGCAATGCGTATTACCCTGCGCATGGCCCGTCCCTGGACCTTCCGTCCGGGCCAGCACATCTACCTCTACATCCCAGCCGTGGGCTTGTGGACCTCGCACCCGTTCTCCGTTGGTTGGAGCGAAACCGAAGACAGCAATTCCGACGAGAAGTCCCTCCCACTCACAAGCAAAGACATCCTCAGCGCGCCCCAAAAAGAAACCATCTCTCTCCTCGTCCGCCGCCGCACCGGAATGACCGACAAGCTCTTCCAGCGCGCCGCGAACTCCCCGACCTCACAGATTACCCTCCGCGCCTTTGCCGAGGGTCCGTATGGCAACATCCACACCATGGACTCATACGGTACGGTGATGCTCTTCGCTGGCGGAGTCGGTATCACCCACCACGTCCCCTTCGTCCGCCACCTAGTCGCCGGGTTCGCGAACGGCACCGTCGCTGCCCGTCGCGTCACACTCGTTTGGATCATCCAATCACCCGAACACCTGGAGTGGATCCGGCCCTGGATGACCAGTATCTTGGCGATGGATCGCCGCCGTGAAGTCCTGCGCATCATGCTCTTTGTTACGCGGCCGCGCAATACAAAGGAGATCCAGAGCCCCTCCGCAACTGTGCAGATGTTCCCTGGTCGTCCTAATATTGATACACTGGTCGGTATGGAGGTCGAGAACCAAATTGGCGCTATGGGTGTTCTCGTCTGCGGCAATGGCGGCCTGAGCGATGACGTTCGCCGTGTTTGTCGGAAGAGGCAGACTCAGTCTAGTGTTGATTACGTGGAAGAGAGTTTCTCTTGGTAGACTGATATACATGATAGATATAAGTTGCTGTCTTTTTGGCGTATGAGCGTGTTTGTTGTGGTGGTCACTGTCGCCTTTTTACGTAGGGTTATACTGTTGTATAATCCTTCACTTGTCTGTTCGGTTTGCTTTGCAGCTGGCTTTTCTTGTATACTTTGAACTTTTTTCTTTCTTTTCTGGCAGCGATCTTCCTGTCATGGGTTTATAGAGTTGTACATATCTTTCCTGCAAAATGCACGATTTGATTAAGGATTGTTCTTTGACATCGAAGCTCCACAACTTAGATAGTGATCCACGGAATTTAGATACTGACATCGCCTTTCTTTACAACAAGGCCTTTAGCTTGTAGCAACCTATTTGATGAACATCCGAAGTCCTGCCCACAGTCTCCCAACAGTCCAAATTAGTTATCATCATCAAAGGTTGTATATTGAAAAGTCCTCTGCACAAATGAAATCCTTTTCCGCCTTTTTCAACAACAAATTAAACAGTAACAACTCATCATGCACAATAAAATGCATCGGCGGATGTTACATCCCCAGTGCCTTTGTACTTCGCTCGTTGTGGGTATGGGCACAGGATTCTATCGTATGTCTTCCCATCTTCTGGGGAGTATTTCACTGGGAGACTTGCAGGTGCATTGCCAGACTCGACCCAAGCAACAAGGCTGTCGAACATAGTAGAAGGATATCCTCCTTTGGTGCCAAAACAGTGTCCCATCATTGGTGCTTCGAACAACTTATAGTACTCATGAACACTCGAGTCGCCGGCAGTTACCGCTTCGTAGTATGACCTCGTGCCGTTGGGAGGGATTACTTCGTCCATCTGCATGAAAAGTCAGTATAAGTGTAGTCCTTGAACAAACAATATGAAACGTACTAGGCCATGGTATGTTAGCATCTTGCCCCCAGCGTCACGGAATTTCGACAGATCTGGGTTATTCGTTCCAAATACCGAATTCCATTGCTGGACAGACTTTCGGAAAAGGTGGTCATATGTTTGGTGTGTGATGTTTTTCAAGGTGAAGTTCAGGTTGTGCTCGATAAACACTTGAGCCCATCGATCATATAGCAAGCTGGATACCGCAGTGCATGTCCCGTTGGCACATTTTGTATTTGCCGGGGTATTTTCTCCTGTCAATCTAGTCCCAGTATTGAAGCCATACCACAAGAAGTTGCCCTGTGAGTCCCGTGATCCGGTCCAGGTAGCATTGACAATTTTCGCAGTGGCAGCCGAGATTCTCAACTGCGATGCGGTGTCACTGCAGTTGATTTTGGTTCCCACTAAAGTGAACGGATCAAAGACGCACGAATCTGGGTCCGAGATTATACCATCCACGACACCGTCCGCGCTGTCGCAGGCGGAGAGTGCGGCATCTGTCACAGCATTGATCTCGCAAGCGTGTGGGTATTCGTCGAGCTGGTTCATGACAAACTGAGCCCAGTATCCTCCCAACGAAAGTTGCGGCCAATTGATTGCGGGAGCAGAAGCAACGATCCCATCATATGCTTTGGGGTATTGCTGAGCAAGCGCCAGACCCTGTCGGCCGCCTTGCGAGCATCCGGTCCAATAAGAGTATTTGGGTTTCGACCCATATGCACTCTCTGCCAAGCTCTTTCCGATGATTGCTGCATCGCCGAGAGAAGCAATGCCGAAGTTGTACATGGTATTATAGTCTGGCATTCCGTCTTCCAGAAGGCCCCAGTCTGCAGGGTCATCGCTTGTGTGGCCGCCATCGGTTGAAATGGCGACGTATCCTTCGGCAGCTGCTGCGATCATTCCATATGCTGTTATGGATGTGAGACCAGCCGTGTAGCCGTTTCCTCCGATTCCTTGTAGCCGCTCGTTCCAGGAATCACTGGGTAGAAGGACGCCAACGTTGACCGTGTCGTTTTTGGCGGTGTGTTTGTAGGTCACTGTGACATTGCAGAAGTTGAGGTTTTGAGCTGTCACGCCGCCATGATTGTAGTAGTACCACTCGGGGATGTACTGGGACACATTTGAGACTTGGGAAGCTTGTAGTGATAACACTTCGGCGCCTGGTATATGAGGATATGAAAAGGCCTCAGCCGAGCACAACGATGGAGAGAGGCTAGTCATGATGTAAAAACCAGCACTTTGGGGACTAGACTGGGAGGAAAGGATTTGCTGGATATTTTGATACGGAGAGGTCATCCTTTATGTAGATATGTCGTTATATATTTGTTGTTGCTGCTTACTATATTGTATACGCGTATTCGGCAGGGACTCGAATACTGCTGCCTCGGTTCCGTTAAAGAGTTTGAATTATTGCAATGCTCAATCCGTGTTTATTTCTGCATACCCAGACAGAGATATTTATGGCAGTGCATACGAGTTATAATAATAAAACCCCACTCTGTTGAGAGGCAAAAGCTATACGCGTATTCGAACCCAGGGCTAAAGTGGGGCAGGGGTCCGGGCCCCTAAATTGGATGGCCCTAAATTAAGGAGTTGTGCTCAATTAGGAGACATTGGATGATATCTATTAGATATTTGATTATGGCCATGAAATTTAGAAATAGTTGAAACGTGTGCTTAATGTGGAAAAAGGCAAATGTTCTATATCACAAGCAAAAGAAAACTAGATAATAGTGTATAAACAAAAGGAAACCAAAGACTCCAAGCTAAATACAGTATAAAGCGCTTCATTTCATGCAAAAGGGATTCAAACTTCAGAATAACTGTGTGCAAGCGGTATGCTTCTCTCGGAATCCGCAACAAGGCTTATCTGATCAGGATACCAAATAAAGAAGATAACCATGACAATCGCCATCGGCAAGCTATCAAAAACGTACATTGTCCACTCGTGCATGAGAGGATAACCATCATTGTCCATGACATATTCAACAATCCGGAAAATAGAGCGGACCAAAATGAGGCCACTGACAGCATATAGCATATGTAATGATCTTTGCCAGGGAATACCAGGCTTGAGGCACTCGGGGGTGGGTGAACGACGAAGGCGCTTTGCGAAAATGATGGCCGTTACCCAGAAGAGGGAAAACGAGATGAGTTGGATTGCCAAACCGGCAACGACGCAAACCTTTGCCCACTGGGGATACCCCAGAACCGAGAGAGACGAGGAGTTTCCCTGGACAACGAAAGACAACACATCGAACCAGACAAATGTTTTTGTAAGGCGCGAGACCCGAATGGGAGAAAGATGTTCTCCTTGAACACGACGGATGACTCGACCAAGGGTCATGTAGATAGTCGCGGCGAAGAGGGTAGGACCGAGCAGAATGAACATGTTGGCGATAATGAATGGTCCCATTGTAGTTGTGTTATTGTGTGCAATACAGCGACCGATGTAACCGATGATCTCGACTTTATTATAATGCAGGTTAGTGTCTGGTCTTCAGGGCATGGAAGGGTAAGATTGCAAGGGTAGGGAGTTCACATACAAAAGCCGCCTAGGGTAAATGCTATACAAAACCATGTCCTGGCTCTGAACATTTTCCAAGAATGAAGACCCGTTAGGACAATGAATATCAGCATGAAAATGACCGCTGCTGGCATCGAAGGTGTATAGTTCCAAAATTTGTAGGATCGAGACACGAGTTGAGACATGTTTGGCGATTGTATGGACCAGTGAAGAAAGAAAGAGGTATTGTGAGTTGAGGAGACCTAAGTTGAAGGATTCAGAGTCTTTATAAAGTAGAGATTTTCGGACATTCTGAATATCGAAGAATCTTTTTTTACTTTTAGGTCTACAAAGTATAGATCGGATTGCAGATACGCGTATAGAGAGGACCCACACACAACCTTCCCAGGTTGGAACGAAGTAAAGTTCGCCACTCACAAGCTGTTCAACATTTAAGCTAGTCTAAAAAGGGAATTATTCCCGTCAACCTGAGGCTTGTACAAAATATCATCGTGTGTCTCTTTTTTTTCCGTCCGCAGTCAGCTGTTTGTTTCACACTTGCATCAGTCTCAATTCACCCCCTGCTATTCTTCTAGTGACTCGTGATGGGTAAGTTATATGACTGCCTGATAATCCAGATCACAATCGACCGGCACCAGAGTATGTTAATCTTGGAGCACAATTCATCACCATATCTTGTGAAATCAAAAATGCATGTACCTCTATAGACACTAGCATCCGATTGCCGGAACACGTGGTGTCTCATTTACTAGGCAACTCAAAAAGTCATATTGTACTACATTTACAGTAGTGAGAAGTTACCTATTGAATTAAATAGAGGAGATAGCTACACTGGGCCATTAAGCGAGTTGGACGAGAGATGGGATTCAGTAAGTCCTATGGAGCTACATATAAAGTAACATCGGTCCCTGAGCAACGCAATTAGCCGCATCCCAAACCTGAACACGGGCCAAATGCTTCATGCTACTCAATCCGGCTGAGCCCTTCCGAACACCTCAGTACTGTGATGCTTGCTTTGTTTCAGCGACGTAGTCGTCTCATTCAAGGGATACTTGTGATAATCCGCGACACGTTTCTCTACATTGATATCCTGTCGCTGCTGCACCTGCATGCTATTACTCGCCTCAGAGGTCGGTTGGGTGTCAACGACGCTAAACCAGCATGCATGGATGAAAAGCTGTTACACAGATCCAGCGGATCATTTTGCGGGTTGAACACGAAGGCCCAGCGAATCGGGTGAGCACATGAGGTTTATTATCGCGGCAAGTCATTCGGGAACTATACTGTGACGGGACCGCTCCACTAGATACATTTTCAACCACGCCATTAAATGAATCATGCCCAATATAAATGATGCCCATAGAGAGATCGTAGTAGGGCATGAGAATATGGCATTCCCTGTCCCTCTTAAGATACAGCTCGAGACCTTACTTACGAGCCAAGGCAAAGGTGACCTCATGGGCCTCGTGATTCACCGAGTTTAACGGTATTTTGACCTGAACAGGGTCCAAAATGTCAGAACAGCTGTGCTCAGTCAGCCAAGGCGATCAACGTTTGTGGGATCTGGTAACATTCAGTAGCAGCGCCACATGTCCACTCAGTATGAGAACAAGGCCAGGGCGTCTTTCTCAGAAAGGGCTTCATGACATAACATGGTAGTAGCTCGCAAGGAAGGAATGGGAATAGAGAGAATTGGTAGAGTGGCAGATAAATGAAAGAAGATGATTGAAGAATGAAGAATGAAGAATAAAGAAGAATTTTCTCGTCGATGAAAATCACACAAAATTAGGAATCTGTATCCTATTTATTTGTTGCGATAGGTTAATTAATACTTCTTTCCTTCCTATGTTCCAATTTGATCCATCTGGCCCTGATGATCCATGAATTCTGCTGGGGCCCAAGGTATTCTTCTCTCGATCAAAACCATAACTGCCGATGACGTGACAAGTCCAGCTATGCACAATAGGAGGTACGCCTTCATTCTAGGTCTTTCCTAGGTTTTGTCAAGAATTCCAGTGAATTAAATGAAAATAATAGGGAGTCTTAAAACCTAAGAGCTTAGAAAACCTGCGGTAGTTCCTATGAATATATGTTCTCCAGGGGTACAACTGTCAGCAAGACTAACGCCTATGGATACTGCAGAGCAAGGCCATAGAATGGAACTATATCCCCAGAAAGTACAACCTAGCCGGGCTCGTAGGTTGTGATGATTATTCAACAAACCCGGGTCGGGGAGACCTCAAGAGAAGCTTCCGCGAGTTCCACGAGCTTATAAATCTACAAAGTGGGGGGCCCGAGGCCGAAGGCTAATATGACATCAACCATCGCATACTTAAACCATCGATCTATCTTCAAACATCCAGCAATAATTCAACATCTTCTTCAATCATCTCAGTTTTAATTTTCAGCCCCCTTTCCTGATTTATCAATATGACGCAACCAAATATCACCCTCTACACGACCCAGACCCCCAATGGGATCAAAATCTCCATCGCGCTAGAGGAGCTTGGGTATAGTAGTTTCCTTGACCTTCTGAAGCTTGGTACTAACATATTGTAGCCTGCCATACAAGGTCGAGAAGATTGACATCTCGAAGAACACTCAAAAGGAAGAGTATGAGCTTGCACCTCTACAAATACCTACGCAAACAGATCTAACTGTCGTACAGCTGGTTCCTAAAGATCAACCCCAATGGCCGCATCCCTGCCTTGACAGACACCTTCAGCGATGGCCAGGAGATCCGACTATTTGAGTCTGGCAGCATTCTGGAATACCTGGCAGAACAGTACGACACAGATTACAAGATCTCATTCCCCAAGGGCACGCGGGAATACTACGAGATGAAGAGCTGGCTGTACTTCCAGAATGCGGGACTAGGACCCATGCAAGGACAAGCCAACCACTTCTCGCGGTACGCGCCCGAGCGCATTGAGTACGGCGTGAACCGATACGTCAATGAGTCGCGCCGATTGTATGGTGTTTTGGACAAGCACCTCGCTGAGTCCAAGTCTGGTTATATTGTCGGTGACCATGTTTCTATCGCCGATATCTCACACTGGGGATGGGTCGCTGCTGCCGGATGGGCCGGTATCGATATTGACGAGTTCCCGAATGTTAAGGCCTGGGAGGAGCTTATGGCCCAGCGACCAGGCACTGAGAAGGGTCGTCATGTCCCTGCTCCTCATACCATTAAAGAACTCATCAAGGATAAGGCGGCTGTGGATAAAGCGGCTGCTGAAGCCAGGTCTTGGATTCAACAGGGGATGCAAGCCGATGCCAAAGGCAAAGTTTAAATGAAGCGCCGACAAAGAACTGCTAGGACATTGATGGCTGTTGAATGACAGAGCAGATAATTTGAAATGAAATTTGAATCAACAGACCATAAACTTCACAATTTTTAATAAGTGTGTTAGTGTTGTAGTACATTTCACATAGGTACGTATACATCGGATTGCAGGCCGCGCTCCTGGCTTTTCCTTTCTGTTTTGGTGCTCACCATTTCCCGCCTTTTGATCACTGAGTACACAACAAGTCCTAACCCTATACAAGCATGGCAAACAGTCAGACCCAATCCACAACCGAAGGCGGGACAAAGAGACAGAATCCAGCAGAGTCCAGGTCGTGACAGGCTCCTCTAGATGGGCGGGACCTCCCGAGGTCGAGAATATCCATTGATGACGTAATCTCTCCAGACTTCCCTCAGGGCCGCGACCTTCCAAGGAAGGGTCGGTCGGTCATCGGATCCATGGATGTCTCAGGCACCCAAGAGGAGATTCCCAGATGGCTCCCATCTCCCATCTCCTCCCTCCCATTCTTCCCCTCTCCATCGCACTACACCACAGAGATATCAGAATACACAGTGTTATCACCTGCGTTCCTTGACCCGATCTCTGGCCTGTTGAGATCATCATCTGCATACCCACACAATGAGCGACAGACGCCCCTCCCGGATGCTCCGCAAGTTCCTTGAATACAATGACTCGGCAGACACGCTAAGGCAGAACCAAACAGCATCTGATAATTCTGCTGAAGATGGCTGGCCTAGAGATCCCTTTCAAAGAGAATATTGTTTTTTCTATGGGACATTAATGGATCCACATACGCTCTCTCAAGTCTTGAACTCGTCAAAGCGACCCCCCGTCCTGCGTCATGCTAGAGTGATAGGGTTCGAAATCAAGCTTTGGGGCCCGTACCCTGCCCTTCTTGGTGGAAAGCCACTCCGTTCAGTCGATGGTATGGCGTATGAAATCTTGTCGCAGACGCAACTTGATCGACTCGCGGCCTATGAGACGGACAAATATCAGCTAAGACCTTGCTTGATTGACCTGCTGAATGATGATGATAGCATCGAAGAGACTGTTGAAGGGGTTACTTTCATGTGGAATGGACAACGGGATGAACTACGGGAAGGCACGTTTGACCTGAAGCGATGGAAAAAAGAGAAGCAGTTGGGAGATTTGGATTGAAACCCGGAAAGATGGGAGACTGAAACCTTTTACCTAGGTACTGGGCCTAGCTCCTTCTGAGATATTTGCTGCAACAATTGAAGTTTTGCCCTGAACCTCGATGTAAGCTACATGCTTTGTAATTTCTTCATAACCAGGTTCTTTGCGTTCCCTTCGTCCTCCTTTGCCTTGAGCGTCTCTTGCTCTGCTGTAACCAGTGCTCGCACAGGGCTCGGGTTAATGTATCCAGACTTTCCCCGGAAGAGTGACTCGAGAATTCCGCGATTGGAACCAGACACACCGAAGCTCGTAAGAAATCTTCGCAATCCCTGAACATCCCGTGAAAAGCGAGAAATGTTCCGATCTGATGACATCATCTTGGATGAGTTGACAAATGAGGCCACAAACTCTACCCACGGCAAACATGCTGTCTCGTCTGATGCTCCTGGTGCTTGGCGGAACTCGAGAGTGGCCTTACCACCGTAATAAAGATTCGTGAAGTTCCACGCAAAGTATCTTCTGCCATTATCGTTCATCAAGTCAACGATTTCCACGTGATTTTCGCACCCATCCAGAATGCTTAAGCATTCGCGAACACTCTTTCCTTTCAAGCGTGAATTATCGCATCGGTTGCTGGCAGTATAGGCATTGCTTCGTCTGTGGTCTGGGACAATAGCCAGTATGGCGCCTTCGAAGTAGAAGATGCTGCGGCAGATTGATTTCAACGTGTCGAGGCTCCAAGGGCTGTTTTTGGGAGGGGATATATGTGCACATGAACGCCGCATGACTGATTGGCTTCAACGTCGCAAACCAAAGAGAGAGCTCTGAACATGTGGCGAACTTCATCACGCCATAGACTTCTCTCATGGTATTGAAGGATGGGAGACACGAGCTCCAGCGACCCTGATCTGTGTTAGTAGATTGATTAGGATATGGATGGCATTGAGACATACATTGGTCATCAGTATCTGGCTTGATAGTCACATCATCCGTGAGAGACCACTCAGCGGATATTTCTGAGCCTTCATAAATACCATCAACATCATTGTGTACTCGAGGGTATGGACGACGGGCGGCGTGGAAATGGGCGATGAGATGGTTTGCGAAAGCTTCAAGATCTGGAAATTCATCTTTGGCTTTCTTGCGGTGTGTCAAAAGGATCTCCAGCTCGATGCCGATTCGAAACCCAGCGTCCATTCTCGCAAGAAAGTTGAGGGTTAATGCTGTCAATGATTGGGAGTAGAAGTCTGGATTGATTGGAAGGAAAGAGACTGAGTCCTAAGTCTGCTGCGAAAGTGAATTGCTTGAGAGCTGAACCGGTGATGAGTCTGAGGAAGCTAATGCCTAAAGTGGAATCCGCAACCTATATCTCATCTACTCTCATCCCAGCAACTCTTCTTCTCTCTTTTCTCCCCATCTTCAACCTTTCAACTCCCATCATACATAATTTGTCTGGCTCTTTCGAAAATCTTCTTGCTCTTTATCAAAAAGTCTCGGTTTTCACAAGTCACCTCCATCAGAAGCTTTGCAATAGCTGCCGGCTCTGCTAACTCCGCCGCCTAGTTAAATAAGGCTAATTCCACCCTTTAAATAAACCTAACTTGAAGCTGGACCAACATGACCTCTAAAAGGAAGTAAGGGATAAGAGTAAATAGCAAATGAGAAAAGCTTACATATCCATATGACGGTTTATTGGTTTCTAGTTTTTGACAAGGGGAGTAATCGTTCCACATATGGGAGCCACTCTGCTCGAATAACTAATGTTGCCAAAGGCACCTGGCCTCATACCCAAATAACTGGAATAGCCCTCGCGAGACCTTTGGTAGGAACTGTGCCCCGGCTAGGATTCACCTACATCCACGAATGGGATTTCGCCAATGGAGAGTCCTACCGCTCTACCACCGGAGCAGCGTACATATCTATAGAAGTCAGCACTGGAGGATTCCAAACAACCCGGGTGCGCAAGTGGTCCACTCTGGAGACCGTATTTGTAGACCACGGATCGGAACAATAATCATCCTGGATACAACCTAGCGCCTATTGATCACCCCGGTCCGGGTTCACGGGTATATGTAAATCCGAGGATAGTCTCGCCACCGCCTACTAAATAAGATTTTGCTATAATCACGTGTTAATGCTCGCCTCGAACACCAAAGCTTCTTTCATCTCTTCCACCTGTATCACTCACTACTTACCTTTTTCTATCCAAAGCAGCAGTCATGGCTTGGCGCAACCAAGGAACAACTGGCTCCAACAACATCCCGCTTGGCCGGCGACGCATGGGCGGCGAGGATGAAGAGGAAAGTCGCACTGCGACCCCTTCTTCTATGCCCTCTTCGTCTATGGGTCCCGATGGTCCAAAGCGTGGGCGTAGCCCTGTTCGAGGTATGTTTCTTCCAAAGTGAAAGGTTTGAAAATAAATTAAGACTGACTTATATTTCAAAGCCGATCCAGGTCCCCTGAACACCGATGGCGATGGCAAGAGGCGCAAGAAGCGCAACCGCTGGGGTGACCAGCAAGAGAACAAAGCCGCCGGTCTTATGGGCCTGCCCACTATGATCATGGCGAACTTCACCAGCGAACAGCTCGAAGCTTACACACTTCACCTTCGTATTGAGGAGATTAGCCAGAAGCTTCGGATCAACGATGTGGTCCCTGGCGATGGTGACAGGTATGCGCTTTCGTCCTTTGTAATTTTGTACTTACTTGTATACTGACCTTACCAACAGATCTCCCTCGCCACCTCCCCAGTACGACAACTTCGGAAGACGTGTGAACACTCGCGAGTACCGTTACCGCAAGCGCCTCGAGGATGAACGTCATAAACTGGTCGAGAAGGCCATCAAGACCATCCCTAACTACAACCCGCCTTCTGACTACAGACGCCCCACCAAGACCCAAGAGAAGGTCTACGTCCCCGTGAATGACTATCCAGAGATTAACTTCAGTATGATAACTAACCCTCTAACTCCTAACCATTCTTCCATTGCGTCTATCACGAGTCCCTACTCGACTCGAGCTGACAAGACATACCACCTTGGATGTCCTCAGCTTGTTTCTTGCTAAACCGTGGTGCCTGATACTGCACATATTTTAAAAAATTACAGGATCACTAACACCTAGCTCTTGCTATTTTTACAGTTGGCTTACTCATAGGACCTCGTGGAAACACCTTGAAAAAGATGGAGACCGAGTCCGGTGCCAAGATTGCCATTCGAGGCAAAGGCTCCGTCAAAGAAGGAAAGGGTCGATCTGATGCCGCTCACGGTAGCAACCAGGAAGAAGACCTGCACTGTCTGATTATGGCGGACACCGAAGAAAAGGTTAACAAGGCCAAGAAGCTTGTCCACAATGTCATTGAAACAGTAAGTTCCCTTGTCTCATTTTGTGGGTTAAAAAAAAACCGGTATTGACAATTTATCAGGCCGCGTCCATCCCTGAAGGCCAGAACGAGCTCAAGCGCAACCAACTTCGTGAGCTAGCTGCTCTTAACGGTACCCTTCGTGACGACGAGAACCAGGCTTGCCAGAACTGTAAGTGAACACCTTTCAAATGTCCTTTGTTGCGCAATTAATTTTAACCGTGATCCTTATCAGGTGGTCAAATCGGACACCGCAAGTATGACTGCCCCGAGCAGCGTAACTTCACTGCGAACATCATCTGTCGTGTCTGTGGCAATGCTGGCCATATGGCTCGCGATTGTCCTGATCGCCAGAAAGGCAGTGACTGGCGCAACGCCGGCGGCGCGGACAGACGTGGCGATCGTGCTGTTGGCACTGGTGATGCCGTGGATCGCGAGATGGAGGTAAGTTCTCTTTGTTCATGACTACTTCATCAGATATGATACTAATATCTCACTTAGCAATTGATGAACGAATTGTCTGGTGGTGCTCCTGGCGAATACGAGCCCCGTCGCATTGAAGCCGGTCCCGATGGCGGTAATGGCCATCCCGACGACCGTGATGCGAAGCCCTGGCAGCAGCGCGGACCACCGCCCCAAAGCGATGTGGCTCCATGGCAACAGCGCCGCGAACCTCGCCCTCGTGATGATTACGGATCCCGCGATAACTATGGATCCCGCGACAATCATGGACCTCGTGACGACTATGGATCTCGCAACCAGGGTGGTCCTGCCCCTTGGGCTGCGCAGAACCAACCTCAAGGTCAACCCCAAAACCGCGACTACGCTTACGGATCTCAAGGTGGTTATGCTGCTCCTGGTACTGCCCCGAGTGCTGCTCCTTGGCAGCAACAAGCCCCTCCTGGCGGACAGCAGCCTGCCTATGGTGGTGGTTACGGTGGATACGGCGGATATGCGGCTTACCCTCCTGGAATGGGAGCTCCTGGTGCTGCCCCTCCTGGTATGGGCGCGCCTCCTCCCCCCTCCTGGTATGGCTCCAATGTACCCCGGAGGTGCTGGCAGTCCTCCCCCTCCGCCCCCGCCTGGCGATGCCCCGCCTCCCCCGCCTCCAAGTGACCTGCCTCCCCCACCCCCACCTCCCCAGTGATGACCTCGCCTCCCCAGCGAAAAAGTGATCTCGATTCAAATCGTTTGTCCATGCGTGAAGAAATTGGCCATGGGGGCTTTGAAAGACAATTCAACCAGGATTGGTTTCAGAAGCCCACGGCTCGCTAACAATTGTTCCAAAAACTCCATAGTTGCTCTTTTCTATGCAGTTTTGAGTAATACGACTAATTCTTTTTAGTACATCTTAATTTCAATGTATGACTCGTATTTGACCCCGTACACTTGTATATGAACGTAGCGGCCTGATCAGCTGGGCTAACGAGAAGTGGATGCCTCAGGCCCCACATACATGTCTTGGCTTCAGCTCCAACATTTCTCCGCAAAATCAAGCTAACTTCAATTATGTCCTAATTCATGCCCTCCTGTATTTCATTGCGTATCAATCAGTGCCTGGCTCTTTATAGATTCATGCCAGTTGTATTACACTGAGGCGTCGAATTCATCTCAGAATTGCATATGCAAGGATCGTCACACGGGGATTTGTCCCTCCCGGGACCCAACATGCACGCCTCCATGTCCGCTCAGCGGAAACCTTCTCGGCAATCGCAGCGGCTATCATCGGTACGCTCAACGCGATCAGGTAGATCTGACTATGGTACCGCACGTCAATCTGACCAGTCTGTCGACCGACAAGACGGCGCGCAAGAAAACTCGCAGCGCCGTGCATCGACGGCGGCGTCGGTGCACTCGGCTCAAGATAAATGGTGGCACGTCCACTTCTTCCGTGGAATGATCAATGATGTCAAGCGCAGAGCACCATATTATTGGAGCGATTGGACTGATGCATGGGATTATCGTGTCGTGCCTGCTACGGTTTATATGTATTTTGCTAAGTATGTTCGCTCTGATTGGATATTAATCAAGATCTTTTCTTCGGCGCAATGTTTCATTTGCTCACAATCAGTGTAGTATCCTGCCTGCTCTGGCCTTCTCGTTAGATATGTTCGAGAAGACCAGTCAGAGCTATGGCGTTAATGAAGTTCTACTTGCTTCCGTTCTTGGTGCAATTGTATTTTCGCTTTTTGCGGCTCAGCCGTTGGTCATTGTCGGTGTTACTGGTAAGAAATCTAGAATATATGATCACGAAGTCTCAATCTGAGGATTTTAGGTCCCATCACTGTGTTCAACTATACTGTCTATGATATCATGGCTCCTCGAGGGACGCCGTATCTTGCATTCATGTGTTGGATTGGAATGTGAGTTTCCTTTATCATCTTCGATCATTGACTTCACTGACATCCATTGTAGCTGGTCTTTGATTATGCATTGGGTACTGGCCATCACTAATGCCTGCAACGCCCTGACGTATGTCACTCGGTTCTCGTGTGACATCTTTGGATTCTACGTTGCTTGCATCTATATCCAGAAGGGCATTCAAGTTCTCACCAGACAATGGGGCTCCGTGGGAGAGACCTCTGCCTACCTGAGTATCATGGTTGCACTACTTGTCCTGATGTGTGCATGGATTTGTGGGGAACTGGGCAACAGTAATCTTTTCAAGCGATTCATTCGGAAATTCCTCGAAGACTACGGTACACCTTTGACCATAATCTTCTTTACCGGCTTCGTCTATATCGGTCAGATGAAGGATGTCAATGTCGCTACGCTCCCTACTAGCAAGGCTTTCTTTCCCACAACTGACCGGTCTTGGCTTGTGCGTTTCTGGGATATCAGTATTGGAGATATCTTCCTTGCCATCCCATTTGCGCTTCTTCTCACTATTCTCTTTTACTTTGACCACAATGGTGAGTACTCTGCATCGCGCAAATTGCAGTGGATTTATGACTGACGCGTCCCTTCCAGTGTCATCTCTCATTGCCCAAGGGACCGAATTTCCTCTTCGAAAGCCGGCTGGCTTCCATTGGGACATTTGGCTCCTCGGTCTCACAACTTTTGTAGCTGGAATTCTGGGAGTACCATTCCCCAATGGCCTGATTCCCCAGGCCCCCTTCCACACTGCCGCCCTCTGCGTCACTCGTCAGGTCACAGACGAAGACGACACGAATAAGGGCAAAGCTATCCGGGTAACAGACCACGTAGTAGAGCAGCGACTAAGCAACTTAGCACAGGGACTTTTGACCTTGGGAACAATGACTGGACCCCTCCTCATCGTGCTCCACTTGATTCCACAGGGTGTTATGGCTGGTCTGTTCTTCATTATGGGTGTCCAGGCTCTACAGGGAAATGGCATTACACAAAAACTGCTTTTCCTTGCGGAAGACAAGAAGTTTACTTCCGCGTCAAATCCTCTCAAGCGAATCGAGCGCCGTTCCGCCATCTGGGCCTTTGTTGCTCTTGAACTGTTTGGCTTTGGTGCGACTTTCGCTATCACTCAGACCATCGCTGCCATTGGATTCCCTGTTGTTATTCTCCTTCTGGTGCCGGTGCGCTCGTTCCTGCTTCCTAAATGGTTCACCCGCGAGGAGCTTGCAGTACTCGATGGACCGACAGCTAGTCCATTCACCATGGAAAGTGTCGGTGGCAACCACGGACTGGAGGAGTACGATGAAGCGGTGGCTAGCGGCGGCCGGGAGGAGTATTTGAGTGGAGGTGATGGAGTCCTGAGAAACCGAACTTCGGCTTCTCCGGAATCCGCAGTCGAAGATGATGATCTAGAGCGTGGAGAGGCGTACGAACTCGCCTCCCGGGTTTCGCGCAGAAGGAGCACAGCTAGCAGGGTAGACTAAATGGTACTACGGTAGCCTATGTTGCAATAAAAAAAGTAGCTCGCATTCTATTCGGTTATGTTGTCGTTCTCACTATCATTATACACCATTCGATGAACAACTAGTCATACAGCTGGGAATATTGATTGATGCCTGATTTCTCCGGCAGTAACATAATACATTGATAGACGCTTCATGAATCAATGATTGCTCTGCAGACTCAAAACTGATCTTAATTGTTAGTTAAACCCCTAGTTATTTGACTAACTATGGTGTATGTATGGATGTAGTTAACTCAAAGCTTGTTTGATGCAAAATGTAGTGCCTTATAAACTAGGCTCCACACCCCACCGCTTGTTGGAGATAACTTTTTCTGCCACGAAATTATTTCGTCCTGATAGACAGTCGCAAACAAGATGGCGCCCCCGATCACAGAGAATCCGGAGTTCGAGGACTCCGATGTGTCCGATAATTCAGACGTGGAACAACCCGATGTCGACGACCGAGCCCCCAAACGCCGCCGTCTCTCAGAGTCTTCCAACGACTCATACGTCGCACCTGCGCCGCTCCCCACCCTCTCTCGTATTAAGAAGAAGGGCGAGGTAGAGGAGGAGCCGGAATCGAAGGAAGAGGAACCGGTGCTTATTAGCGATGCAATTGAGCTTGGTAAACAGAGTGGACTGTCCACTTTTGCGGAATTGGACGTCGCACCTTGGCTTGTCTCTTCGTTGACGACAATGGCGATCAAACGGCCAACTGCTATTCAGAAGGCTTGTATTCCTGAGATCCTGAAAGGGAAGGACTGTATTGGTGGAAGTCGCACTGGTTCCGGAAAGACTATGGCCTTTGCGGTTCCGATTATGCAGCAGTGGGCGCGGAATCCATTCGGGATCTACGCTTTGGTTTTGACCCCAACTCGGTATGTTCATGGTGGATATGAGACGTTTTATCGTTCGTCTTCGGTGACTAACCTTTCTCTCTGTCTAGTGAGCTTGCACTCCAGATCTACGAACAATTCAGGGCCGTCTCTGCGCCGCAAAATATGAAGCCTATCCTTGTCGTCGGAGGCATGGATATGCGCCAGCAGGCTATTGAACTTGCGAACCGGCCTCACGTGGTCATCGCAACACCCGGCCGACTAGCCGATCACATCAAGACATCCGGAGACGACACAGTAGCCGGTCTCCGCCGTGTTAAAATGGTTGTTCTCGATGAAGCCGATCGCCTGCTAGCCAGTGGGCCAGGAAGCATGCTACCAGACGTGGAAACATGTCTCGGAGCACTTCCACCATCCGCCGAGCGTCAAACGCTTCTATTCACAGCGACCATGACAGCTGAAGTGCGGGCACTGAAGTCCATGCCGGCAGCAGGCAACAAGCCACCAATCTTCATGACCGAAATCGGCACCGAAAACCAAGGCAAAATCCCGCCAACCCTCAAGCAGACATACCTTAAGGTTCCCATGACTCACCGCGAGGCCTTCCTGCACGCGCTGCTCTCCACCGAAGTAAACCTCACTAAGCCAGTTATCGTCTTCTGCAATCATACCAAAACATGCGATCTGCTAGAACGCACCCTCCGCCGCCTCGGCCACCGCATCACCTCCCTCCACAGTATCCTCCCGCAATCCGAGCGCACGGCTAATCTGGCTCGTTTCCGAGCCACTGCTGCCCGTGTCTTGGTTGCTACGGACGTTGCATCCCGTGGTCTCGATATCCCGTCCGTAGAGCTGGTTATCAATTTCGATGTGCCCCGGAACCCGGATGATTATGTGCACCGCGTTGGTCGTACTGCGCGTGCGGGCCGGAGTGGTGAGGCTACCACGCTTGTTGGACAACGTGATGTTGAGCTCATTCTTGCTATTGAGGAGCGGGTTGGTAGGCAGATGGAGGAGTTCGAGCAGGAAGGTGTCAATATTGAGAGCCGTGTTGTTAGAACCGGTTTGCTTAAGGAGGTTGGCTCTGCGAAGCGCGAGGCTGCGGGTGAGATTGATGAGGGTCGTGATATCCTTGGACGGAAACGTAATAAGTTGAAGAAGGTTCGCTGAGGGACGTCTTATGAGATAGATGCTGTCTACCTTGAATTCATTGATATATTTAGCGATCTTCTGTCCGGGATTGGACCTGAAGTGTAACATATTCAATGTCTTAATAATGTGCGAGAAGCAATGCAGCACGTGGCGTTGTTCTTGTAGCATTCCTGGGTGAACTACCGCGTGGCAAGTCTTATGCACTCGCCCGGGAAGACAGCACTGCTATTGGTTTCAACTTTGTATACGGTGTTAGGGCGAGAACTGATAACTGTTCAAATGCACAAATGGTATCATTGATCGCAATGTATAGACGAATTATTCTAATAATGCTGCATGCTTTCCAAAATGGGATAACCCGCTGTCATGTTAGGACCAACACTTGAACTATATCAACGAATCCCAATATGCTCATCGCTTGGCCCTGTACATCATGCAATGCAATGCGATTTAATTCACTCAGACATGCTCCACACGGTAAGCAATAGTCTGGAAAAGAGTATCAACACAGAAGAAAAAAAGACAATGCGGCCGAATCATCCAGTCCACGAGTCCGAACTTTGATTGCCTGTCGTACTCATGAGTTTCAATAGCCCATCGACCGCGTCACCTCGCTGTGACGGCGACATGGCATCCACATCATCCATACTGAGCTCGGCTCTTGGGCCCATACTTGCTTCCCTATCGGCTTCACGGCGAATGACCGTAGCCGGAGGACTACTCAGCTGCATTGGGGAGCCGAGCCCACGAGGCGGTGTTCGTTGCGCGTGTGACTTTGTGCGTTGCTGAACAACGCTGGAAGACAATGGGGAAGGTCGGCCTGGAAGATCGGGTGTGCTGTGGGAGGGGGTGGAAGTGAAGCCAGCGCAGCCAATGCGGGGTGTCTTCATTTGCGAGGATGAGAAGGATGTTAAGTGTTTGCGCGATGAGAGGGGTGGTGTAGAGAGGACGGAGAGTGAAAGCCGTGGGCATTTGCGACTGTGTGCTTCTAGCTCGGATACTCGGCGGTCGAATTGGTGATCTGTCACATTGCGCATCGCGCTCTGTAGTCTTGATCGGAGAAGGCTTGCTTTCTGTTTAATTGTTAGAAACTGTCCGCTGGGGAAGGTGTTTGATACTGATATCAGGGTCCGCATACTTGTTGAATGAACATTTTTCGCGCGTCGGAGTCTGAGGTAACGCTACGCGTTTCTTGCTCGGGGGTGCTGGGCACATTGAATAATTGATCGGTGTCCATTAGATCTTGTGTTTGGTCGCGTTCGGGTTGCGAGTTTTGTGGTGTGGGGGTTTGGTTGAGCTATTATTCGCGCGTTATGGAGTTAGCTTTGGATTGCTCATTCTCGGGACTTCTTTGCCTGTCTCGCATGAGCTTACCTGGCTTTGCATATCATCATTGACAGTGGATTGGACACCGGGCTGCGGAGAGGATTCCCGCGCCTGCATGTGTCCGAGGTTTTCTTCCATTTCATCCACTTGATCCCGTGTCCGTTTTTGGCCTGCAAATATAGGAGATGGGAGGAGCTTCTTAGGTGAGGTAGCAATTGACATCCGCTTGACCGGGGTCCCAATGGCCGGGAATGACGGTTTGGCGTGTGTGGCGGGGGACAGACACGCGTTTGTGTCCTTCTCGCCGAGAATTCGTCGCCCGTCCTTGATGGGACTGAATTGCACTGAAGTCGAATTCATTATTGAGCTCTAGGGTAGTGCCCAGGTGGGATTGAGGGGAGGATTGAGAAGAATAGAAGGTCGAGATAGTAGAATCCGGAAGTACTGCGGGGGAGTCTGATGTTGACGCGAGCCAATTGTATAAGGAAAATTGCAATCACAATTGGTAGTACCAAGTTAAGAAGGAAGTTAAGAGGTATAAGATAGAAGGTAGAAGTAGAAAGTAAGTAGAAAGTCGAACTGGAAAAAGAAAAACGGTCCTCGCGCGTCGATCGCGTTTAGTCGATAACTTACTAGCCTTGTATAGAGCACGGACTGGGGGCTCCACACGGGCGTGTTGAGCACGCGTTTGCATTTCGATTTGGACATTGCAATTGTTTTGATACTGTTAGTACTATTACATAGTTTGGTTTAGAATGTTTCATAATGGTTTACTGCTATATGCTTGTTATTCTATAGACGCGTACTCCGTATAAAATTGACTTTTCTTAGGATGTTCCCTTATAAGACTTATTAATATCGAACATTTGATCTCTTTTGGGGTCTCTATTAAATGCCCTAGCGTTACAATTTGCTTTTCTGAGACTCTTTAATAAAGATTCATAATACTGTCACACACACCGAGTGCTAAACCCCGGCCTGGGGCGCGTCTAGTGCTTTTCGTGTCCAGGATCCACAAGGGCTAGAGAACCCCACGAGCGCGGTCTATGTATGATTAAATTCCAGGAGAAAAACACAAATGTTATCTACAATGGCTTTCACTTAAGAATAAGAGTCTGATGGTATCAAAATAGATAAGCATGTATGTAGTAGTACCGTTAGTTAGAGGGAGGGGAAATAGCCCATGGTAGACCTGAGGTATATTGTGAGGAACAATGCATTTGTGTCCAAAGACAGAGTATGGAATCCATGCATCCAGGTGCATGACTAGCTTATTTCCCCCCCCCCTCTTTTGCATATCCTACAAACATTCAGTTAAGGTGATGCCCTAGGTAATATTGAGTTAGTGGACTATAACTATAAGACCTATCACTGACTGACTTAATATTGTACCCAACAGGTAAACTATCCTTATAGTGTGACCGAGCTTGGAAAATCGAGATAGACAACATTAACAGGTGCCTAAAGTATTGGCAATAACTTAAACTTGCCTTTCCCATCAAGCTAATTCTCCTATTTCTATGTTTCGTGGATATGTAGACAGACTATGATGGGGTAACTAGATGTTGACCTGGTTTCTCAGGCCTTTATTATAGTAACTAACTAAGTTATAGAGCAGATAATAGCGCTTTTCGTACAACCTACCATCGTTGCTCCTGTTGACTGATCTCTGGTCATGTTTTACTTACAATTCAATGAAAGTATACCATATATAATCAGCGGAATAGCCATAGGAGCCCTAGAGGTATGTTTCTCTGTGATTAGATAGTGCTCTCTCCGCATGACATCATCAGGGGATGTGTAAGGAGAACCTCCAGGGCTGACTTATATTGTGCTGTAAAGGAGGATTAGGATAAAAAAGAAAAGATGTGATGACTAGAGTAACTCGAAACTCATCTCAATCTCAACGTCAAAAGCTAAGAGATGACTTCCAACGTTGATCTTTGATCCTTCCCCGCATTTATATTTCAATATTCTCTCTCTTCCTCCCTTGATCCTCTCTTCTTTCTCCAGCTTTGCTACAACTCTTTTAGCTGCACATTCGTTACACAATCTCAGCTATTATTGTTATTCCAAATTTTATCGCGGACCGAACTCTGTATCACCTTCGTTACGAGTGACTGACCATGCAGCTGTCACTCGTGGCCCTGGCCGCTGTCTTCCAGGCAGCGGTTAGCACCGCCTCTTCGCTCACTCCACCCGTTATCCCCTTGATCGTACGAAATCCATATCTGAGCACCTGGCTTGCAAATGCTCGGGATGCACCTTGGTCAAAATGGCCCATGTTCTACACTGGAGAGGAGGTGGGACTTTCTTTGATGGCTCACCTTCCAAGTCAGAATACCGTCTACCCTCTTGTTGGCAAGCCCCACGAGTCTTTGGGTGTTAAATCAGAGTATGGATTTGAAAAACACTTATTTGTGAGGAATTTTATAACTAACAAATTACAGCTATAAGATCATGTTCCCCAACTACCTTGGCCTGAACTACGATGCCTCAACGACCAACCTGACCTACCACATTGATACTGGTACCGGAAACCCTCTCGACATTACAATTTCTTTCCTTTCACCCATTACGCCAACTTCAACTCTGCGCCAGTCAATCCCGGCCTCCTATGTTTCAATCGATGTCCAAGGCGATGTCGACGTCAGCATCTATATGGATGTTGACGGCCGCTGGGTCAGCGGAGATACTGGTAGCAAGATCAAGTGGGAATGGGATAGCTTGAAGACCGAGCACGAGAAGCTTACACTTAATCGATGGCAAGTACAGAGGGAGAACGAGCTTCTTTTCACAGAGACTCGCGACCGTGCGGAATGGGGCAGTCTTCATTTCACTGGACCATCTGTAAGTCTTATCTCGTCAAAATAAACTGATCTATAGTTAATCATAACCCAGGACGCTAAATTCCAGTCTGGATATGCGACTGATGTACGCCGAGGTTTCGCAAGCTCGGGAACTCTACAAAACACCAACGATGATAAATTCCGCGCTATTCAGGATCGAGCGCCGGTTTTTGCGTTCTCCAAATCTTTCCACCTCGGCCATTCATCCAAGATTTACGACGACAGCGTCACCTTTACTCTTGCTTTTATCCAAGTCCCCGTTGTTCAGTATGCATCATCTCGTGGGCTCACCCTGATGCGACCCTTATGGGAATCTTGGTACCCAACAACAGAAGAGCTCCTGGGTTTCCACTACAGGGACTACGCTGCAGCTAGTTCTCTAGCATCTAATTACTCACAGCAGGTGGCAGATGACGCGTACTTGTCGGGAGCCGATGACTATGTTGACATCGTTGCCCTTACTGCGAGGCAAGTCATGGGCGCCACTACCTTTTCAGGAACCCCGGATGACCCGATTCTGTTCCTAAAGGAGATCTCTTCAAATGGCAACTTCCAAACTATCGATGTCATCTTCCCCGCGTTCCCCTTCTTCATGTACACGAACCCCCGGTGGTTGGCGTACCTTTTGGAGCCGCTGATCGAGCACATGCTGAGCGGGCAATACCCCAATAAGTATGCGATGCACGATTTGGGTACACACTTCCCCAATGCGACCGGACATCCTGATGGGAAAGACGAGTACATGCCGGTCGAAGAGTGTGGTAACATCCTCATCATGGGCTTGGCTATCGTGAACTCGCTTCGCTATGAAGACTCTACCGCGGCCTCATCCATTTGGTCAACACAGGGGTCGCCCTCATTAAGCCCTGAAAGCGAGACTTCTGGACTGTTCCCTCTTGACAATTTACAGGTACTGTCCGGAATTGCTCACCAAGATAGCAAATGGGGTGGTGGTAGCAAGGGCCAGCACCAGGCTGAGAAATGGGTGAAGCGGAGCTATAGTCTATGGAAACAGTGGACCGGATATCTGGTGGAGTTCTCTCTTGAGCCTGCTAACCAACGTAAGAACAATTTATCTATCTTTTCTAGTGGCCTATTAATCCAAGCTAATCTCGAGAACAGTCTCTACCGATGACTTTGCAGGCTGGCTGGCTCTCCAGACCAACCTGGCTCTCAAGGGAATTGTGGGCATCAACGCGATGAGCAAGATCGCCGAGGTAGCCGGTCAGGATGCCGACGCTGCTTATTTCAAGGTATGAACCGTCTTTTGTCTGTGTGTTCTGACAGATTGACTAACTACTCTCGCAGAAAGTCGCCAGCGACTACATCACCAAATGGGAGAAGTTTGGCATGTCCCGAGATGGCACACATGCGAAGCTTGCCTACGACTGGTATGGCTCTTGGACAACGATCTACAACCTCTACGCCGATGCCCAGCTCTGCTTCCACCTAGAGGATACCGATACCGATTCGCCTGGGTTTGTTCCGCGCCACATCTACCAGAAACAGTCTGTGTGGTATCACTATGTGCGTCAGAAGTACGGCCTGCCCCTCGACAGCCGCCACATGTACACCAAGACAGACTGGGAGTTCTTCTCAATGGCTGTCGCCTCCAAGCCTGTGCGTACAGAGATCCTCCAGTCTGTCGCACGCTGGGTCAATGAGACGACCACTGATCGTCCATTGACCGACTTGCACAACACGGAGGGTGACGGGGGCTTCCCTGGTCCGAACTTCTTCGCTCGGCCTGTCGTTGGTGGCCATTTTGCTTTCCTAGCGTTGAAGCGTGCCTGTGGTGGAAAGGCCATGCCTGGCCTGTCTTTCCTCGACGATGTCGACGAGGAGGCCTTGGCGGTTTGGGCCCAGAGTGCCGAGTCTGCCGCGAAAGAATTCACCATGCCTGGGCGGAACCGCCATGGCGAGGGAGAGCTGTAGAATCTTACATTCCATCACAGCGACGGGTCATAGATGGAGAGGCTGTTGACACATTGGATCTGTTGGTCGTCTCTCATTTTCCTTGGCATCCATAACCCCCGGCCAGAATCTTGCAACTTTGGCTATCATTAGTACATACTTAGATAGGGTTAAGTCCATACCACCTTGGGTAAATCCAAGGATACATACAAGCCCGATTTTGGTCTATTTCTGTGCAAGTCCGTCTCGTATACATCGAAAAGCGTACATCTGCCCGTCGAAGTACAACCCCACTGGTAGATCTATGAGATACTAATTCTCTAGAGTATAAGAAGCAGACATGTCCCGTAATTCAATTGAAGATTCTTTGCGTTCCTATTTTTTTGTTGACTTCTTCTGGATCGATTCAAATTACATGGGCCCGTCGAATTCAGTCATCCAATTCGCGTTTGCTCACCGAAGGCAAATGTAAACACACACACAACACACATATAAGACCAACCCGGAATATGTCTTTTCCCAAGAGAAAAGAAAAAACTTAAATCTGGGCAGTTTTTGCATCCAGCAGAGCACGGATAATCCTTCACATCCCCCAAACTCCCCTCAAGCCCAATCCCCATAAAGAGAAAATAAAAACCATCACAGATGAAGCGACACAATAAATACCACCTCCGGGTGAACTTGCACACCTAGCTGATGGAGAAAAGGGATGGAAGAGTCGGGAAGATAAAGGATATCCGTATCTGGGAGCACGAGTTCCCGACAAGGTCAGGCAATTTAGTTGCCGCCGAGGCTGGGGAAGTTCTTCTCGTCGACGGTAGGGCCGGCAGGGCCACGGGCGTTGCCACGGGGAGCACCACCGCGGGCAGCGGGGGCAGCACCACCACGGGCAGGGCGGTCACCACGGGGGGCACGGTCGCCGCCACGGGGGCCACCACGGCCACGCTCGCTGCGCTCACCACCACGGGCAGGACGGTCACCACGGGGGGCGCGGTCGCCGCGGTCGCCACGGTCGCCACGGCCGCGGGGAGCGGGGCCGCTGCGGGGAGGCTCGACGTAGCGGAGGTCAACGTCAAGGAAGTTCTTCTCCTTGCGCTGCTTCTCGCGCTTGGCCTTCTCGTGGGAGGGCTGGATGTAGGAGGCTTCCTCCTGCTTGGCGAGCTCCTTGGCGGCAGCCCACTTCTTGTCGAGCTTGCTGCCCTCGTTGGCGGTGCGCTCGGGCTTGGCGGCGAGGGTCTCGCGCTGGGCCTTCTCGGCAAGGTAGTCGGCGAAGGACTTGGAGTTGTCGGGCTCCTCCTGCTCCTCGGCCTCGACGGGAGTCTGGGGCTCGTTCTCCTCCTTCTTGGCGATCTTCTCGCCCTGGCGCTCATCGTCCAGGGTCTTCTCGCCGCTCTCGGCACCCCAGCCCTGCTGGACCTGCTTGCGGGTGTCGCTGTATTATCGAAAGTCAGGTTAGTTTCGTCACTCGAATTGTTATTTCCCCATGAAATCTCATGCTTCTCATGATTTTTTCTTCGGGTTTATTCGTTTCGAGGGATCGCTTACGTCTGGCCAGTGCGGGACTGGCGGTCACCGCGGCCGCCACGGCCACCACGGCGGGCGGGCTGAGCAGCCTCGTCAGTGGGCTTCTCACGGTTGTTGTTACGGCCAGCGTTGCGGTCACGGTAAGCTGTCCAATCATTAGTCCGATTATTCCGTCAAAAACCGGTTCTTATAACCACGTACCGGCCTCGTTGCCAGCGTTCACACGGCCACCACGGCGAGCGTTGGCCTCGGTGTGACGAACAGGCTGCTCCTTGGGGGCATCACGCTTTCCGGAGCGGTCAACGGGGCGGTCGATAGCCTTGGTGGGGGGAGGAGCGGGTCTGCTGGGGTCGAGCTCTGGGTCGTTACCTGATGATAGGTAACGTTAGCGATCAATCGACCGAAGAACGGATGCGAATAGAGCTTGATTCTTCTCAAAAGAAAGGCTCATTGTCGTCGGAAAAGATAGCCGAGAATTGGATTCAAGGGAGGGGAAATTTACCCAGAAGCTCGTAGAGGTTCTATATGAAACCAAACAATTCGAATTAGTTATTGAACATTTAAAAAAATCCCTCAATTCCCGAAATCGCTTCCAGATCGCGATTTCATTCAGCATTGCGTCGCTGGTAGCGCGCGGGAGAGCTCCAATTCAGCGTACCTTCGACCGGACGGACTCCGCCATGACGCCTGTTGTGTTTCGGAGACCTTCCGGGGGAGGCGCTCAACTTTAGACAATCGGTCTAGAGGAGTTAACGGTGCACAAGGCAGAACCCAAGGGAATCCGGCCTGTCAAGATTGATGATGATGAATGATCAGGGTGAAGAGAGGTCCACGGTTTGTGGTTGCAAGGTGTAAGGTGACTAATCAGGAAAGGCGGCTTCTGCTCCTAAGCGAAGATGCCCGCGTCCGCTGATTGGCTGCCCGCAGTCTAGGGCTTAGGGTACCTTACGTAATCATTACGTCAAGGACTGCTCTAGGGAGTATAGTTTTCTCATACTTGCTGGGTTTATTCGCTGTTGGACGTATTATATCCACCCTTTTGTGTATATGATCCTTATATGCATGTTTCTATACGGTGATCTATGTATTAGCTTAAACAGAACTGACATGTCCCGGTGGAGTATGTCGATCTGACTGTGGACTACAGCTGCGTACTCTATTGCGGCCTTGCAGAAGCTATGTAATCATGGAGCTATCCATAGCACAAATATGATGGATAAGTTTGGATTTGGGACTTGTGAGTGGAGATTGTTGCATCATCTGGCTAGCAATCGCATTGGTCATTATCTCTCACTTGGGTATGCATTCCGGCCTCGATATATGCCCAACCCTTCCCTCATCCCAAATGTATATGATGTTTGCGAAAGACCACCGCTCAAGAACACAAAAAGTATGAACTAACCCCTCACTTCTGGGCATAAACTCCGGCCTTGATATCATCCAAAAGCTTCCGGCCAAGTGGCTTCCAGCGAAGGAGTTCCTGGGTCTTCTTACTTGAAGTCGGGTTATCTATGCTCATAACAAAAGAGATGAAGCTGTCAAGGCTTCCCGCTTCGTCAAGAGTCTTGGAGACAGCAGGGAGACCCAGATTATGACCAATGGCTTCAGCAATATCTTTCATGGCGATACCCTCCTCACCCACAGCATGGTACTTGCTTCCAGCAACACCATTCTCTAGGGCAAGTCGGTAGAGCCGAGCAGCATCATGACGATGAACAGCAGGCCAGCGGTTTAGTCCCGCATCGATGTAGATGGCATTACCCTGCGAATGGGCCAGAGCAGCGAGCCTATTGATGAACGCGTGGTCCTCATCGCCGTGTACAGTAGGCGGCAGACGGATGACACAAGCACGCACGTTTTGCCGAGCAAGCTCGGAAACGACCTTCTCATTCTGAGCGCGGATGTTCATTGGTTGTTCGTAATCAATGACTTCGTCTTCGGTGCTGACTTTACCCTTGGTGAGCCCCAAGGTGCCAGTGGTGGTGACCAGAGGCTTGTTGGTTCCTACCAGGACTGAGCCTATAGCTTCGATGGTCTCTTTCTCGTCAAGGCAGTTCTGTGCATACTTGCTGAAGTCGTGGTCGAATGCAAGATTGATCACGCCGTCAGCCTCGCTGGCTCCTTGCTTGACGATCTCAAGGTCTCGAAAGGAACCGCGGAGTACTCTGATGCCTTTCGCTGTCAGGGCAGCGGCGGCTTCGTCGGAGCGGGCGAGACCTGTGACCGTGTGGCCGGCGGTTATGAGCTCGTCGACAACTGCTCTGCCGATGAAGCCGGTGGCTCCAGTCACGAAGACGTGCATGGTGAGAATGGTTGTAGTGAGGAAGGTTGACGAAGTCTGAAGTGTAGAAGGTGAAAGTCGGGGGAATCAGGGCTTCTCGAGTACAAATGTATAAAATTTGCTTGAAGCATGCAATTGAATATGACGAAAATTACACAGAAATTGAGGTCGCGACCCTTTATAGATCGAGCTCATCCGAGGAACTAAATAACCATGTACAACCCGGACATAACCCTTTGCTTAACTCCATATTACCCTCACAACCCATGCAAGCTATTCCTCTGGCTCGCCTATAAGTAGAAAAATTATTGAATAATGTCCGAAGTGAAATACGGGGTTATCTCGACAGCGACTCTAAGCCAGTAAGATCACTACGTCCGGGGTTCGGAGTTAAGCACATCAACAACGTAGACAAACCTGCCACGAATTGTCCCGTCCTTTCACATCATATTTTTTGCAGCCTACTATGTAGTATATGATACAAACGTGATGGTGCTAAACCAACCGGCCTAGGGCAAACACTCCTCCTGCAAGCGGAGGGCACATTACAAATCAAGAGGTGGCTGTCGTACCTAGGTAACTCGTAGCTGTAAGATCCGTCGCATGAAAGTAAGATCCATGTTCGTTTTATGGGAACCCTTAGTGAAAATCACCCAAGTGCGATGAGATCCAGCCCCATTGCCAGAAATGCGTGCAGGACAGCGCTACCTACAGTTATACCCAAGGTCAAGAACTACAAATAGTATTGGGAACCTCAGGCAAAACAAGGGATCACATAATCTTCAACGCAAAATCGATATAGAAGGCTATTTCACCACCTCGACTAGTCAAGGCCGTAGCTCCTTCCATCTCGATCTAGAAAGGTTTCAAACCTGGAAACTACATAACTATGTACTAACCAGTACATCCACAACCACCATCATCGTAGCATCAACGGAAGCATCAAGCGCACAAGAATCATGGTCTCTCATATGCAATAGCGAATACGGCACTACTAATCCTAATCCTAATCTTAATCCGAATCTCGATCTACAATATATCGATTTCTCAAACGGCAAAAATCAATCTGGAACACAACCAATTCCCTCCGCCCAGATAATATCTTCCACGTCCTGGCAGATGAGTATAGAACCTTCACTACGCCGCGGGTGTATAATGTGGAGATGGCGGGTGAGTTTAGAGTGCTAGTGTGGTTTGTTATGTAGAGATTGGTGTGGGCTAGGGAATATGAGTAAATGAATATAGTATCATTGATTCTAGGGTGGAATTGCGGGTTTAGTAGATGGAAGATATGCAAATGCAGGTTAACTTGCTAATGGCCGTGATGAGAAGATTCGATTCATATACAAAATGTGATATAATATACCTCTGAAGAAAACCAGAAGAGAACATTGGTATCAAAACCCTCGCAACGCCGGGGAATGCTCATATCAAACTTTTAGGAAGAGATGATCATTTGCCACATAAGATGGACAGATATATGAATATAAAACAAGAGAATAAGAAAAAGAAAAGAGGCAATAGACAAATTTTTAGAAAGCCGTTCATTGCCTCGAGTTGTTGTGGTCATAGTTGAACGGTGTGGGGAAGTGCATGCTAGCGCTTAACCCGAACGGATCTGTGTCCAGCATCGGCTCGTACTGGCCGAGCAGCTGGTTTGCATTGCCGAAATCGCTGGGCGTGCCCTCGCCTGGCGGTTGGCTGAAACCGGACATGTTGTGGGAGCCCGAGGTAACGGACTGCGGGGTGAATCCAGGGACATATGATGTTGAGCCGTCGTGGTCGTCGTCGACCATATCGGCCTGGGCATCGTACTCTTGTTCTGCTTGAGAGGTCAGCTGGGGAAGTACTAAATAAAGAGTTAAAGACAAGCTTACCGAGTTGATCGTAGTGTTTCTGGAATGGAGAGGGATAGTAAGCAGCCGCTGCGACCCGCGCACCGCGAGGACCCATAGCTCCCGCACCACGGGACTGGGGTTTCGAGTCTGACGGTTCGGTGTGCGGCATGCTGATTGCCGGTGGCGAAGTCTGACTGAAAGTCCGGGGTTGGGGAAGGAGCTGGGGCCGTCCGCCCTCGACAGGTGACATGGCGCCTTGGAAGCCGAAGCCGGGGGACTTGACGTGCGAGGGCGATGAAACGTGGGAGATCGGGGTTGCTTGGAACTGCGGCGACGGGATCCCGTATGCGCCTTCCCGCTGCGACATGCCGAACGTCTCGGGCTTCGAGGCGATGCCTGCGGGGTGTCGCTGGTTCGGGCGGGCCCCTGCCGCACCGGGCGCTGCCTTTGGGGGCATAGGGTTTGCCTTGGGAGGAGCGCCCGGCGCCCCTGTTTTCAAGCGTAGTTCAGCCTGTACATCGATGCCTATAGGTGGGGGGTTGGAGGTTAGTTGAGGTTTGGACCAAAGGTTCGGGTAGGGACCGTACCTTTTTCGAGGAGGATCCGCTCCAGCAGGGAGTTCTTATACCGCAGCATCAGACATTCATCGGCGGCGCTGCGATGGCTCTGCTGCAAACTCTGCAGAGATTCCTCATTGCGCTTGATGGTGGTCTCTAGCTGACGGATATATTCCGTCCTGCGTTCTCGGAAGGCCGCCTGGGCCTGCCTGTTGCGCTGCTTTCGCTCTTCCGAGGTGGCATAGATCTGAACCAGTTAGTATACAATGCAACCTTGGAAAGATAACGATATAGGGCAGTGACACAGGGGAATGCGGGGCCCCAGATTTGAGAAAGATGTTACGTACAGGTTTCCTGCCTCCCTTCCTCTTTTGAGTCTGCCCGGGATCCTGGGTTAAGGGTTCGGCTTCTGGATCTGGCGTTGACACGGTCGAACTGATGGAGCCATCAGGACCAGGTTCATGTTTAGGCACGATTGAGTCCATGACCATATCACTATGGTCAACCATCGAGACCATTATATAATCTAATTCAAGCCTGTAGGCGGCCCTCCGCACACGGAACAGACACAGCCAGTTTTCCCCGCGTTGCCGGACCTGCTGGCCGGCAAAAAAGAGAGAAAAAAAAAAGAAAAAAGGAAAAAAGGATAAAAAGGATAAAAGGAGAAAGACACACACGCGCGGCTAAGTTGGAAGGGACGTGCGAGATAGAGGGAGTTCAAGTTGTGACATAAAGAAAACTGAATTATGAGAAAGAAAGAGTCAGAGGAATTGAGATAAAAGAGAAAAAAAAATATCCTGTGTAAAGCAATTGACTAAAAAAAAAAAAAAAAGTCTGTCCGGTCAGGAGGGGCTTCTCTCGCGTACCTGCCCAGGTTGAACTCTTTGACTTTTCTTTTTCTTTTCTTTTTTTTCTTTTTCTAACTTCTTTTGGTTGAAAATAATATCTTTTCTTGGGTTACCACGTTTACGGAGAGTTGAATGGCCTTATCCTTTTCCAGATTTTGACCCACAAAGGTCTTGTGGGGATTTCTGCCTTCCATGTAATTACATTATAGTACAACATATGTAACCTTGTAATGTTCAGAAACTCGACACCTGCAACTTTCAAGGTAACTTGCAACCTGCAGCCAAACTGCAAACTGCATGCAAGCTGAAAAGTTGTCCGCGGAGAACCCTGAACGTGGACGTCATGCGCAAAGCCGTATAGCCGATACCGGAACACATAACAGATCATCCCATTTTCGATCATATTGCCCTACATGTATTGACCATTATGGCGCCCTCCACCCTATCCAGATGCCACATGACCTGATGGCCCTGACCCATTGGGGCACCCGGAAGCGAATCACGCGCCACTCTCTCGACTCGGTTCCCCTCGGAGATCCAATGAGGGATCGTCATAGGACACCCCTTCCCCGGTCTTGAAAGGAATGCATCGCGGATTGTTCTCGCATGGAACGGCCTGGTTGAGATTATGCGGGGGGAGGGGAGGTATGTGCCAAGGATCCGATTATCACTGCAATCTGGTCTGGACTTATGATTTCATGGGTGTTGGAGGATGTGCGGAGAAGGTTGTTTACCGGTGTGCGATTTAGTGCTAGATCTTAGATTATATATGCTTGCACTTGCCGGATCTCATCATGCCATGATGGTACTTTGTACCTGGACAGGGTATGTTGTACATCAGTCAACTCGATCTCGATCAAAGACCGTGCCCTTGGCGAATTGTATACAACATGGAATGTTGACTTTTATTTTGGATATAAATCGATATCTTCATTTCTATTCCTTATAAATCATGTCGAATACAATATCATTCTAGCACATACTAGTTATAGTCCCTACACCTAGTACCTAGGCAAAATGTGAACCCTCGGCGATCGGCATTTCCCCCGCCAAACACCCGTCACATGTCAACCTCATCTCCAGACTTTCTTTTTACCTCCAAAAAAATTAAGCTTCACTCCGACCGGCCCGTATTTTCAATTGAGAATCAGACTTGCTTATTCTTCTTGCGCAATATGGCTACCCCCTTGCCTACCGAGGACCGCCCCGAAGAGGCTCCCACCGTGACCGTAACCACACAAGAATCTCAGCCCGCGCCAAACAATGCCGCACCGGCACCAGAACCAGAGCCAGAACCAGCACCAGCACAAGCACAATCGCAGAAAGTAGCCGCAAATGACGACGATGAAGACTCAGACTTCGATGAGCTAGATGGTAACACATACCCGCCTCTTTTCCTTACCCCCTCCCCCTCCCTCTCACACCCCTCCACGCCGAATGATTCACAAACACTCACAACACCTACAGACGTCCTCGACGACTTCAACAAACCCAAACCCGCCCCTCCCGCAAACCCACCCGCACCCTCCGCCACCAACCCCGAACCCTCAACAGGAGTCGCACCCCCAGACTTCGACGAAGATGCCTTCCTCAAGCAACTCGAGCAAGACATGGCGAACATGATGGGACCAGGCGGGGACGCCGGAAGCAGCTCAGACCCCAACTTCCAAGCAACGGTCGACCAAGGCGCCGACGTATTCGCAAAACAGCTCGAAGAGAGCGGGATCCCGCCAGGCGATTTCCTCAAACAGCTCCTCGCCGATGTGATGGCCGAGGAGGGCGGTTCCGGAGCCGGAGCTTCAGCAGAGAATCTCGCAGCAGCCGCGGCCGCGGCTGGTATTTCTGCTCCTAGTACTCAGGGCTCCTCTAGTACGCCCGCTACAAGTGCAGGCGCAGGTGCAGGCGCAGAGCAGCCCGCTGACTCGTTCAACGATGCCATCAAGCGCACAATGGGCCGCATGAAAGAAAGCGGTGATAAAGCTACCGCGGCGGTAAGTAATGAAGACGATATCTCAGAGGATATGCTGGCGCAGTTGCTTAAGGCTGTTGAGGCGGGAGCATCGGGTGCTGGTGAAGACGGGGATCTGTCGAAGATGTTCATGGGCATGATGGAGCAGCTGTCTAACAAGGAGATGCTGTATGAGCCGATGAAGGAGTTGGATGTCAAGTTCGGGCCGTGGATTGAGAAGAATAAGGACGGTGGAAAGGTTTCGGCTGAGGATATGGAGCGGTTTGAGACGCAGGCGCGGATTGTTAAGCAGATTGTGGGGAAGTTCGAGGAGAAGGGTTTCTCGGATGATGATCCCAAGTGTCGAGAGTATGTGTGGGAGAGGATGCAGGAGGTGAGTTGTTACTTCTACATTTGGATCGAGAGATCTTGTTTCGAGTTGTTTACTGACTATTTTTCCAGATGCAAGCGGCTGGAAGCCCGCCTGAGGAACTCGTTTCGAATCCCCTCATGGAGGACCTGGGAGGTGCGGCGGCTGCAGCTGGCGGAGTGCCTGATTGCCCGCAGCAGTGATATAATCTTGAAAATGTATGATTGAAGCTTGAAAGGAAGATATCGCCTTGATGCCCGAGGCTTGCTTGTTTCCCTTGTCACTCATACATCGTCCGTTTCTGCATTGTACATATGCGCAACCCACGTCGATATACCCTTATTTACTTTATGTATATACCCGGATTCCCATCTCGCCCAACCCAAATGGAAACAAAAACGCCACCCAATGCAATGCCTCGCAAAAGAAAATCAACACTCAACCCCGTAGCCCTAGCCCGCTCACGACATATCCATATCCTGAGACTGCGACTGAGACTGATTCCCCCGAGGCTCTGACAATCCCATAAAGATGTCATCATACTCATCATCACTAAACAGAACACCGGGTCCATTAGACCGTAAATCCCCAACCCTCCCAGGAAGCCCACTCTGCGTCTCCCTAAGAGCCATCTCCATAGCCTCTTCTTGAGATATAAACTCATCAAGCGCATCGGCATCATCTACCAAAACCCCAAAGTCAGCAAATCCCCTTCGCACAGTCCACGTCCATCCAGTCTTTCAATCAAACATACCAGGAAGCATATCATCTTCATCCACCTCCCCCTCAAAACCCCCAACAACCCCCTCCCCATCCCGTGCCATACTCTCCTCCCATCGTCTCCGATCAGCTAGATGCTCCATACGCATCATTTGCTCACCACGCGCCTCAAAGCGTCCATCGTCACGCTCATTACGCACGCGATTCATAAACATCTTGCGCGTTTTCGAGCGCGCTAGACCCGCCGCGCCCTGGAGCGGATTCGCGATCGTGGATGCGTAGCGCGCTTCGTACTTTGGTTTTGCGCGGGTGGGCGAGGCGGGCGAGGCGGGTGTTTGAGTGTGCACGAGGAATGGGTTTGATGAGGTAGGTGTTGTTGAAGCGGAAGCGGACGCGTGGAAATGCATTGGGATGGGGGAATGGTGGCTCTGAGTGTGTCGGGCGATTGGCTCGGTTTGAATGTTGAAGGTTGGTGGGGGTTTGCTGAATGGATTTGGTGCTGTGCTTTGCGACGCGGTTTCATTGCTACGCGTCGGGGACATGGTCCATATAGGTAGAGGGGTTTTGTGTTCGCTGAGAGGGGAGGGGCGGGTTGGGGTGTAGAGGGTTTGGCGGAAGGGGGTTTGTGGGGATTGTGTTGCGAACATTGTGAAGGTGTAGAGGGTGGATGGTTATGGAGTTGGTGATGGAGTTGGGTCTGGCGTATCCGTGGTTCGGATGCGGAAGTCGGTTGCGTCAGTTGGCTTGTTGGCCTCCGGGGGTTTGACTTTGGTGTTTAACTTGGTGATTTCTCCAGGGCTATTATGTATGTAGGTATATTGTATTGATTGAGAGTGAATAAGGTAAGTGATTTACTCCGTAGAGGTCTGATGGAGAGATAAAGTCCCTGTTGAGACAGTCGCGCTAATTTAGCGCGTTCTACCCCCTTACATTGTAAGTGGTATGGAGTATATCGAGATTTTATTTAAATACTAATATTCTGACAATGATCCAATTAGTAACACCACTTAATACTCTTTCCAATTTGCCTATTTCAAATAGTCCATCCAATATAATATCTACAGCAATGCAAAGATTCCAGCTAGTACCGCAATGCCAGCAGCAAACCCGCTTGCCTTGACGGCCACCGCAATATTCTCACTACCATCCTTGTCACTACTAGGATCCTCTTCAGTGACGACTTTCAAACATGTCAGCTGAGAAGAGGTTTTGTAGACGAGACTGCTGTTGCCCTTCCCAGTGAAGACGGTGAGGACCGGTGTAATCTTATAGGCCTCGTCAAGAAGGGCCTGTGCTGAGTAGTTTTTCTACAGAGTATGCATTAACATCTGCGTATGTTAGGCGTGAATATAAACCCCACTTACCAGAGCAGTGACACTCGCAATCTCCATCAGCTGATCAGACTTGGGCTGAATAGGCCAGCAGCCCGAGGAATTCTTAACCGCATCGAGATCACCGAGCGACTTGACAGTGAAATTCCCAAGCTTGCCACCTGTACCTGCGAATCCATCGCACTCATCGAGAGAAGTCTTTTTCAATTCTTGCTCAAGCGTCGTGCAGACATTTCCATCAGCCTCTTCGGCTAATTTCGTTGCCTTCTCTGTGAGTTTTTCGATGCATGACTTGTCAATGACATCGGAACAGGTACCGCTCGCAGCGCGGACATCAGTTCCATTGTGATTGCCTTCCAGTTCTGGCCCGTCGAATTTCTTGGACGGGGCATCCTGGAAAACGACAACACAGCCGGAAAAGTCCTTGGTTTCTACGCCCGAGGGTGTGCCGAGGTAATAAAACGACTTGAAAGGGCGTGTGGCCTTGTCGTTGTCCTTGCCGGCCATCGCAGCAGACACATTTACACCTTTCACGAGGGAGAAACCCTCAAGAGACGAGGGAACATCGGGGATGCGGGATAGTCCGATGCCAAGGAAGGTATTGTCTCCCACTGTGCAGCGGTCATCAGGACCTTTCTTGGGACATGAGACCTCGTTGCAGCCTACAAGGCTGGAGGAGAGCTCGCCATCCTTTGCAAGGGTGGAAGAAACGAATAGAGAGAGGGCAAGGGTGAGCGTGGATGGTTTGAGCTGGATCATTGTTTTTGATGCTGTGTAAAAGTGGCCTGGATATGATTTTGCGACGTGGGGGGAACCAGTCTGATATTAGAGAAACTTCTGTATCCCACACGAGTTAGGGGCCTTCAGTATACGCTTTCTATGTGTCAACCTATGCCCTTGCAGGTGAGCATAAGTCCACAGTTGGGTACCTCGATGACATCATTTGTGATGGTTTGCATGCTTGGCTGATTGGGGCCGTCGTACCCGTCGTTTAGAGGCGGCTTCAAAGGATAGTTCGCTTTGGCTGATTGGGGGCATTGCGGAGTACTTGTTAATGGCTTGCTTGTCTGATTGGGGGCGTTCCTTGTTGGAGTCTCCAATCTATAATCCATGTGCTTAGCTGACTGGGGGCGTTTCTTCTTAGAGGCTCCAACTTATAGGTTTGCTGGCTTGGCTGGTTGGGGGCGATGATTTTAAGAGGCCATCTCATATTGCGGTTGCAGCGGATTTCTTGGCAGCGGGTGCCGATATCTTGGCGGTTGCTCTTCAGGCTCTCAACAACCTTCCAAGATTAGAAACCTTTGAAACGCCCCATGACAGGGATGCGGGGGAGAGAAAGTACGATGCACTCCCTTCATAGATTCATGCTATATACAGAGTGTATTTGGCTGACCCAGGTATGCCTTCAAATTACGTACCTGTACATAGCCGACTCTCACACTAAATGGGAAGTTCCCACTGGTTTTGCTTCATGGCGGAAGCCCTTCTTTAGTCGATAGGGCCAGTGAACTAAATGTCCATTGCCTATAGTTGGTAATGATCTTCATGCAACTGTTGTATTCGCCTTGTAGGGTGTTGGGATCGGCCAAATTCTGCTCCAACAATCTAACCTTGTTCGTTGACCTTGATATTTCTTACTACCTTGTTGATTAGACCAAATTGTACCATCAACAAGTACATAAATTCCCCTGTAGTTCTGTTTTAGAGAAGCTCCATGTTTACAAAACAAACAAAGCCAGCATTATTGGGATGTATGGAAGGGGATTCTCACCGTCAAAGCTTGCCCTCGCGTGGAAGATGATGCCGTGAGCATCTTGCATCCCGGAACAAAGCCGATATTTGGATCCGCGGTGGGGGCTGTAGTATCACTGCCATGTGCATTGACTGCAAAAGTTCAAAATGTTACATCGCCTAGAACCCCGAAGGATCTGGGGCTATCAAATTGTTGGTGATAGAAAGCACAATGCTGCATTAGCCCAGGGGTTGAAGTGCCAAATGGGGCCAAACAAGACTATTTTAGATGAAGTCATGTCGATCGGCAATTGAATAGATGAAGATAGCCTTGTAGTGCTTACGGCTAAGTATAGTGAGCCTCTGACAAAGAGGAAAGAGCAAAAGCCTGATCATTACTATGTAGCTGTCTATATAAAGCCAGTCAATCTCACAAGATATGACTCGGTTTCATCTCCAGACCAGCCCTTGAACGCAAACTGGCTGCTTCAATCCGCAAAGATGTCTGTCGTCGATGCCATTGGCGTCATCTCTGGTATCCTGACCATTGTCTCATTTGGAATGGATAATTTCGGCGAGGGTGAGACCTCTGGTTCGACCATCAAGGTTGCCGTTGCTCTTGATGGCCCGAACGGGCCAACAAATGCTGGTGGTGACCTCCCCGATGTGTAAGTCAAGCAATAATACCGACTCCTGAAGCATCGGTGACAGAAGAGCGCAAGGCTAACAAACAGAATCAGACGAGTGTGGAATGAGGTCGGCGGCTTTGTTGGTATGAAAGCCGACCCCGGTTCCGTGGATAACGGAAACCTGGGCGAAGTCAAAATCAACCACGAGAACCAGGGTGTATACTCCTTGTTCTCAGCCAATGACGATGCCATCTGTGTGGCTTGGGTGACCACCACGTGGAGCGACGACCGCGGCGGAAACAAGTATGCCGTGTCGGGCGACTACGGCGAGGCATGTGGTGGTTCGTGGTTTGAGAGTCACATGTATCCCAACAGCAACGAAGATTACCAGCCCAAGTGCTTCTGGATTGACAAAAACGGTGATCAGCCCAAGACCGGATTTCAGGTCCGCTGGCCTGCCTTCTCAAAGGACGAGCAAGACGAGCATGACACAAACCCCCAAAGAATGTGCAACGATATCAACTTTGGATTGCGCGAGGAGGATGACCCCAGTACCATCAATTACTACATAAAGAAGAAGCGCAGCAGCCCTATGCGGGCTCGTCAGGCCTCGACTCGGCCTGCATGGGCTGAATCTGAGCTGGTCATCAGTGACTCCAAGTCTCACTCAGCTAAGAGACTGTGTGAGTCCGATACATCCATGGGACCTGATTTCGCTCATACTGGAGAGGCTGCCTTCTGTGACATGGGTTCCAAGGTCCTCTACGCATTCTGCACCGAGGATGGCCAGACGGACTGCTTTGACTTTGATTCCCAAACTGTTTCCGCCAGTACAATCACACGTGATGCTACTGAGGATGTGGGTGGCTACTCAAGTGTTCGTGATTGGCGCTCGGCCAGCAAAGCATAGGCTTATGCTGTACTTGTTGTGGTGCCAATTGTGACTGCATATCTATGTGACGGGATCCGCCTCCGGTCGATAATTTGTTTCTATATATCCCATCTTCTGTCTTTCTTCACTCCTATCCACTTTTTCCATGCTGGTAACACCTGCTGGTTTTTCTCTAATTATATCTAGTCTATATAGACTGTTGGGCCTCCAAACCAGTATTATTGTATCGTGCAAGTTCTTTGTCAAACCAAAGAACCTTCATCCATCTTGAAAATCTGACTCTTGTCAAATAAGTATTAGTTTGGACAAGGATTTGATCTACTAAATCTACTCAGCCGTACAACTCTTAGTTAGAGGTGCAAGGTCGACCGCCAGGTTGATAATGCCTGCCCTTCGTTGAGGAGCAATAGTAAAGAGTGCTGGGTGAACGAGTGTTGAGGTGAAAACTGCTCACATGTGATCCATCTTTGAGGGCTGGAATACATCACGTGAATCAATCGCGTGGATACGGATCGACCTTAGATCGCATGTCGATCTTAATCTATATCGATGTACCAAAGTTTGCTAGCATATACTCTGTAGTAGTGGATGGTTTCACTGATCGGATTCATTTGCCTCGAATTACATACATACAGATCAAAACAGATCAAGATAGAAGGACCTTTGCAGCACGCGTCTATCAACACAGTGCAATCTGTGACGTCTGATGCTGCAAAAGGTAAAGAATTGAATATTGGTCAAGGCACAATGGAGTTCGTCACAGGAAAACACTAAGCGCTTAGATACGGGGAATCAAAAATAGATACCAGGCATAACAGAAAAGTACATGTAGTGCCGTATTTTGGTCAGTCGTGCAGGGATCGAGAGTCGTGATCACGAAAAAAAGGAATGTGGTGGTTGCCGGAAAAAAAACGCTCAAATGAATGCGCAGATATTCAATCTATAATGAACGGAGAGGTTGGTTGTGAAAACGCCCGAAAAGAAAAAAGCAATTTTGCAACCGAATAGAAACGCAACCGTGAACTCGCAAACCCTGTCCATAGCGCCTGAGAAAAGCATGAAGATCGTACAAGATTTACACTTCGACGTGTGTCGAGTCAACACAGTACGCTTAGAAGTTGGATGCCGCGTTGACAGGACCAGGGTTGTGATACTGGTCTAGTGTGTTCTTGAAGGGGGTGTTGCCGGCCGGGCTGGGGGCCTTCTCGCGGGGTCCGGAGCCCACAGCGGTGCCGCCCATCAGATCGTCCTCATCGCCGTATTGCTCATTGCGCTTCTTGTGAATTCTCCAGAAGACCAAGCCCAGGGCACCGATAAGGATAGCACCGCCGACACCCACCACGACACCGATGATGATCTTCTTGTCCGAAGAGGACACACCGCTAGAGCCGGAGCCCTTATCGCCGTTAAGAGAGGGGGAGCTAGCTTCGGCAACTGGGGTGGAGGTGGTGGTCATCACGTTGGCGATGGTGGATCCATCGCTGGTCGCATAGGAGGTGATGGTCTTGATGACCGGGGTCTGGGTAGTGGTGCTCTTGGACGAAGTGGTGCTATCACTATTGGCATTTGGCGTGGAGGTGGGTTCAGTGTTGGAAGTGGTTGAAGGGACGGTGGACTCCGCAGTGGAGGAGGGCTCTGCTGAGGTGGTAGGCTCGGTGGCAGAAGAAGGCGCAGTGGTGGTGGAAGAAGTCGTGGTGGTAGTAGGCTCAGCGGTAGTACTTGGTTCCGTAGAAGTCTCCTTAGAGGTTGTGGAGGTTGATGAGGTCGTCGATGTTGTTTCAGGCACTGAGGAGGAGGACGAAGTGGTCTCACTTGTGATATCTGACACGATGTTGGAGAGACCAGCACTCTGGGCTGCGACCGCAGTCAACAGCAGAGCCTGGATGAAGAACGAGAGGTTGGAGAGACGCATGGTTGGGATAACGAACGTGAGTACGGAGTACAGAGTAACGAAAGAATTTGACCCGAAGTCAAGAACTGAATAAAGAATAAGCAGGAAAGTACCCAAAGTGAAAAAGGAGTCAAAGCGAAAAGGCGAACCTTTGGGCAGAGTGTTGTTTGGTCCCGAACTTTGGACTGCGCTAGTCCTGATTGGATCACACTAGTCTCAGACTATATCCACGCGCCCAGGAATCTTCCACTATGATTGGCTGGCGGTTCAATAGAAAACACGTTAGACTGGGTCGCCTAGATGTTTTGACCGATTTTGGTTACAATTGTTTTATTTTAGAACAGGTAGAATAGAATGGTAGATGGAAAGGGATTTTTAGAAAAGAGAATTCAGCAAGTTAATGAGTAAGTTAATAACCTATACCTATATAACCCTAGTGACCAGAGAGGGAAAAAAAACTCTGAACATGTGGGCTGAACATGTGTGACGACGTACCCCCTCGCTTCCCGCTCCATATTTAGCACATCCCATGATCTGCCTCTGATCTTCCATATTATTGGCATTGGCATAAAGCCGCCGTATGACATCTTGCATACAACATAAATGCTACCCAGTTGTCACAAGTCGCCTAATGAGTGGTTGACATCTTCCTACAAAATACCTGGTCTGCAGGGATTTTCGTGCTGTGTCATGTAGCACTAATCCCTCGGGTACCTGGCCGCCCCCCTTCCGACTCTTAGTTTCATAAAAAGCCGACACAGCCGGAGTTGACCTAAAAATTGGACTCCTTTTGACCCTAGCCCAAATTGGTCCATGTGGCGTGCCGCTGACAGCCTACGTTTCGGGGTTCCCGCCTCTTCTGGAACCGTTTAGGGTCTGCTTACCTGTTGTTCAGGTCAGAGACGTCGGGAAGACCCCGGGAATGCACATTGTAGAAGGCATTCTATAACTAGTTAGTATCTCTCCTTATCAATGTACTATGTGCGATCTAGTTAGTAACATGAAACCCAGTGTACAAAATAATTTGGCCCAAGAGCAAGCGCTTTTGTGTACGAGTCCTTCAGCCGCTTCCTTGCGGAAACTCTTAGTTGATGCCTTTCTCTTTTAGTCCTGCCCTTTGCTGTTTCTTTTCCGAGAATAACATTGCACGCCTCCCGGCAAGTGTCCTAGCCAATATGAGCGGCTAGTTATGTATTGATCCCCGTTCCGATAGGCGTCAACAGACCGGTTAATCTCAACGTTTCGCATCTCCTGCGTAGATATGAGGCGAATGTACAGAGTATAGTAAAAATTAGTTCAATGGATTATTACTATTTATGACTATTCAATGAAAGCCTTGTCTACGAGATGAATCTCTCCCTTATTCCACGGGGCAATCGGAGCGTTCTGCCTCGCCTGCATGGCCAGTTTCTTTATATCCGTCGCATCCGCCCACATTTTCTCCGCATCTAGGTAGCTCTAATGTGAATAATGGAATAGAGCATTACTTTTGCTATATATTGAGTTGTCGAAATAATGGTAAAGGTATTCGGAAATGTCGAGGTTCTTCGGATATCCCCCATTACCTCTGTGAGATTAGCAAAAGCCACCACCGATTCGCTAGTCATATCTGGGACCCATCAAACATTGTTTGTGCATGCAAATCAGTTTCTTTGGTTGGCATATCGAGAGGGGGGTTGGGGTTGATGTTTGATGTTCCTATTTTGAAATATCGACAAAGGGGGAAACACAATGGAAGCGGAGCCTCTACTTATAAAATCTCTCTTGCAGCGCTGCATAAATAGAAAGTTGAGCAGAGGCCTTATATCTGGATCTTGCTTTGTCGCCAAAACAAGTGGAAGCTTTGATTCCTCGCTGAAAGCGACAAAGGGCAAATCTCCCATAATAGCCATGTATGAGATGAAAATAGTCTGACTTTATTTGTTTCAAGACTTATGATTTATTTATTCATTTTCCCAGGAATAGAGTCTATCTTCCTTTGTTCTTCCCTTTTGCTCCTCGGGGGCTCTGAATATAAATGCATTCTTCTTCTTCCTGTCTGGCATTTCATCTTGACTTCAATAGCCTTGCATACAATATTCATAATACCCAGCTCCGTTAAGCATATCTCCAGCAAATTCAGCGTTCATCATTCATTCAGACCTTTCAGTATATTCATACACGATACGAGTCCGTCCCCTTTGACAAATATATTCCAGCACCTCAAGCCTTACAAAAGAAAACATGGCCGAGACACGCTCTTCTCCGGAAGTCATCACAGCCTCGCTTCCCGCCCTTGACGTCCGATGCGAAAGCAAATTTAAGGATTACGATTACTCGGATATTACACATGTTGTCGTCCAGTGAGTACCATTCCAAATGATGTAAATTTCAACCTAAGCTTGCAACGAGTACTAACATGAACTAGTCTATCCGATATAAAAATCAGGAACATTATTAAGTCTAACGCTAATACCTTCTATCAACACGACAACGAAGATTACTTGGAGATTATTGGAAAGATGCTCTCCGTAACGTTCTTCGGCAACGAAAACCAGCTGGAATGGCTAGACACCGAGCACATTGGTAGACGCAAGTTCGTTGCATTCAGCAACATCGAAAAGAAAGAGAAGCGGGTTCAGAGTCAGAGCCTGAGTCACGGAAAGCTGCGGGTGGTTGAGGTCATGTTCATACGAACCAACCCTCGAGAGATACAGAAGATCTTTTGGAGGCCCGCCAGAACAACTATCCTTCTACATGTTCTGGCTAGAGTGAATAATTCGGTTGATATGGTCCGGGTTCGAGTTATGAGAACACGATCGGGTATGATTCCTCGGAAAATGTTCCCAAAACTGAGGTAGGGCTCGGCTTCAGCATGATCGGCTTGCTTTGGTGTTCGGGGGTCAGGTTAGACTAGTAAAAATAGTTCGAAGTTATAGAATTCATCGCGAATGTACTCTTTCTGTTCGTATAATCTGAATTGAGCTAATAATCTGCATAGTGGTTTTCCTGTAGACCGGCCACAACGATTCAGAGGAAGTTGAGCATCGAATCTGAAATGATAGATCAATATTTGTAACAACTGCAGTATCTGTCCGCGTGCTATCTTATAGCACAAAATATCTCTAACTGCTGAGTATTGATCATTGCAAAAATTGTGCTAGATACTTTCAAGTGCTTGGAGATGTTTTGGAGGCATCGCGTTAGACTGCGCAGGTGGGCCACTTGGAATATTACCTGTGGACATTACCTATCTGGGAGGTATCTGTCTACCCCAACAGTAGAATTAGCAACAATAGATACATGTAAATATGGCAATTCGACGGGTCTTGATTGTGTCTGCAGCCAGGGTGAGTCCAACGTAACAATCCTGCGGCGCACCCATCCCAAAACTCGATGTATATATGCTCCAGTTATTGGATCCCAGCCTGACTGCATATATAAACAGCTGGGAATAGTAGAAGGGGCAAGTCAATGATTCAAATCAAGTTCATTCTCCGGATGAAACAAGGGATGCATCCCAGGGAGTGCGAAAGTGTATCCCAATGTATACCCGGTGTCGACGCAAGTGCCAAGATGATGGGAAGCAAAAGTGTAGATTCGCGGAAGGGAAAAAGAGCAGCATATACTGTGTATCATTCTTCAATGTGGGTATCATCAGCTTCCTTATCAAACAAGCGCCAGGGTATTAAATTTTGTTCCGCGGGTTTCCCTTCATCTGGTCCTTCAGCTCTTCCTTGAAATGGTTAAGGAATTTCTTGTACTCGAAATCTAGCCATAACAGGTCAGACACACTATTTCACCAAATTTTGGTACCAAGCATACCTTGTCCCTCGAGTTTGGTGCCTCCCTGTTCTTCCGGAGGCACCCCGTGCCTGATGTGTTGAACCTTCTGGTGAACTCGGCCCACCATACGATGGAAGATCGGACTTCGAAGGAGCTGTGTATATGAGATTAAAATGCAAACTCAAGCGCAAACATTTCAATGTTGGAGCAACGTACTCGAACGGTGAGCCAGATCTGAGGTATAACAATGTCAGTGAGGATCGGAGTGGCGAAAGCAAAAGCACTTACCTCCATACTTCGTAGCAAGAGATTCAAAACCATCTTGCAGTTCTTTTAATATTCGACCATGGGGTTTCAAATGCAGCTGATATGGAATGAGCAAGTCGAAGGTTGAGGTGGAACAAGCCTGGACAGCTCTGGGGTCTCGATCGTCGGAAGATTTTCTTAGTCATCCTCCCCGCGCCCCGCGAGCGAAGCTTTCCTGAATCATTCTGAGATCGTGGGGCATGACGGATTTAAAACTCGGTTTATGACATTTATCGACACCAGAGTCACTTCTTAGACGACTAGAAATGGTTGTATGGCTTTGCCGACATCCTGCCTCCGAATCCTGACCATAACCGACGATGGCGAGTGGCGCTGAACAAACTTCACAAGTGGCTCAGTTCTTCGATATCCAGTTAATAAAATACGTTTCTCTCACAACGCCCAGAGAATGACCAAAGGTTGCTATACCTGCCGACGACGTCGCATTATCTGCGACAATGGCCAACCCACCTGTCGGAAGTGTCGAGATGCGGGGAAAGAATGTCTGGGGTACCAGAAACCGCTTGTTTGGGTCAAGGGTGGTGTGGCTAGCCGAGGAAAGATGATGGGCCGCAGCTTTGATGATGTGGAAACACCGCCTAGCAAGCCAAAGCGCCAGCCAGCTACCGGGACATATGGTTCGCCTGCAGCGAGCAGCGGATTCGGCTTTTTCTCGATCCCCGAATCATCATCCGATGCCGAATCGCACAGCTCTGGGAATCAACCTAGTCCGGAGACCGATGGATGGGTTTTTGAGGCGGAAAATTCTACATTTGGGGGAGAAATTGCGCACTTGGGGGTCAATTCAGCCGACGAGCAGGACACCGCAGTTGTTCATGTTCCTCGGAGCACTCCTTCCGCCGACTATACTCCAACGCCATGGGGACTGGTAGATCCACTGCTCAAAGATCTCAGCCACTTCTCAAGGTACTATGTACATCACTGTGAGACTTCCCCGGTGTATTTTCCGTGACTCCGCTGACAATTACTCGTTAGACAATCAATATATGGTTAACGACTTCGCCCTTTACTCTCAACACAAAAATCCCTTCCGAGATCTTACTGCGCTGGTCAATCATTCTCCTATTCTCGCTAGCAGCATCGCTGCTCTTGGAGCTCTTCATTACTCCCTTGTATCAGAATCGGACTCATCTGTCCTACCATGGTCATCAGGCAATCTATCGATGTCAGTAGAGGAAATTGAAGATATTGTTGCGCCGGCAAGTTCTCGAAAGCCGACTTCGCAGGCATATCATCATTTCTTGGAGTACAAGCAGCGCGCCCTTCGCCAATTATCTATGGATCTAAATAACCCAGCGATGCAGAAGGACGGCAGGACCTTAGCTGCTATCGTCTTGCTTGCCTTCATAGACATATTTGAGTCCGGCAGCGGGGCCTGGAGTTATCATATCGAGGGCGCGAAGAAGCTTCTCAAGGACCGACCTGAAAATGGTCCGGGACAAGGTATCCTCGACGACTTGGACGCTTTTGCCCTTGACGGGTGTTTAATGTAAGATTCGGATCTCTGCTTATAGCGAAAAGTTCTTGCTGACCGTACAGAATGGAAATCATGGGATCAACGCTAGCTCGCCCAGGCGCGCTCTCAAAGCCCTTCTACTCCTCATCCATGGGCCCAGAGATCCTCAAACGCCTCGAAGAAAACTCTTGGGTTGGATGTCCCGCCTATCTCCTAGAAGTGATTTTCTTCATCCACGCCCTCTGGTACCCAGAGTCCGAAGTTGCCGCCATAACCCCCCAACCAACAGCGCTGCAAAACCCAATCCAACCCGGCCAGCCCATCACCCTAGAATCATTTGCAAGCCTCCTCCAAGGAATCCGCAACTTCGACCCAATAGCCTGGAGCCAAGAAATGCAAAATGTCTTCTTCATCCCAAACCTCACCTACCGTCTCGCACTCGCAACCTCCTACCAAGACGCCGTCTACCTCTACACAAGCCGTGTCCTCTCACGCACTAGGGAAGGTTTCTCACCCCCCTGGACGGATGTCGGCCTCCCGCTCGACCACAGACTCATCGCCACAAACCTCATCACGCAAATCTGTCTCGTCCCCGATTCGGATCCCCACTTCAAATGCCTCATATGGCCCACCTTCATCGCTGGCGCGGAGTGTCGCCCTTCGCAGCGGGGTCTTATCCTTGAAAAGCTCGGCTCGCTCTATGAGGCCCTGACGAGTGTTAATGTCCGCAATGCTGCGTGGGTTCTGCGTCTCATGTGGCAGAAACAGGATCTCAAGCGCCGTGAGCGTCAGAATGGATATGATAATAATGATTACGATCTTGAATTTGACTGGATTGAGGAGCTGGATCATACGCGCCTCGACTGGTTGTTCATTTAATTTGGGGAAACATATTGATGTCCACGGGTCTCTCGCCTTTTATAACTAATGTCTACTTGTACCTACCTACCTAAATATACCTGTCAATTAGTACATTATTTAAGATCACTTTGCTTGGGATACGTAGTATTTCATCATGAATTCCAACATATATAATGATTGTAAGAAAACGGTTGAATAATGATTTGTGAATAGGAAAATCGGGTATATCATCTCTCAGCCTAGAGCAGAGGAAGAAGAGCAAGAAGAAAAAAGTGATGGGAAAGTGTATACTGAGAGGAGAGGTAAGGGATGGAATTCGAAGAGGAATGATGCGAGTAAAAGAAAATCACAGTGAAAATGAGATCGAATCAAGATGCCACTGTAAGGAAGCAGGGAAGTCAAGGAAGATAGACGCAATGAGAAAGGAGATGATATCGAAGTAAGGAAAGTATTCTTTTGTCCGAATTTGCCCTAAAAAAAACACCAAGAGATATAAGAGAAAGAGGAGCAGAATGAGGAATGAGGACGCGGGCTTATCAGCCTTAATTTGATATTTTCCAGAGATAATCAACAAGTCAGCCTCAATAAAAACCTGGTAACTTACCAGGAACAGGGAACAAAGAAGGGAAAAGAGCCGAGCAGAAAAGTCTCGATGCTGTGGTGCTTCAGGCCAAATCAGGGATATATAACAGCGGACGACATAGCAAACGACAAGGATAAGGAAAATCGGTATTCTGAAATAGGCAGTCAGGCAATGAAAGAACAAGGTATGCGCTCCCTTCCAAATCTAAATGCAAGAAACATGTTTCCCAAAAACACAAACAAACAGAAGAACACGCTTGTCACTGGAATATGCAAAGGTAGGATAACCAATATGCTGGGATGACATCCCATCTTTGTGCGAATGCCCGTGCATGGAAGAGAAATGAAAAAAAGAGAGCTGGGAGGACAGGTGGAGGCGGTACTCTATATTCAAATGATGAGATGGCGAGGTGCAAGGTAAGGCAGCGGGTAGTATGGGAAAGTCGGTTTGATACCGACAACACTGAAGGAAACGGTTGGATATATGTATCGCAAGATGCATAATTCTTCTTCGATGTCACTAAAACACCGCAGCGAGACCATTCTTCGAATGACGCTTGCTGAATCGTTTCCTTCCTTTCGTTGACTCAGTGTCAGTGGCCTGCTGTTTCACTAGGTGATTCCGACCCGATGATGGTGGGCCTCTATCGTCTTTCTGCATGTCGGAGGTGCGGTCTAGTGTATTAGCGGGACTAGGGAAACCAGATGAAATGTCACGGAATGCATCGTCGGAGAAGCCTGCACTTTGTTGCTGTGATGCCATCTCCCGGGACCTATCCAATGCGTCCAGCCATTCTTGTACCTGGACCGCTGTGGCGCCGATGTTGCTTGATGATGGCTTGGGATCCTCGAAAACGTAATGTTTCTCTCTCTGTGGCGTTTCGTTAGATGGGTCATTTTGACCGATAAAAGGATGGATTACATACTGTGTCCACAATCCAGGATGAAATTCCTTTGGAGTCCGTCGTACTCCTGTAACTTGTCCCCGGAGCAAGCAGGGGAATCTCAAGCTTGATCTTCTTATCATCGCCACCCGACGCGGCCAGAATGACTCGCCCGGATGATGTGACCATCACCAACCGCTGTCGTTTCTTTGTGGCGCTTCCTGAGAAGAAACGGGAGAACTTCTTGGGTGCCTCAGGCTCGCCATTGCTGTTCTTGGACGTTGGGCTGTGTGAGGCAGCGGAAGACAGAACAACTAAATTACCCAACTTCAAGATCCGCTCATTGGATTTGCTTAGTACCGGTGACCATTCGATATCGAGCTGACTCGGCGGGGGTAGCTCGGTGACCACTCGTGGAAGGTGGCGGGAACTGGCACTTGGTGCGTTCGAGGGCGCAGTGGAGATGACTGGAGGCAGACTCTCCCCGGTTTTATTGTCATTGAGCTTGATGGGATCGCGTGCCGGGGGTACATAGGCCTTCAAGCGGGGTGCCTTCTGTTGCCATAGATCTGAGCCCCATGTGATACCCTCAAAGAATTCATGATTTTTGATGTGTTCGATCTGAAGACGCCGAGCAGGATCTAGAACGAGAAGACGTTCGACAAGATCACGCGCAACAGTAGGAAATCCAATTGGGAACTCGTAGTCGAGTGCCACGATTTTCTGGAAGGTCTGGTACTCGTTTCCAGCCTTGAACGGGGGACGACCGGCCAAGAGCTGGTATATAATGCAGCCGAAAGCCCAAAGGTCACTGGCTTTGCATGCATTTTTGTCTGTCAACAGCTCGGGGCTGACATACTCCGCAGTGCCGACGAAAGAGCTCGCCCGCTCTTCCTGTGTAAGCTCGGTCGAGTCAAGAGGAAGAATGCCATTTGAACTGGGGTCAACTCGTGGAGTCTTCAGGATCTTTGCCGTTCCGAAATCAGTGATCTTGACATGCATCCCGCTGTCAAGTAACACATTTTCCGGCTTCAGGTCTCGGTGGATGACACCTCGCTTGTGCATATAGTCTATCGTGTCAAGAATCTGGGCGCTGTAGAACCTTGTACATTCCTCGTCAAATGTAGTCATCCGCTTGAGAACACCGAGCAATTCTCCTCCTTTGCACAAGTCCAGCACGAAATAGAGCGACTGCTCATCCTGGAAGGTGTAATATAGCCGCACAATACCCGGGTGGTCGGTCAAGCGGTTGAGTGTATCCTTCTCAATATTCACGTATTTAACTTTTCTCTCCTTGATGATGTGTCGCTTGTCGAGGATCTTAATCGCGTATTCCTTCAAAGTCTGCCGGTCGGTTGCAAAGACGACCGTACTGTAGGAGCCTTCGCCGAGAGTATTGCCAAACGAGAAGTCTCGAACGCCCTTCTTGATAAAACGAGAGACAGTTTGGCCGTTGGCGTCCACCTCCTGTCTCACAGAGACCGCGGCGCCACGGTCTTGCCAATCCTCGCTACTCGCCATTGGACCATTTTCTGCCATGTAAGATGTTCGGGGCATCTGAGACGCGCCGCCACTTCTTGCTTGTGCTCGAGACGACTGACGCATCACCGCCGGGCCGTTGCCCGGGATCTGCGCGGTCCGGTAGGATCGGTCGCTGTGGGAGTTGTCGCGCGCCAGAACACCGGCATGTAATGCCGACGAGCCTCCTCGTGTGTCTAACCGCGGCTGAGACCCAGATTTGGAAGAAGCACCGGAATCGGTTCGAATGCGATATGTATTATCACGGGGAAGGACAGAAGTTGCCGAGCCATTCGCGTATACGGAGGAAAGGGGTCGGTTGGGATTCGGAGGTGTTGAGAGGGGGTGGAGCCGAGTACGGCTGGTATGTGCCTGATGGCAGTGGTGGTATCTCGGGGGAGGCTTGAAGGAATGAAGTCTGACGATCATCTGTCACAGGGACTTCGATCGGTGCAGGGGGAAAGGCAGAGAGGCGTTCGTCGGGTGCGGGATTGTATTGTGTTGATACCGAACCGTCCGGCCCTCCGAACGGGCTGGAGCCTGTTGACCCGGCGGTCGCATCCTCCGTTGGGATAGGGGAATCGTCTGGATTGGCTATTCGAAGCCCTCCCAGAGTCTGGGACAGGCTGAGATCCCCGTTCATGGCGGAGATTTTGTGGTTTGGCGGCGACCGGAGATGAGCCGAGGGGTTCAGGGGAAGCAAGGTCGAAAGGTCAACGAAAGACAGGCTATCGGAAACGCAGCGGATGCATGATCCGAAGAGGAGTTGGGAAAAAGAGAGAGGTGTGTGTGTGTGAGAGAATCGACGTCGAGGAGAGGGGGAAAGGATCAACAGGAGGCTCCGTAGAAATTGGGTCTAGTGTTGAGGGGCTGAGCCTGACTTGACTATTAATATTTAGTCCAGGGCTTTTCCTAGAGAATCAAAGAGAGAGAGACATCTGGAGAGATTCAGAATACAAAAAGAGACATATATATATGTATGTTATTTTAATCCCTTTTAAGTGGTGTGATGGAATGGGTATATCTGATTTGTCCAGTTTCGAGTTGACAGGATTGAATTTCCACCATTTATATTGTACAGATTTACACATTTACAGATTTATAGCATTTACCGATTTACTATTACAGAGATCAAGGATCATTGGGTATTGCAATATGAACTCGTATATCCTAGTCGAGGTTTCTTAAATTGTGAAGATACGCGACTTCCTTTAAGACACGATGTTTCTATATACGGGACCTCCAGGGCTCTCTGTGCAACTGGATATAATCCATCCCTGAAAAAATGATCAGACGGCCCCCAACCATCATTGTCCTAGAGGAGAATGATGTTGAATCTCACCTCCAGCGGATCTATATCCGTCATACACTGACAGTCGAATTCGAGCAGCTGCACCTAGACGATGAGAGCTGCGAGGAAACGGACCCATTTCCCAGCTCGTGTGTCTCTACGGAATCTGATGTAGGCATTGATACCACAGGCTTAAATCAAGAAGGATCGTGTTTTGAGCCTACATCTCCAAGAGACAGGAGTTATGCTTCTACAGATGCAATTCCACACACTTCCGTGACAAAATCATGCCTCAAATCCCCCATCTCAAACCAACAGTCCTCGTTACAAGTGACAATTTCTACTGGGGTGCACTCGCAAGCAGATCGGTCTGTTGACCCACCGCGACTGAAAGTGAAATTTGCTCTGTCACCGCGAGAACTGGAACTCCATAGCGGCAATGCCCCTCTTGAAGAAGAAACAGGTATGTCAGACTCCAAAAACCGAAAATTTGGCTCCATCTAACAATCCCTTCACGGCAGATCGAAATCATCGCGGAGAAAACCACCGAACAAGCCACACAGATGCTATATATACACCCATGTCTATTGACTCGCCAGCTTCGACGCCGCAGGTTTCATTCTTGTCGTGTGGTGTGTCGTCAAGTCCGGCCACCGCAAGTGTCCCACCCCGGGACCTAAGCTTAGCGTCCACTATGTCTTACGAGGCAGTCTTGGCCGAGGGGGCAATCTCGCCAGCTAGTGCGGCCAATAGCATTAGTGAGGACCATGACTCTCACACGAAAATCGTCATCTAGGAGCTCTATCAAGATATCGTGGATGCTTGAAATTGGTGGCTTTGTTCTAGTGGTTTGGCCTCTTCAAGTCCACCATGAGCTGTCCCAGAGGGGTTTCTATTGATACCAGTGGCTTCGTATTGACCCGACTCTAATTATGTATATTTATGGTATGATGTTTCTCCCCAGGACGGACCTCATGATCGACCATACGGGGAACAGGTGGAACTTTGCAATAATATTTAATTCCCAATATGAGATATTGAACCAGCCTCACACATAAGCAGTTCCAGACCAACATACCACAAGAAATATCAAAAACAACCCCCCCCCCCAGGCTTCGGTCCAGACTACAATGTCTCACGTTAAAATGCAAAAGAAGCGATCTAGAATGTCAGTAAACAATTCACATCTGAAACAACGATATCGGCAACCCAAATCTATCAATAGTTCAGTGGAGAAGAACCACAAACCTGGCTGCCTCCAGATCTGACGCGGCCCCGGCAGTGCCCTTTAACCATTGACACATCTCACCACGAGAATGGTCTGAAATCCCCGGCCTACGTCACTTCGCATTGTGCTTATGCACTTTGCTTACTCGGAATTCTTTTTTTGCTTTTGCCTGCAGGAAATCCCGTTTAGAGTGTACATGTTTGATCCTCGATATGATTGGTTCACGATTGACCCGCGTTCTCTGCGCGCGGATCCACTACGCCACCGCGTAGAATAACCTTGAACTGCTTTGTATTCCGGGTAATTTCCGTGTGTGGTTGATGGCGCTGAGACAGCGTTTGTCGGTAGATTGATCGTGTTGAACCCAGGGGTCTGTGATTCGGGGAGTTTGGGTTTCTGGGTTCATGGATGGACATGGCTCGGAGAGGCATTTGCGGTGTGTGTGGGTTAGTGATTGTCTGGTTGGTGATCTGCACTGTGGCGAGTGTTGGTAGTTGGTGGGGTGGTGTCGAGGTTGGATGAGAAATGCCACGAAACTCTCTGCTCATATAGGGTGAGATCTGCTTGGTTTGGATATTTCCAAGGTTGTCTCTCGGATGGCTTGACTGAACTTTTTAGAACTTCTGGTGAGGAACCTGAGGCTGCGGTGTGGCATGGGTCACGTGGAACAAAGTCAGTCACGTGCTAGTTATTTTCCAATGAAGATTGCGAGTGCATTTTACTTGAAAAGGGCAGAGGTTCATCGGTCAACTGAATAAATTAAAAATGAGCAATTGCACATGTCAAGGCAGTCTAACAAAGTGTATCAAAAGCAAGTCCCGGCTATCGGCTAATGGAAGAGGGAGTAGTAGGTAGATGATGAGGTGAAGAGGGTCGGACGGTGTTAAGTAACAAGATGAAACGCCAACAAAGATCGATCGTCTTCCAGATGCCGCTTCAAATGCTCTCTTGTGTATAATTTTCCATGACGGTATGAGCTCGTTTCAATTGTATCAAAAAATGGAAGAAAAAAAAAGAACCCTTCACTTCAGACAAGAATGGTGGGACAAGTTAAAAAGAAATAAGGGGGAATTATCTACTACTTCTTGGCGAAAGCCTGGGCACCGTCGACCAAGCGGCGCTCGGTGTTCTGGCGACCGTTAACAAAGTCGGGGTAGTTGAGGGTCAACTCAACGGCACCGTTGACAATGTTGTCAACAGCCTCGACACCGAGCATGAAGGAGTGGTCCTGGTTGCCGACCTCGTAGCGCCAGCTGCCGAAGCGGCCACGGGACCAGATACCCTTCTCCTGGAGCTTGGGGAGAATCTGGGTGAGGGCACCTTCACGCTCCAGGGTGGGGGTGGGGTAACCGTGGTCGAAGCGGCGGTGGTAGGTGGAGACAATCTCATCACCGGGCTGGAGCATCTGGGTGTTGACGAGACCCTGGATAGAATCGGCAAGGAGGGTCTCGTTGTTGACAGCCTTCATGGAAGATTCGGAAACCTCCAACATGACGGACCAGTAAGGACCGTCCTGAGCCTCGGTGCTCTTAGGCTTGGAGCCGTCAGCGAGCTGAAGGGTGGGCAGCTTCTTGGAGGCCTCGGGCTGGTTGTGGGGGGAGTAGTTGGAGAAGATGGTGGCACGGTAGAATGGGCAGTCATCCTCGGGGAAGTACAGCCAGCACTTGTCGCCGATGCGGTCGGGACGGGCACCACGGATACCAACACCGATAACGTGGGTGGAGGAGTAGAAGAGCTGCTTGGTGAGGGGCATGAGCTCGGTGTCGTTCATAGCCTCGGCGAGGTAGTCGACGGCCATGGTGGAGACCAGCTTTCCGTAACCAATGGTGGTGCCATCGGCGAGGGTGACGGTCTTGTTGTAGGCGTTGACCTTCTCGACCTTGTTGTTGGGGCCGTAGCGGGTGTTCTCCTTGGGGATAGTGTTGGCAACAGCAATCCAGATACCACCGGTACCATCGCGGGCGGGGAAACGGAAAGTAGCGTTGGGACCCCAGTTACCGGCGGTCCGGTTGAGGATGACGTTGGTGGTCACGGCCTTGACGTTGGGGGCAGCGACACGCTCACCGAGCCAAGCGCATTGCATCTAAACATAATTGATCAGCATTGTTTCGGTCTCGAGAAAGAAAAAAAAGTCGAACTTACCTTGGTGGTGGGAACGGCCCAGACCTTGTAGTTGTAGGGTCTCATGAAGAGGTCGGCAATACCAGTACCCATCATGCGGACGATCCACTCATCGAAATCCTTGGGCTTGGTGTTGGAAACACGGGCCTCGAGAGCAGCATCGATCATGCCGTCAATGCACTTCACCTGCTCCTCCTTGGGCAGCATGGAGATGTTGTTTTGGAAGGGGTAGGGAACCCATTGCTCCTGGCAGCGAACGTAGGAGATACGCTCGTGGGTGTACCAATCCTCCTCCTTGGGGAGGGCCTCGTTGATGCAGTCGTCGAAGTACTTGTAGTGGGAGAAGATAACGTGACCGCCGACATCGTAGAGCTGTGAACTAGGTTAGCGGTGTGGACATTGACAATTGAGACCAAGTCGCAACTTACGAAACCTTCGGGGGTAACATCAGTGGAAGCCAAACCACCGGGGGTCTCGTTTGAGTCGATAATCATCCACGAGGGGCCATTCTGTATACTCAATTAGCTTTTTTGATTCCCGGATACCCCTCCCCCTTTTTTTTTTTTTGTGCCCCTCTCCGACATAGTAAATATCCAGGGAAAGACTTACAATCTGGTTCAAACGCTTGGCGGCACCCAAACCAGTTGGGCCAGCACCAATGACGAGAACGTCAACAGAACTGTGAAGCAATTGTTAGAGATGACGGATGTGCGGATGTTGACAAGGTCCTTACATGTCGGGGTGGGTCATTCTGCCTTGTAAGAGGTCCTGAAAGCTGGGGACTCGTTTGAATGTCTTGCGGGCGACGTTCAGCATAGAAGCACAGCTGCAGGAATCTGCAGAATGAGAAGAGGGGAATGGAGGGATAATAAAGGGCAAGGAAGCGGAGGAACCAAAGAAGAAGGGGAAGTGGGAGGACAACGTGACCAGCCAAGCTAAGGGTATCTAGACGCACCTGGTTCTGTGGGTTAAAACGGATCCGGTGGAGACGACGTGCCTGTTTCAGCTTTACTGATTCGTATCGATATTGGTTCTTTATTTGTTTTTATTTGGGCTTAATTTCCTTTTTTTTTTTTCTTTCTCAAACTCCAAACTAGGCCCTCCTATCACATTGACAAGCTCAATTGCAATTACAATAATGTACTCAGGGGGAGGCAGTGCTCCGCGACTCAATCTTAGAGTCTTAGAGACACTCCATACGGAGTAAGAGAACGCGTAAGGCAATCTCATCTCATCACACCGTAATAAGGATCCTAGTTAAAACTGAACATATCACATCTAGTGCAAAGCCGTTATTGGTCTCAAGCTTATCATGATACCTCCAAAAGCAGGGACCTGGAGTGCATGGAATCTGCATTCACCTCTCGCATGCGGGTGAGTCGATATTAGACTTCCCTTGGCGGGCATTGGATAACATTCAGGGTCCCCTCTGGAATGCCCGTTATCATATCAATCCCATCTCGGAACATTATTCTAGAATAGAAACAAAACCTTGGAAGAGAGTGAAAAAGGGGCGATATGGATAGGGGCTACCATTGAATCTCGATCCAATGTGGTCAGGCTAAAAACGCCACCGATGTATGCATTGGCACATTGTTGGCTATGGTTAAATTAGTACGCAATACTGTTTCGGTACTTCGTAGTTTGTATGGACCTCCTGTCAAAGGTGATTTTGGAACAAATGAGGCTATCTTCTACTGATTGTTAGAGATGGTGATCCAAGTTTCATCTACATCGATTCCCCTGTGTATAGTTATGTATAATGTACAACCATGTACACCACATACTGTGCATCGTACATACAGCGTACATGTGTACTACTCACATGCATTAAATAGCCAATACAATAGGGCAGTCCTAAAGGGAAACATCTCGAACCCTCCCGGAGCAACATCCGCAGAGTTGATCGTCCAATCTGGCGGTCTCGAGAAGAGAACGGGATTTGCGAAACTTCAGTGCACTGGCAACTGGTCCCACTGATTGTCAGTCCCAAGAGAGTAATACGGCGAGGATCTCTTCGCACAAACAACCGATCTTGCCATTGATCGCCCCCTTGAGAAAAAAAAACTTCTCGAATAAACAGAGAACATTGCCAATTGCCTCTTGAAACACCATCTCCCGTTAACACCAAAAGCTTAGGGGTCTTCTCCCCCCACCACCACTGGTCCAAGCACAATATACTTGTGGGGGGCTGGAAAGTCCCCTGATTGCGTCAGATACAGCCTTCAGAGGGCGGATCGCCGCATTCTCCACCCGTAAGGGACCGGATGGACCAGAGGGTCACTGAACGCGGGTTCTTGTGGGCCTTGGCTAACAGCTGCTTGCGTAATGCCCTACTATTAATTTGGATCTGCGCTGTTTCGGTTTTCTATTTCAAACCAGTTGATTTAGGACATTCCGAAACTGCCGATGCTTTTGCCAATATCAGACATACCTAGATAGATATTGATAAGTGTTGTTAGGATTGGAATATGATTGAAATTAAGGATAAGAGTGTTAGGGACAGTGGATCCATGACCAGATTGACCTTATTGGTGAGTATAAAAGGGGAAAAGGGGAGACTCCAGGGCTGTCGCCACGAGCAGACCCATGGACGTTTTGGCCAGAGGGCCTCTTCAAATTAAAATTAGGAGCTAGTAAAGTATAATTGTATTGGTTCTGGTATAACCGGTATACAAACGAAAACAAGTACGTAAGAGAACGGACAAATGATAAGAGGAGAGCATAAAGAGTACAGGTGGCCTTAGCAGAGATGTAACATATGTATCGGTAATTCACATACTAAATTTCCATACGTACATGTGCATTCATACCTCTCTCCTCTGACTTTCTGTTTGCGGCGAGTGGATCTTTCTTTACTTCTGTTCCTGTTCCTGTGTTGCTGTTTTTGTGTCTGGTTCTTGTCTATTTTCCTTGACGATAAAATTGCTTTTTCTTCTCTTAATTTCCCTTGCAAACCCCCAAATTGAAGTTTAATGTTTGGTGCTGAAGAAAATTACTCCCGGAGTACGTACCCCATTCCATCCCTTCAACCTTCATCATCATTTCTTCATCCACGCTCGTTTTTATTTATCGCTTTTTTTTTTTCGGTCCTTCTGTCACACTCGTTAACCTCCGGAGCATTTTAGTGATCATTTCCTTCTAATTTCCCTTATCTTGCCCACTTTTCTCCGTGGCTTCCTCCGCATTTAGTCAAGGAAGCCTGTCCCGGCCACGACCTTTTGAATTTAAGCGCTTTTTATCCGATCAATCTCGAAATTTTACAATGAGCGACGGCGAGAAGGTCCGCGCCTCTGGCGAGACTCCCCGGGAGCAGTCTTTGCCTACTGTCAACCCCGCAGCGGAGAAGACAGAGCAGCCCGGCATTACATTCCACCCCGCGGTTTATGTGACGTGAGAAGCATCGAAGGAAAAAGACAGATCGGACAGAATTGCTGATATCTTGATAGTACATGGATCACTTTGAGTTCCACTGTTATCCTGTTCAACAAGTACCTCCTCGACTATGCCAACTTCCGTAAGTCAGATCGCAGATACAACGCGAGGAAACTGGCACTAACAACACACTGTGAATAGGTTTCCCCATCATCCTCACAACATGGCACTTGTCCTTCGCTACCATCATGACCCAAATTCTCGCTCGCACCACCACTGTCCTCGACGGCCGTAAGAAGGTCAAGATGACCGGCCGTGTCTACCTCCGCGCTATCGTCCCTATCGGTATAATGTTTAGTCTGAGCTTGATTTGCGGTAACATGACCTACCTCTACCTCAGCGTTGCCTTCATCCAAATGCTCAAGGCCACAACCCCCGTGGCTGTTCTCCTCGCAACCTGGGGTATGGGTATGGCCCCGGCCAACATGAAGGTTCTGGCCAACGTCTCCATCATTGTGGTTGGTGTGGTCATTGCCTCCTTCGGTGAGATCAAGTTCAACATGGTCGGTTTCCTGTTCCAGATTGGTGGTATCATTTTCGAGGCCACCCGTCTGGTCATGGTGCAGGGTCTGCTCAGCTCCGCCGATTTCAAGATGGACCCCATGGTCTCTCTGTACTACTTCGCCCCCATTTGTGCTGTCATGAACGGTGCCGTTGCTCTGTTCTTGGAATTCCCCCACGTCACCATGGACCATGTCTACTCCGTTGGTATTTGGCTTCTGGTTCTCAATGCCGTTGTGGCCTTCCTGCTCAATGTCTCGGTCGTTTTCTTGGTAAGTGATAATCTAGAATTTCGCATCTCAACCCCAAGGGAGGCATTACTAATAGTCTCTACAGATTGGCAAGACCTCTTCCCTGGTCATGACTCTGTGCGGTGTCCTCAAGGATATCCTGTTGGTTGCTGCCTCCATGTTCCTGTGGCAGACTCCCGTCACTGGCCTCCAGTTCTTCGGTTACTCCATTGCTCTGATGGGTCTTGTTTACTACAAGCTTGGCGGCGACATGATGCGCGAATACACTTCCTCCGCCGGCCGTGCTTGGGCTGAGTATGGCAACAAACGCCCTGCGCAGCGCAAGTTTGTCGTTTTTGGTGCTGTCGCTCTTATTTTCTTCCTCTTTGTTGGCTCCATGGCTCCCAGTTACGCCAATGACTCCGTTGACCGTGTCAAAGGCTACCTTGGTGGTGCCAGTGCTGGTAATGCTTAAATGCACTTGTCAGACCCTTGGCTTTTCGTCTCCTATAAATTGGAACGCAGAAAACTCGGCCCAGTGCTCGAAGCCACAATATCCATCCTCGGATTGAGTGGGCCGGAATGAGAGCGCGAGTGGATAAGTGCAGGCATGTAGCGGTATCCGTTCCTTTCCGTCCCTCGGTAACACAAGAGACTGTCACTCATGCTTTTGTCTTTATGGGCCCCTACGATGCAATGGAAAACGGAGGGGCTCGTTTTTGGCTGTTTTATTACCAATCTTTTTTTTCCAGCCACATTTCTGGGATATACAGTGACATGAAAGTGTTGTTACTGGCGGTGTACTTTTTTTTTTCCTACAAACATTGATTGATGTTAGACTTGCACGAGCTCGGGTGTCGGTTTGCTTTGGACCAGATTTTGTGGTCGCTAGATTTTTTTTTTCCACCATGTCTTTATAGTATTCCAATAGACTTGAAACCTATATGACCTCATTTAAAGCACGTGATCTTCTCTATATAGTAATGGCACGTGACCTATAGACTTCACGTGATGTAATTCTCACGGGCCACAAGTCCGTCCACCTCATAGGCCAATCGTCTCTGGGCTGGACCCATCCAACTTGACTCCACCTGAGAAGTCTTGGCTGCATGAGCCAATGGTACCCGTTAATAGCGCATGTATCAATACCGTTACGGTCGATCGGATAGCTGCTTTTTGGTGGTATATTACCGTTTGGCTCGGTACCTCCGCATTTCGCGCATCGATTCATCCACTTCTTCAGATCGTACTTTCCTGTCTCACGCTCTTACCCTCTTACTTCGCTCTACTTTGTTCTTTTTTCCCCCATTTCCCCATTTTTCTCCTCCCAATTCTTTCTCTTTTCTTTCAATCCCACCTTTTTCCCTCTCTATATATATTCTTCTTACTTTTTTGTCGAGACATCTTCCACCCTTCACCTCTCGGTCTTACTTCTGTCTCTCCACAGGTGGTTGAAGCTTCTTGTGTCTTGCTCACCTAATCTAACAGAACAGTTCCCCTTGTCTTAAATCCAAGACAATTCCGAGCAATAATGTGTCCAATGATTCTTAATCGCCTCTCGGACGGCCCGGCCACGGTCCTCTCTCCTCCCCGGGAACACGCCTTCGCTCAGTTCGCCTCTCAGTCCTCTTTCCTCGACTCCCCAGGAAGCTTCAACGGCTATCCGGCAAGCCCCAGCACGGTCTTTGCCAACAATACTTCTTCGCAGTCTATCCCCTCGAGCTTCAATTTCTCGTCTGCCCCTGCGGTTCCCAAGCCATCCCGCAAAAGGTCCCGTGATGAGGCCACTCTTGAAGAGGCCGTTGCTCCCAGCGCGCTACTAGGACACCAGGCGGCGCCAGCACCTAAGGTCGAGCCCATCTATGGAGAAGGCATGGTCCTCTTAAATCCACAGACTGGCCTTGCGATCTCTGCCGAGAGCCAGACTGGCACATGGTACGAACAAGAGTCTGAGGTGCAACAGGCTGCCGCTGCACCTGTTTCCTCACGGTCAAACGCGCTGCTTTCTGATGCTACCGACCTAAGCCGCAAGTCCCAGCGCCTTGATCAATCTGCACCGGGTCTGGACGATATTGCGTTGTCTTCGATTCGCCAACGTCTGAACGACCCTAGCTCCAACGATCAGCACCGCACTCTCAATGCGGGTCTTGTCCCGCCCGCCGAGCCTCTAGTAGATGATGCCACTCGTCTCCTAGGTATCGGCTGGCAGCGCGTCAACACTGACGGTGACATGGCTCCTGCTGTTCGTGGCTGGACCAAGTATATCGACAACCAATACTCCGCCCAACTGCGCGACTCCCAGATGCTCATGAAAAGCCGCGCTCTTAACGCCTATCTTGTGGCTGCCACTCCAGCTTCTGGATCCTCGCCCGCTTTTTATCTCTTCAGCGAAGACCTCACTCAAGGCCAGCTCGTTGCTTCCTCCTGGGAAGCCTGCCTTCAAAATCTTCGTAGCTCCCCCATCATATTCGAGGGCGCTGCTCCCCTCGGAGCTACCGACCGACCTAGCGCACAACCCATCTCCTTCAACTCCATGGACACTGACGTGCCGCTCCTCCAACAAGCCCTGTCCAACAACCCGCAAGCATCAAGTCTCGACGAACTGAGCGGAGGCGCGGAAATGGGTATGGAGATCGACTCGTAACTTCCTCCAAAAACGCATTCGATTCCCTTCAATCCCGTGCGATCCGACCCGGCATGATGACTCGACGTCCAACCAATCCGCGCGATCGATCTCGGACTTCCCTCCGGCTTTTCTATTATTTTTTTTTTCACTATTGCTTATTTAGTTATGAGACTCACGCGCCTGACTGATCCAGTCTGGCCCAATTCGGTTCTCGCCCAGTGGAGGGTTTGATGGGTTTGGGTGGTTTGCTTTCCTCTCTTTCATGGGAAATGGCCGGCGTCGTAATCTGGGAGTTCAAATATTCGCGGCATGCTTTTGACGAACGTTATTTATCTACGACTATCTATCTCATTAAATCAAAATAATTAAAACCATTCTGGTGTTTTGGGTAATGTAGCTTGACTGAGCACGGGATAGGCATCCTGTCTCATTACTTTGAGAAAGTGCCCACGAAAGGCACCAGCTACTCCTTTGAGTTTGGCCTCTATTTTGGGGTTTCTTTCAGCTACTTTTGATATAGACATGTCAGCAAACAAGAGCAAGAAGACACATAAAGATATGACCGAGCAAGGTTAGAGTACATCGATGCAACCGAGTAAGACGTAATTGCGTGAGATATTAACATGACAATTCAATTCGGAAACCCCAATGCTTGGGTGAAAGACATGGTATCATCTCGATATACTCACTCATGCCGCGCTCTCATTAGTCCACCATTCTGACTGTCTGCTTCCCTGTCTTCCAAGGTTCTCGGGTATTCTGCAGTCCTCTACTCTCTTCTCTTCTCGCCTACACTTGGTATCTTTTCTTAATATAACAAATCCTGGGCCTGAGCCTACATATTTCCTTTTTCCGCAGACTTTTTAGCTCATAATTAACGTAGTATTTAATGCAATTATACAAGAATATGTAGTTGGCCTCTGTCCTTGACGACGTAAGACTTTAATAATCTCCAGGGCTGATTTACTTGGACCAAGATGGTATTGGGGGTTATGGCACCCTCTGATGTCTTTTTTGATGTCTTCTTAGGTGTATACGAGGGCGGTAAAAAGCATAAACTGACATAGGGCTCTTAGCTCTCAATATATATATAGTAAGGCCCCCCGAGCACCCCCTGAGCATCACCAACTGCCTAGCATCTAGCTCGCACACTAAGAATTAACAAATCCAGCGGGTTGTACAAATAGAAGAGAAGAAGTCGAGGAATTCCATTTAATACAAAGTACAGGTTCATACTACGTACTAGGGACTAAGATTAATTAGGGGATATGGCAGATCCCTGCGCCACTGGAAAAGTGGGCAACTGAATCCCACACGTATTGTGTCTGTAATATTAGTGTTTTTCTAGGATTTATTGAATCCAAATTAGAACTCTGCTAAGAATGGTAAAATAAGTCACGAAAAGCCAGAAAGCAAGACGCAAAGAAGGGGCTGATCAGGTCGATAGATCAGGTTACTCATTCATCGTCATCGCCATAATCATAGTCACTTTCGTAATGGCCTGCAAATGCGTCCTCAACGCCATCGTCCTTATCGTCGTCATCATAATCGTCCTCCTCATCATCCTCCTCTTCAGGGTCTGGCTCGACATTATTCACGGGGCCATCCTTGGCAATGGCTGGCTTTGCGTCCTGAGTGGTGTTTGGAGCGGTGGATGGCGGAGTAGGTAGCGGTGCAGTAGAACTAGGACGGATGAATTTGGCATCGAACTTGGTATCTGATGGCGTTGCACGCCGGGATCGCGAGGCTGCTTCCGGCTCGATGCTGGCGCTGCGCCGTGAGACGACACTTTGGCTGCGACTTTGGCTGCGACTTTGGCTTCGGCTCATGCTTTGTGCCTTTGCGTCTCCCCCTTCGCCGCCGTACAACGTGTCCAGGAGAGAGTAGTTAATCTTTTTACTGTAACCTCGGCGCTCGAGCATGCGACGTGTCGCCTCAGCCGGTGTTGAGGCACGGGAGCTGCGGCCATCTTCGCCCTCGCCCTCCAGATAGGTAACATCTCCAAGGCGGCCACGGCGGCGCTTGCGTGGTTTGCGAGGCGTGCCTCCTCCGGTTGACTCGTCCAAGGCCCGCTTTAGCGCTTTTGCTTGTTGAGTGCGGAGGTATTCCTTATTTTCTGTCACCCAAATTGACTCCTTGATCTCGACTTCAGCAGGCAAGAGCAGACAATTGGCGACTTCAGGGTCATCTTCAAACTCGGCAGCATCGATTTCAGTGCTGTCGGAAATGGTGGGCCGCGGTGGTTGCTCGGATCCGACACTCTCAATCATACTTGATCCTTGAGCAAGCATAGACCGCATTTCATCTTCCAGCGCCGCTTCAGATGCAACCTGCTCCGCAGAGGGTTCTGGCGTGGGTTGTCGCTTGCCCTTGCCCTTGGAGTGGGTCGGCTCATTTTTGATATCTTGAACGACTTCATTCACTGCCTTGGCAATTACTGATGCACGACGGCCGTGGCTATTTGCAGTCAAGGCCGGGTCGATGGGAAGACTAGGAATAGCGAAACCGTCGGCATCTATACGAGGCGGCTGCACTGATTCTGCTTCACTTTCGGTTGGAGAATCGTCATCTTCGAGTTCCGCCGCAGTCTCTGGAAACTTCTTGATGCGGCTTTTCCGACCTTCTCGCCCGCGAGTGAAGGATGGGGGATCATGAGTGTTCTCTAATTGGACCGAACGGAATTGATCAATAGTCAATTCACCACTCTCGGTGGAACCGAACTCGTTCAAACGCTGGCTGATAGTGGTTTCTGTCACTTTGACGATATAGACGACCTCACGTACAGTTCGGCGGAAGTTGTTCATGCGCGCGGCAAGAATCAGTGCGGCACCACAAAGACCAGCTGGGCGTCGACCGGTGGTCATCCAATCACGGTTCATTCGTTGAACGATCCGGACTGCCTCGCCAGCCACCGCCATGAGAGATGGCCCGAATTCCAGCTGCTTGGCGAAACGATAAATCAAACTTTCGGGGTCAATGGGGTTCATGTGAAAGACGTTGCCATCTAAGCGGAGTTCGTCAAGAAGTGTTTTGTATGTACGACCAAGTTTGAAGACATTGATCATCAACACATCGGCGAAATCAATCAGCATGACGGTATTGCCATTTTGACGACGGCATGCAATGTACAAGCAGACCGCAGCTACCGTCTTTGTGCGACGACCTTGGATAAAGTTCAGCCCAACGGCAAGCTTAAAGATTTGACCGGCGCCCTTGGTCGCACTTTCCGGAATAGTTAAAGCCCGAGAAAGTTGGAGCATATATCGGTTTCCAGTTTGTTCGGTCATTTCCCGACTCTCCATGGCGCCACCGCGCTGGAAACCCGGACCATAGCTGCGTACGTGTGTCTGATCTTCTCCGACGAAAGATCCCTGCACAACAGCTGCACCGGACGAGGATTCACCGAATGTGACTTCAGAGACAATGTTGTTCTCGCTGATGACAGTACCACAGCCCGTACAGACCTTCACGCCTCCATCATCGACAATATGCGGAGCAGGGCATCCTGGGTTTGGACAATTAGATGTTGTGGGGTGTGTTGTCGGGCGGGGTGGTTGAGGACGTCCAATAGCAGTTGGACGATTGATAGGAGTAGAGTTGGGAGGTTTTAGACTGGCCAGTCGTCCCACAGGAGGCCGGGGTCCGCGGGGAGGGATTGGACGCGCGCCGGATCTGGGTGCCGACATTTTGGTTGAAGTGAAAAGTAAGAAGGTTCAGAGGTTGAATGTAGACAGGGGCACTCGACGGAGGCCGGGTCCTCACAGCCTCGGAATTTCTTGAATGGGCGTCACGCAGCCTTTTTTTTTTCCGTAGCGAAGGGTTTATCGACTGTCACGAGAATCGCGATAAGGATGAAAGTGGAAGTGAGAGAACATCAAAAGTATTAAACCTGATTATGTAATTGCCCGGAATCGGTGCAGAGCTGGATTCACATATGACATAGCCCTGGAGTTGATTGGGATGTTGGCAACCGATAGTTGAGTCAAATACAAATGAACTATTTTCTCAGTTAAGTTCCTTTGTCTATTGTCTATTGTTGCATAAATGGCTAATCCGATAGATTCTATTGATAAGTCACGTGACTTTAATTGGTTCATGACACGCTAGCCCAATCAGGCTTAGTATCATCTGATCTTTGTTCGCGCCTCGGTGCCTGAGGTTCTAGGATGATCCATGACCGCTGGTGCACAGCATCATCAGACTTGATACACCACGCACGTGGAGTGGTTGCTTTTATAATGTCGAATACGGGAATCCGGCCTCATTCTTGATTGCCAGCCTTGACACTAGCCGCATACTACATAGGGGCCGCAGGCGTCATGATTGAGATGTCTGGAATGCGGTATTTGTGCGTGGTTTGGAGGAATCGCGCACAAATGGCGCATCTTCGCCATCTTTCAACTTATCTACCCACTTCTAGGATTTTCCCTTCCTTTCTTTCTTAATGAAATATTATATTGCATTGCAAACCAAGTTCCATTCCCGGCTTTTGCTTTATATGATAAATCGCCGCCGGTCGCTCTTCCCTTCACCTTGATGCCAGGCCGTTCTGTAAACACTGAATCCCGACAACTGCCTGTTTCCAAACTGGTTTGAGCAAGATCCTTGAAGTATCAACTCTGCTGAGGGTTTGCAAAGATCGATATATCCCACACTGTACCTCGTCTTTGGGTCGCAGAGATTTCTGTCAATCATGTCTTCAGGACCCAACAATAAGTCTTCCGATCTGGAGGCAGCCCATCAAGACTTTGATACCCAGTCCAGTGTCTTCTTTGTATCGAATGTGCACTGCGCATCATGTGTTGCATATATCACAGAAGTGCTCTCCGAGACACCTACAGTCAAGAATATCGAAGTCACGATTTTGACGCATGAAGTGCGTGCGAGCCACAGCACCGCCGTTCGGCCGGCCGACCTCGTCAACGCGCTGATTCATGCCGCATTCGAAGTACACCATGTAACGACATTTGACCAACGAGGAAGACGCATCGCGGAACTCGACACCACTTCCTGGAATCACCGCGGCTCCACGCTGTTCTCCTCGCCACGAACCTCTGTTTCTAGCTTCTCGTCCAACATTAAAGAGCGAATTCAGACCAGCAGACAAAAACGACATATTGCCAACTGCGATGCATGCAGGAAGGAAGAACGAGAGACCTTTTCTCGTCATTCTTCTCGAACAGAGCTAGGACCCTTGGACGAGAAGTTCTCACAGAGTCCCTTCCGGCCATTGAGCAAGCACCACGAACAAGACATCACTGCTACGAAGCTTGAGTCAACTCCGGAGAATGCTGTACAGGAGAGTCTCCGTTCATTCGCCACCGAAACGAAAGTTCAACCCGATGTGACTGCTCCAAAATTACCTACAGACATAGCAGAACTTCCCAGTCCGTCCGCTGAATCAGCCTATGAGTTCACCGCACTGATTAGCATTGGAGGAATGAGCTGTGCATCGTGTGCCAACAGCATCACCGCACAAGTCCAACAGCTTGAGTTTGTGAAGGAAATCACTGTCAACCTTCTCACCAACAGCGCAACAGTAATTTATGTTGGACCTCGTGATAATGTTGACGAGGTTGTCGAGCAAATCAATGATGCTGGATTCGAAGCATCTCTTGACGAAGTGAACCAGGTCCCCAAACCACCGGCATCTGCAGAGCTGGCAGCACACTACGCCAGCGAAATTGCAATCACCGGCATGACCTGTGGCTCTTGTGTCGGAGGGGTGACTCGGGGAATTGAAGAACTTCCTTTCATTCGCAATGTGTCTGTGAACCTGCTTTCCCATAGCGGGAGGGTGGAATTTGAAGGCCGAGACAATCTTGACAAAATCATAGAGAAGATTGAAGACCTTGGATACGATGCCACCGTCAATAGCGTCTCCCCATTGAAAGTTGGCACCGAAAAGTTCAGCACTGCCCAAATCAGAACAATCCCCATACAAGTGGATGGAATGTTCTGTCACCATTGCCCACAAACTGTTTTGGGGGCAGTGAAATCGGTTCCCGGTGTCACCATCGAGGAGGCACTCTCTGAGAAAACCCCCATCCTCAAAGTCACCTACACTCCACAGCCACCTTTGCTCACTGTTCGCACAATAATCTCAGCGATCAACTCGGCAAATGACAATTTTCACGCGATTGTCTATCACCCGCCCAGCATTGAAGACCGGTCTCGTGCGATCCAGCATCATGAAAGGAGCCGTCTGTTGGCAAGACTGCTCTTCGTCTTTATCAGTGCCATCCCGACTTTCCTTATAGGGATTGTATTCATGTCTCTTGTCTCGTCTGAAAACTCTGTTCGAATGTATCTGGAGCAACCTATGTGGTCTGGCAGTGTCACCCGAATCGAATGGGCGCTCTTTATAATGACAACTCCTGTCATGTTCTACGGCACTGATGTGTTCCATGTCCGGGCCGTGAAGGAAATCTATGCGCTATGGCGGCCTGGAAGTCGGGTGCCGATCCTTCGGAGATTCTACCGTTTTGGTAGTATGAACCTTCTGATCTCTGCAGGCACATCAGTGGCATATGTCTCATCCCTGGCTGTCCTTATTGTTGATGCAGTTGTGGGCACCAGATCCAGCCCCCATAGCACGACTTATTTCGACTCGGTTGTGTTCTTGACTCTGTTCATTCTCGGTGGTCGATTCCTGGAGGCCTACAGCAAAGCCAGAACTGGCGATGCTGTCACATCTTTGGGCAAGCTTCGACCTTCAGAGGCACTGTTGTCTGATGACACTTCCGAAGATGGTGTGAAGCGTACGAGTGTTGACCTTCTGGAGGTTGGTGACGTCGTCAGTATTCCCCATGGCGCCTCGCCTCCTGCAGATGGAGCTATCGTCGATAGCACGTCATACCAATTCGATGAAAGCTCTTTGACAGGAGAATCGCGACCAGTCAAGAAAACAGCCGACGACATGGTCTATACAGGCTCAGTCAACGTCGGCCAGCCGGTACGGATCCGTATCACTGAGATTGGCGGTTCATCTATGCTTGACCGAATCATCGCCGTGGTTCGTGAGGGACAAAACAAACGTGCACCTCTTGAAAGAGTTGCTGATCTTCTCACCTCCCATTTCGTTCCTATCATCACCCTGATCGCCATTTCGACTTTCGTTATCTGGTTAGGGCTTGGTCATTCCGGTGTGCTCCCCGCGGATTATCTCGATGTCGCACATGGCGGCTGGACATTCTGGGCGCTGGAATTTGCAATTTCAGTGTTTGTGGTGGCTTGTCCCTGCGGACTGGCCCTTGCAGCCCCTACGGCGCTTTTCGTTGGGGGCGGGCTAGCAGCGAAGCATGGTATCCTGGTCAAAGGTGGCGGTGAAGCCTTCCAAGAAGCCAGTCGCTTGAATGCAATCGTCTTTGACAAGACTGGCACATTGACTGAGGGTGGAAGTCTGAAAGTTTCTGATCATGAAGTTTTGACCAATGACCCAGAAGTTGCGAAAGTCGCATGGGCTCTGGCTCGGAAAATGGAAGAGAGCAGCAACCATCCGATTGCTCAGGCAATCACTGAATTCTGCAAAACACAACAGTCTTCCTCTGTAAAGTCCTCAGATGTTCATGAGATTTCCGGGCAAGGCATGAAAGGAACTTTTACTGTCTCTGGCTCTGAGTACGAAACGCAATATGAAGCTGCAATTGGAAACGAACGTCTTCTCCAGAGTCTACTGTCTCCCGAAACAGACACATACTTTGTTTCCAACCTGCTGGCGAAATATCAGTCAGCAGGCAAGTCGACTGCAGTCCTCTCACTCCGTCAAGTACTCCCTCCGTCCACCGAACCATCCAAGTTCATACCTGCCATTATCTTCGCCACATCAGACACAATTCGCCCAGAAGCTGTCGATATAATTTCTCAGCTTCAAAAGCGTCACGTCGATGTCTTTATGTGCACTGGCGATAACCAAACCACCGCCCATGCCGTCGCAGACATGATAGGCATCCCGCGCTCCAAGGTGATGGCCAACGTCCTGCCAGCGGAGAAAGCCAGCTTTGTTCGTCAGATTCAAGAACGTTCGCCGAATACAACACCAGCCGATGGTGATACTACACCGAGTTCAAACCCATCACGTCCTATTGTCGCCTTTGTCGGCGATGGAGTGAACGACTCGCCCGCTTTGGCAGCAGCAGACGTGAGCATCGCCATGGCATCTGGCTCTGACGTTGCTATCAACTCTGCCAGCTTCATCCTCCTCAACTCTGATCTCAGCACGATTTTGCAGCTGGTCCTGCTCAGTCGCCGTGTGTTCAATCGAGTTCGTATGAACTTCGGTTGGGCGGTCGTCTACAACCTCTGTTTGGTTCCGGTTGCTGCTGGTGTGCTCTATCCTATCGTGAGTGGCCATCATCAGAAAACCATCGATGGCGAGATGGTCATGGCCAATGAGCACTGGAGACTGAGTCCGGTGTGGGCTGCCCTGGCCATGGCATTGAGCAGTATTTCTGTTGTGCTGAGTAGCTTGGCTTTGAGGATTGATAAAGAAAGTATTACGAAGATTGTGAGACGGAAGAGGTAGACATTATGGTATTCATTTATTTCGTTTTGTCATTATTTTTGTATCTAATACATGTGAAGGAACTCGGTCCTCAAGTCTGTTTCCAAAGTAGCCTCGATATGGGACCTTTTTAATACAAATTCACCTCCCCCCAAACTTCCGCAATCCGCTTGCTGAGATCTTTAGCAATTTTCTTCCGCCCTACAACTTCTGACATCCGAGTCGCTATCATAGTCTCTCGCTCCTTAGGCTCCAGAGCCATGTACGCATCCACCAAATGCCGTGGGGTTGGCCAGATCTGTTGGATTTCAAGGGCTTTTTCGCCCGTCACGCCACGGGTACACATAAGCATCTTAAGAAACACATCACGAAGAGTAAGAACGTCGGACTTGGAAGTGAGTGCGGAGAACGTCACGAATGAAACACCGTACGTAATGGACGGATCTTGGGAGCGGAGATTATCGAGGATGGTGAGGTAGGAGTCAGTGGACAGACGGCGGCCGGGGATGAGGCCAATTTTGGACACTGGAGATGGAGGAACCGTGCTACGGTTGATACTGCTATCAGTGTCTCCGATGGAGGGCGCATCATCTTCGACCCCGTACATCTTCCGCAGGAGCAAAGTCATGCGCGCTAGGTACCGGATTGACTCATCTAGATGTTTCGTCTTTTTGATAAAGTATTGATTAAGAACCTGTGTCGAGGCAATGGCCGACGCAACCATCTCCTGGTATTGCGCTGCACTCCCGCTAGTCGAGTCAGGATGCGTGACTGCGAACTCTTCGATCAGGTAGATGACGTTCTTGATGCCGGAGCGACGGAGCCGGAACTTTTGTTCGTGGAAACGCCCGTCTTTAATAGACCCGATCAGATCATCCAGACGCTTTCGCTCAACGATCCAGTCCAGCATCACTTCGTCGCCTTCTTCGCCGTGCCTTGGGAGGAAATTTGGGTCGTGGCATTTGGCTACCCACATTGCGTCACCGACTTCCAGGGCGCGTACTTGCGGCGTAATTCCTTGCTTCATCAGTTCGCCGGAGATGTAGTCGCGGTCGGTGGAGGTGCGGACTTCTCGGGTGTCTAATACGAGCTGGATGGTGAAGCTCTTGGGCGGGAAGAAGATGGGCTCGATGTTGGCTATGTCGTGCTCGGATAAATTTTCTTGGGCGTCTGCCGATGGCTCGTCATCTTGTTCAAGTGAGTCAAGTTCGGCTGTCAATGCCCCTTGCTGTGACTCAGTTGTTGAAGTAGCTTGGGAACCAGACGTGGCGGTTTGAGCAGCGCCAGGTAATGTCTTTTGGAGACGCTTGGCTACCTCCCAGCCTTCTTCGGAAAGAAGATATTTCCGAAGTGGACGTCCATGTTCATAGACTAGGTCTTTCTGGATGAGAGTTTTCATTGAATTCCACGCGGTGTAGAACTTGGTCGGGTCCGGGGGTGCCGTGAATGAACTGTCGCAGTATGGCTGAGCCACCTCGATCAGGTGAGCCTTCGTCATCCCCTGGGATGCATTCTCATCTTGGGTTCCCAAGCCCAACATCAGTGCATATGGACCAGATCGTAATGTAGGTACATACGGCTTGGCTTTCCGAGGCTTTTTCGCCGGTTGATCGACATCACCTTCAGATGTTCTCTTTCCACCTATTTGACCTAGTTGAGCGTCCTGTTTCGGTGCCAAGGTGCAATTGATACCACAAACCTTTGTCAGGCGGTTCCGGCATTGGAAGCCCATTTTCTTGACAGTGGGCCTTTAATTTATCAGTCAAGCGGTCACACAATTTAGGTCCTAGTCCATTCAATTGTTGTGCTTGAGACGGATGTTGGAATTCTAACGGACAGGCTTTCATTGACTCATAAGCCTTCTTGTACCTGCAAGATGTCAGATATAGTCTTTCCCGAAAGGCGCCAAGATATACGTACACGGTCACACCTTTGCTGTTTCGTTCTCGAGCTTGATCCAGCCATTCTTTGATCCACCCCAGGAGTAGGGGGTTTGCACACTCCTCGCTCATGGCGAGTCGAGTGTCCAGCGATGGAGTGGCAGATTAGTATAGCGAATTATCATCAAGACGAGTCTCGCCGGTTGGACGCGAGTGATGTTGCCTTTTTGGGAACGCGACTGGCACGTGCTGATAAAGAAAAGATAAGAAAGATAAGAAAGATAGGTCCTTGGGGCTTCCAAGGTTCCGTAGAACTGCTCTTAACTCACATTATACTTCGTTTGCAGATTTACAAAAGGCTAAGTTGATATAATTTACTAGCATTTATCATTTTTAATTCATGCGGCAGTTGGAATTAGCATTGGATAACCCCCAGGTCTAATGGGACTATTGCAGCCTTTGTAGTTCACCCAACAATAGAGTCAGATCTCTATTCTTTTTTTACAGGTCAAACCTTTCTATTCTTACAGTTCCAAGGTTTGTTCTATGCAATTTGTTACTAAAACAATCCAATTTGCTTCTAAGCTTGTTTGTTGTGTTGATTGCCACCGGATACCCTGATTCGAAGGAAGATGACGTCGACAATCCACACAAACTACAGGTACAAGACAGGACAGCCTCTCTCAATGTGGTTGACCTCGGAACAACAGACCCCTCATGAAAATATCGGGAATTCTACAACTATCTCACACCCATGTCTGCGACCCACAGACGGGCGATGCCACCCGCTTCGGTCGACGGTACTACAATTAAGGCCGACAACAATCTCACTAAGGACCTTGAATTCCCAGAGGGACCAACTGAGAGCCATGTGTTGTCTCAAGTGGAACAAGATGAAAAAGGCCTCTCACAAAAAGCTGGCGACACAGCGGAAATTACCAATATCGGATGGGGTGAATCTCCAGATGCCATCGGGGAACCTTTAGTGGCAGGAATATCCAATGAGGATTTGTGGATGCTCATTAGACGATTTGACAAGGTATGTACTGAGCATTTCACAGGAATATGTACGCGAAGTTGGAGTTGACCTTGTCATTTTGCATTTCAGCAAGTCTATCGAGTCAAAGCAGTTCCCGATGCTCCCGTGCAGAGACTAGATCTCACGAGAAAAGACGACGATGAATTCTCGCCGGATAAACTCCGGGCTACACTTGAACGTTTTTACACCACCGTTATTGTTGGCTTGACCAATTGTATCAAACATATTGCTCGACTACGGTCATGGAAGGAGCCGCGACGAACCGCTGCCTTTTGCACGGCATGTCTCCGTTCCAGAGAAATATATAATATATTTGTACCATTACTGATTTGATGCAGATCTACGTTTTATCATGGCTCCTCGATATACTCGTTCCAACTATGCTGCTCACCCTACTTGCCCTGGTGGTCTATCCACCATGTCGATCACTCATGTTCCCTCCCGCTCCAATTTCTCTTGTCAACAAAGATACGGGTGGTGTACAAAAGCCAAAGGCGGGAATCCTTGGATCTGATAACAGTATTACTGGGGCCCCCGAGAAATTCAAGGGCGAGGCAGCCGAGCAAGAGGCCAGTAATCTTGTTGCAAGTGTTGCCAGTGTGGCCGTGGGAAGCGCAGTCGGGAAGCATGATCAAGGGGTCCCTGATGATGCACCCTTGGAAGACGATGTGCCAGACGCGATGGATATGGTTGCCAATACTGCCGATGCGCAAAGCGCTGCTAATGGAAAGGTGCCAAGCGACTCCCATGACAAAACACGACAGCCTATGAGGCAGAGCGTGATGGACGCTGCGAACGTTTCTATGCAGGTGGTAGGCGACATTACAGATACCTATGAGAAGCTGGGCAAGTGAGTAAAGAGATTGTCGTTCTCTTGCCCATAGCTTGGAGTTAAATTTATTTATCTAGTGCTCTATCCGCAACGGCCCCGTTTCCTCAACTGAGTCCTCGTCTGCGCCTGGTGGCTGTGTTGGGTCCAGCATTCCTGGTCTCAATGCTGGCATCTTGCTACTTTTTCATGAAGCTCACTACACTTTCGATCGGGCTCGCCTTCTTTGGAGACCCTGTCATCAGACGAGGGGTTGTATATCTGAATCGCCGCGTCCCGGGGTGGCAGAAGCTTATTGAGTTGCAAAAGTATGTCTTCAAGCCATACATGTACTCATAATACTGACCCTGAAATAGTTTCCTCCTACAAGGTATTCCAACAAATGCTCAGCTGGCCATTACTCTTCTCCGCATCGGCGAGGCTAATGCGTCACCACTTCCACCCCCCCAACCTCACAAGACAAAGTGCCCTCGCGGCCAGCTTCTTTAAATCAGGAGGAACTAACACTAGGTGCTACTGACGAGGAAATTAAACAAGCTGCACTGGTTAAGCCTGACGACCACGTCCAGGAGGTCCAAGCTTCACCAGAGAAGAGCCACAAAAGGACATTGGGGTCTAGCATTCTGGGCTTCTTTCGGGGAACCACGGCTAGTGGTGTCGAGAGCAAAAGAGGGGTCGATCGCTTGCGAGCAGCAACCGGTTCCCGCCATGCCAAGAATCGTGTCGGCATCCTACGTGACAGAGGGAAGAGGATAACGCCTGGTGGACCTGTGGCATTTGACGCCCGATGCAAAGGCAAGCGGGGCACCGTGATTATTGACTCAACCAAGGAGCCTCCACTGCTGTATTTCACGACCGATACACCGCAGAATGGAGACGGACAGTTGGAGAATCGCAAGGTTGGATCAGTTTTGTTCACCATGCCGGTGACTGATATCCAGGAGATGCGAAAGTTAGGCGGTATGGGATGGAAGGGGAAATTGGTTGTTGGTTGGGCTCTTGGTAGTAAGGAGGTGGTTGATGGTTTACTCATCACTGGCAAGAAGCCAGGGCAGTCATATCAACTCACTGCAATGGGGACGAGGAACCAATTGTTTAATCGGCTTATTGCCATCGATGGACAGGTTTGGGCGAGCTGTTGATTCGAATTGCAGGATGCGTGCTAAGAGAATCGCAGGTTTGGAAATGATATCCCTGATCTGATGTTTTGCTTTATGTGCCGGTGGCATATGTACAGTCCGTTTGTTCCATTAAACAACGATGTATCAAGAGATATGAGACCATGAATTTCGTTACAAAAATCACTAACGACGGATGTCTTCCCCGTTGTGATATGGCATAAATTCACACCTGTAGCCGAGAAGAGCATGTAGACTAAAACATCCCATCCTATTCAAAAGCAACAAGTCCACATTAGTATATGTAGTTTTCATTGTTGAACAGTTATCCAGGACAGAACTTACGTCTTCCAGCTCCGCGTCTAAGATAGTTTCCACCATTTTACCAATGGCCGCTCCGCGCTCTTCTTTGGTCAAACAGCCAATCTTAACGAGCTCCGTCAAGGCCTCTCCAACCCAGTTCTGGCAATTCCAGTCTCGGTCGCTATTGCTGTTGCGCACTGACGTGCAAGCACATGCAAGAATGATCTTCTACTTGGTGACAGAGTCCGGCGCCGTACATACAGGAATCCAAGCTATTGGCGGCTCTGACATGGGGTTCTCGGTGTCCTTTTGAAATTTAAAGAAAGGATGTGCGCCGACAGCATGAAGCCAATCGTATTGGCCCTCGAAGTAGAGGGCGTGCAGCGCTGTGTGTCGGTATTTGGAGAAGTCTACTGGCACGCCTTTGTAGACGAGAAGGGATATTTGTGTTGGCATTTTGGAGTTGCTTATTATTCTGAGTGAGAGAATATAGAATATCTCACCCAAGTCGCTTTTCCCATGAACAACCCAAGAGTTGAAGGGGGGTGGGTTCAGGAAAAGCGGGCGGTGCCCAGGTGGTGACCTGGCTGACAACTTGTCTCGACTGGCACCCTTGGACAACCCTGGTTTATATCAAAAACCAAACTAAGCCTTCTTTGTCTCTTTTTGTAACAGATAAAATACCAAAGAGTTGAGAAACCAGCTAATAAATGATACCATTAGAAATTTTTAAAATCTATATAATAATTATTGTGTCAATGACTGTTTATAATCCCGCACGGTCTGCTCAAAAGACTCATCGCGTTTGAACCCCAAGGAGATGGCTTGAGTGTTATCAAACTGCGTCGGCCATGACTTTAGAATTGGGACCAGCGCAGAGTCCTCCTTCTCTGTGAGAAGAGCCAGTTTATCTGCACCGCCCACTGCTTCCAACGCATCCATCATGCCTTGGACTGTGACACAGATTCCAGGCACATTAATCTGACGAATATGCGGGGGAACAGAGTCCGCAGGAAGATGGAGAGTGAGAAGGAGATTTTCCACAAGGATCTTGGGCGAGCATAACCATGACTTGAACTCTCGGTCTTCAATGGGAATCACACATTTCTTGCCGTCAAGGGGCTCCCGGATCATGCCGGAGAGGAAGGACGAAGCTGCAGCAGTAGGTGCACCCGGTCGGACGGAGATGGTAGGGAACCGCAGGGTGAAGCCAGTAATAAACTTGCGGCGAGTGTATTCGTTCACCAGCGTTTCGCACACGATCTTCTCGGCGCCGTAGGAGGACTCTGGAGTCGGGATCACGTTGTCGGTCACAATCTCTGGCAACGGTTGGCCGTATACGGCCTGACTGGACGAATAAATAACCCGCACTCCCGGACAGGTGTGTCGGAGTGCATCGAGCAGGTTGCGGGTTGCATCAATGTTGACGCTCATGCCCAGATCGAAGTTGGCTTCGGAGCCGGACGACATGATGCCGTGAAAGGCATAGACGGCGTCCAAGGAAGAATCCACAATATCCTTGGCTCCTGTCAGGAGATCGGCCTTGATTGCCGTTGCGGACTGGGGATAGCGAACGCCCGCGGGAATTGGGGGTTGATGTATATCGGTCAATGTGACGCGATAGGCTGGGTCATTCAACAGCTCCTTCGCAAGCAATTGGCCGATGAAACCGGCAGCGCCAGTGATGAGGATATGCATTTTCTTGAGAATAGTGCAATAAACAAGGAATATGGAAGGGAAATGTAGTTCAATATGTAAGTTTGGCTTTCTCTCCGCATTCGCATCAAGTCCGAGGCGATCTTTAGGTGGTCCTCCGCACCGGACTTGGGCCGGCACAGCGGTTTCTAAGTGGATCTGCTGTGGAACTGCTGTGCACGAATCGCCTTGGAGTTTGGTCTTTCAGGGCCCTCTTTTGTTCCAGGGTCTCTCAATTGAGGTCTCTTGAATCCTGGGGAATGCCACGATTGTTCACGGGTACTGTGAGTGACCTGTCAGTTAAAGTCAAAGACATAGGCTATACTAGACCGTATTCATAGAGGATAGTTATTCAATTGTCCAAAACTACCAAAGCCGTCATCTTGAAAACCCAACGACATTTCAATGCTGTATAGAATAATGTCAAGGTGTGGATTTCGGGGAAGTCGAGTCCGCGGGGGTCCAAGTCACACAACTTGTTTTTGTTTCTCTTCCTTTCTCTTCATAGTACTACCTCGATTATCCATAACATCCCTCTTGAAATATACCTACAATTTACTCTAGCTCGTCGTTGTACTCGTGTCAGCTCGCTTTACTCCGACGCTGCCCCCCACTCCGGAGAAGATTTCGCCCCCTAACCTGCATGCCGGAGTATCACCGACTCTTCCCACTATTCTCCCCAGACTAGCACACATCATGGATACCAGTACTCCACTGAAGCGGTCTCCTGATGACGCTGGGCTGGAGTCGCCCCGAGAGAACAAGACACGTTCTGTCCCCAAGATCTCCAAAGCTCGTGCATGTGAGTTCTTCCCCACATCATCTCCGATACCCCCAAATTAACGTAGAGCAGGCGCAGAATGCAAGCGCCATAAGATTCGCTGTGAGTTTCGATCAGGAGAGTCAACTTGTACAAAATGTACTCGCAGCGGTATCAAGTGCGTCGTAAACGACTTTTCACAGAAATTCGTTGATGATGATGGGATGTACGTGTGACCCCGCCCCGGCCCTTTGATGAGATTTGGAGCTATCAGGGGGCTGCGCTAATCTAATGGCTCTGGTATAGATGGAAATCACAGGCCAATGCGACTATGCACCAGCTGCAGGCGGCTGTTTCGCATCTATTGCGACAGGGTGGACTTCCTGAGCTCTCAACCTATGCTCCCGGGGACACTCTCAATGGCCCCAGTCCTGCCGAGTCATATCATGGCCACCATCCCTCCGTCGATCGGTCGCAGACACAAACCAGTCACCAGGAGGGATTGGGAGTCGTGATGGATGTTACTCGAGAGCCGTCGCCGGAGCAGGATCTCCAAGACCCAGACTTGGTCCCTGCTCCTATGCGCAGTCTATACGAGGTCACTAAATTACGGAACCTGAGAAACAATCATGTCGAGGCACCGAAACAGACCTTGCTAGAGGAAGATTTTATTTCACGACGATTGATCTCTCTGCACGAAGCGGAGGAATTATTCGCATACTTCAGTCGCACTATGAACCAGCTACTGTGGGGGGGAATAATTCTTGTACACCGCGATTTAACGTCCGTCCGTCGCGCATCGACGCTTCTTTCTGCTGCGGTTTTGACTGTCGCGGCACTCCATATTCCGAACCGCACCGAAACCTTGAACCGGTGCTACAGCGAGTATGTATCGCTCGTATCCAACATGGCTCTCACGCGGGCCCACACTTTGGATGATATCCGAGGCCTCTGCGTGGGGGCATTCTGGCTATCAGAGTTGAGTTGGAAGTTGTCCGGGCATGCGGTACGAATCGCGACCGAGATGGGCCTCCATCAAAGTTATCAGCGCCTGACCCGTGGACACACGGATCAGTATGAACGCGCCCAGCTGTGGTATCTGCTTTATGTGTGCGACCATCACTTCAGTATTGCTTATGGGCGGCCACCTGTCATCCACGAGGATGTGGTGATTCGCAACTATGAGACCTTCCTCGCGCTGCCGATGATCGTCCCCGGAGACATTCGACTTTTAGCTCAAGTTGCTCTCTTTATGATTTTGACCGAGGCATATCGAATGTTTGGTAGCGACACTGAACAAGCATTGACCGAGGAGGATTTTGGACAGTTGCGCGTATACAATGTGGCAGTAGACCAATGGCGACTTCTTTGGCAGCCTCGATCTGGTGAGTGATTTCTCGATTTAATTCTCTGCAACTCTCGGTTCTAACATACCTTGGAATGCATTACAGCCGATAGCGCCTATGTGCGGACTTATCCATCCAAAGGGGTGGTTCTGCACTACCATTTCGCAAAGTTCCAGCTGAACTCCCTTTCTCTTCGTGCGCTCTCACCACACAACACACCTGTCTTCTCTATGGACCGCAAGGAATCGGCCAACATCGCAATCTCCTCGGCGATGGCATGTCTCAATATGGTTCTCGAAGAGCCTGATATTCGGGATGCGATTGTCGGCGTTCCGATCTTTACCCACACTATGGTTACATTCTCCGCCGTTTTCCTACTCAAGGTCGCAATCAATTGGAACACAGCTTACCTTAGCATCAACCCTCGCCAAGTGCGACGACTAGTTGAGCGTGTGATCGAATTGATGAATTGTGTCTCTGCAGGCGAGCGACATCTTACTCGACATATCGCACGTGGATTGGGCAAGATGCTCGAGCGCTTTGACGCTTGGGAGGCTGCTTGGCAATTCCAAGGAAGCAATGATACTGCGGTGGAAGGCCGCGAGGTCCCTGGGGGAGCCAACGCCATGGCCCAGGGGTTCCCTCCACCAGATCTGATCTATGGCATGGTCGGCACATACGGATTTGGTCTTGATGAAAATCTGCTAGATCCGAGCATGGCCGATTTTGACTTTCTAACACAATGACCATAAATATCCCCAAAGAAAGGCTTGAATCGACCCAAACCTGGGATATCAAGAATATTAAGGATACCAAGGAGATCAAGAGCTGAAACATTTGGATACCACGCTAGATCACGGAATGTAAATAGCTCCCTTGGTGACACGCACAGTTCTGTCATGGACCACGCACCTGGACTCCACCCGGAGTGTAAGCTATCACCCGTGGACCTTAACCTTAGGAACCCTAAGGTCTGGTCACTCCCATGTCGTCACCGTCACCTCCCGCTTATGCCCTTGAGTTCCCCCCCCTTCCCTCTTAGAGCTACGCCTGCTTTCCTCTATAAATCCCGTCCTCCCCCTAGACTCGGGACTTTTGCCAATCCAGAACCTTCTCTCTCCCTTTCTCCCATAATTTCACCCTTCCCTACCGTCTATCCTTAGTTAATTCTCACCAACCCCCCAATTATTTACTATGACTACCCGCAAGAGAAAGCAAGAGGCCGAGGAGGAGCTCCAGGCCCTTCCTAGCGATGTGAGCGAAGAGGAGGAAGAGTGAGTTGTTCCATCCCGTTATAAATTCTCCCTTTCTTCCCATTCTTGCGCCAATGTCCTGCGCATCATTCCACTGCACTTCTGCAGGCCTGTACTAGCTTCACATCCATCACGACATGATCTCGAGACCGCTGTGAATTGAAACATATCGCGCGAAACATCTCAAACACAATTGATCCTTGCTAACGCGATCGTGCGGTGAATTAGATATGAAGACTCCGAGCCCGATGTAGAGGAACTAAGCGATGAGGGCGAACAGGAGGAGGTGGAGGGAGAGTCGGAGTCTGAGGAAGACGAGGAAGAAGAAGAAGCAGCACAGCCCAAAGAAGAAGTCAAAGACGAAGGTACGTTCTACCCTTAGCCTTTACGGATACCCTCTTCATCTCCAAAGTTGCCCACGCTAACACACACCCCCCTCTCCAGGCGCCCCGGCAGCCAAGAAGCGGAAGACAGCGCCCGTTGTTGTCGACGATGACGAGGGTGTCGTGGCCGGGAACGGCGCAAAGGGCGAAAAGGACGAGGATGAGCCTGCCGAGGAAGAAGGCGAAGAAGAAGGCGAAGAAGAAGGCGAAGAAGAAGGCGAAGAAGAAGGCGAGGAAGAGAGTGCCACTGATACCGCCAAAGAGAGTGGTCCTGCTGCCGCTGCAGCTCAGGCTAAGGGTGGTGTTGTTCCTAAGGAGTCAGATCTGCCTGAGATTGAAGCGGCTGAGGAAGAAAAGTGATTTTGCGATCGAGAATTTGGTTTCTTCGAGGCAAGAATTTTATGCTGAACTAAAATGGAATTTGCCCTTGGGTGAGTGATCGGATTGCTTTGCTGTGATAACCTCCTGTATGCAATCAGAGGTGCTATGAAAGTAGAGTGCTGCGGTTTGGAAGTACGCTCTGACAAGAATAGTCGGCCGCTTATGCGGCCACTGTCCTTGAGAACCCAAGACTTTAATTGTCTGATGTATTTCAATGTTGGACCAAGATGGTATTAGGGATGTTATACTATGCAAGAACCCTTTGAAGTGCTTTTTAGGTGTATAAGAAGGCGGTAAAAAGCATACTTTGTGCAGACGACTTTTCTATGTATAACGTTTGATATAGTTATAGATCTAGGGATATCAAACTAGTTCATGTAAGTAGCCAATCCTCGTTGTGTTCTCGGGGACTTGGAGATGACGTGCATAGAAATCGCCGCTGAAGCTCATCTACTGGCTGAGTTCTATGTTTCTCTCCACTACAGTGGGTTCCGATGCATATACTAGCGTTGGGCAGTGATTAGAGGTAGAAGTCGAGGAAATGGATACAAACCCAAATCTACTACTCCATATGAGATCCACTTATTATGTTGAACGGGGGCACACGACCAGATAGGGAACATAGAAAATATATACCATCTAAGAAAACTACCTAATACTCGGACCAAGAGAAAGTGCAAAAAAAAGAGGTGTCATCAAGGATGGTCATTAGCCCTGCCTGCGCCCCGCTTTCTATCTTGATATCCAGGGGAAGAGATAAAACTGTCTTCCAACTCAGTTTGTGTCTGATCATCGCTAACATATTCAAGTGTCGCTACCGCTGCTGCGGAAGGTGGCACATAGTTGACAGTATTGGTGTGTGAGGTCGAGGACGGCTTGAGGCAGGTTTGTCGCTTGAACAATGCTGCGGACCTTGACAGCACCCTCGTCCTCAATGAGCTTGCGAACCAGGAACAAGAGCTCGGGGGAAAACTGATGGTTTGTTAGTTATAATGGTCAAAATAATATTAGCCAGAGAAAAGAGCATACCTCGGAGTACCAGCGATATTGCCAGGCGATGAGGCGGATCAACGCGCCGAGCATGCCTCTGGTGTCATTTCGTTGTTCGTACAACTTCAACACTCCGCGCATAGCCTTGGGTGAGAACCGAGTGGCTAGACAGCTCTGGTATGCCTCAATGCTCTCGTCGAAATGGTGCAGCCGCTGCGCAAGCTCACCAAGAATTTCCCACTCGGTAGCAGACTTCTTGTATTCCATGGCTTGTTGACGGAACTGGGCCATTTCAGTCCGCCAGATGGTGTAGATGCGCAAATCCTCATAAAGTACCATAAACAAGTTATCTAGCCACCTTTCACACAGTCGCTTGTTTCGGAATTGCGTGTATGAGGCGTGAGATGGGTCGGGCTTGACACAAACAGTTAGCATATATAAAATACATCCCTGAGGGGTGTGCAACATACATCTTCCTTGCCAGACTTGACCACTTCTGATGCTACTGTTTGCTCCGGTCGCTCGAGGGGGCTTTCAAGGTGGCTGTCTCCCACATCTCCATTGGCAGTTTCTCCCGAAGACGGCTCGGTCGGGTCAGGGCCAGCCACAGAGCCAGAGTCATCTCCGTTGCCGTTGGTCTCCGCCCCCACTGATGTAGCGGGCTTAGGAACATGCTGCCTCTCAACACGGTATTCTTCTTCCATCACAAAAACTTGGCTGCGAGCCTTGAGTAGCTGATCCCATCCAATGGCAGCAGCGATTTTTGTCAGAAGATTGTAAGCCTTCAAGAAAGTACCTTGGTAACTAGCAGCATGGATCTTTCGAAGCGAAGGGTGAACATAGTCGTGAGGGTCTCCCTGCTTTGGCTGGCCTTCGTCTATCTCATCGAGAATGCTTTCAGCAAGAATTGGGAGCATGATGCGTGACGGTTGTGGCATGCGAGGGGTATCTTTGTCTTGATAGGTGAACATGGGGCAAGAGTTGAGAGTCAGAAGCGCCAGGTCCCAGCGTTCCATACTGACATATACCTCTGCGAGGCGAGCCCATGTACTGAACTCGCTGGGTGCTGCAGTAACTGCACGCTTAGCGCACTCAAGTGCCATCTCGCTTTCGCCTTTGCTTTGACAGAAACTAGCCTGGCAATCAAGCAGAGCATAGTCCATTGGAACATCTTGTAAGGCGTCGTACATGAGGCGTACCGCTTGTACCTCCTCGTCTGCCATAATCTGTACACGAGCCAGGAGGGACGAAACCTCCACATCCTTTGTGCGGAGCTTCTCAAACAAGTTGATTCCAGAGGTATAGCGGCCAGTCGTGTGGATGTATTTGAGGATGCCGGATGTGAGGTGATTGCTCACAGTGTTAGGGACTTGGGTTTCGGGGTCAGAGCTGAGTTGACGTCCTAAAAGGTTGTTAGTCAGAGACACAACAGGCAAATTGATTCGAGATTCATACCCAAGAAGAAAAGCTTCTCGGCAGCATCCAAGAACTTGTGCTCCATCTCTGTGTTTGTCACGGGGTTGAATCGTCGGACTCCAACAATCCGCTTGACGGAATCGCCGCTTCCATCGTCCGCATAGAGATAAGCCCTCAGAACTGCGCAAAGGAAGGTCTCAAGCCAAAGAGCCTCAGTAGCAACTCGCTTATCACCCCGCTCATCAATGCAGTAGCTCTCCAAGCTTCCGGGAATTTTAACTTCGACACGCATATCGAGATGCGAGAATGCATTGTAGCAACTGTATAGATATCAGCATGTGAATTAAACACTGTACCAAAATAGATTCTAACCAGTAGATCCCCGACACCACTTTATGCGTCTTGTCGAGGGGAGAGAATGTGAGGGTATTAACATAGGCGGCTAAGCTAGCGGACGAGGAGGCATCGATTCCGGTGACATGATGATAAAGTCCGGTCTGCGATAGATAGAAAATCAACCAATTGTTCACACATGGGGAATTGTATCATGGAAGGAAAGCTGGTATCTTATATCTTACCTGGCGAGTCGAATTGGCCTTAGGCTGCTTCACCAAATAGACCAGGTCTGGAGGGCCTAGTTCTCGCAAGCTCTGCAAGGACTCCGTTCGCGCATCGACCGCAACATAGATATCCTCCTCTTCATGGATCCTAAATTATGCCCTCAATGTCAGTCACAACTCCTGTAATTGTCATAGGGGCAGCTCTTGATAATGTCGAACAATGGCCATGCATACGCAACCCGGGGAACACGTAAACGGGGACATGAGCACATACTCAGGGACAGCGGGCGCGACCATGGCGCCTGCACAAGCGCGATGGAATCAAAGATGAGGGTATCTTAATTAATGAATTGTGCGTGAATCGTAAGACGTTTCAGGGGTTGCGCTGAGGGGAAAAGTGAAGAGTGATCTAAGAATACTCCATCTGTTAGTTACTCTCCCCCAAGAAAAGGGTTCCAGGCAATAAGGCACACAGGCACACAGGCACCCAGGCACCCAGGCATACAGGCCTCAAACACTTTCCCCGATTGGTGCAACGCGTGATAACGTGTCTGCCCGCGATAACCAATTGATTTGCTCATTATTGTTGCCCGCATCTAGGGTCTCGGTATCTTGCCCGATGCTGTCGCCTGATTTCTCTTTTCCATCTAATATTTGAGGGACCCACGTGGGGCTCACACCATGTCGAGCTGGGTCGCATTGAATGTTGAGCCCGATGAGGCCGTCGAAGAGGAAGTTGACGACACCAAGGAGCTTCAGATCGAGGAAGCTTTGAAGCTTTACCACAGTGCCTTGAAGCTGCATTCACAGGGGCCAGAGCATTATTCCCAGGCTGCTGAGGCCTATGAAGCTCTTCTCAATTCGGAGATCTTCAAATACCCAGAGTCTATCTCCGATTTCAAAAGGGGTGCATTCGACGATGCGCACGATGAAATTGCTACAGAATCAATCGCCGAGTTCAACGTGAACGACTCTACCTCTAGTCTATTCCAAACGCTCTATCTGTCCTATAAAAACCACGGCAAATTTGTCCTCGATTCAGTACAAGACTACATACGAACAGCGCCACAGACTCCCGAATCCGAGCAGGAAACACAAAGGAAGTTGACGGAGGCATCCAGGAAAGCTCTAGGATCTTTCGGAGATGCCTTAGAACGAGACGACTCAGATCTCAACCTCTGGAGGCAAAGCGCAAGACTCAGCAGTTCCTTAAACAGCTACCGCTTGTCTCGGTATTGCTTGGAAAGTGTGCTAGCAGACGATGACAACCGCTTGGAACTACGGTCAGAGCAGCTTGGCCTAGAGGAGATATTTGCGGAGCAGCGCCTGCGAAGCACGCTGCAGTCCCTCTTTGACAAGTTATCTGCCTCGCAAATCCCTGTACAGAGGCCAAAGAAAGCTTTATTGAAATACCTCAAACAGCATGAGGATCCATACCCGAACCTGCCCGCCCTTCCCGCCGATTTGAGCTGCCTGGATCCGTCAAAGGGCCCTCTTGCCCTGCACGCTTCCCGTCGAGAGATAAGCCCCGCTGACCCAACCTGGGAGTCAGTTGGGAAGGCGCTTCTCCAAGCTCTTGACGGTGAAGATGATGACTCGCTCGCTGTTGTTCCCACTCGGTCTATCGGCATTATCTTACCAGCCAGAAGCTCCCAAGCTCCCACTACACCCATCGCAAATGCAGAGGACACGGAAATGGCCATTGATACCGAGGGGCGCGGAAACAAGGGTGGTAACGAGGTTGCCGACGTGATGATTGAGACAACTGAAAATGATGGCAAGCCTGAAGAAAGTTCACCTCAGCCAACGAAAGAGCCCTCTGAGCCAGGTGAGGAACAATCATTCATCGATCAAAGTGCTGAAAAGCAATTGATGGAGTCGTTAGAACGTCAATCGACGCAGCCGCAAGATCAACAGGCCGAACAAGATGGGACTCACGCAGAAGTTGACACGAACTCTGCAGTGGACATTCGCAAAAGATCGTCTGCATCAGCTGCGAACGAAGAACCAGAGGGCGGTCGCATGAAAAGCAGACGGACTAGAGCCCGAGAGTCAAATGCCGACACTCTAGCACCACCTGAAGAAGTTGCATTCGATCAAGACAAGTACTATGAAGACCGTCTTGAGGTTTTTGTCAATGCCGATGATTGGATGTTCAGCACTGTCGACTCTCTCTTCTCGAAGGTCGGTATTGATGCACTCGGTAGCATTGGAAGTCTGAGAGAAAAGTGCTCTGGGAATGACTCAACCGATACACCCCAAGATCTTGAGACGCGCTTGTTTCAGGATTTCCGAGGTCTCATCAAGACATGGGACGACGAAAAGTCTCGACTGATGCAGCAGAAAGATGATTTATCTCCGCTGAAGGACATCCGTGGCACAAGCAAGTCCGGATTGGCTGTTTTCCTTGAGCACTCAAGAAAAGGGACTCGGAAGTCAGTTATCGAAGAAGAGCTTCCTTCTGGGGAGCAACTTTATCATTTTTCCAATGCCATCAACTCTGACTGGCTACATCCCCATGAAATTTCGTTCGAATGGCTAAAGTGTCTTCTCATGCCGGATTTCGGCCAAGAATCTTCAAATTGGTCGACAGCAAAGTCGACTTACGCCGGTTTTCTGTGGTCAAAGGACCTAAAGAAAACAGTGGTAGACCTTTTAGTTCAGGAGGATGAATTTACCTACCAGGTGTGCAGCGAACTGATCGCCAATCTTGAAGCTCGAATTCTTGGCTCAAGCAATGGAGCTCCATTTGAATATAAGGCTAAAGACTTCTTCGAACTTGAGATGATACAAACTATCTACGAACTTCATTTGGATGTTTTTGCTTCGGTTGAGAGTCTTGGCAGTGAGACAGCCCAGGAGACAAGACTCGCACAGCGTGATCGGTTGGCTCGATGGGGTATGCTAGCCCGGTCATCCATAGATCATTTTGTCAACCACAGCCCATCCGGCGAATCCCAATCAAACCTCACTCTGCGCCATTTGTGGGCGTCGGCATTCCATATCAATCTTGCCGGGGACGCACAGCGAGAACATATCCTGCTCTGTCTTCAAGACCTGAAGCAAATACTTCAGTCCCTTGGAAACCCAAGTGTCAATCTCATAAATAATGCTACGATGTCAGAATTGTCCGCTGCTGTGATAGACCAGGAGGTCTTGAAGCTCAAGTGCATGGACTTTTTCGCCAAGGTATTCAACTCAGACTCAGAGGATCCCGTGACTCTCATTGAAGCAATAGAGCCAATTCTTGAACCCTCGTCGATTGAGTATGCTGAAATGCCAACGGAGAATGACATGAATCACCCTACCTCACATCTCGCTGAAATGGCTGCCTTCCTCGATAGAGGAGATGCTACATTGCGACTATTCCTCTGGCGCCGACTCCAGGAGGCATACCAAGCCATTGACTACCCGCCTAAAGTTGTCTCTTGCTATTTACGGAGCATCGAAGTGGTAATGGCAGAACTCGAGGCAGCGAAACACAGCGAAGAAACCAGCCAACATCGTCAAGTAGCTCTGTTGGGCTGGCTCAAAGCCCTCGATGGCATTGTGGCCAAAGCTATAGTGCTTATCCTTGAAGATTCGGAACAAGCATTCGACTGTTTCGACATGGAGCATTTACAAACCTCAATGTCTGCTGTAGCCCGCCTCGTGAGGCTGTTGCACAGCTTTATTCTTTACGAGGACTCGGTGCGTGTAGGCCAGATTTCTGGTCGCGACTTCCGAGGCTCATTGGCGAAATCGCTGGAAAATATGAAAGAAAGAATGCGAGAGCTATATGTTCGCTGCTGGATCTTGCAATACACCCTCTTCATGGAAGCGATTGCCCAGAACAAGGAGCTTTTCGATGATCCACTTGAAGACCGCATTCATTTCCTTCGTTCGGTCCACAATGCATTGGGCGTTCGATCGATGTGCAGATATTCGCAAAAGAGGTTCTTGAAGCTTCTGAAAGCGGAGCTCTTTGGTCTTGAAACCAAGGGAGATTATGAATTCGATGTGTGCCAAATACTTCTCGATCTCCACGGTATCAAATTCTCTGCATTCGATGGGACTGTGGATCATGGATGCCCTCCCGAGAAATTAGATCGCCCTACAGCGATCATGATGATCGACTTTGTTCTGCAACAAGCAAACAAAATGAATATGAAGGACCTGTCCAAGTCCGAATTGAAGACTACCATTGAAAAGATGCAGCAAGCGATTGGCCCCGCTAAGGCCTCTTCGCAGACACCTCAGTTGACTTTCAATCGTCGCCTTGTGAATGCATATCTTAAAGCCCCACTCAACCCATCCAATCTTCTCCGTGCTGTTCAGGGAATTACAGAGCTTTCGACGACAATAGTTCCCACTGAGAATGCGAAGATCGCTTCGAAGGGGTGGTTCTTCCTTCTTGGCCATGCCGCACTCACCAAGTTCCGATCCCAGAAGCGCCTCAGCCCTGGTCCAACAAGCGAGCTTGATGACGCCATCGGGTTCTTTAGACAAGACTTGGATCATGGAACAGGGAGATGGGAAACCTGGTATAGGCTCGCCCAAACTTATGACTCGAAGCTTGACGAAGACATTACATGGACAGCTGATAAGATCAATAACAACCGGTCGGACCTAGCAGCATTGCAGCGAAATGCTATTCATTGCTATGCCATGGCTGTTTCAACAGCAATGAGGACTGCAGAGCCAACGGCAGAGACCAGAGAAGTGATGTCAGATCTTTATTCAGACTTTGGTATCCGCTTGTACTCATCCTCTCGCGAGCCGCTATCCATGGGAGCCTTCAGTGTTGCGGACTTCCCTCGCCATTTCAGCAGCGAGGAGAGCCAACAAATGTACAAGGGCACGCCCTTCAAAGAAATGACGGCTTATTCAACATGGAATTTTGCTAGCAACCTTCTCAAACGGGCAGCTGTCGACAAGTCTAAGCGATGGATGTAAGTGATTTCAATGGGACTTGACAGGATTGGGACATTTGAAATAGTACTAACACATCAATAGGACTCACTACACGCTTGGCAAGTGTCTTTGGAAAATGTTCATCAGCGATGATTCTTTGAGAACGACTTCCAAAAAAGTCGAAATGCAAGAGGTGATAAATGCTGTTCTCGATGCTATTGCTGCACTTCCGCAGCGAAGAGACTCACGCTCTGATCCGATCTTTGAGCCACATTTCAAACTTTTCTCTTTTGTACACAAGCTTGTTCTTCGAGGAAACATGACAGTAAGTTGTATCTGCTCCTGACATGAAGAACTCATTCTGATAGCAACACCAGCCTGCCGAAGGAAGCAAGACCCTCCTTGCAACTCCCTGGGCCCGGAAGATCGAGCCTCCTGAGAGCATGGAGGGATGGAACCCATACATACTCGAAGTCCTTAGGAAGTACAAGAGCGCTGACAAGTCCAACTGGCATCATCGCATGGGTGTAAAGGTATATCACCCGCAGGTTGAATTTCTTTTGTCCATATTGCTTACAACGCCTAGGCTGCGCATGTCATTTACGACGAGCAGCAAAACGCAACCGCTGCCATTGCTGCCAAGCAGGAACTTTCCCAAATATTCACCAAGACACTAACGATCCAAGTCTGGCGGCCAGAATTTGAACGTCCGGGTCGACATTTCGTTTACACGACCCGCTACGTGTACTTTTTTGTTGGCCTACTTGACCAACTTGACGATCGCGCCAGCTTGGATCAACTTTTGCGCCGTGTGAGAAAGAAGCAAGGCGATTTCTTCAACCACACCAAGCTGTGGGAAGACATTTGCCTAACTTATGCAAAGATCATCCGCCGCGCAGCCAAGATCAACGAAGGTCACGAAGAAAGCGTATTCAAACCAATCGGGTGGGAAGAGTTCTCCACCAAGACAGCTCGCTTGGAAAGCCTACCTCACCTTGGACCAGAGAGCCAGGCCATCTTAGAACTACTTCGAGATGCCCTAGAGCTAAAGAAGCTCAACAACAACCTAATGAAAATCACCATGTTCGAAGACCTGATCGCCGACCTCTACGCCCGACTCTACGAGACCAACACGCCCCACCTGGTCGAACAAGCAACCGAGGAAAACAAAGAAAAGATGAAAGTCGACCACGTCCTCATGGTAGGCGACGGCCTTCCCGAGACCTCAACCCCTCCAACGTCCGTCCCAGCATCTGATGCCCCGGCACCCCGCGGCCGGACAAAGGGCATAGCCCGCCGCGACATCCAGAAACGCGCCGACACGATCGTGAACACAAAGCTGGCTCCTCGGGCCGTGGCGAGTAAAATAACAGCTACGGGCGAGACGGAACCACCTGCGACTCCGCAGGGCGTTGGGCCGACTGCTGCCGGGCCGACTTCTGCGGCTGGTGGCTCAGCAAAGCAGGCTCCTGCTGCTGGGGATGGTTCGGCTGAGCAGAGAGATGAGCATGACAGTGCTGATGAGACTGAGCTGAGCGAGAATGAGGACATGAAGCTAGGTGATGAGGGGACCTCGGCGCTTTTCCCTCATGTTACTGATGCAGAGGAAGGGGCGACCGGTGATGAGGGTGCGGAGGATGGGGATGGTGAGGATGAAGGCGAAGAAGGTGATGGGGATGGGGATGGTGAGGATGAAGGCGACGAAGGTGATGCGGATGGAGATGGAGATGGAGATGGAGATGGTGATGGTGATCGTGGTGTGACTGAGGGCGAGAGAGATGACGATGAGGAGATGCAGGATGAAGAAACAAAGTTGGAGGAAGAAGACAAAGAGGAGAAAGGTATTCTCACTGCCGATCAGTCGGTCAACGATACTGAGACTGAGCATGTCGCTGACAAGCCAGATACCGGGGAACAAGATGCCATGGATATTACCCCATCTGAGTCCTGAACAATCTGCTATACATCCCAGGAGCGGGCTTGCTTTCTTTTTTCTTTTCGGTTTATGGAGCACATGGGGTGTTCTTCCCAAGACAGGAATCTTTTTAAAACTACAAGATGGCGTTGAGAGACAGGTGGCTTGAATGGCTTACGAGCTAGCATGTACAATATTCGCAAAACTCAAATCTGGGATTGTCGATTGGGAAATGAAATATCAACAATTATTGAACAAAAGGATCGATCAGCCCCGAACGCCTTAGCCAAGGGATATCATTCCATATTACCTAAAAAAAAGTAACCCCGGGAATTAAAAGGTCTAGTATCTCAAGCAGCGTAAGAAGAATAAATCGTAACAGTCATGACGGAGTCGAGGAGGAAAGAAGACCACTTAGATCTGGTCCTCTGGGGCGAGGTCCCATTTCCGGGTACCCATCTTCCTCGTCTTCTTAGTAGGCGAGGCTCCTGGCGATGGAGGAGCAAACATGGTATCTGCAAGCTTCAATTGATCCATGCGTTGCAAGGCGTTCTCAATATCGCTCTCGCGGCCGAGATGATTGGACCGCGCGGGCGTGGCATTCTTGGGTCTATGCTTTCTTGTCGGGGATTGGTTGTGCATCTCACGCTCGAGAGCGGCGAGTTTGCGGCGAAGCTGGTCATTTTCTTGCTCGAGCTCTTCCACTCGTTCGTTCGACCCCGAATCTTCAAATACTGGAGATAGAGGTTAGTTCAAGAGTTCCTATACGTCGCTCCTTGTGGGCCAGCTTACTTTGGAATCCACGGGATACAAGCTCAACCTTCTTGTCGATGTGCTCATCATTACGACCGATCTGAAGATTATTAGCGTTTTGATCGGGCTTAAGCTCGTCCAGGGATACGAACCTGCTCATCCCATGCCCTCTGCCAGCGTCGCCTTTCTTCTTCCGTTTTCTCATCCATCTCTGCCCAGCATTCTTCTCGCACATCTTGCTCGATCATGAGACATCTTTCTTCAGCAGCTCTCAGTCTCATTTCAACATCAGACCGTGCAATCTCTTCTTCAGCTAACTTAACAGCAAGGCCGTGGCAATCGCGTGTAAGGCGTGTAATCTCAGCCGCAGCTCTTTGGAGCTCTTCGGTTGAATCAAAATTTGGCGAAGTGCAGCCACTGACTGAGCGGTGACTACCAGAAGCGACAGACAAGATAGATTCACAGACCGAGGGAACTCTAGGAACCGTAACCTCACGAGCCAATGCGGAGTAGCGCAAAATTTGGGAGGTGGCGTTGAAATCACCCAGAGGGTCAGCGGTGACGATCATGATACCCTTTTGGGGATATTGGCCTCTAGACATCTGATGAGATGATGGGAATGAATTTGAAAACAGAAGCTCGGTCAATTTGCACTGCCGGTAAGGAACGAGAGCAGTCTTTGTAGATTAGCAGCTGCCAAAAGAAGCACACCGACGATAAGTTCAAAACTCACCTTCATTCCATCCTGTATATTGCTTTGCATCTGCAGGCATTGGCCGAGGTACATCAAGCTTTCGTTGATTTTGCCGGCCTCAGCGAGTGTGGCACCAGCTGTTTTTGCCGTTCTCGCACGCTCGGAGCCTAGATTAATTAATAGCAGCCCTACTGTAAGGATACAACTTACTTACCAGCAAGATCCACAACAGTGAGGGCATTTCCAGCCCAGTTGTGTTCACCGGTTCGCTTTGAGTATGTCCGCTTCTTGACTTCCAGGGAAAAGAAGCCATGGCTTCGAGAGCTAACGCTATTCATCCCAGTGCCAGTTACCTTGCGTTCGGTTAAACCAACATCCAAAATAGCCAGTGCTTCCTCATAGCTGCTGCAAGCAATTTTTCGTAGCCCTGCAACCAGTTTTCGATCTGGTGAGCCTTCGGTAGGCTTGAAGAGCAAGGGACGTCGTCGATCCTTTTGGTTATTGCCGCGGGACATGGTTCCCTGACCCGAGACAATAGAGGGAGACAGAAGATCAAAAATTCGGTCATTGTATACCTCATACATTGACACCAAAACGACATAGTCGGCATTTGGATCCATATCCACAGTAAGGTGGCTCATATCAGGCAACCTAGGAAGGGCGCATGGACGTTCACGTATGTGACGGCGGGGGAAGTTCAAGGCAGGGGTCGGTTCCTTAAAGACATAAAGTCGAGATTTAGCTGATTTGGGCTCAAATAGATTGGAGTGGGTGTAGGGAATAGGATTAGAAAATCCCGGGGTGATCCATCCAGAGGGCTCAGTCGAGACCTGGCCAAAGCCAGCTCGAGCAGCGCCACTGGGACTGGTGATAGAAGACAAATCCACCTTACGGGGGCTTCCAGGTTGAGGTCTCGGCCTTGGGAGAGACGATCCAGGGGTGCGCGCTCGCGGGGTCGGGGATCCTTGGGGGGAGTTCAAGGTAAAAGGGGCTTCGTACCATCAAAGGAGTATTGGCACGCGAAGGGCTCATGGGTGTTTGCGCTCTCGACGTACGTCCATTTGGCTCGCCATATACAGCTTCCAAAAATGTCTGGGCGGAGAATAATTGGGCTTCAGAAGCGTCGGCGGCAGCCAGCGAGGCAAGCATTACAGGAGTAACGCTACCATCGTCGGTCTTGGCTGTCGGCTCTAGGGAGCGGAAGATAACGTCAAGCGCCATTTGGGTCATTCCTCGTTCGGTCTTGGATCCTAGAATAGTGTGGCTCTGTGTATGATCAACCCGTTAGCTTTGTTATCGCGACGCTGCAATATTCGGGAGCAGACCTTTCCGCTGCCTGTGACTCCCAAGGTAGCGACTAGCCCATCTCGGTTTTCCTTCAGCACTCCGCGTATGATAGGCTCCATCCCAGTGTCATGGAATACATCCAGTTGCGAAGCAGCCTCCTCGAAGACCTTCGTGAAACCAAACCTCTCGACAGCGCGCTTTCTCGTGTCATTTGGTGGTTGAAGGGTAATATGTGTTGATCCCGGCAAGACGATATCTGTTTCCTCCTGCGAAGCCTCTGGCGGCTCAACGTTCAAAAAACGGTCGGATTCGTTGGGTTTTTGGGCCATCGGTGGCCGTAGCCGGAGATAAACTTGGAACAGCGAGGTTTGGGGCTGTTTGGGCGGCATTTTGGGCGGCTCGTTAGTATCTAGAGAGCACGAGGGCAGGCGATGTTGAGCCTTTGAAGTTGTGGGGTGGAACACAGTCCAATGCCAAACAGCTGAGCAAATCAAACTTGGAAAGTCCAGAACGTCCACAGATCAACATCACTCTTACCACTTTGAGTTCCTGGTTACCCTGACAACAACTATATCACGTGCGACTATAATGATTATATTGGATGTATACGGGAAGAACGAATGGGACTTGAAATGCCAGATAACTTGGTTGCTCATGGCCCATATTACCCTTGTCCATTACTTGTCCTTGAACCTGAGCTCTCTGGTTTACGCTCATATTACAGAATGTACTATCAGCTTAAGATGGTGGAGCGTAGATATTGCTTTTCCATGGTCCCGAGGTATCCCCGAGCTATATGCCCATTATTACCTAGGCAGTCAACCTCTCTGATCCTTGGAGTACTTTGTACACATATGTTGGTTGATGTTGAAGTAAATTGATGTGTAACCCTATCCCATACACTTAAAACAAGCGAAAACGAGTTGCCTAAATGGGATTAGCGTGATAAGGAGGCCAATCATAAGCCGGGGATCTGTGGCAGTGAGATGGATTCGTATTAGGAGCGGCTATGTCGAGCGCAGAGGGGCGCAGAGGTAAATACGAGGTCATTTTAGGCCCAAGGATCGGCTATGGCTATTTTTTGTGGATCCAGACAGATTGACGAACTAGCCAAAATATCATGAGGCGTTGGAAGGAATACGAAATTACCCAAAGTGAACAAGCATGAAAAGCACCGTGCAAATTTTGTATATATATATGTATCTAGCTAAAGTCCCTTGGTTTGGTCAATTGGTTTTAGTAAAATACTCATACTCTCCAACCTGCCATCAATTACACCAACTACACAGTAGTGTTTTTGCACAAACTGGATTGTTCGCACCAAGCAATATATAGTTGGTGGATCTACAACAACGATGCTCGAGGCAAGGTCATCATATCGTAAGTCTACTAAATCAATCACGATCAATGGTTTATCTGACAAAACAAAGAGGATGGAAGCCTGTGGTTCTATGCACCGAACAAAGGTGCTGCAATTGCCTTTGCGATTCTCTTCGCTGTCTCTGGCGGCATCCATGGATATCAATGCTTGTATGTGACCTCTACCCACTATGAACCCTTAAATTAACCAGATTTCCCAGCAAATATAAGTCCTGGAAAGTCACCGGCCTTCTTCCATGGTCTGCTCTTCTGTTCACGGCAGGTTTTATCATGCGAACTATTGGAGCATTCGGGCAGTGGGAAAATATTGGCGTCTATATCGCAAGCACCGTACTTCTCCTTGTCGGACCGTAAGGAGTACCCATCCCATCATGAGATACGCTACTGACCAATCTTCAATTATTCCAGACCAGTATATGAGGGTGCTAATTTCTTCATTTTGGGTCGCATACTCTACTACATCCCTTATCACTCTCCCATTCACCCTGGCCGCGTACCCACCACCTTCGTTGCCTTGGGTGTGTGCATTGAGATCATTACCGCGAACGGAGCGGCCCGACTCGCAACTGCACAGTCTAGTGTCAGCTCGCAAAACGCCGGTAAGGCAATGCTGAAGGCGGCGCTTATTATGCAGATCGTTCTGATGATAGGCTTTGTGGCTTTGGCCGGCCGATTCCACTTCAACTGCTCCCGAAAAGGCGTATTGAACCACAAGATCAAGCATGCCCTACTGGTGTTATACTGCAGTTGTACCCTCATAACGATCCGTACCATCTATCGCACTGTGGAATACTTTACTGCCGCGAGTCTGAATGCCTACACTGACCTCGAGAATATCAGTCCTGTATTGAAACAGGAGTGGTTCTTCTGGATTTTTGAGGTCGTGTTCATGTACAGCAATACCACTTTGCTGAATGTCTTTCATCCCATGCACTGGCTTCCCCGATCAAACAAGATTTATCTCGCTGAAGACGGTGTCACGGAGGTTGAGGGCCCTGGCTATGACGATTCCCGCCATTTTCTCCAGACCCTTGTCGATCCATTTGATATCTACGGACTGATTGTTAACCGAGGCAAGAAAGAGAAGTATTGGGAAGTGAGTCCGACTCGGAGAGAGGACACCACTTCTAGAACCACTCAAAGGGTATGAGCGTATTTTGTGTGGATATGTTTTCTTCTTTCTTTGATATTCAGACCGTTACTCGGGTGTTACCTTTTGTTTATCTCGCCCTCATATAATTTGTATCTCATATATTTTATAGAATATGCATTCAATTGAAAACTGCAGATATATATATCAAACAAACAAAAGCCCATAGCTCACCAATCTTCATTTTCTTTACCCAACTCCTCCTGGATTTCCCAACTATACCGAGCAAATTTGCTCGCCCGACGAATCCGCTCTCCGTAACAGATAAACACAGGTGGGACTATACAAAACGCAGTTGCCACAGCAGCAAGCACAGACATAGCAACATTATTTCCCAACCGATCAAACATCTGCGTCGTAAACAGCGGAAAGACACCCGAAAGCAGCGCTCGCATGAATGCAACAGCAGCGGTAGCACTGGCCGAGTAACTCAAATAAGCATCGGAGATATACCCATACAGCACGGTATCCATTTCCGTCAGGGCATAGCCCACCAGAACGAGGGAAATCGTGGGCACAATCCACGGAGTTTGTGTCTCGGGTGGAATAGTCCAGGCAAACCACCATAGGCCAATCGCCAGGAATGGACCACCAAGACCTAGTCCGACGAGCTTGTGTTCCGGTTTAATAGGGCGTCCCTGTCCGCGGAGATAGTTGAGAATGTAGCTGTCTAGCACGCGGGTCAATATGCTGAGACATGTTCCTACGCCGATAGCGATGAACATCAGTGAAGCATCGGTTTTTGCAAATCCCATCGACCCATAGATGGGCTGGAGGGCTTCTGTGAAGATGTAGATGAGGGACATGGCGACGGAGATCATCATTGCGATGGCGAAAATGATGGGTTCTTGGAAGAAGAGCTGTGCTGGGCGAAAGAGGGCTTCTTTTACAAATGTATTGAGATCCGGGATATAGTCGTGGTTGAGTGGCGGTGGGATAGATTGCACAGTAGTCATATCGGTGATCCGTTTCACCTCGTAGGCCAGCAACAAGGAAGGTCGTGATTCTCGAATGAAGCAAAGGCCACCTGTAATTGCAGCAACAATGATGGCGAAGATATGGAAGTTCCATCGCCTGGGTAGTTGTGAGAAATTTACATATACCAAAGTTGAGGGCAACATACCAATCAAGACCCGCAATAATATAGCTGCTCATGATGGGTCCAAGAATGAGACCAATGTTTGAAGCAACTGTCCAATAATACATGGCCCATATTCGAGCATGCGAGTTGAACATGTCCTCGATGCTGCCGCCGATGATGGTATAAGGGATCGCGGAAAGTAGCCCGGCGATGATGCGCATGATGATAATGATCGGCATTGAACGCACTAGACCAATGATCATACAGCAAATGGCACTGAGACCACTGCTCACAATGTACATGTTCTTGCGCCCAAATGTCTCCGACCACGGGGGAAATAAGATGGTGCCTGCCACCTGACCGAGAAGAAATCTGTTCAATGTCAGGTACGCAAAGTAGACCAAAACCAGTGGATCTCACATTGTGACAAATATAAAAATGGAAAGCGTCTCACTGATATCGTATTCATGTTTGGCTTGTGCAGCAGCTGCCGACTAGAAAAGACCAGGATGTTAGCTCGGCAATATGGTAGGTCATGAATAGCTGTATACACTCACACCTGCGGTGCTGGATGCCGTTCTGCAAGTATTGTTAGCCTATTGACAAAAAAACGTTGGAATTTAGTTTGGTCACACATAAAAAGATCCAAGAGACATATAAGGACAATATCGTAAGTCTTTCGTAGGCTAGACCAATTTCGAGGGTGCCTTGGGTGATCTCGCAACCATCGCACATATCTCCCATCTGGGGTAAGCTCAAGACAATGGTCATGCAGGAGCTCAATGGCTGAAGCTTTGGGCTCGCCTGTCGATAAAGTCGAATCTGAGGAGATAGACTGCATATTGGGCAACCGCAGAGCAAATCATATAGAAGTGATTATAAAGAATGTTGAACTAATTCACCCTTATCCAAAATACATCAGTCATGGATGAAGCTAATCCCTGGAGTGGGATTCGAGCTTTTATCATCTCCACACAACTCCACACAACTGTTCCTGCTCGGACATTTTTAATGCAAACCTTGCCCCGAAGAATGAAACCCCTTGCGATCTGCACAGTGGGGTGTTTGGAGCCCAGTCGGCGATAGATATACACGCGTCAGTCACCTAAAATCTACTCAGGAATCTTGCTTAAAATTTACTAGATTCCCGGTTAGCTGAAGCATGGTAGGTAAGTCGAGCTTCAAGTTTGAAATCAAGTTTACACCGTGAACAGCACTAGTATCTATCTAGTTGGGTATTAAATAACGTGGAGAATGATCAAGTTTTAGCCATGAGACATAGTCTAGTGACTTGATTTCTAGGGATAGCTATTTTCAACATTCTTCATGGTAATTTCTCCACCTTTAAAAGGTGAAACTTTTGGAAGAATTAGAGAACCATGAGCAGAAAAATGATCTGTTATGATGTCAAGATATGCAGCTTTTACCTATAATGGACATCAAGTGGACATCAAGCAGCTGTGATCGTACCATAGAAAAAGGAACAAGCTTTGATCGTCCAAGGATGTCCGGGGAGACGGAACATGACCCGCTTTTGTATTGTCTGCGAGGGCCTAGGACTTGTATGTCTTCGCCTAAATCCAACATAAAGTGGACAAGGAATTCAAGGATATAGGGCGTGAAAAACAGGCATATATTAAATATCATTAGCTATACATGGTTGCCCGAATAGAGCCGTTCTACACTGAAACGGATGTAGGATGGCTTTCATATCAAGCAAGCCAACAGCTATTTCTTACTAATATATTGCTTCCTTTCAGCACACTACTTACTAACCTTGAAGTTGCCAACAAACCTCTCGGATGATCTGCGATCTGTGATCACCGGGTTCATCGACCCATGAAGAGCTCTGAAGAGAGCACACAGATCCCACTCTTGCTCTGGGCTGTGGGCTCTAGTCAGTTCTATCTATTATTTTAGACAAACACACCCTTCTATAGTGTAAAACATGTCCTCTCACACACCACACACCTGTAAAGCACCCAAATCCAACAAGCGGTTTCTTGCAACCAAACGGAGTCCACGAGTATTCGGACAGATTACCAGATATAGAAGTAAATCCTATATTATAGTTCCAAAATGATTTGAGAAGGCCTAAATTTCTGGGCCAGCTAAAATTCGATGTATCAACTCAAAATGTAGTACTCCGTACAATACACTCCGTACACGGCGGTTATACCTGCAAGGCGGAAAGCCAGTGGATCTGCGCCAAGGCGATCTCCGACGAGGCCACCTCTCCGCACCCTTTAGCTCTATCAAAACACGACAACCCAACTAGCCCAATTAGCTGAACACAACAGGTACCGCCTTCATCTACCATTCTGCAAGAGAGGAAAAAACAAGGGAAAAAAACATACCAGTATTCCTGACCAAGAACAGTCACTACTAGAGCGCCCTACCCCAAACCTCCCGTCTATCCGTTGATCGCGAACCGCCTACCATGCTATCCTCCCTCTCTTCTAGCATTACAAATGCTCGGCAATCAATCGCACAAGTGCTAAACTTTGCGCTGGTTCTTTCCACAGCTTTTATGCTGTGGAAAGGCCTCTCGGTCGTGTCCGCATCAAGCTCTCCAATAGTTGTGGTTTTATCCGGTAAACAAAGCTTTTTCACGGCGGTCTGAACGCAGCTCACATTCCCTCTCCACAGGATCAATGGAGCCCGCATTTCAGCGCGGTGACCTGCTCTTTCTCTGGAATCGAGGCGCGAGGGCGGAGATCGGAGAAGTTCTCGTTTATAATGTTCGAGGAAAGTCTATTCCGATTGTCCACCGGGTTGTTCGCACTTTCCCTGAGGTAGAAGGACGCGTGAGCGCAAAGAAGGTGAAAGAAATTACAGTGTATGTCCTCGCCAATTACCCGACAATCTTTCTTGTGGCTGCTTCCTTGTGCTAACAAAATTCTAGGGACACAACACCTAACTCGCACATGCTCCTCACCAAGGTAGGTGATCCAACAATTTGAATGGCCTGGGGAATTGCTAACAGCTCGCTAGGGTGACAACAATTTGGCAGACGATACTGAGCTGTACGCTGAAGGTAAGCGATACGAAAGCTTGAAGCGAGGCCATTTCCGTTACTGACAAGATTAGGCCAGGATTATCTCGACCGGGCGGAGGATATTGTTGGCAGTGTTCGTGGCTATATACCCATGGTTGGATACGTCACTATCATGCTCAGCGAGCACCCCTGGCTCAAGACAGTCATGCTGGGACTTATGGGACTGATGGTGATGATTCAGAGAGAGTAATGGGCGAAAATATACATTGGGTAATGGTAAAAATGGAACTAAATGCATTAAATGTGACAGCAGGGGATATCAATAGATACTGAGTGTCAATTTCAAGGTTATATTGTTCATTGCCATGATGTACACCGATAGAGCGACGGATATATCAAACTTGACTGACGTCTTTTGCCGCGCACCCACCCCACTCGGCGGAGCTTCTAGCTTCGCCGTCAAAGCCCCTTTGTTTTCCTGGCATCTGTCGCACATAGCATCTTCTCTATATTACTCAATCTTTATTTATTCGTTGCTTCAAGCTCTTAAAACGCGCTTTGCACTAACAGCGTTTCCCTGCATTCTTCCTCGACCTCCCCGCTCTTCTTATCGCCCCGCCAAATTCACAACTAAACACCACAATGGGCAGCATCAAGCGCATATCCAAGGTAAGTGCCTATGTTTCCACATGAATATCGTCATATGTCAGTGTACTGACCATCTATTTCAATTATAGGAGTTGACCGAGCTCACCGAATCCCCCCGGAAGGGATCACGGTTGACCTGGCCGATGAGTCGAACGTGTACGAGTGGAAGGTCACTATGGAAGGGCCTGAAGGCTCACCATACCACGTATGTCAAAACATGGCCTCCTCCCCCCTTTATCCTCATCGTCCCCCACAAAAGTCTCCAGCGGGAACCCCTGTACTCGAACCTCACAGTTCAAGCCCAATAAACATTGTTTCTAACCTCTCCACAAACAACACAGAATGGCAAGTTCCTAGTCAAGCTTTCCCTACCCACGGAATACCCCTTCAAGCCACCAACAGTCTCCTTCGCAACGAAAATATACCACCCGAACGTAACAAACGACGAAAAAGGAAGCATGTGCCTAGGCATGCTCCGAGCCGACGAATGGAAACCCAGCTCGAAGATCGCCGCAGTCCTTCAGTTCGCCCGCCAGCTACTATCCGAGCCGATGCCCGATGACGCCGTCGAGGGGCGGATTGCAGAGCAATACAAGAACGACCGGGTGCGCTACGAGGAGGTTGCCCGGGCGTGGACTCGCAAGCACGCTTGTTGATCGCGTTGCTGTGCTCTGATTTGAGAATCGGCTACTCTATCAAAAAAGGCTTTTGTTATGGGTGCTGCGGTCTCAGAACTTGGCGCGCAAGATGCCTGCACGTTTGGAATCTTGGATCGTATATTGAGTTGCCGCTATCTCAGAGTCACCCTGCTCACGACTGAAACGCTGTCATGTTACTCTTGTAAATTCATCAATGCGAGGTCTAATCATAGCTGCTTTGGTTTATATTCTTGTTGGCGGAATCTATTTTGCTTGGCTGTGGTATCAACTGGGTGTTTCATCCATTTTCTCTTTGTGTGTCTGCTCTGTTGGAAGCAGACATTATTTCCTGTAGGTGTTAGTCTTCTCGGTCCAACCAGCCCATTCATGCACGAGAATCTCGACGGGATTGAATAGTACCAATCACTACAGCAGATTCACGGCTAAACCATTAATCTACCAGTCAATTTCCTCGCCATTGCTATACCGCACATTTCGCGTAGATAACTTGTACAGGATTATAATCCACCCCCAACCCATTCCTAGGTAAGTCAAAAGAGCCTACATTTACAAGAACCGCTGCAATCTGTTGGTAAAATCTTAACCCTGAGAATCAATATGCTATTGGCATGAATCTTCGAGCCTTCCATGAACAATGCAAGCATTCGAGCATCTCAACAGGAACCAAAGAGATATGGACAGCCCCTTATAAGCTCCATTCTCTTTAGAAACAAGGAGCCGAACCACAACCTCTCTAGCAGAACAACTCAGTCAGCAACAATACATAAGGGCGGATGATGATTCCACACTCAATGACATACCAGTATGTATCGCATTCCCCCCCTTTCAGCGCATAAAGACGCTACCAGGGCAAGTGATCTCCAGATCATTGGATGTCCCTGAAGGAGCTAACAGGGCAGGTAATCTTCAACTCATCGGCTGATAGCCGAAACCCATTCTCCTCTAGATCCGAGCGAGTAGCCCTCACAAAGATGCGTTTCATATCCTGCGGCAACCGATTGAAATTCTCCATGATGTCCCGTTGCAAAAATACCTTTTTCGCCATAGCTTCCACCCAGATCGTGACGCGGTGATTATGCATAGCCCGGGTCATTGGTATTGTCGAGTTTCTGATTGTTATCATAGTTCGGCCGTAGAGACTCAACGCCGCTTTGACGTAGATTAGTTCTTGTAGGTAGTTGTCGAGGTCCAGGAACTATTAGAATAGTGGGGTTGTTAGTAGGGAGCGCTATTCTTGGATCTGGTTATATGTACCGCTAGTGGTGGGACGTAAGTCAATTGGGTAGAGGGAATAGTGGTTTCCGGTTCTAGAATAGTTTCTATTTGACAGAGGTTCGTTAGTATGAGATAGTGATAGAGGGGGGGAGTAGCTAGGTGTCATACCGATGTTTTGGGTTATGGAGTCAGGATGGAGGATGAGAGAGGTGGAAGATGAGGTGGAGGTGAGAGATGGAAGCTAAGAGATGAGGGATAAGACATCTCTAGCAGAACAACGCAGTTAGCAACAATCCACAGATCTAATTCTTTATCCAGCAACTTACCAGTATGTATCCCACCAACACATCTCAAAGCACAACGATAACCCTCCTACTACCAGGACGAACAATCTCCAAGTCATCAGTGGATGGCCGAAATCCATGCTCCCACAGAGTGGAGCGATTAGCCCTCACAAAGGTTCGTTTCATATGACGAGGGAGTCGATTGAAATCCGCCACGATGCTCCGGTGCAAAGAAGCCACTTTCGACTTAGCCTGCAGCCAGGACCCGCGGTGGAGGTTGAGCTGTGCCGGTGCCATTGTCGAGTTGGTGATTGCCAGCATAGTTCGGTCGTAGATTCCAATTGCCGCCTTGGTGTAGACTAGTTCTTCTAGGTCGCCGTTAAGGTCGAGCACCTGTTGTATTATTAGGTTCGTTAGTAGTGAGGGCTATGCTTGGATTTGGTTGTATGTACCGCTTGTGGAACTTGGGTTAAACGGGTGGAGGGCATGGTGCACTGCAGTGCTGGTATAGCTTCTCTTTGATGAGTGTAAGAGGAGCTAGGGTTCACGCCGATATTTTGATTATGGAGGTTGATGGAGGTTGAGGAATGAGGATTGAGGTATGAGAGAAGGAAGTTGGTCAATCACACTGACGAGCTTTTGTGGAATAATAAGAGAAGTAAAAGACATGAGAGGAGAGAAGCCCAATAGTTTGCCCATCGAGTGAATCACTTCGTGTCCAAGGGGTTGGGTTTCGGGATTGGGTTACAGTAGAAGAGCTAGGAGACAAGAAAGCATCAAGAAGTACATATACTATTCTAATAGAATAGTAACCATGGATAGTGCAACAACCTACATATTTAATACGAAGGTGGAGTTGGTAGTGGATGGATCGAAGTATAAGGCGACATCCTGGTAAGAAAGGAATACTATAGTTATGGTCTGGCTGGTAACTACTAGTAGTACATGGGAGATTGGTGGAATACAATTATCAAACAGAACGTTACAGTTCATATTCCAGAGGAGCGGTCATGAGGACCGTGATATGGACATTCATTACAGCGTGTCAGAATACAACGCTACATACAACCGGGACGCCCACATCCCCAGGCACGCCCAACGCTTTTTCGGCCGCATGAAGAGAGGATATGAGGGTAATCAAAAGGGGTAAAAAGGGGAATCAAACATGCGACATCACACAGACGTCAACATTTACAGCTGGCCAGCAGTGTTGAAGTCCTCAAGGGCCTCCTTAACACGCACGCTCATGGTCTTCTCACCCTCGCGAACCCAGACGCGGGGATCGAAGGCCTTCTTGTTGGGCTTATCAGCACCGTCGGGGTTACCGACCTGGGACATGAGGTAGTCCTTCTTGTTGAGGACGAAGTCACGGACACCGGTCAGGTAGGCGTACTGCATGTCAGTGTCGACGTTGACCTTGACGACACCGTAGCTGATGGCCTCCTTGAACTCCTCCTTGGAGGAGCCGGAACCGCCGTGGAAGACGAAGAAGACGGGCTTGTCGGAGGAAGAACCGGTCTGCTCCTGGACGTACTTCTGGTGCTTGGAGAGGAGCTCGGGGTGGAGCTTGACGTTGCCGGGCTTGTAGACACCGTGGCAGTTACCGAAGCCAGCGGCAATGGAGAAGTAGGGGCTGATGGGGGCGAGGGCGTTGTGGATGGCCAGGATGTCCTCGGGCTGGGTGTAGAGGGAGTTGTTGTCAACATCCTCGTTGTTGACACCGTCCTCCTCACCACCGGTGATACCGATCTCCTGTAGAAGTGGTTAGCACTGTATCAATGTATAGTTTGCTTCTTGATTTGACATACCATCTCGAGCCACTGCTTCATGGGGGCAGCGCGCTTAAGGTAGGCGGCGGTGGTGTTGATGTTGTAATCGACGGGCTCCTCAGACAGATCAATCATGTGGGAGGAGAAGAGGGGCTCGTTGTGCAGCTTGAAGTAAGCCTCATCGGCATCGAGCATACCATCGAGCCAAGGGAGGAGCTTCTTGGCGCAGTGATCGGTGTGAAGAATGACGGGGATGTCGTAGGCGGTGGCCACGCTACGGATGTAGTGGGCAGCGGCGATGGAGCCAGCAATGGAGGCCTTCTGGCCCTCGTTGCTCACACCCTTACCGGCGAAGAAAGCGGCACCACCCTGGGAGACCTGCAGGATAACGGGGCAGTTCTGGTCACGAGCAGCTTCGAGAGAAGCGACAACAGTGGAAGAGGAGGTGACGTTCTGGTGGGAATTAGTACAGGATTCCAATTGTGAAGGAAGACATAAGAACTCACGATGGCGGGGATGGCAAAGCCCTTCTGCTTAGCGTACTCGAAGAGACGGAGGACATCATCGCCGACAATGACGCCGGACTTGCGGTTAAGTTGCTCAAGGACACCCATTATGAAGTTTGTACAAAGAATTTAGTTTGTAGAAATCTGAAAGAGAAAGAAGAAAAGAAGGTCAGATCCAATGATAAAGTAGTTAAATGTAGTGAAACCAAGCTCCTTACCGGGAGCTGAAAGCGGGCAGAGTTAAATAGGGAGGAGGGGCAAAAGGTAGAGGAGGGGCAAGCGTCATCGGTGAAGGGGAGACAAGGTAGACTCACCGGTGGTGGAGATTTAGTGGAACTGAAGTGAGGTCAGTGTGATTCAAGAAAAAAAGAAGGAAAAGAGAAAAGGAGAGATGAGATGATCTAATATAGCCTCTTTATGTATGGTCAGTCCTGTAGTGTTCCCGACCTTCCCCGTGATAGCCCGATGTTGTTTCGTTGAGGTCTCCGAGCTATTAAGAGCTTATAAGGGAATTATGAGGGGATTTTTACATCTATATCATGAGCTTGCCCTCTACGTTCTTAATGATTACAGTTATAAACACCCCTTACAGCTATTACGGCCATTCAAACTAATAATAGCTGTAATGGCTATAGAATAACTCACCCAGATCCCTAAAAGTGCCCGAAGAATCCGTATTTTGTTCGTGGCGGGGCCGAGGAGTTCGAGGCCATTCGCTGCATTTCCATTTTCTATTACTATTTGTACCTGGATATGCTAAAAGTCATATAGTCAATATTCAATCCGGTTTATAGTTATATATTCAATCTTATTGTATTGTAATTCTCAGGTAGATGTAAAATAGTGCAGAATAATATACTACCATAGTACATCGTACGTTGTAGAGATGTAGAGGGGTAGAGTTTCTGCAGAAACAGTGACATCATCTGTATCATCGGTGCCGTTTATCGGAAGTAACTATTTCCCTTTTCCGTTTTCGTTTTCATTGGAGGACCTCAGTCTGATTTAGTATATCTTTCTAAATAAATGCCCTTTTTGATTCACCCCATCTGTACAGAAGTACGGGGACATGTGTATATACTAGACTCTAAAAAAAAAAAAAGAAAAGAAAACGGCTATGTTATCAACGTCCCATGGTAGGGCTCGCGTCGGGCTTCTCCAACTCATAGAACAAGAGGTAGACCTCCCTCTGCATGCCCAGCACGTCCGAGGTCTTACATTCTTTGATTTTCTCGTCCGAGATGCGCCACCAGCGATCGTTCGGTTTGCGACGGCGCCGAAGCCGCGAACTGACCCCAGTGGGGGTATCATGGGAAGGGCGGGGTGTGCTCTGGGAGGGCCGCGGGGCAGACGGACTCCAGCGACCCTGATCCGTCGTCGGGCTGTTGCTATCAGAGGCAGGTGACAACGTTTGTTTGGAGGAACGGGAGGTGGTACTCTGGAAAGAACGACGAGAGCCAGAGGTTGTAGGTCGTGGTTGAGGAGGGGTGAGCTGGGTCGCTGAAGCTCCAGATAGCGAGGTCGACGAGCCTGCTCTCGAAATATTTCCATCGCCGTCGGCATCGGGGCTGCTACGTGGTACAATTCGGGGACTGGGTGCCGCGGAGGGGCTTTGACTGGCAGTGCGACTCTGCGCATAGGAGCTGAAGACCTCGGGCGTCGAGAACGGCGGATAGATATGATTCCGACGGAAGGACTCGTAGTGTCCGCTATGGTGGCTACCTTTGTGGCAGACAATCGCAAGCAGCTTGTACCACTTCTGGCTCAAGATGCTTCCCAAGGGGAGCCGCTCCGGGAACGAGACCTTGGCCGCGTTCTTGCTCGAACTGCTCTGATCAAAGATCGACCGCGACAGGTGGATTGCGATGACCTTTGGGAACGCCGTGATGCGCATATGCCGCGCAATCCTGCGCTTGGGGGCGGTCTCTGACGGAGGGAATACGATACCCTCCAGCTCGGCCTCAGGGTCCGTCTCTAGAGCCTGGCGGATGCGCGAAATCTCCTGGTCCAACTGATCTCGATCACCTTGTGTCCGAGCACGGGCTAGTTCGGTGGTCTTGGCATCCACAGCATGCTGCAGGCGGCATCGGTCGCAGCGGAAATCCTCGATATATTCAGTCTTGAGGAGGCCGTCGAAACACGAGTTGAGCGTGGTCGAGCTCTTCTGCGGCACCTGTAGTGTCAAGTTGACGAAAGCCGTCTGGTTTGGCTTGTATTGGTAATGGCAGAACTGGCACTCGATCTGCGACTCCATTTTGCCTTCGAACGGGAACCCAGACTCCTGGTCGATTTCCTTGAGTTTCGTGTCGATGATGGCAGGCAGTCCATTGGCCGATCCATCATCGATGCGCACCTCCACCTCGGACGAGCTTTCTTGTGTGCTGCCCTCTTCGCCTGCCGTGCTGGAAGCAGCTGCATCAACGGCACCCAGTGCTCGTTGACGTGCGCGCGCACCAGCATGGTACTCATCACAGAGTCGCTCGAGAACAATCTGCAAGAATTCCTGGGCGTCCTGCTGATTGCGGCTGATGCGCGTGCGGAACGCGTATTCCAGAGCCTGGATGAAATCGCGGGCCGAGATTGTTTTCTTATAGATTGGCCGCTCGTTCAACCGGTCCAGCATTTCCTTCAATGCCCGTGTGGTTATCCCCTGTTGCAACTCCCGCAACTTGTCCGACCGCGCCGGCGAAAGTTCATCCTCGCTCGGCAGTGTATGGTATATTTCCGGTCCGTCCAGCTGGCGCCGGTGCAGCTCGTGGATCAGGTAAACCCGCAGATCCCCCAGACCGGCTAATGCCTGCAGCACCGAATTGATAAAGCAGTCATTGGCCAGGTTGGACAAGCCCACGATGCTCTTCTTGCGATTGCTGTCGTTTGACTCATCTCCGTCGATTGTGTAGTTTGGCCCGAAGACGTAGAAGAGAGCAACGGCAGCGAGCGAGGCCCCGGCCGCATAGGCGGCGACCGTTGTCGGCTTTTCTTGCATTAAGCAATGTGGTATAGAGGAAGGAACGTCCGGCGGTTCGTGTAGGTGTCGAAGCAGGCAGACTTCTATCTCACTACCCCATCCTCGGATTAGTCCGGATGTAGGTAAGGGCGCTGAATGTCCTAAGACAGATCACAAGATAATTCCAATGTGGGTGAAGGTCTTCCAAGGTTGAAAAGCTGACAGATCAATTTTGAGTGCAGAATTGAATAAGTTCGGGGAAGAGGGGAGGAAGGGTGAGAGTGGAGCGTTATGCGATTTATGCGGAGAAAGAAACAAGAGCATTTTCGTCCGGAGCCCGAAATCAGGTTAGCCACAAGTCAAACGGGGCAAACTCCACAATCGTCCCGACTCGAAGGTGAAGGGTATGAGCACATTCCTGTCTTTTCGCGTGAGACTCTCAATTCATCCAATGAGGCATTCCTCTTTAGCCCGCCGTTGTAGTGGGTTAGACCCTCACGGACGGATTCTCCGGATATCCGTCTTACACATCCCCGCATATAAGGAGGTTGACCGCGGTTCCATGTAGTCTGGGGTAAAAGTGAGCCATGTCTTGCCTGAAGGACAAGTTATGGTTGGAATGTCAGGATGGTCAGATATATCTATCTATCGGGATATGGGTTTAGGCCTCTCAAAAGCAATATAAACTTTCAGACAAGTCATCTCCGCCACAATGTAAAAATTCGGCTGAAAACGAATGGAATGATTGGCCAAAGAACACTAATATAAGTATCTTGAACGGCCCTGTTTAACTTGACTAGGTCACACTGATAGAGATACTGCAGAGCATCTACGGCTGTTCCAGAAGGAATCATGGCACGATCCCTGATATCTTCATGTGAACTTGCAACTTTTCTAGCATTCCGTATTTGGAACTATTTCTATCAAATGCATCCAATCATGTAAATTTCTCCCTTGAATATACGCCTACCAGCGCAACAGGTTTAGGCCTAAAGCGACTTAGGCAGGGTAGCAACCTTCTCATCGAAGAGCTGCTCAGCCTGCTTCCAGACCCGAGCGTTGGCCCGGTCATTAAGCGTGAGAAGGCTAGGCAGGAGAGCCTCGCTGAACATCTCAGAGCTCTCACGGGGAAGCAAAGACGGGAGGTGATCAATGCTGATCACGCTGAGAGGCAGACCTCCAGCCTCCAGCCCGGAGACGGGAACTGTCGGCTTATCAAAAGTGGTCGTAATGTCGTACAAAGGAATGGGGTTCAAAGGGTTGGAGCTTTTGAGAATTAGCTGTGCGCTCGCTAGCGTAGTTTCATATCTGATAACTCACGTGTCGGCGCTGACGTCGCAGATAACAGACAGGGTTCGGTTGGGGGCAGAGAGAGACTCTACGTTCACGAAGGCTAATGCAAAAAGAAAAGAATATCAGCCAATTGAGTCGAGACGAGAGGACATATGTATAAAATTACCTGGAATCTTGGCCGAGAGGTAGATGCAGTTCACGAAGATATCCGCTTCGTGTGAGATTTCCTTGAAAGGACCACCTGCGGACATTGATTTGTGAGCTTAGATTAGATTGAAGAGGCTGGAGATAGTAATTGACTCACCTCGCGCAGTCTCTGCCATGTCCCACTCAATAATGTTGGACTCGGGTATACCGACATCCTTGGCCAGCTGCACGGCACCGCTGCCACAGCGTCCGAGCTATAGTATTGTTAATATATATATCGCTTTCTGTGCATCTGCGCGAGACTCACAGCTCCAATGACAAGGATCTTAGGTGCCTTGCCAGCGACCTTCTTGCCAGCCTCGAGCGACTCCTTAACAGACTCGACCAGACGGTCTTGATTGGCATAAGGAACCTCACCAGGCAAGGTCTCGTTAGGGTGTGTCAATTGCCAAGCCCAGTTCTTCACAGCCAAAGCAGATCCTGTTCGACGTCTTAGTATTGATTGTGTCGGGCAACGAGCTTCACGTATAGATACCTGCGTAACCGGCGGACCACCCGAAGGCTAGTAGACAAAAGAAGTTAGTCAATTGAGTCAAAATAGGAACACTTTGGGGTATGAGTCTTACCAGCAACTCGGCGTCCGGAATCATCAGTCAAGAATTCCAGGTCGAGCAATGTGCCCTTGCCCCGAGGCCAACGGCCAAGGACCTTCTCCCAGCCGCCCTGCTGCTTGAAGCAGTGTGCGAAAGTGACGTGGACGTGCTCCAGAGGGAAGTCATCCTCCGGCAGCTCCTTGAGACCCAGAATGACGGCATCCTTAGGCGCATCCTGAACCCAGGAGCCCTCCTCGACCAAAGGCGCGCCGATCTATAGCAATTCATGATATTTAGGGCGGGCTCGAGGTATATTACCGAGTGAATCATACCTTGGAGAATTCCTCATCTATAGAGCGGAATTAGTCATTTAGTCCAACAGCAAGGGATGTGGGGAGTATGGGGGATATGGGGAATTAGACGTACCGTCAAAGATGCGCTGGGTTGACCGCTCGACAGTCACATCATATCCAGCATCAATCAATGCCTTGCAGGTAGTTGGAGTCACTAGATGATGTGTTAGCCAATTGCTTCCCCACCATTGTAGGTGAAGCTACTCACAGGCAGACCGCGCCTCAGCGGGCTTGGTCTCAGCGCGCAACCAAATCTTTTGTCCAGCCATTTTGAAAGTAGAGAATTAGAATATGATGAAGAGGGAAAAAGAAATTAAACAAATATTAATTGCTCTATCACCAATAATGACACAGACTTTCCCCTCCAGTAATAAGCGGGGATGTAAAGGGTTATTCCGCTCCGAGAAATGACTCAGTCCCGATTATCGGCCACCTGAAATTCAAACCTCCGAAAGAGTCGAGGGTTGATGTATTCAATGTTATTCAGGAAATTATTCAAAAAGATAACTAGTGCTCCAGAAATAACTTCGACATGGGGATAGATTCGAGAGTAAGGAGGGATAGGGTTATGTCAATCGAAAATTATAGCGCAGCGCAGATATCTACTGCATACTAGTACAAACTAAACAGATTATTTCTTAAACGTCATGCCCAATCAGAAATATATTGCGTGGAACTTCTGTGGTTCTTGAATTCGAAATCGTTCCCACCCAAAATTTGGTCAGGGAAAGGATATTCTTCTTATTGCAGCGCGTGTATGGCCACAACCATGAGAAGTCCCGGACATGAATAGACACAGTTCAAAGTTGGAGCAAGCATGATGGCATGGAAGTAATACGACAGCTGCAAGTATAGTGACCTCGGTTTATTCAAGCACCCTTGGTCCGGCTGCGAGTCCGGCTACCAATGCCATCTCCTGGGATAACCTTGTTCACGGCATCCTTGATCTTCTCCTTCTTGGACCGACTAGCCTTCTTCTGTGTTCCACTGTCTGTTTTGGAGGGAGCAGCAGCAGTGCCATTGGAATCCGTAACAGGCTTTTCGTCTGTCTTCAGCTTCTTGGTATCGGGCTCATCCGACGGCTCAGGCTTTCGTTGCTCATCGTCAGCCAGAGCCGGAGTGGGCGTCACAGTTGAATCAATGTCACGCTTCTCACCCACCACTGTTTCATCCTTGGGCCCTACTGAATCCTGCGACTCAGGGGCATTAGGAATACTGCCGACAGCAGATCCTGCGGGCTCTGTCACAGGTGGCTCGATTTCAGCGGGCTTGGGTGCCTCAAGCCCTGCCTCTGCCTTTGAGTGGTCGATGTTTATATCGGGCTTCGTTGTTTCAGGAATAGCCGGGCTATCCGTCTGAGTTGTGTTTAACCTATTCTGGAATGCATGCGAGTGTTCTTTGACTAGCTGGGCAGTCTCCCGATCTGTCATGTCCCTTAGTCAGCATCTGGCGTGCACCTGCGCATTTTACAAGCGAACGGATAAACAAGAAAAAATAATTAGGCCACTTAGACCAATTACTCCTCGGATTCAACAGTGGTGCATGTGCCGATAAACCACATACCTGAAGCTGCACGGCTCTGCACGGGGGCTCCTTCAGTAGCCATTGTGGATCGATGATGTCAGATGCCCGGCCAGCGTGTTGTAAATTGGCAAAGATTGAGTGGGAAGTATTCGCAAAAGCAATGCGACTGCAATTCTTGCTCAGCTAAGTTTGTATGAGGAAAAAAAGAAGTAAAGAGGACTCGGTTAATTTGGGGGGAAGCGTGAGGTGAGGTCGCGCGGTGACGTACTTGAGAGCACTGGAGACGCTGCTCCCGGCTGATTCGCCGCTCCAGCCCTCTAACTCTCCACGGCATTCTGTCGCACAGCCTCACCAGCTCCAGAATTACAATTGCCACGCAATGTTCTCCACAAGAGGTAGCTTTGAGCAGCACAAGTTAGTTAAGAGGTTAGTACTCGGTCACTAATGCGGTAAATCTTATCATTAGTTAGGAAATCGTGTATATATGTTTAAATGCTCTTCATTGAGCCAAAACGGCGTGTCTAGGAAACTGGTTGAGCCACTATTGACAATGGGTTATATATATCTCAAAAAAGGGGCGCTTTCGTATATTTGGTACAACGGAAAGGCAAGCTTGGGGATAATTGATAGTATCCAGGCGCATCACACACCAACGCTGGTTTAGCCAAGTCTTCCTGGCAACTCAAATCCCTCATACAGTTCGGCAAGGAATGTATGTATGACCGCCAAGAAGATGAGGCTCTAGCTTGGAGTGGAGTAGCGGTAGTGGATTTCCGTTGTGTGGGATTCGGAAAATGAAGGCTTGTCGAACAGCCATGCTGAAGTAATTTCAATTGTGTAATAATACACAAATGAATGCGGAGGAGAAATGTGTCCTAGCAGGTGCCGACATGACTGCAGTAGTTCTGCCTGTAATTGCCTCTTATGGTAGAAAGACTAGACAGATGTGTGTGCCTCTTGAGTGTTGGTGTTGGTTTCGATGCTCTTCGGACGCCCTAGCTATGTGCGAGTAGAGTGGTTGTCCAATAGGGTTGAGACCAGAAGATCATGTAAAACTCCAGTTCAAACGACTGAGATGTTCCTCTTCAGACGAAGTATGTGACTTCTCAGCGACTGGAGTTGCTGGCTGTTCCGGTAGCAGTTCTGAGATATGTTGCTCCAGCCGGGAGATATCACGGAACCTCTTCCGGTCAACGAGGACACGAAGAGCCTCCGATCCAATCTCGAAGAAAGCATCACGCCTAATTTCATTCCAAGCCTGGAATTTGCTTGGAGAGAGATTCTCCACAAATTGGAGGAATGGGCGTGGATCAGGATTTGTTGGATGGCAGACAGCCACGGATGCTACCAGTAAGGACCGAGGAGACAGTACAGAAACCGTGTCTCTGAACTGATCATACACTAATGTTGATACCTGCTCACCCGATGGTTTGTGCTCCATGGCCATACGGCTCAGGTGAGCGCCTGCAGCCAGGAGCATCGGCTTCCTTGACTTATGGGAAGAAGCACTCTGGAAATGCATCTGGCATACACTCAGATAATGTGCCATCGCTGAGCCGAAGCCATTTCCAAAGTAGACTTCTGCATCTATAAAATCAACAAGGAGATGATTGAAGGTCTGCCGCGCGAGCCCTTCAGTCATCCGGCCATTCTGACTACCTAGGTCATGGCCCATGAGCATTTGCAACCACTTCATGATAGTACTGTGCAATCCCTCTGCCACCATGAACTTGGTCAACGATGTAGTCACTGACCGCAAACGCAGAAGCATTTGCCTCGATGTGCCATCTGATGCCCAATACCAATCAACGATCCTCGAAGCCACCCGAGATGTATTCATATCGGCCGGGGATCTGGAAAGGAGAAGTTGAGACTTCAGACAATCATTGATTATGAGTGTAGTGACTGAGCCAGCTGCAGCCATTTGATCAAATACTGCCATGGGTTCTTCGGCTAGTCGTCGTTGGCCCTCGATGCTTTGCAATGTGGTGGGTTCATGTGAGATGGGTCTGGTCGGAGTGATACGGAAAAGAGGGTTATCGAGAATGTTCTGCAAATGCTGATCGGTTGCAATCGCGGATGATTCGGGGTTGGAGAGGGGTCGGCCATGGTTGTGGCCTGATGCGGGATAAGCCCCATCTAGTTGGCGACGAAAGGAAGATGTGAGGGCATTTAACAGTTGCTGAGACTCTCGTGGAGTACGAGGTAAGGGTTGATGGATTTTAGGCCAGGACTTGAACTGAAAAATGGATGTACCCTTCATGATGGTCGGTGTAGAGTTTCAAAGTTCTGGTATGTTAGATGATGCATCCAGTGTAAAGAGGGAGGATCGACAAAGGCGGTGAAACAAGCCTTGTCTCTCTCCCTTCCAAAGGGCGAAAAAAAGGTGAATGACGAGTAGAAGAAACCAAGCACACTGACACGAAACAATTTACAAAAATTAATTCCATTCAATTAGTAGGATATAATTAAATATCTATACTTATAAATGTAGTCTAATATAATTATACTAAATTAAAATACCTTAAAAATTGTAAAGAAAAACTAAAGATCCCTTTGTTACTGTAAATCCCCCCCCAGCATCCAATAAGCGCCACTCGCTAAAAGCCAGGCAACGCCAAGACTTGAAGGGAAGCAACTCAGATCCCGTTAGCTTTTGATCCTTTCTTCAATCTTGTCATCTCCTAACGCATTCTCCCTCTCCCCCAATTAATCTCTTTGATTTTACCTCTTTCTTTCGTCTCTTCTGGCCCCTGTGCCTGTGGTTCTGGTGCTGTTCCTCTTCTGCGAGGGTGCTCCATTTCAATAGCCTTTCCCTGCGAATCGTGACCTCCTTCCTCCCTCAATACTTCTCCATCTCACACATCTTCATCAATCAACATGTCCGATATTCAGAACCGGTCCTCCGCCTCGCGGGGTAGAGTATCCGCCCGTGGTGGCCGTGGCGGTTTCAGCTCCAGAGGTGGTCGTGGTGGAAACAGATCTGCAAATGACAACTCAGACATCTCATCCTTTGAAGAGGGTGAAATTGGACAGATGAAGAAGAAGTACTCCGACACTATCCCAACTCTTAAGGAAATGTTCCCAGACTGGAAGGACGAAGATCTGGTGTTCGCACTGGAAGACTCGAACGGCGAGCTCTTGGAGGCAATTGAGCGCATTAGTGAAGGTCGAGTTCCCGTCAACCCCAATCTTCCCGACTCGAAATCAATCGAATTTTGTGATTCGAGGACCGTGACTGACTGGCTTTGCAGGTAATGTATCTCAGTGGGGTGAGGTCAAGAAGAAGACCACAGACCGGACTCGCCCTAAGCCCAAGGAGGCTCCGAGTACCTCGACCGAGACAACTGCAGCTTCCGCTCGTGGAACCCGTGGTCGCGGTGGAATAGAGGGTCGTGGACGTGTTCGCGCAGACCGGGGCCGTGGCGGTCGCGGAGGCCGTGCAGGTGCGGCTACAAATGGAACTCGCGCAGTGTCCACTGCTGTAGATTCTCCGGCGCCTACTGCTATTCCTGCTATCACATCGGAGTGGGCTGCGCCCAAGGCAGAGGAGACTGTTGCAGAGCCTACAACCGAAGGTGAATGGGAGTCGACCGAGCCTAAGAGCAGTGTGATTCCTGAGGGCACAAAGAAGGGGTGGGCGAGCCTTTTCGCCAAACCACCCGCTCCTCCGGTGCAAAAGAAGCCCCAAGCCGCTCCCCCTGTTCCCGTCGCCGAGAAGCCCGCCGAGCCTGTCGCCGAGCCATCTCCTCCCGCCCCCGCTCCTGAACCTGTGACGGCGCCCGCTGCCTCCCAGAAGACACCCGTCGCCAAGCCCACCCACCCCGTGATCCCTGCTATTCCGACCACCGCTGTTAACCCTCCTAAGGGCGATTTGACCGAGACAAACCTCGAACAAATTCCCGATGTATCCGCTCCTGCTCCCACCGCCACCGCCGCAAGCACCATTGGCAGTGGTATCGACCCCGCGGCTGTGACCGCAGCTGCTACTCCCTCCCGCTTCCCCTCGTCTGCCTACCCTCCCAGCGCTACCAAGCAGGGCCGTACCCCAGGTCTTCAACGCCGTGTTATGGAACAGCAGCAGGCTGTGGTTATGCCCGGCAACCATGCAGTGGACCGTGCTGCCGTTCAGTTCGGTAGCATGGGACTGAACGGTGACGCTATCGATATCGATGAGAACCGCGAGGAGGCCGAGACCCGCGCTCAGCCCCCCCAGCACTCCCCCGTTGCGCCCCGTGCCTCTCTTCCACCCGCGACCCAGGCACCGCACTCAATGGAGTCTGGTGCCGCTGGGCGTCCTGCTCCTGGTTTGCCTCCGGTTCCCCAGGGCGCTTCCGCCGACTCGTTTACCGACTTCGCTCGTTACTCTGAGCCCCAGCAGAAGCCATTCGATCCCTTCACCCAACAGGTGAGCCAGCCGCAGCCGCAGATCCCAGAGCCATTTGCCAACCAGGCCCCTGCTCAGCCCACTGCCACCACCGGCAGCGAGTACTCTCCTTTCTACGCTGCCGAGCAGCAGCGTTTCCCCTACTACGCCTCCTATGGCTCTTACGGCCAGTCCCAGGATGCCCCCACCGGTCCTCGCGCCGGAGCTGGGTTTGGTGTCTCTGGTGCTGAGGCCCAGGCTCAGATCCCCACCACGCAGCCTCCCAACCGCTACGGCCCTGTTGACGCTACTAACAGCGGACACAACACTCCCAACCCCACCGTCCCTGGCGCCACTCAGCAGACCCCCACTGCTCAGCATATGCCTGGCCAAAGTGCGCAGCAGCACGCCTATGGCTACCAATACCCTAACTACTACAACAACCCCCACTACGCTTCTTACATGAACCAGATGGGCCAGCAGCAGCAGCAACAGCAGCAGCAGCAGTACGGTGGCGGTAACCGCCCGAGGTACGATGATGCTCGCCGGTATGAAGATCACTACATGCAGCAGCAACAGCAGCAGCATAACCAGCAATACGGCTATGGTAGCCAGTATGGTCCCTACGCCGGTAAGGGTGGTATGTACGGCCAGCCCCACGGCGCTTTCTCTTATGACCAGCAATCGTCCTCCCCCGCAAACACCGGTAGCTTCAGCCAGGCCATGCCCAGCCGGGATTCAGTCTACGGCCGCACTGGCTCTGCCCAGCAGTCTGACAACCAGTCTGCTACTGGCGCCAATGCCTTTGGTACTGGGATGTCCGATGTTTTCAGCCGTTCCCAGGGCAGCTTTGGCCAAAACCCTCCTATCGCCGGACAGCCCCCCGTTGCCACCGACGAGGCCAAGGGCTTTGAAGCCCCCAAGGCCGGCGGTCCCAGCCCCTCCCTCGCCCAGAACCGTCCGGGATCTGCTACCAACAGCGTCCCCGGCCAGCCCCAGGCACAGACTGGTCTTCCCCCGCTCCAGGGCCAGCAGGGTCAGCAGTCCTTCGGCAGCTACCCTCAGCTGAACCCCCAGTACGGTGGACTCGGTGGACTTGGTCACCAGGGTGCGGCCACCCAGACTCACCAGGCCTCTGGCTATGGTAACAACTACGGTGGAGGCTTCGGCAACTACTATGGAAACTCTGGCCGTGGCGGCTGGGGTGGCAACTACGGCCACTAAAAAAACAAAAAGAAACGAAGGGGAGACATAATGACCCACCAAACACATATGGCGTTGCATTTGCGGATGATTTGAAAAGGGGTTTGGTTTTTTGTCCACTTCACAGGGAAAGAAACCTCTTATGTCTTGTCAAAAGGGACGGACAGCACCCAGACAATTTCTCTTCGTCTTTCTCTCCTCAACATCTGTGTAATCTCTACTTCTCTTTTTTTTTGGGGAGCTTGGCTGGTTTTCTTTACTTTGGGGGATTGTCTTCTTGATGTTTATTTTGTTTTCTTTTTTTCCTTGCCCTTACTCTCAGCCGTCTTGCTCTTCTTTGCTACCACTGCTCCCATCTGATGCGGTCTCTGTATTAAATTCACCAATTCCTCTCTAGGTTTCTCTGTTTTTCTTTTTGTTTTCTCGCTATAACCTAGTCGGTGTCTATTCGGGTCCGGTGTGTCACTTGTTTCCGCGGACGGTTTTCCAGTTTTTTTTTTTACTACCTACTTCTCCCTTCTGTTGTTCTGTCTTTGTGCCTCCTCACCATGTGAAATATCGGTCGATGATTATGATGTATGGCTGAATGGGTCTGGTAGAGGTAGATCCAATGCTCAGTTGCGTTCTGGGCTAAAAGTGTCATGAATTATGTATGTCCTGTACGATCTAGTATGGCACCTATAATGTATGGACACTGATCTAGTAATGTACATTGTAGCTCTCTCATAGTCACAAGAAAGTGCTAGGCTTTCGTTATTCATGTAGCATTCAGTCTCTGCATACTTAGGTTAGGTTCAAAGGTGTAAGTAAGTAAACCATCAATATAATTGAAACCATATCATTAGATGGAAAGGTTGAGCCGCCAAGTTCAAGCATATAAGCAAGTGCGCGGCTTCGGCTTCAACCTAGACCGAGAACTATATACAATGGAAATGCAACATGACACGGTACAGAATAGGAATCCAAAAAGTCAAATCTATGTGGTGCAAGCAAGGCCCCAAGATAATTTCAGATGAGCAAAAGAAAAGTATCCAAGCCCAAAGGTAATTTACTCAGTGAGACCGAGACCCTCGCCGCCAACCTTGTGGTAAGGCGGCTGAGCGCCGGCAGCCTTCTGAGCATCGAAGCGCCAGATACCGCCAGTCTTATCAGTCTCCAAAGCAAGATCGGCCAACTTAGCAAGACGCTGGATCTGGGCGTCGTCGGCACTCTCCTCAATACGGTTGAAGAAACGGCGCTCCCACTCGCGGCCTTCCTCCTTCTCAATGCGGCGCTGTTCGCGCTGAGCAGTCTCAATGCGCGACTTGTACCCAGAAACGGCATCCATGTCTCCCTTCTGGATGTTGGCGGCCACGTCGCCCCAGGCACGTCGGCTCTCGTACAGATCCTGTTGCTCGAGGGGAGCCAGGGAGAGCGGAGTGACGGGGTTCTCCTTGGAGTTCCAGGAGTCGACGACCTCCTTGGTGCGGGCGTCCTTGATAGAGAACTTATCGGACCACTGGCCCTCTACCGTGTAAAGGGGCTTCTTCTCGCCCTCGCTCTCCTTGAACAGGCTCGCGGTGAAGGTGTTCTTCTTGCCGCTCAGCCAGCCCTTGCCGGAATAGTCGATCTTGGCGACATAGCCGGTGCTGCTGACGATCTTGGTTGACTTCTCCAGTTCGACGAAGGGCGAGCCGTAGATCAACGATTCGATGTGTAGATTGGGTAGCGTGATCAGGTATTGCTCCTTTTCGTCGGATCCGGGCAGGGTGAGGGTGTATAGCGCATGGCCAATCTGCTTTACGAGGATAGTGCTAGAGAAAGAGGCCTTCTGCGCGTTGTATCCTTGCAGCTGTGGGTGTATTGTCAGTTATTGGCACCTCTCAATGGCTTGGTACAATCTTTATCCACTCACCTCAACACCGTTCTTCTCATTGCGGATCGCGTAGGCTGTGGCCGGAGGATGGTGGCTGCAATTTAATCAGAGGGTTGTAGTTCCATACAGAAGTAGCCTCGCGTACCTGACTTGTTCACTGACCAAGGCAGTCTCCCCCACTTCCGTGTCACCCGCCCATTTACCGATAAACAGCTCTCCAAGGAACGGGTTCAAAGGCTTTTTCTCACTACCGAGCTTCTCACTACGGCTGCAGTATTGCTGGTGCAGCGTGCTGAGGAACCACTTGAGAACCAGGAGAGCACGCTTCTCGGGATCGGCCTCCTTAGCTGGTGCCACAAAGAGGGCGGGGTGTTCAGCCCAGTAGGCGGAGTACTCGGTGAGGGAGGTAGTAGACAGGATGAAGGGAGGAGCAGTTAACGAGGATAGATCGCCGTTAAAGGAGGCGATCGACTAAGAAATTTGTTAGCCAAGTATACTCAAACAAGGGAGCCTGCATACCTTTAGGAAACTTGTCCATGAGCCCTTGCTATTGGCGGGGACCTGACTCTGAGGGGACATATTTTGGAAAAAGAATGAATTCTTAAGCTATCAAATTGGACTCGAAATCTCCAAGATAAAAGCAAGGAGTGTGGGGGAGGTGGAGGGACGAAGTTGGTCGTTGGCGGTCAGAAGCGGATAACGTCATGGGCAGGGGCTGTGTCTTCTGTGAACAGCCACAACACCAGATTGGGTAGTTTTCCAGATGCTCCCTTGCAAAGACATTCATCATCAGATGATGCATATGTTGTACATATACTGGCATCTGTTCGACATGTGAAAGACTGTTTAGTGACCATTTCTCACTAGGGCCAGTGCTAGGCTATAAGATTGGAGAGTGGACTTAAAAACAGCTAGGATTCTTCCAGGGCATATTTTTCTAATTTATAAGACTTCAAAGAGGTTTAGTTGCATTTTCATTCATTTTCCCTGTACGGAGTATGCGGGAGTACTCCGTACATACTCCGTAGTCACGGATTAATCATATCTCCCACATAGACTACCCTCGGTAGGCCCCCGGATTCTTTTCCGTCCCTCTGCCCTACTCGGCAACCCTACCGGTCTTCTCCCCGAATCACATTGGTCCGTCGCCTCTAGATTGGGCAGGATGGACCCCAAAAGATGATAGCAAGTCCTTTGTTCGGGGGCCACTGGCCTAAAAAACGCTACGTCGGAAGCAACCCGCCGATCCTCCCAGATGATAGGGAAAAGAGGCATTCGAATTTCTCTCCATGACTCACGCTTCGAGTCTGCGATGTACCTCGTTGCTGTTGACTTGCTTAGACTCAATCCATTTATTTCCATTTCTTCGTTTGTTACTACAATTCCAATTGAAGCCTTTCCCGCGCATTTACGGATGTACCCGACGAGCATGATCTCGGAAAGAAGCCGAATTTAAGAACGATTGCAGAGAATTTTTTTTTCGTATCTTGCATCTGCACCACAAGAGACTCGGATCTGATTTACCACAAGCTAGCAGGCACTAGCTCTTGCTAATAGATCCCCGCCATGTCTCCAACTACCTCGAAAGCTTCCAGCGAGGAGAGACGGTCTCAGTCCTGGGCGAATGAAAGCGAAATTCAGAGATCTCAATCCCGGCGTTCACAACGAGAAGGAGCTGTGAATACTCTTGACCACGTACGAAGTCATGTTTCGCATCATGACATGCCTGTGAATGATGACTTCCAGGAGGTCGATGCGGAGCAATATCTACGTTTTTCACCAGCCCGCAAGGTCATCATTGTTGGTGTCCTATCATTCTGCTCTTTCCTGGCACCTATCTCCTCTACCTCTATATTAGCTGGTATACCTGAAGTGGCAAAGACCTATAACACTACCGGAAGTGTGATAAACGCGAGCAATGCGCTATATATGGCATTCATGGGTATTGCGGCTCCCTTCTGGGGACCCTTTAGTCAGGTCTGGGGGCGACGTCCGGTGGGTAACAAGCAGAAGTTTATCTTGAAGTAACAATCTAATGCTAACTGGGAGTAGGTCTTTCTCGTGAGCGCATTCTTGTTCTTTGCGTTTAGCATCGGGACTGCTCTGGCACCCAACCTCCCAGCATATTATATTTTCCGTGTCTTAACTGCATTTCAAGGAACATCTTTCTTGGTTGTTGGGAGCTCGGCGTTGGGTGATGTATACGAGCCCCGAGCACGGGCAACAGCGTTGGGATGGTTTTTGTCAGGAACCCTAATTGGGCCAGCCTTTGGGCCATTCCTTGGCGTATGTGTACTCTAGCTATAAACCCAGCTCTGAGATACTCTGCTGACCTACAAATATAGGGTGTGATTGTCACCTTCCGCTCATGGCGAGTGATCTTCTGGCTCCAGGCAGCTCTTGGAGGCTGCGGCACGCTTCTCGTCTTCTTCTTTTTCCCTGAGACCTACCCGCATCTGACCAAAGGCGACATGGCCGACAAGACGACGTGGCAAAAAGCCAAATACCTTTGGCACCGGATCTCTCCCCTCCAAGTTGCTATCATGCTATTTAAATACCCCAACCTCTTCTGCACGGGTCTCGCTGCCGGTGCTCTCGTCTGGAACCAGTACTCTCTCCTAACTCCGATTCGATACGTACTCAACCCACGCTTCCACCTCACCAGCCCTATCCAAACGGGCTTATTCTACATCGCGCCAGGCTGTGGGTATCTTGTTGGCACACTCATGGGTGGAAGGTGGGCAGACTATACTGTGAAGAAATGGATCCGCAAACGCGGTGGTGTTCGAGTCCCTGAAGACAGACTGAAGTCTTGTCTGATATTTTTGGGTGGTGTCATCCCCGGCTGTATCTTGGTCTACGGCTGGACGGTCGAGAAGGCTGTTGGTGGAATCCCAGTCCCCGTTCTTGCGATGTTCTTCCAGGGAGTGGCGCAGCTGTTCTGCTTCCCTAGTCTCAACACCTACAGCCTGGATGTTATGCAGTCGAGTGGCCGGAGTGCCGAGGTCGTTGCCGGTAGCTATCTGTTACGGTACGTATTCGGTGCTCTAGGGTCGGGACTTGTTCTTCCGGCGGTAGAGAGTATGGGAGTGGGGTGGTTTAGTACCATCAGCGCCTTATTTTTGGTTGCGTCTGGGGTCGGTGTATGGCTTACGACTATCTTCGGCGATCAATGGCGGGATAAGGTCGAAAAGAAGGACCAGCGTAAGGCTGAGGAGAGCACCGAGGAGATACAGCAGAATACGACAAAGGCTGAGACTTGAAGTTTCATCGTTGGGGACATCTATGTAAGACTTAACGATAGAACATGTCATGATCAAAACAGAGACCAAAAGAGAGGTAGAGAATAAAAGCTCAAGCGTTCCCAAATTACACACGCTTACTCCCTCACAAAAGTGTTTGCGTGCTCGTTTTGCACCTCGGGGATATCTTCGTTATGAGCAGGTTGCTTCCCCTTTGGGATATCATTGGGATCTAGACCACTCTCCGCCACGACACGGTCTATCTTGCGCTGCTCGGTGAATTCTCGACAGTCCTCACGACCCTTTTTGATGTCTACAAAGCAGATAGCGATCATTGCCCCGGCACAGATGGCAAACAAAAATGGGAAGCCCATCCAGCTGTTGTGGGTATTGTTTATGATGGCTTGAATGACGTTGGGACCGATGATTGAAGACTAGAAGGTTAGTTAATTGAAGGAAATACAGCGCCAAAGACATCCGACTTACAGCGCGATTAGTTATTCCAAAAAGCGCGAAGAACATGTTATCGTAGCCGCGTGGCATCAGCTCGCTGATCATCGTTTGAGCGTACTGGAATGATGTTAGAAACTATAAGGGCAGGGATCATGTTGGGAGACCATTCAAAGTTCTGCCTACCGCATAGTATGGAGCCTGGAAAAGCCCGAAGATGACATTATAGAAGTAAAACTCCCACTCCATGGCTGTTAGCTGTAAACTCTTAGTTGGGGCCTGATACATACTTTATTGTGATACCCGATGCGATTGGTCCACAGTCCTAGCATGCCCCAAAAGGGGATGAGAACACTGAAGAAATTGGTGAACAAAAACATGGTCTTCGTCTTGAATTTGAAGTGCTGTTGGATGTACCAAAAGCCAAATGTCGAGGTGATTGAGCAGGCAGCTTGGGTAATGCCCAGATATGTGATCTGCAGGAAAGAAAATGAAACAGAGTCGTTTTGGATGATGCTGACGAGAGTACCTATTGATCCATGTTAGTGAATTCCCTCGTCTACATCTATGGATATATCGAGTCTCATTTCCACCCAGCAAATCAGGAATGAACTCACCAGTCGTGTTTAGGCCATCGGCAAGAAGGAAATAGGCGAAAAAGTACAGAAATGTCTGTGGAAGAGACCTAATTTCTCGAATGGCCAGCCAGATCTGCTTGAACCCAATGGTGGTGTAGCTTGATCCCTTTGGTATCTTCGGACCTGGTCTTTTTTGCTGGAAAATAAACCACCAGATACCAAGAACGACCCAATCTGTAGAAGGTCAGATGATTCGACTTTCGATGGATTACCCAGAAAGCCTACATGAGTTGGTAAGACAGAGTGCCAGGTTATTCGAGAAACTGTTGTTTTGGAGTGGAAGTAGAACGCTCAGATTAAGCACGAGCGTGAGTAGGTATCCAATGTTGCTGTGTGCAGTGGAAATGTTGCTACTATTGTCAGCGACATGTTAAATCGGAGCTCAAAATATCAAACATACCTGATATGATTTCTCTCCAGTGATTCAATAGTATCATATTCCTCCTGGTCGATCTTACCCTCTCTGAGATCCTCCTCTCTCGCTTTGCGCACATGGGGCGTATACCGCGCCAGACGGGGGAATACAGCAGCATAAAATACTAACGTTGCGCCGTAGGCAACGTATGCGACAACGTACAGTCCCATCGCTGTTGGCCACTGGCTTGGATGCCGGATAGACATCATACCATACTGCAGTGCCCAGCAGACCACCGTCAATGCCAGAAGAAGCCATCGGCCGAATGTTCCATAGTCCGCAGCACTTCCTAGCCAGACGAATATCACTGTCATGAAAGTGAAGCAAAGGCCGTTGGCAATAAGAACCACTGAAGATACAGATCTTGTGCCTCCCGCCCACGGCACTACACATGCCGATGAATCCGTGCAGGCTTTAGGTGGATTCGAGCCAGGTTGATGTCCGGCGCCATTCAAGGCCCACTGGAAGCTTCACGAGATTAGTCGGAAATCTCCAGTGTTTTCATTGTACATACAGAGCTTGACTGTACGATCCCGGGCCGACACCGTTATCGCCATTATAATAGAGGTAATAGGACCAAAGTTCTTTCCTGGTGGTGGTTGGCTGCTCATACGCGTCCTCGTCGACGCCGAAGAGCCGTTCATACTCCTCCAAGGTGGGATGTGGCTGTGAGGTTGGGGTCACATCAACCGCCGCGTCGTTCTTATCATTTTCATGAATCTCAGCCATGTTGGAAGTGTGAATTTGACAAGATATATGTTGTATGTGTTTCGGTTGTCTTTCATATTCAAGGTTACCCCGCATCGAACTTACCTTATCTTTTATTCCATTCAAAATGTTAAATGTCGGCAAGAACTTACTTTGACTAGATCCTAACAGGTTAAACTGAAATATTCCCAAGTGTTCCAGGTGTGAGCGCAATGTTGCATCAAGTGGAACACCGGGCACCGGGTCAACTCCGATTTTCAATGTCACCCCGTCTACACCATTTACTTGCAGACTTACATATGTAGAGAATAGGGTGGAATACTATAAAAATTTTCTTGGCTGTGTGGCTTCAATTCATAGGTGATTAAGGAATTCCTTGGTAAATTATTTCTAAGGACGTCTAAGCGAAAATGACGTGAATAATTGTGCCGCTTCTTTGGAGGCTTTGAACAATTATTATAAAAACAAAAATCCTCTCCGATGATTAAGAGGAAATTGTAATGGCCGGTTTATTTGTTGTTTTCCCTCTAATGGGCCATATCATGGTGAGAACTGGTAGTAAAGTGAGGGAGAGAGTGGAGTGACGGTGGTAGACGGTGGAGTGGTGGAGTGGTGGAGCTCATTTTCCGGAGCCTTCTACCTTCATTAGATCTAGTGACTTCGATATGGTTGCGAGAATGGGATATTTAGTACGCCAAACCACTAATTCCCCGAACTCGTTGACGGGAAATAAGTAGGCATTTCGTCACTTCGTCAGGTCTAAATAGAACAGAGGATTTCGCATGGACTGTTTTATCTACCTATCCTCCAATTCGACATCAACACACTTCAAATATACAAATCAAACTCGTGACGAAAATGGCTCTTAAGCCAAAGGTTGCCTTCATCGGCTTGGGTGCCATGGGGATGGGAATGGCCGTACACTTGCTCGAAGACCGTTTCGCCGTGACCGGGTTCGATGTCAATCCCATGGCCCTAGAGAAATTGCTCGCCATGGGCGGTGCGGCCGCTGATAGTCCAAGGGAATGCGTCCAAAGTGCATCATTTGTTATTTGCATGGTTGCGAATTCTACCCAAACCGAAGATGCATTCTTCGCGGACTCAACGGGCGCAGTGTTTGGCCTGGCACATAACGCGATTGTCATATTGTGCTCAACGGTTGCTCCAGGGTTTCCGATGGAAATTTTGGGCCGCATCCACCAAGACTTCCAAAGATCAGATATACAGTTGTTGGATTGTCCCGTGTCCGGTGGAACCATACGTGCCGCTCAAGGAATGCTGACCATTCTGTCATCGGGTCCGACGGATGTTTTGAATACTGCTCAGCCAATCTTGAAGTCAATGAGCGAGAATCTATACGAGATTGAGGGAGGGCTAGGCGCCGCAAACAAGGTCAAACTTGTTAACCAGCACCTTGCCGGTGTTCATATTGCGGCCTCTGCAGAGGCAATGGGACTAGCTGCAACCTTGGGAGTGAACACAAAGGAATTCTATGAGACCGTTCTGAAAAGCCCAGCGTGTAGTTGGATGTTTGAGAACCGAGTACCTCATATGCTCTCCAATGACTGGACACCTCACTCTGCTATCAGTATCTTTGTTAAGGATATGGTAAGCTTTCTGCCCCCAGTAACCCTTAGAGAAGCATTAAATTTCTTCCACTGACACCCACATCAGCGAATTGTGACCTCGGAAGGTCTCCTTCAGGACTTCCCGCTTTATATTGCGTCTGCCACAGAACGACTTTATCAATATGCTGCGCGGATGGGATATGAAAAAGACGACGATGCAGGTCTTGTTCGAATTTTTCTAGCACAAACTCCATCTCTGGTTTCGGAAGCAACACATTACCAGAGCCCTGATAATTCACGCGCATCTGACTTGATATGCCAATTACTGGAGACTGTCCACACCTTAGCAGCGGTTGAAGCTCTGGCCCTCGGACATAAACTCGGCATTTCGACCAGCACCCTCACATCAATTATTTCAAATGCCGCTGGTGCTAGCGAATCCTTCAAAAAGGTTGCCCCAATAATTTTGGCAGGCGATCTATTATCTGGATACACCATCACACAGACACGGGACAAGCTGGTAGGTCGGTCCTCTTCAAAACTTCGATCGACGGGACTAACCAAATCGACAGAAAGAAGTGATGACCCTTGCCCAAATGCATAACTATCCTCTTCAACTCGCAGCTACTACATTCCAACTGTTACAACAGGCTGTGACCTATGGCCTGGGCGGGGAAGGTCAAGCAGCGCTCCTCAAGTTATGGACAACATCAGACCTTTCAGCCGAACCTTTGCACATTACCGAATATGATCCAGTTCCCCTCTCGGAATTGTACTCAAAATTGCCTAAATCTGCGCACAACGTTGAAAACGTCCTATGCAATATTCAAGATCATTTACGGGCTGAGAAGGATTTCAACCTCGTTGTTCTTGACGATGACCCAACAGGAACGCAGACGTGCCACGATATTAATGTCCTGACCATGTGGGATGTTGATCTTCTGGCCTCAGAGTTCCGATCAGAGAGCGGAGGCTTTTTCATTTTGACCAACAGTCGCGCCTTGCCTTCCAACGAAGCTCGCGCGCTAGTCAGTGAGATACTGCGAAACGTTTCTCGGGCGGCTGATATGACTGGCAAAAAGTTCGAAGTTGTCCTTCGGGGGGACTCTACATTGCGTGGTCATTTCCTAGAAGAAGTCGAATCGCATATTGATACGATTGGCTCTCCCGATGCATGGATTCTCGCACCGTTCTTTGGACCAGGTGTTCGCTATACCATCGACGACGTACAGTATGTGGGTGACCGAGATACCCTGGTCCCAGCCGCAAAGACTCCATTCGCCAAGGATAGAACCTTTGGATACAAATCCTCAAATCTCAGAGAGTGGGTTCGTGAAAAAGCAGGATCGCGATTTTCCAGAAAAGACATATTGTCTGTCACATTAGAGGATATCAGACTCGGAGGAGTTCCTGCAATCGAGCAAAAGTTGCTTCTCGTGCCCAAAGGTGGAATCTTGATCGTTAACGCAGTCCAGACGGAGGATATGCTTATGTTCAGCCTGGCGTTATTGGAAGGTAACCATCCTTGTTTCTTTCTGGTTCTTTTACAGTGCATAGTTCCGTCAAACTGACTTTTCACTTGCAGTACGCAAAAAGCACAAAGTTCGTTTTGCTTATCGAACGGGAGCGAGCTTTGTATCTAGTCGTCTCGGAATCCTAGAAAAACCGGCCATTTTACCGAGACAGATCCCAACGCTGAAACCTACAAGACGCACCGGAGGGCTAATTATAGCGGGATCTTATGTTCCGAAGTCCACCAAGCAGGTTCAATCATTGATCCAAAGATCAGGGGACAAATTGACTACTCTCACTGTGGAAGTGCCAGCCCTATTGATCGAGCTCCAGAAATATCCCGACATTCCCACAATGCTTCGTCATTCATCCGTCTTGCAAGACATAGTTGCACGTGCGTCTGGAGATCTCCAAGATGGCAAGGATGTCTTGGTGATGACCAGTCGAGACCTTGTGACACTGGATTCTGTCAATTCTTGGGCATCTGAAACCTCAAAACAAAAAACGAACTTGGACATCAACAACCTAGCCGCGAATGCCTTGGTACACATTGTTCGCCACTTGAGCGTTTGCCCTCGATACCTGCTAGCGAAGGGAGGTGTGACATCATCTGATACAGCGACGGCTGGTATAGCCATAAAGCGCGCAAGAGTCCTGGGCCAGGCGGCGCCTGGGGTTCCCGTTTGGTGGTGCCAGAGCGAGGAAGATCTCAAAAGTCAAGATCAAGGAGGACGGAAGGCCAAATGGACTGAGCTACCATTGATCATTTTTCCAGGCAATGTTGGAGATGAAGATAGCTTGGCTGATGTAGTTGAGCAGTGGGCATTATGATAGACTATTGTACTTGAGTCATAAAAACAATGTATGTAGAATTGAATATAAAAAGGTCGTTGCATATCATTCGCTTCATACACTGCTAGAGTTCGACCTCACAACATCAAATAAATTTTCAAGCCGACGGTCTCTCTCATCGGATTTGATCAAGATAATAAAGCCTCGGGCCCCAGTTGCCGTCTACTTCGTGTCAACTGGTTAACCAAATACATCAACTATTATTAGGGACTTCCGGTCTCAAGAAGCATATTTCAAAATTTCTGAATAGCTGACACTAAACTTGTTCCACTTTATCGATAAAAGAGAAGACACACACACACACACTCCGCATTCTCTACACATCAAGAAATCAAAAATAGGTATAGAAGGACATGTAAGAAGTTGACCAGGGAGACTTTCAAAACTACTGTCAGACCTTTGTTAATGTGTCTAGATTACTTTACTTTGGAGGCTAATAATGTCCAAATCTGTGTGTTGATTCAAAAATAGGTCTGATGTATCTGTCCCCGAGTTCACTAAACCATAAAGGCCTCAAAATCCTCATCGGGGAGATGTGCCTTTTCATTCCCGTCAATCATACCCAGATACCACGACAGGTCGCTTCCATCGAACTCGCGTGCAGCGAAGCCGTTACCAAGATAGCCAAACCGATTAGAGGTTGTATAGCCGAGGTTGTAATCTTCCCAACGGGGCTGTTTCATGGTTTCAAAGAAATGAATTCTCGAGCCCGGCCACATCATCACCTCCCCATCGATCGTTCCTTGTTTGAACCAAGAACGACATGGAGATGTCCAAGCGGTACGAGGCATGAAGTTTCGGTGGTGCTCAAAGAAATCCGCAACTGCCTCAGCTTTGGGTTCAAAAGACGTCACACCTTCTGATGACATTTTCTCGAGCATCTGGAGGAAGTGTCTTGATATGGTCTCCGTAATTGGAAGGAAACTTCCGTGGCCGTAGGGCCCAAAGGGACCGTTGAAAACTGTTCAGCCGGAATTAGTCTTCCAACACTTTAGGGCCGAGGGTGCGGAGGGGCTCACTGAGGTAATTGGGGAAGTGTGGAACTGTGATAGAAAGGTATGTCCTTGGAATATTCTTCCATTCCTCACTCAGACTGCGAGATTTCCGGCCGATTGTCGGGTACGATGGCCGCCAACTGACATCAAAGCCGGTAGCACACACGATAACATCGACCTCGTGCTCAAGCCCATCTGCAGTCTTAATGCCCTTAGGGGTAATCTCTTCAATTGATTGACTGACAACCGAGGTGTTCTCGCTGCAAAGCGCCTCGAGATATCCATTTCCGGGTGTAGGTCTTCGGCAGCCCACTGCAAAGTCTTTTGGAACAATCGAGTCTGCGATTTCTGGATGATCCGCAAGCTTGGTCCGCATATCTTTCTCGGCGTACTAAAAGATTTTGCCTTGTCAGAAAATGGCTAGAAGTGTACTGGGTTGAGACGGGAATCTTACTGCTCGCGCATTTGCTTGCTCCTCGGATCCATTGAGAATGAATCGGAAACGGGAATTGAGCTCAGACTCGATCTTCTTGCGATATGCCAGGTATTTCTGAGGATCATTCTGCAGTATCTCCTTTTGCTTCTCATTATCTGTTCATGTCAGTATTTCGGATTAAGGTTTGATGGGCCCTGCTTAAGGGAAGCCTTACATTTGAAATTAGATCCCCCTTTTCCTGCAAATCGTTGACCAAAGCCGGCAGTCACCCACGAGGCACTGCGAATGAAGCATTTGAGAGATGAAACCTCTGTATTGGTCATTAATATACTTCCTTTCGCGCTCTGAATCGGCGAAACTCACTTGGCTGAATGCTTGGAACGATTTGCACTGCAGAGGAGCCTGAGCCGATAACAGCAACACGCTTCCCCTGCAATTGAACGCTGTCGTCCCAGTTTGCACTATGAAGTCTAGGGCCCTTGAAGGATTCGAGGCCCTTGATTGCGGGCCATTTCCATTTGCTGAAGTACGTCAGTCTTATCGTTTCACAACCGTAAAAGGACAAGGATACTCACTTCAGCACACCACTTGCGTTGACCAATATGTGACCTTTGTCCTCAAAGACATCTTCAGGATTATCTCCTTTCTGGATTTTTACATGCCACTGTTGATCCTGCTCGTCCCAGAATGCGCCTACCACCTTGTGCTCCAGGCGAATATATTTCCGAAGTCCATACTTGTCGGCAATGCCCTTGAAATATTTCAGGATTTCAGGTGCACCCGAATAACTACCAGCAGTAAGTTCAATATCCATTTAGTTATTCGGACAAGACAAGTATTTGATTGCACTTACAAGGAGGTCCAGTCTGGAGAGGGAGCCCATGAGAACTGATAGTTGACAGAAGGTATGTCGCATCCACATCCGGGATAGCGGTTCTCATACCAAGTGCCACCAATCTCTGGGTTCTTTTCGTAAAGAACTAGTTCAGTGTCTAACGGGCTTGTGTCGATGTCATGGGCAAAGTTCAACGCACTTGCGCCGGCTCCGATCACAATGATGCGGATTTTGCGACGGTATCGACTTGGCTCTTCCACGATTTCATAAGGTTTGATCCCTTTCCCAACTCCATTGGCCGCCTTGAGCTCATGATAGTCACCGATAGATCCCATTTTGGGGTAGAAGAAAGAGGATAAATAAAGTAGAGAAATGATCAGAGTGCTTCGCTCATCAAATCACGGAGATGTAAGGGCGTGGGATCGATGCATTTATGAGACTCTTCCTCGTTAGCGCACATTTTACTACATTTTGTCCTTTGGTTTGCTGAGTAGATGGTGGACAATCCGTTGAGTGCTCTTCCAAACTGCAGTGCGTTGGTGGAGTGGAAGTGGTGGAGCTCCACCACTTCTTATCATAAGGATGACCTCAATCACATTTCTCTGTAGGGCTCCTCCCACTCTCCACCATATCTCCACCATCTCCACCATATCCACCACGGAGAGAAGCGCGAAGAGGGGATAGGATGATCGTCAATCTACAAGTCTTGCCAGTACTTGTAGTCATGGAGTTGTACTTTAATCATGATAAGCCACCTAAGACCTCTTATAGGCACACTTACCCCGCTCTACCTCTGCGTTGAACAACTTATCATATCTACTATATTTTATTGATTGAGCCTGTCATCATATCCAATATGCCTGAAGGTACCAACAAAAAGCCATTGCGCATTTCCATTGGTGAGTGTTGACGCCCCTCAGTATGATATTTGGTGTAGTATACTATATTGACTAGTATACCCAGACCGCGGTGGAACCTTCACCGATTGTATCTGCAAAGTGATCAATGGGGATGATATTCTCGTGAAGATATTGTCTGTTGATCCGAAGCACTATGCCGACGCGCCAACTGAGGCGATTCGCCGTGTTTTGGAGATACACTATAAAACTTCAATTCCACGAGGCTCTGAACTAGATCTCAAGGATGTTGGTAAGAGTCATCGCCCAGAACCATGTTTAGCTACTTCGCTAATTGAACAGAATGGATCCGCATGGGCACCACGGTAGCAACGAATGCGCTACTCGAGCGCAAAGGCGAGCGCACAGCCTTACTTGTCACCGAAGGCTTCAAGGACATCTTGTATATTGGCAACCAAAGCCGACCGTACATGTTCGATCTGTCAATTCGACGATCCAAACCGCTGTACTCAGACGTCTTTGAAGTCAAAGAGCGCGTGACAGTTGGGGCATGCAGTGACTCAAATCTCCGTACCGTGAAGCTGCAATCTCCAGAGCCAGTCGAGTCGATCGTTGGTACCTCCGGTGAGGTTGTTCAAGTGCTGCAACCTATCGACCTGGCAAGCACTCGAGCTTATCTGCAAGATATATATAAAAAAGGCTTCCGCTCGTTGGCGGTGTGCCTGATGCATTCCTACATCTTCCCAACTCATGAGTTGCAGATTCGTGACTTAGCGCTCGAGATTGGGTTTAAATATGTATCTCTCTCACATCAAACCTCTCCACGACCAAAAATTGTCCCTCGCGGAAATTCTACGGTAGTCGACGCATACCTGACTCCAAACATCGAACAATACTTGCAACAATTCTCAAAGAATTTCCCTAATATCGACCAGTCCGGGACGCGATTGGAGTTCATGCAGTCAGATGGTGGATTGGTGCCCTCGTCAAAACTCTCTGGGCTGCACTCTATTCTCTCTGGACCGGCAGGAGGTGTTATCGGATTTTCCCAAACATGTTTCGACATAGAAGAGCAGACCCCTGTCGTTGGATTCGATATGGGAGGCACCAGCACCGACGTTAGTCGATACGACGGTGAACTGGATCACATCTTCGAAACAACGACTGCTGGGATCGCGATTCAAGCCCCACAACTCAACGTGAATACTATCGCCGCTGGTGGAGGAAGTATACTGGCCTGGAAAGATGGACTCATGTCAGTTGGTCCCGAAAGTGCCACCTCCAATCCTGGGCCGGCCTGCTACCGTAAAGGAGGTCCTTTGACCGTGACTGATGCAAATCTGGCACTGGGACGGTTGCTTCCAGAGGAATTCCCCTCGGTGTTTGGTGTTAATGAGAATGAACCATTGGACAGAGAGGTTGTTCTCAACAAGTTCAAGGATCTCACTCAAACTATCAACCAAGAGACGGGTAAATCACTGACGTGGGCAGAGGTTGCAGATGGGTGAGTAATATCCAGAATACAAGCATCAGATCCGGCCGCTAAACAGTTCCTTGCAGTTTCCTCCAGGTCGCCAACTCGGCAATGTGCGGACCCATTAGAAGTTTGACTGAGGCCAAGGGTTATGATGTTGCAAAGCATCACCTCGCGTCATTTGGTGGTGCAGGGGGTCAACATGCCTGCGCTATTGCCGAAGCCCTGGGAATTCGGAGAGTTTTGATCCACAAATACTCCTCTATCCTCTCTGCCTATGGGATTGGATTAGCAGATCTCGTGCACGAGGAAGAGCGGGTATGCGCAAAAGCCTTTGACGACTCTACGTTCAAAACGATATACAGCGACATGGATATTCTCGCAGACATCGTCCGAGGCAATGAGTCCATGCAACCATTTAACAATGTTCAGACCCGCCGCTTCCTGAATATGAGATACGATGGTAGCGAGACTTCAATCATGGTCTCCCTGGATAGCTCTGACGACCCTCGGGAGGAATTTATCAAAGCCCATCATCAGCAATTTGGATTCACTCCTACCAACCGTGCAGTGTATGTTGACACTATTCGCGTTCGAGCGATTGGCTCCAGTATATTCTCTGGGCCTTCGGCCAAATCTTTGAATTCCCATCCTAAACTCGTGTCTGGATCAGTGGCCCCGGTCCCTAAATCATGGGAATCCACTTACTTCAGTCCAATGGGATGGGTAAACACTCCAGTATATCATTTTGACAATTTGAGCGATGGGTGCCAGATCTCAGGACCGGCCATCGTGATTGACAAAACCCAGACAATCCTGGTCAGCCCGCACTCAAAGGCGACATTGACACAAGATGTACTGGCCCTGGACGTGAGCTCCTCAGGTCCGAAATTGACCAGTGCAGAGGTCATTGACCCAGTTCAGCTTTCCATTTTCCGCCATCGGTTTATGGGCGTTGCAGAGCAAATGGGACGCGTTTTACAAAACGTCAGTATCAGCGCCAATATTAAAGAGCGGTTGGATTTCACTTGTGCGATTTTCACACCCGAAGGAGACTTGGTCGCCAACGCACCCCATGTACCCGCCATGATTGGGAGTATGGCCTTTGCAGTCAGATCACAGATTGCCGAGTGGCAGGACAAGTTGCAAGATGGTGATGTTTTGCTCTCCAATACACCAGGTAGGTACCCCAAACCAAATACGACAGTGCTTCTAGTAGCTAACGCATTATCATGAAGAATTTGGAGGTGTTCATCTTCCTGACCTCACGGTCATTACCCCTGTTTTCGACTCTGATGGAAAGGATATAATATTTTGGGCAGCTTCGCGCGGTCACCACGCCGACGTAAGTTTTCCTTATGCTTCAAGTAATCCATAGACTGACACAATGTCCGTAGGTCGGAGGCATACTTCCTGGATCAATGCCACCCTTGTCAAAGCTTCTATCCGAAGAGGGTGCAGTCTTTGATTCATACCTGCTGGTACGCGCTGGCCATTTCGATGAGGAAAAGCTTCACCGGGTGTTGTGCGTAGAGCCTGCGCGTTTCCCAGGCTCCAGTGGATCCCGATGCTTCCAGGATAATGTCACCGATTTGAAAGCGCAGGTTGCTGCAAACCACTGCGGCATCCGTCTCGTGCGGCAACTGATCCAGGAATATTCTATGGATGTGGTTCAGGTAATTACCATTGATGATATAAGGATGCAGCGGACCAGGCTAACTGATACAGATGTATATGCGCGCAATTCAAGACTCGGCTGAGCTCGCCGTGCGGAACCTCTTGAAGCGTCTTGCCAATGATCACAATGGGGAAGAGATATCCGCGGTCGACTACATGGACGACGGGACCCCGATTATGCTCAAAGTAACCATTGATCCATCAGATGGTTCTGCCATCTTTGACTTTACAGGAACAGGTCCAGAGGTTTATGGTATGTTTATACTGATGGCTCACTACAGAAATTCCAATAACTGATTGACTGTAGGAAACTGGAATGCTCCAATTGCAATCTGCAACTCGGCAGTTATCTTTGCTTTGCGCTGCATGGTTAACTCTGACATTCCCCTCAACCAGGGCTGCATCAAACCTGTACAGATGATCATCCCTGATAGGTCACTTTTGCGGCCCAGCTTCGAAGCCGCAGTGTGCGCGGGTAACGTATTGACCTCACAACGGATCGTGGACGTCATTTTCAAGAGCTTCAAGGTCTGCGCTGCCAGTCAAGGGTGCATGAATAATTTCACCTTCGGCAATGACGGGGAGAATGGGTTCGGATACTATGAAACCATCGCTGGTGGGAGTGGCGGAGGCCCCGGCTGGGCTGGCACAAGCGGCGTGCATACCAACATGACCAACACGCGCATCACCGACCCTGAATCACTAGAACGCCGCTACCCGGTGATTCTGCGTCGTTTCATTCTTCGCGAAGGGAGTGGCGGCGCCGGAATGTATCCTGGAGGAGAAGGTGTTATCAGAGACGTTGAACTGCGGCTGCCGATGTCTGTGTCCATTCTTTCCGAACGCCGCAGCTTTGCGCCTTACGGTATGGCAGGGGGCGATGATGGCAAGCGCGGGAAGAACACATGGATCACTAAGGCTGGCCGGCATATCTCCGTTGGTGGCAAAAATTCGATCCGCGTCCAACCTGGGGACCGTTTCGTCATTGAAACCCCTGGTGGTGGAGGATATGGAGTTCCTGGGGAACCAAAGAAATCAAGCGTGGATCAGTCAACGGTCATGCCGTCGTTTGTTCCTATCGCCAACGGTAGTGTGGCCGCCAATCGGAGCTTGGCAGAGGAGGTGTAGGAGTATACTTAGTTAAACATATTCTATCTGTTTCTTTTTCTCACCAAATGTATTTCTGTCGTTTTCGATATATATATGAAAAGAGTTGGGCTCCAACAATTCAAACGTTAAAAGCTTGATCCACAAAACGCAAAGACGGAGGTTAACAGTAGGAGTGAAAGCAAGAAGGATTCCGATGTACTAGAACAGGAATGTTGAATTATATAATTTCTTGCATTCTTGGGTTCCGCACTCCATAACATTCAGACTAGATAGTATGCTGGCATGATAGCTAAAGTCTACCTTGTTATGAAAGATTGTGCTTACTGGTGATTACAAGAATACGTTTCAAACAAGAGCTGTACAGGTTGAAGTAGTACATGTATCTGTCAGGAGAGGACTACGTCGAGTGCATGGTGCAATGTGAGACAGATGTATTGAAGAGTTGTAGAAGCTAGGTTCTACAGAGCTATGAAATCTGACAGTATCTTATAAGCCTAAGTCCTAACACGGTACACCCCGATTAAATACAAATATTCCACCTTGGATGCTCAAGCTCAGCCAGAAAAGACTCGAATGAGACTTGACACATATACCACGATCCCTGTTCAAGCGTAGAGAATCACAGCACATAGCGAAAGGTTGGCTGCTCGAAATCCGTCAAATCCAGGAATTCAGAGCCAAGGGTAGCATGTGCAGTGTCAGGGTCCTCGATCGCCTTGCGGTCGCGTCTCTTGTTCTCCATGATGTTGATGACCCGAATTGCTGCCAAGGTGACCGCTGCCAGAGCATACATGACGGCGACCATCAGCTTGCCATCAAAATATTCAGGCGACTGGGTTGAGCGGAATGTTTGAGGACCGATCCAGTTTCCGGCTGCGTAGGCCACGATCTGGAGGCCGTTCACTGTTGCTTTCTTGGTATACCCTAGGGTGTTGTTCGAAATCATCACCATAACGAGACACCAGGCAGTTCCAGCGGCACCGATGAAGTAGTATCCTACCAGCAAGCCAGCTTTGGCATGAACGGGGATCACAATCATCATGATACCGCCGATCATGGGAATCAGAATGGCAATTATGGCAAAGAGGGTGCGATCAAAGAACCGGTCGGAGAGATAGGTCAGTCCCAGTTTACAGGTAATGTCCACGATGCCCATTGGCATGTTCAAAATCAGGGACATGCGTTTGGAAAATCCAAAGGAGCTGATGATGATAGATCCAAAGGTCGTGATTCCCCCGTTGGGGATGTTCATGAGCAACGAGAACAGGACGTAGAGATAGGTGCGCGGGTCGCGAAATGCTTCAAAAAATTGGGGCCATTTCCATGTTTGATTGCCGATTCCTTGGAAGTTGCCTCGAATCCGATCAATGGCAATAAGCTTCTCGCGGTGATTCAAGAACCCGGCCTGGACTTGATTGTCGGGCATGTACCAAAAATATACTATACCCGTTAGGACAGTGGGCAGACCAAATACCAGAAAGAGGATTTTCCAGACAGCGATGGAAGTTCCATGTACACCTGCTAGGCCGTAGGCGATGGGCCCAATCAGCAGCTGGGCTAATCCGTTACAACTGAGCCAAAGGCCCATGCGTTTGGCTTGTTCCTCTTGCTTATACCAGCAAGAAGTGAACAAGACAAAGGCCGGCGTTACTGTTGCCTCAAATGCGCCTAGGAAGAAGCGGACGCAAAGTAGGCTCGCATAGTTATGAGTGGCTGCATGGCAGACGAGTGCGATACCCCAGAGCACGATATTGACTGAGGTGTATTTGCCCAGGGGCAGACGGCGAAGCAGATAAGTGGTGGGGAATCTAAGCGTATACATTAGCGATCTGTAAAAGAGAACAGCAGGAGAACATACTTACTCCCAAAAGATATATCCAGCATAGAAAATACTCGAGACCCAGCTGTATTGCTGCGAGTTGGGATCCAAATGAGTGTCTTCCCGAATGCCCATAAGCGAGGCATAGTTCAATGACGTTTTGTCGGCAAACTGAATCAAATAGACCCAACAGAGCAAGGGCATGAGGACTCGATCGATTTTGGACAAAACCTTCTTGGCTTCGCCGGGGGTATATTCAATCTCCTCTGCGTTCATGAATTGGAGAGCAGGATCGAGGTCCCGGATCTCGTGCTGCTTCAGGTTCCCGTCTTGAATGTCCATGACCGCTTGCTCCGTATCATGCTTTGATGGAACCTCGGATAGCTTCATATCGTTTGACACTGTCATGTTGTCTCAGTTGATGCACCTCTGTACACTTGAATGGCAAAATCATGAAGCCATGGCTTTCTCTTTAAATCCCCCGTCTGATATTGGGTTTATCGGAAGGGCTACGAAACAGCCTATGGGGAAGTTGGCCAAGCTTCAAGCTGTACCCCGGAATTTGTAGAGGTGGACATTTCCTGGTGGAGCTCCATTTTGTGTCGAAGAGGCGTGTGGACGGGCTTATCTTATCAGAAGGTTCTGCTCAAATCCATGGATCCATGGATGCCCAGCCCTGGAGGTGTCCATGGGTGACGTGTCCAATTAACCTTAGATAGCAATTTAATGGGCATTGGGGTTATCTATGTGATATGTGACTCAATTGTGTCCATATCTGATACCTGTCATAGTCCACCAAAATCCATCTTATCGCTTCACTGTCTGATTTATGCATTCGGCGACATACCGAACATTGGACCCGTTAAGCCCCGCTATAGATACCCTCGAGCTCTCGGCCATATAGATATGGTATTCCTCTATATCAAACACGTCAGCTAGCTTTCTCAGGGTAAAGCATGTTCCATTGTGAATATCTGTTTTCCAGCCACTTACTTTGTAAATGGTGTACTTGATCCGGTGTGAGACCGAGAATGCAGAACATCCCCTTTTGCTCGGTGATGCGCTTCCAGTCTCCAGGGGTGCCTAACAAACAATTAGAGACATTCCACATCAAATCCAGAAAGCAACCAAGGGATCGGAGACGCGTACGAAGTTCAGTCAACCCTTGGTACAATTGCCATCGCATATTCGCGATTCGCGAACTCATCGTGACGAGATCTTTCCGCCACTGCGCATAAAGCTCCTCGTCTTCTAGAATCGCAGCTACGATGCGCGCGCCGAAGGCAGGGGGGTTAGAGATTTCAACACGGATCATTCGTGCCAAACTTGACTCGACGGCAGCCGCGATAGTGGGAGTATTCGATGAAAACGCACATAATCCGACACGCTCGCCTTAGAACATTCGACACAGGTTAGCATAAAGGGGAGAGATAATAGCACTAAAATCATATTCATACCGTAAAGTCCCATGCTTTTGGCAAAAGAAAGACACACCGCGATCTCAAGACCAAGCTCATCGGCAAAATATCGGATGGCAAATGCATCATGATCGTAGTCGCCCGAGGTCAACCCCAAGTACGCGGCGTCAAAAACAGGGAATAGCTGCCGCTGCTTCACAATAGCACCTATCTGTTTCCATTGATCTGGACTGCAGTCCCAGCCGCTTGGGTTATGAGCGCTGGCATGAAACACAAAGATGGACTTTGGGGCTGCCTCGTTCAGTGTTTGGATCAATGATTGCATGTCGACACCGACACTAGACGAATAATTGAACTCGCGGACTGCGAAGCCAATTGATTCGAAAACCTGGCGGTGATTTGACCAGCTAGGCTTGGTTATATACACCGTTGCATCGCGACCTAGCACCTGCTTAAGCATTGTTCCGGCGATGTGGAGTGCTCCTGTACCAGACAGAGCTTGACAGGATGCGACCTGGAGGAAGCGAAAAAGTCAATCGCCGAAATAACCGTCTGAAAATAAGATGAATATTACTTACTCGGCCTTCACGAATTGCAGCAGAATGCTTGCCAAATACCAAATCTGTAGCCAGTGTCCGAAATGAGGGGAGCCCTAGGATCGGGAGATATTCATGGTTGGAGTCCTTGATTTTCTCTTTTGCCGATCGCACCGCGGGCAAGATCCAAGGGTTGCCATTTTCGTCTTTGTATGTTCCTTGCCCAAGGTTTACTTTGCGCGCAACTGGATCCGCATTGTATGTTTTTGTGAGCTCGAAGATAGCGTCCGGGGGCGTATAGTCCACGACCTCGAAAAACGAAGGAGAAAGAGAGCTCATTGTGTCGGTCTGGCGGGAAGTAATTTTGGAATGTAAGTAGAATATTTCACAAAGCAGGAAGTAGCAAAAATCAATGGAGTTGGTTATATTAGCCTTGATTGCGTTATGTGCCTTTTAATTAACAGTAGCGGAGCCCGATGGAGAAACAAGGTGGAGCTCCACCGACAAAGAGCGGTATACCACCTGGGCAGCCGAGCTCGATGAATAAGAGGCCAAGGGGTAGCAATAAATAGCAATCAGGCGCTAAATACCGTCAGTATCTCTCCAAACCCTCACATTCAAAAATCACGACGAAATGGCACCAGTAAAGCCCAACTTCGGTGTCTATACGCCACTAGTGACGTTCTTCGAGGAGGATGAGTCCCTCGATCTCCAAAGCACTTTGGCTCATGCAAAGCGCATGGCCGAAGGTGGGGTTACTGGGCTTGTACTTCAGGGAAGCAATGGAGAGGCTCCTCATCTGGATCATAGCGAGCGCAAGTCTCTGGTGCGCGCTGTCCGCGATCACCTTGACCATCTGGGCTACACAGGATTGCAGTTGATTGTCGGTTGTGGCGCACCTAGTGTGCGGGAAACACTATCCTATATCTCAGAGGCTAAAGCTTCCGGTGCCAATTTCGCCCTCGTGTTACCACCGGCATATTGGGTTGCAGCCATGAATGCATCCGTTATTGAAGGCTTCTTCCAGGATGTAAGATCTTTCTATATCCTGATAAAGAAACCCTCTGTCGTGTTCTCATAATCTAACAATATCTGAAAATGCAGGTGGCATCTCAATCCGAGCTTCCCATTCTCATTTACAATTTCCCTGGCGTGACGGGAGGCATCGACATCAGCTCCGACTCCATCATCCGCTTAGCCAAATCCAACCCAAACATTGTCGGTTGCAAACTCACCTGCGGCAACGTTGGAAAGCTTCAGCGTGTCTCATCGGCACTTTCAGGGACATCATTTGCTACTTTTGGTGGAAAGTCGGACTTTTTCCTACCTGCCCTTGTTGCTGGGTCGAACGGGATTATTGCCGCACTCGCCAACATTGTACCGAAGCTGCATGTGCAGATATTGCGGTACTATGAGAAGGGCGAGCTTCAAGCAGCACAAGAGCTTCAGTCCAAGCTCAGTCATGCCGACTGGGCCCTCACCAAGGTGGGCATTGCGGGTGTCAAAGCTATTGTGTCGCATCATTTCGGATACGGTACGGGCCGGGGACGCAGACCACTAGGGAACACAACGATCACAAGCTTGAGTCAAGAAATCGTAGCCCCAATAAGTGAGGTGGTTGACCTGGAGAAATTGTTGAGACAAGATGCCTAGATGACTTGTTTGTCGGGCTTCCACTAGCTATTAGCTAGCCTCTGTTTGTGGAGAATACAGAAAGTTTTCATCTCCTCTCTTGCTAGGAACGTTTTATAAGCGTGTATGAAACTGGCAAGAGCAATTTGTATGTTCTGGGCTGAATAACTACATGAAATCTAAGAGGAAGAAGAAAGTGAAAAGCAGTCTATACTATCTGGTTAAGAGCCCATATTCCGCCAATGAACATTCTGTGACTCGGATGGAATTTGGAATTATATCTATAGAAAAAAGTACTGCTAACTTCAATCACCAAGCGTCTTCTTTGAATTCTAGAGTTAACGCTCTTAATACCTGATTCACACGCAAGACAACGTACGTAGCATTATTTCCTTTTAATAGAGGGGACAAGTCAAGAAGAGTTGAATGAATATTAGATCAATCTTTTAAGAACAAACACGTAAACGTTCTATTTGGTCAAAAGAGAAAACTCAGTTTCCTTGTCGGCTGTTTTCACTCCAAAAAGACAGGCCCGCTTCCATTCGCCCTGTTCCATAAATAGCTGAACTATCCAAGCACTCACCGGCATATTCTCGTGCTGAGTTAAGACGATTTGATGCAATTTCAAGCGTTGGAAGACGAGTTGAATGACTGGTAGCGATGGAGAGAGCGTGTTTCATGTCTTTGCTTGCAAGGGCTGCTTGAAACCCGGGAGACGTGTCCAGCGGCGGTGCATACGCGCCAGTAGTGATACGTTTTGAGTAGCTTTCGAGCACGGGACCAAACATATTGCCAATAAATTCCTCCAGCTGTTGATTGCCAATCCCCGTAACTTCGGCAAATACTTGCGCTTCAGCAATCACTTCCATGAAGCTGATAACGAGGATATTCCTGGAAAGAGGAGTGAGTTAGCTCAATCTTGATGATCGTTCCAAAGATTGAATGGATACCTACCCAGAGATCTTGAGAAGGCTGGACTTTCGCACGTCTTCTCCCATATCGATGATGCTGCGTCCCATGATGTTCAGGATGAGAGGTCTGATTGTCTCAACTGCCTTAGCAGGTCCGGCTACCGCGAAGATGAGCTTCCCAGCGGCCGCCATAGCGCTAGCGCCAAACACTGGGGCAGCTATGAATGCTGCCCCATATTCACTGAGGCGTGATGTGGCCCATTCTGACGTGTCTGGATGAATAGTAGAAGTGTCTACAAAGACTTTGCCTTTCAATGAATCGCCTGCGATCAAGGCCTTGTTAAATAGCTCAATTAGCACTTCGTCAATGGAGATCTATTTGTCTTCGTCAATATATCGCACATCCTATAATAAATAGATGCCCCTCCTACCATTGTAAAGATTATATCCGAATTTTGGACGAGATCTTCGAACTTCTCTTCAGGTGTGGCTCCTTCATCACGAAGCAGATCACCCTTTGACAAAGTACGGTTGCTGTAACGAAGTGGCGACAAATTGTTGCTCTTGAGGTATTTTTGGAGATTGAGGGACATTCCTAGCCCCATCGATCCGAGGCCATACTATCCCGATCAGCAAATAGGCAATCAAGTAAGGAAATATAACCTACCCAGCCAACTCTTGTGGGTGATGTCATTCTGGCTTTTACTTGCAGTCGATTTGAAAACTTCCCAGAAGCCTTTACCTATATAGGTAGCTTGTTGTCCGCGGGTTTATAACAAAGAGCCCGAACGGGACATGTGGAGCTCCACTTGGTGTACCCACCGTCCACTGCCGACGGTCCACTCACTCTGATAACAAACCTTGGCACCCCGCGACGGTTTCACTCGGCTCCAGTACCCGGGATTTCGCCCAATACAGCCAGCATGGAAGGCCCAATCCCCCACAAGGATCTTCGCTGACAGAAGGCCTTGATTAAATTGACAAAGAGGGACTCGCCTTCATCGAGCAGACTAACGAAAGCCTCTCGATCCATGGTCCACAAGCGGGGGTCTCGGGTCACCCGGTCATTCTCTGTGGAGAAATTGAGAAGAGCGGACTCCATGAGGGTGTTGAAGATCAACATGCAGTATTCTGAGGTTCTTGGGAGTTCGTTGAACGTGTTCAAGTGGTGACGGATATCGGTACTTGCGCGTTTGAGCGCTCCCCATATACATAATAAAACACCGTAACTGGTCACGGTAACCCAGGGTGCTTCGCGGACCACTTTATCCTGCTCCTCTCCGGAGATGCTGGACAATGCGCCAGATAAATCGCTCAGAAGAGCCACAATGCCCTCATCGCCTCCGACATGGTAAGGGACAAGAGGTGCTGATCGCCGGATCGCGACAAGGTTCCCTTGGGTCAGATGAGTGGAAGCAGCCATCCCAGCTATCAGGCTGTTATCCACAATACCTGCTATCAAGAGCTGATCAGGGCGACATAAGCTGATCTTGAGAGAAGAGATGAAGAGCTCGTTCGTTCTCCACAGCAGAAACTGGGGGCTGTCACCGGTGTAAGCCTGCTTCTTGACAATCTTCGTGATTGCTTCTATTGCTGTGTGCACTTGTTTATTTTGAGCCTGAGTCAGTATATGGAACGGATTCGGGTCAGATGGACTGGGCGGCATTTGATAGTAACACCGCGTAAAGTCCCGCACAAGAGCACCTATGTTCGTCAGGACGCAAAATGCGGCAAAGGGGGATGCTTCTAGCGCTGCTAAAAGTTGCGAGTCCGGTGTTTCGGTCATGAGTTGCTGAGTAGCAATTGTCAGAGAGGCCGTCCCTAGGCCGCGTGGCCCGTGTAATAGACTATTGGCTATTGTAAAAGTCGGAAGTCCAAAGTTCTCGTTGAATCTCAGTAGCCATATCTGAGAGTTTTTGGCTTCCCACAGATTGATAGGGAAGGGAAGTTCCCAGCCAAGTTCCATCGGTGACATCAAAGGCCGAGAGTTACAAGGCGAAAATGTGTGGGAGTCTAGAAAGATTAGAGTGTACAGCGACAGTCTCATCGATTCGGTGGTAATATAGGACGTCCATCGCGTATAGAGAGTTTGCGGATCATCTCCAGCTGAACTGAAGTCAAGTTGGTACATCCAAGACTGGGCATCTGGCATAGCGATACCCTGTTGGGACAGACCGATTTCGTGCACAGCCTATCTCAAAGAATACATGTAAGCCTAGGTAAAAGAGGAATAGGACATTGCAGAAGACAATACAGACATCGACAAGTTGCCGCAGCATCTTTTTCACGGTCTGGAATTGGCCTGCTTCGCTTGCGTATACCCCGTAGATTATATAGAGAAGCCAGGCTTGAATGACCCATGGCTGTCTGATCTCACTGCAATTCGAGGAAACCTATTTCAATATCAATTAGAACATCGCTCTCAGAAGACACGATAGTAGGATCTAGTCATATACCATATGTCGAAGCTCTTCCTGTCCACTTTGCCATACATCTTGACGCCAGTGTGCGAGAGCTTGGGTCTCCTCATGATCATATAGATTGGGAGAAAATAAGCTCCCAATGACAGTAACGGCCTTCAACAGTAACTTCGGCGTCGAGGATACAGTGAATGTAGGTCGATGCAACAAAGGGAAAGACGGGTGGAAATGCTCAAAATACTGTTTGACGTATGTTTCTTCGCTATTAGCGTGGTTACTGTAGGTTAAGTTCCCACTGTTAGACGTGATTTCAATCGATGAGCCCCCCTTACTGTGGAACGCATCGGGGGCAATTTATACAAATCAGCTAAAGGCAAGCGTACCTCGGCGAGGAAGAGGAGAAACTCTGGGGTAATTCAGTAGCAAATGTACTGTGCTCTTCCCAAAAAGCTTCGTCGGTCACAACACGTTCGGCTGGGTTGGGGTTGGTCAAAGGTGACGGTATGCCGACCATTGCCTGGGGGGTATGCATACCCTCCCACGGCACCTGCGGCTGAGATGTCTGAATTGGAGATCCTGTCGCACGGCAACGATCACCATGTCTTTTATATACGTCGCTGCAAAATTATCAGTGTTATTGCAATGCATGACGGGCATGAAAATGGAAACAAGACCTTCGAGAGAATCGAGCATGACATCTGCCACACTGGAAATTCTTGCGCGAAGCGCCGCCGTGGCCTGATAGGGCATCAATATTTGATTTTCTATGAAGGAATATTTATGCAGACTTACGTGCACGCTTATGCCGCTGTAAGTTTTCCTGCAGATCGAATCCGGGTGAGAACAAGACAGAAAAGATAAGGAGCTGGGGTACTTACACTCCGCGTAAACAACTTTGAGCATTCATCACAGGGAAACGGACGATGCTGGTCGACGCCATTGCTCGTCATGCCTGAGGTGCTAGTGATTTGATTCATTTCGTTTGGGGATTGAATACAGAGGGGCTCGGGAAAGACGGTCTTGACTACGGGCGCACGTGCCGTTATCTTCCAGCCTTGCAACCTTGGAAGCCCTGCCCAGCTGGGAGGTTAACTTCAATGTTGATAAGCTGGATTTCTAACATTGAAGGTACATGTTGGACTTTTATGTTTTTGGTTTAGATTCTATATGAAATAGAAGTGGGAAGGCCTCGATTGCCAGATATCATCAGAAACATATCCGGGGATATGTTCCCTGGGGCCGGTCACATTTCTTTTATCTCCAAGGTTATCCCCCATCCATCGAACTTGCCTATCTTTTATATTTTTATGTGGCAAGAACCTACCTACTTACATACTCACTAGATCCTAAGAGGTTAAGCTGAAATATCCAGGTGTCAGCGCAATGTTGCAAGTGGACCCGGGCAGATCAACTCCGATACTTTGCAACGTCACCTCGTCTTGAACCATTTACTTCCAATCCATGAAACCCCCAAAAAAATCAACAATAAAGCCAGAATGGCTTCTTCTGATCTTCAAAAGCAGGTTGGCCAGGTACATGAGCCCTGAAACCCCTTCTTTATGAATCTCACTGACGATCGCAGCTCTTCGCGGTGGGGTTCTATGGCTGCACCCCAAGTCCCGAAATCAAGACTTTGATCCATGACTACCACGTTGGAGGCATCGTCCTCTTCTCGCGCAATTTTGAGAATGCAGAACAGCTTCAGGTGCGATATCCGAGGCTGTATCGTCCTTGACTGGCTTGACTAATCTTCTCTAGGCCTTGACACTGGCTTTACAGAATGAAGCCAGAGTGGCTGGACATGAGCGACCACTGTTGATCGGAATTGATCAGGAGAATGGACTGGTCACTCGCATTTCTCCCCCGATCGCTGCTCAGGTACCAGGGCCTATGGCACTTGGCGCCACGCATGACCCGGAGTGCGCCTACAGTGCGGGGAAAGCCACGGGGGAAACCCTGAGTTTCTTCGGAATTAACATGAACTATGCACCAGTGTGCGATATCAACTCGGAGCCCTTAAACCCAGTTGTTGGTGTACGCAGCCCTGGCGATGACCCTGAATTTGTGGGCCGGTTTGCGAGTGCAGCTGCGCGGGGTCTGCGGGAACAAAACATCGTCCCCAGCGTAAAGCATTTTCCAGGTCATGGAGACACAGCTGTTGACTCGCATTATGGACTGCCGGTCATCCCTAAAACAAGGGATCAGCTGGAGCGTTGCGAGTTGATTCCCTTTAGGCGGGCTGTCGCTGAAGGCATCGAGACCGTCATGACTGCTCATATCTCGCTGCCTTGTATCGATCTCATGCGACCTGCAACACTTTCTCCGGATGTTATGGGAATCTTGCGCAAGGACATGGCCTATGATGGTATGATCATCACAGACTGCCTGGAGATGGATGGAATCCGCTCCACATACGGTACAGAGGAAGGCTCGGTGCTAGCGTTGCGCGCTGGTAGCGATAGCATCATGATCTGTCATACCTTTGATGTGCAGGTGGCTTCAATCAAAAGAGTTTGTGAAGCAATAAAGTCCGGCACAATTGATCAATCACGACTGGCTGACGCTTGTCGCCATGTGGCTACGGTGAAGGACAAGTTTTTGAACTGGGACGCCGCTCTTCGGCAATCCACTCTCACAGACTTGAGCTCCCTCAACAATAGAATTGCCGAGACGACGATGGATATATATTCTCGATCGACAACACTCGTTCGTGACAAAAATGGTGTTCTCCCCCTGTCAAGGACTTCAATCATAATCTTCCTCTTCCCTGGAGACAAGACCCCAGTCGGTGGTGCTGTGGATGGCGAAGGAACGGGACGGCCAGGATTATATCAGTCCAACAAATACCTTGATGTTCTGCGGCAACACAACAATTCCATTGCTGAGCTCAGATACGGAGCGACAGGTCTGACTTCGGAGCAATGGCGAACCATTGAAGTCGCCGATGTGGTGATTTTCACTTCACTCAATGCAAGAGAGTCGCCATACCAGGAGCAGCTAGGCCTAGAACTTGCTGAACGTGTTCATTCATTGGTGCATATTGCTGCCTGCAACCCTTATGACTTCCTTGATGCTCCTAGTGTCAAGACTTATATTACCACCTACGAGCCGACTATCGAGGCATTTTCTGTGGCTGCCGATATCATGTTCGGATCGCTGATCCCGACAGGTGCTCTTCCCGTGGGAACGAGTGCTTTGAGCAAGACCTCCGCGGTAGTAACGCCATTTAACGCACAAAGAGATCTGGATGAGGTGCTCGAAGTCTGGGCCGCTGCTCTCCCGACCTACCTTGTTCCTACTGAAAGCTTGCGGTCTCTGATAGTACGCCCGCATGGCCACCATTTCATCGCTCGCATTGGATCGCAGCTAGTAGGCTTCTGTCTTGCTTACACAAATGACCACGGTGCACCAAACACCGTGTATATCACAGTTCTTGCCGTGGCACCAAAGTATCAACACCAAGGCGTTGGAATTGCCCTGCTAGAAGAAACGAGAGCATACTTCAGGGCAACCTTTGGACTCAATAATGTGAAGCTGGGCAGCTCATTCCCCCGCTTTTGGCCCGGGATACCCCAGGACCTTCCAGAAACAGTGCAACATTTCTTCACTCACCGTGGTTTCCGACTCAGTCCGCCCAGTGCCCGGTCGGTTGATTTGTACCAAGATATTCGGAACTTCCAGTCGCCAGAGAAGTATATCACTCGTGCCCGGGAGCGAGGCTTCCGCTTCGCGCCATTAAAATCCGAAGATTACGAGGCCTGTCTGGCTGGACAAAGAAGAAACTTTTCTAAGAACGGGGTAAGACTCCTGTGTTGTTCGCACGCTTATACTTTGTTAGAATCTATACTAATGTTCTATAAAGAGCTGGGTGGAGGCATACGTCGCATTACATCCCGACAAGTATCCCGACAGTGTGATGACAGCATTCGACTCCCAAGGCCAGCAGGTCGGCTGGACGTTAATGCTCGGTCCATCAGATGCTCTGAACAAGTCTTGGGCATTCCCCCAAACCTGTGGTCCGAAAACAGGGCTGATCGGTGCCGTGGGAATTGATGAGTCCCACCGCAAGTATGGAATTGGGCTGGCATTGGTCTGTCATGCTATTGAAAACATGAAGCAACGAGGCCTTGAAGGCGTCTTTGTAGACTGGGTTGCACTCGACGGGTGGTATGAGCAGGTTGGTTTTAAGACCTGGCGAAGCTACAGACCCGGAGAGCTTTGAGTATTCAATCATTATTCCCTCTTTGTTTATTGTTAAGAGCTTAGCCCTGGTTACTAGAGGTATTGAAACAAATCATTGAGACTTTTGACATAGGATCGCCTTGCCTAGATGCAAGGTTGAAACTCATGACATTGTTGCAACGAGCTTGCCTTGTTCCTATTTACTTTCAGAACTGTCACCAGAAACCCAAGACTACCATCAATCAATGCTGATCAGAAGTAGTCATGGCATCAATCTTGGCACGGCAATTCCGGAAGTGTTCAGCCTTCTGCTCAGGAGTCCAAGTCGAATGAGGAACATCCACCCCCTTTTGAACAGCAGCACGCTTATCAATCTCCTCGACCCACTTCTTCAAAGCGGGGAACTCAGACAGATCAATCTCCAAGGAAATAGGAGAACCGCGAACCCAAGAGAAACTCGCAATATCGGCAATAGTATACTTCTCACCCGCGAGGTAAGGGCTTTCCTTCAACCGCGACTCGAGGACTGAGTAGAGCCGCTTCGTCTCGTTGACATACCGGTTAATAGCGTAATCGGAGCGCGTGTCGGCGAAGAGACGGAAATGATTTGCTTGTCCTGTTGAGTATTAGAGAGAGCTCGAAGCACACGTACAAGGTGGATTATCTGCACACACCTTGAATGGGCCCAAGTCCAGCCATCTGGAACATTAACCAGGAAGTTTGTTCGGTGTGCTCGGGGGTGCCAGGGGCGTAACTGATCTTGCGGTCGGTGTCGTACTTGTCGACTAGATATGTCATGATTGCTCCACTCTCGAAAACGCGCTGCGAGCCATCAAGTAGGGCGGGGATGCGGCCATTAGGGTTAATCTTCAGGAACCATCTGTTCAATGACTTTCATCAGCATGTTGTGACATGTCGCGCTGCGTGGTGGGAATAATTGTACTCTTCCTTTTGGGGATTTGAGCTAGAGGAGATATCAAGGCCTTCGGCTTTATAAGGCAGACCAAGCTCCTCTAGGGTGATGGAGGCTTTGATGCCATTCGGCGTGGGCCAGCTGTATAAGGTGATGTTTGAAGACATGGTAGAATATGGGTAAAATTTTGATGAGAGTTGAGATAGTCGTGATACAGTCTTCAATGAACGAGAAAACATTTGGAATAACAATAACAGTCTGGAAGTAAATAAAAGGAGCTCCCGGAGGCCACCCAGCGCGAGAATGTCTATTTGTCAGCCCCCCGCAATACCAGGGCTATCCATCCATGGATGGATATACCTAGCCCTCCTAGGAGGTAGGTAAGATGGCGTCATATCACATCAGCTTGACTGAATATACTATTGTATCTTGAAATATGCACCTCTATGTAGTTCTCGACTATGGAATTAGAGCGGCACTTATATCATGGGCTCCGTACCAAGGTAGATGAAGCATTTCACAACCAGGTGCAAGTCATATCCGCTGTGCTACCAAAGTATGGTGGTACAGGCCTCCATTGAGGCTTTTATATGCTTGGAGGACTCGATGGGTTACCACACCCAACTGCGGATGCCCTGGTGCAGCGTGCTTTCACCCCATTTTACAGTTTGAGACTGACTATCCTAAAATGAAATAGAAAAAGATATCATAATGGCATCGTGATTAGTGGACCCGTGGACGGGTACCTAGAATCCGTCTGCCCACTTCATAATCCACTCCAACTCAACTCTGCTTTCCACATCCAGCTTGACTCCAGATCCAAAGTTGTACCCAATATCCTCAAATTATCTAGGGAAAATGACTAGTTGCCATGGCCAGTAAAAATCTCCCTGTAAGTCTAAGTTCGGAAACAGGCACATGATTGCATCATGTATATGCAATACTAATAGAACGCTTAGGTGACCCCTCCACTAGGATGGACAATGGACCCAGAAGAGCTTGACTACGAGGGTGAATGGGCCACACCAAATACCTGGGGGTATCAACTCACCGCCAATTATAACCTTGGGGAATGCACTCCTATCATGTGCAACCCCCAGGAGGGGGAACTAATCTTTAAGGGGGGTGGAAAATTCTATCAAATCTGCCAGATGGGCGGAGATTTGTTTGAGATCACTTCCCCAAAGACGCTCGATGAGATCATTGCTGTTGTGAAGGGAGAAAGGCGGCGAAAGATAAAGCAAAATGAAGAGACTCGGCTGAAGTCGTCTCACTCACCCTTGCTTCTATCCGTGGATGGATGGATCGCGCCAACAGCTAAATATACATTCAAGACGCAAAACCTCACTCTCTTCGGGCATGGCATGGGCCCGGCTGCTCCTGTTGCGTTCACCAGGGTTCTTTTGAAACTTACTCCTGGATCCATGTGCTTAAAGGCTAAAGTGGAGCAAATGAGGATATTCATGGCATCTCGCTACAGTGGAAAGGCGTCCGAGGAGCCCATTACCAAGCTTATCTCCGCGGGGGAGACCTGGAAAGGGTTGGCAGACCCTTACTTCAATTTCCAAGAGCTTATACGCATCCACGGCCGCACAATTGCCAACTTCCTCGCTATAACGGATCAGCTGGAGGTCATCCTCGAGACATTTCGGGATTGCTGCGAATCCCGGCCGGTCTATTGAAAGGTGGTAGAGACAAATCCTAGCTCGTTTCTCGTCCACTCAACCATGAGCACTAAAACGGAAAAGGAAAGGGTTCGAGTACCAGAGATTATCGGATACATCTGCAGTCGTTCAAAAGTAACAGGTATCTGACCATCTCGGGATTCGCACTATTCAAATCAGAGACAACTTCAAAAGCAACTATACTCCATCCTTGGCCCTCATTGACTAAGCTTCTACCCCCTGTATAGGAATTATCAATTTCCATGTTACTGTCGTTTTCTTTGTTTGGCCCAAGGCAACGCTGCCATCAAGAAAAAGCAAGTTAGTTGCTAGCTTGTCCTGATTCGATGTTAGGGAATAAGCGGTTCTTTTCAAACACTGCCACATTCGTATATCTTTACAACTGCATTCACCCGCCTAGGTCGTTGGTAAAATAGCATGCCGGCCCTGTCACTTATAAAATTGTGAACGTACCTTTTCTTCCACTTTCGAAACCGTTTGGAGTTGTGAAGCGAAATGGGTACAAAATCCCATAATTGCCATAAGCCTACGAGGACTACTCCGTATAGATGAGAACAATGGAATACGATTGTAGACTTATTTCTATATTTGCTTTGCCCCTTGCAGCAGGGCACGCAGATGGTACTCTCCCAAGGATGCATTGACCACGTAAATTGTTCCGCAGTTTAAGAGAACACATGGTAGGGTGTGCAGGCACCCGCAAGGGCGATCCTTTTCTGGAAGGACATGTGCTCTTCTATACGGAGTAGCATGGCTCAGAATCTGTCATGGCACTGGCACATGGTACATACATACCAGGATTGGACGCTTGATCGGCAATGGTACCATACTATTCTTCTCAACAAGGGCTAGTTTAGGAATTGGCTCATAGAGTCTAATACACAAGGGGTACTCTGCATCTGACATGTCAAATACGTACTACTTTGAAAGGCGCAGGGCAAGCCGAAAACGGCGCAAAAGTAACCGACTCGAAGGATGTGATCTCAGTATTCTTTTGCCGCAAATTGTTGGTATCATGACTCGAATCCATGGATGGGGCGCTTAGAAGTTACAAAAGCACGTCCAAATATTTCCCCAAGGGATAAACAATTTGGGGTAGAAAGTTGTCGATCCCCACATGGGCAGCCACGAGTGCCTTAGCGTTGCAACCCCCAGACACGGCCCGCTCGAGCCTCGGCGAGAACCATGTCGCCGGAGACGGTCACAGTCCGCTTTGTGAGATTCACGAGTGATGATGCGATCATCTTTCAATGTGCCACTTTAGTCGCATCAGCACTTGGTCACGCCACGTTCTGAGAAACACGTTTTTGTGGAGGTTTGACTTGGTAGTTGCCGGGTCTGATGTTACTTGATCTAACGCCACTAACGCCTATTTCGCCCTCAACTGGAGAAAAACGCACGGTAACTCACACATACGGGGCACACGGCTTCCAGACCGGGATAGTTCTACCGGCAAAGATCGGGATCGAGTATCCTTGGATTAAATATTTCCCCACTACTTTTCATGCCGGATGGTTGGACTCCGAGAGTAATTCATTCCCGAGAAGTTGACTTTTTCCTATTCCGTACGGGGTACGCCGTACACCTGACTGCGTTAGCGTGAGACCTAGACCCCAAGGAAACACATGTCTTTCCCGCAATTTGCCCCGGATTTCCACTTTTTCCCCCTCTTTTTACTGAATTCGGAAAAGGTTTCAATTTCAGATGTTCGTCATTTCCTATATTTCCTACACAGGATTCGGGTCTCACTCTGCGGTTCTAAAAGGCAAATATATTGTCCACGTGAACCTCCGAGTCCTATGAAGTCACCGAAAACAAGCCTGAAGGGCAGGGATTAGCGTGATTTAAGCCTAATTTAGCGCCAATGAGTTGACTAGCACTTAGGCGTATGGCCAAAATTTTTTCGCCAATCACAATTCTGCCCCTGCCTAGAAATGGCTACTATAACCCGATGCCTTTTGTGGACGAATGTGGCGCTCGCCCCGAGAAGCCAATGTCGAGAGCGGCGATCCCGATACCTCTCGAGAATTACCTTCCATATTTGTATCTGACAGGAACTATGGATGGGGTTGTAGGATTCGATTGCATAACATGGAGACAAAGACCGCATAATTAGAAGGGGATAAATCTGGGGCTTAACAGCAGTAAACTTACTTTCACATCGGACTTGAACGGGTCCACGGGTATGGACAGGGATCCCAGTCGAGAGCGCAAGATCCTGAAGGATTTCTTGTCCAGATGCATGTAGTCGTCTTGTTCATACTTGTTTATCGTACTTGGCATGAGGGAAGGTAGCAGAGAACTTTTAATGTAGTATTTTGGCGAGACCGAAATCTTTCCAGTAAAGGCCGAAGGCTTAGCGTAATAGTGGAGTATGTGATTCCTGTATCTCCGTTTTTATTAGGGTTTGGGGTTTCCCCATGGGAATTCGACGAGGGCCCCCAGATTCTGATCCGTTTCGGGAAGTAGATCAGAGGGAAGCCATGACAAAAAACTCCCTCCTTTTTTTGGCTCTAGTCCTGAGGCTTTGACATCTTTCATTCTAGCCAATTAGATTGTGCACCTTTTCAAACGGACTGGTCTCAGAAAAGGTTAGATGCAGAACATAAAAAGGTGCCCCTTCCCCCCCCGAGGTCAATAAAATAGTTACCATTAACGACTTTGTTTGTCTCTGGAGACTCATTATCAAACGAGGTACGGAGTACTCCATTAACTAAAGCTGTTGGTTTTCCAACTCTTCCTCTCCATCAACCTTTCTCTTTTTTCTTTCCCCTACACCATCAGAGTCGGCTCAGCCTCTGGTTTCTTTTTTGACCGTCTTTAACAGCTTGACCAGGTAGTCTTCAAAATGGTTCAGGAGGCCATCACTCAGGTCGGCTCTGACCTGCGGTAAGATCTGAATCTTCCTTGGGCGCTTTTCAATGCTCATACCAATTTCATATAGTTCGAGCAATGATCAAAATAGCGCCGAGAAAGGATATGTTGAGCAAGTTGACCTTCACAATAATGTGTCCGCCAGGTAAGCTCCACTCATTTAACGCTCTCCTCATATATTTCCCTTTCCTCTCAGTGCACTAACACAACCAAGGATCAAAAACCCTTTGGCCGACTTGACCAAAAATCAGGTGCTCCGCAATGTGGAAGAGTTTGCCGAGGAGTACAATGTGATGGACATCCTACCCGAGTTGAAAAAAGGAGCGCTGGTTGCGCGTGATCCTACCGAGTTCGAGACAGTGGCAGACTTGACCGAGCTGGAGCTCACTGCCCTGCGTGATGAAGTGCTTCACAAATGGCGTCAGCCTAGATCACTCTACTTCACCATTATCCTGTGTTCTATCGGTGCAGCCGTACAGTATGTGATTTCCCCAGCACGCCTTGGGTACATTACTAACATCAATACAGAGGATGGGATCAGACTGGCTCCAATGGTGCTAACCTGTCATTCCCCGATGCTTTTGGTATTTCAGAAGATCCCAAAAAGAGCGCTCAGGCCGACCGAAACCTATGGCTCGTCGGCGTCGTCAATGCTGCTCCCTACATTGCTAGTGCTTGCCTTGGATGCTGGCTCTCGGACCCATGCAATCGAACTTTGGGCCGTCGCGGTACAATCTTCATCGCCTCTATCTTTTGTGTCCTTACCCCCATTGGCTCTGCAGTGACCCAGAACTGGGTACAGTTGTTTGTGGTCCGTCTCCTCCTGGGTATTGGAATGGGTCTGAAGGCCTCTACAATTCCAATCTTTTGTGCTGAGAATACTCCTGCTGTGATCCGCGGTGGTCTGGTCATGTCCTGGCAGCTCTGGACCGCTTTTGGCATTTTCCTCGGCTTCAGTGCCAACCTTGCTGTCAAGGATACAGGTAAAATATCCTGGCGTCTACAGCTGGGATCGGCCTTTATCCCGGCTGTCCCTCTCCTATTCGGTGTTTACTTCTGCCCAGAGTCACCTCGCTGGTACATTCGACGGGGCGAGATGGGCAAGGCATACAAGTCTCTATGTCGTCTCCGTAACACGCCTTTGCAGGCCGCCCGTGACCTTTACTACATCCATGCCCAGATCAAGATTGAGATGGACCTAATCGGTAAGAGTAACTATGTCACTCGTTTTGTTGAGCTCTTCACTATTCCTCGCGTCCGACGTGCCACTCTTGCTTCGTTCGTTGTCATGATCGCCCAGCAGATGTGCGGTATCAACATCGTTGCCTTTTACTCGTCAACTGTCTTCAAGAACGCCGGCGCAAATGATACACAGGCTTTGTTTGCTTCCTGGGGATTCGGCCTGGTTAACTTTGTGTTCGCCTTCCCTGCTATCTGGACTATCGATACATATGGCCGTCGGACTCTATTGTTGTTCACTTTCCCGCAGATGGCATGGACTTTGCTTGGTGCTGCTTTCTGCTTCTGGACTCCCGAGGGTACTGGTCACCTGGCTTCGATCGCGTTCTTCGTCTTCCTATTCGCCGCATTCTACTCGCCTGGTGAAGGACCCGTGCCGTTCACTTATTCGGCGGAGGTATTCCCGCTTTCCCATCGTGGTATGTTTTTCACTTTCAATTTCCCCTTCTCGCTTGATAGAGCTTCTAGAACTAACATTGATATCAGAGGTTGGCATGTCCTGGGCTGTGGCAACCTGCCTAGGTTGGGCTGCCGTGCTTTCGATCACATTCCCCAAAATGTTGAGTGCAATGACTGCCACAGGAGCATTCGGCTTCTACGCGTAAGTCTTTCTACCGATAGTAAAGTTTCTCATCAAAATCTCTAACGATTGAATTTAGTGGTCTGAACGTCACTGCAATGGTCATGATTTTCCTCTGGGTTCCCGAAACGAAGCAGCGTACTCTTGAAGAGCTGGATTATATCTTCGCAGTTCCTACTCGGGTCCACATGAAGTATCAAGTCACCAAAGCACTACCATACTGGTTCAGGCGCTACATTTTCCGCCAGAATGTTGAGCTGGAGCCTCTTTACCAGTTTGACCGTCCTGCAAGTGGTAACGAGGATGTTGCCGGGTCGGAGAAACAGAGCATTGTCTTTGACCATGTGAAGTCGTAGATCGGTCTAATGAACATGGCTCTGGTTGTTGGATTTCAATTACGGTTTTTGTTCCCGTGCTAGAGCCGGCTTACTGGCATTTGGCTCTATTCTTTTTGGGATATTTGGATATTTAATCACGAATGATGCACTATGGATTTTGGACATAATGAAATTTATCAGGATTGACACTCACCTTTAAATTTTAGCAGAGCTAAACCAATTTCTGGGGGTATATTACCGGGATAGAGCTATAGAGAAGAACATCCAAAGTAAGGAAAGTGTGCTCCACAAGGTTTCGCAGAATCCATGGTTGCTGGGGGATCAGCTGATGTGGAGATATGATCAGGACAAGTTCAATGTTCATGTTATTTTGGGGAGATAAATAGGTGCAAATGATAGAATTTCACCAGGTAGAGTCATGGGATAAAGCATAAATGACTATAAATGACTACAAATGTAGGCATGCTGTAGGCTACTGGCTTGATAGGTGTATCACGTGGGAGTTCGGGGGGATGGCAACCCTCATGTTTTGGTCCACTCCCGCCCCTCACCTTTGTCCTTGAGAGAGCTCAGGTCTACTTTTCTCACTTCCTTTCCTTCTGTTCGCAATTTTGAGGTTGTGTGTGCCTACTTGAGTCCAGGAACTGCAGCGTCGTGTTTCGGGCCAAGCCTAAGGAAATCTATGATCCCCCCCGTCATCGTGACCATCCTTTTTGAAACCCAGAAACAAACACACCAGCAGCTGCAGTGGAGCTCAAGGAACTGCTGTGGGCTGCTGGGTGATTCGAAACCCACTACCTTGACCGCCTCCCACCTATAGCTTATTCTTTCAGCACCCACGAGGGAAGGAAAAAAAAAAAAAAACTAAGAAGTTCGCCTATCCTCAATTTGGGGTCACTTCTCTCGTGTTTTTGCCCGAAGTATTTCTTGTCTTAATTGCGGGGCAGATCTGGCCCTGCCTCCTCGTTGGACTCTTCTCCCCACAGTGCAACATCCATATCCCACTTAACCCTTTCCCACCATGCCCTGCTTCAAAGGGCTTGCCGTGAGCATCCACACGCCAGATGGCCCAATCTCGGAATATTCCATTCAACGCCATTCCCGAGCTTCGCGCATAGGTTGTTTCATTCCAGTTCCTCCACCCAAAATTCCCGAATCTGGGACCGGCAAAGCGGAACAATCAACCTTCGCCATTTCCGTCACCCTCCTAAACCCCGAGCAAGATGTTCCGTACTCGACCCCAAAGCCAACAGCAGATTGCCCCTCACCGAAACCAAAAGTGGTAGGCAAATTGTCCGGTGAGCCAGGTCAAACCGCCGGGACGGTCGCACCATACCAGGGCTTGACAAACTCGGCGAACGAGACCGTGGCTGCATACATCTACTTTGACGGAAGACAGAAGGAGGAGGTGGCTACACTACTGCGACGAGGAGAAGAGACATGGGTGAATTCACGCTGGGTCAGCGTTCCGGATAGCGAAGGCGGGGGAATTGCCGAGCGCGAATTCTTGTTCCGCGAGGTCGGTCTGGAGCGCTGGCTCAACGGACTGGACCTGGAAGGGAAGGATGCCGCAGCCAAGATTGAACGCAGGCGACAGAAGATGGAGAAGCGCCGTGCAAAGCGCGCCGCTGAAGAGGATCCGACCGCCATGGAAATGGAGGACAACCATCCTGCCAAGTCCAAGACTATTATGCGATACGGAAATGACGAGAAGTCGCCCCTCGAGGATGTTTCAGACGACGACCTCTCCTCCGACTCTGACGACGATGATCCAATTCCCGAGACAGCGGGCCAGATTAAAGTTGCTTTGTTCCGAGTTTTGGCGTCGGGAGAAATCAAACGGGGCGAGTACTCCCCGCAATTTGATGCGCACGACGATGAGGAGGGTGGTCAAGATAACAGCAGCGGAGGAGACGCCGATGTTGACCATACCACAAGTTTCGCGAAGCCAAAGTCACTCGACCCGAAGACCATTAGTACGCAGACTGTTACTGGTATTGACCCGACTGATAAACCATACGCTGTCTTCACCTTTATGTACCGTGGTGAACGTGAGTATTCTCTGGATCACTCTTGATGGGAATCGTTTCTAATTTTAAATGAACATAGGTCAATTGCAAAAGATGGGTATCCTGAAAGATCCCAAGGTGCAAGAGACGCCTGCCGCCACCAAGCGCAAGTCCATACAAGCTGATTTCGCAAGCCTTGGCCCTATCAAGCCTGGGGGCTCTGTTGGATTCCTTAATTTCCGGGACAACGAAGCCAAGCCGCGGAAGGGCAAGAAGAGCGTCGATGACATGGACAGCGATGACGACGACACCGACAACCCCATACTTGGCAAGGCAGACGATGAAGAAGCCAAGGATGACGATCGGTTCTTGTCTCCAGATGACATTCAACGCCAGGGAGAGCTGGCGGAGAGCCTGCGAAAGATTCGAGTAGGTAAAATTCCAACATTCTGTGAGTTCTTTGTTAACAATCCCACAGCTCAAGCGTCAGCACTCTGCCGAACCACCTGGGGGCAGTGTCGGCGATTCTGCCGATACGCCGGCTTCGGGATCTGGATCCACGCCTCCTGTAAACGAGCGCTCAACAACACCGCCAAAGGCTGCCGCAACTGGATCTGCAGGTGGACCCTCGGAGCCGTCTCAGCCAGCTGCTGAACCAGAAGATGGACTTTTCGGTAGTCCACTGAAGAAACAGCGGGCGAGTGTCTCGACTGCAGATGAGAATGCCCTTAGGCGCCGGATCGCAGAGTCGTCCGGTAGAATCAATGAAGTTCTGGGCTCTTCCGCTCCAGCGGAATCAACTTTGACCAGTCCTAAGATATTCAAAGAGGGTTTCAGTCTTACACCTGATCTTTCTGCTGGACCCCCAGCAAACGATGAGGAGTTGTAAGCCTGCGATCGTCGAAAATAGGTTACTTCTGGGTGGTCTGATCTCGAGATCTCGTTTGCGCCATTGGGCCTAACAAGCTACCACTCTTCGCTTTGGAAAGCACTGGTCGTTTTTGCTGTGATCCTATGGATCAATTAGCATTTTGCCAGCTGCCGGGATCCTCATTGCCATTTTCCGGGTCCTCTGGATGATCATATTCCTTTTCTACAATTACGCCGTTATGTCCACTACCTACAATACAAGGAACATGCTGAAGGAGAAATACATTTGCTGCACTGATCAGGGCAGCTTGATCATGATTTTAAATCCCGAAATAAGCGTTGTAGGCGGAGAGAAGTAATTGTATACATCGTAGACTATACTATATATTCCAAAGGTTCCCGGGGTCCGTCTGACTGCGTTTGTCAAGCATTGGCTGAAACGGCTTTAAACCCGATAAGCTTCTAAACCCTGAGGGCTATAACTGAAACAAATATACCATTTTAAACTCCTCAACTACACATCCATGCTCAGAAGTATCTTTCTGCCTGCATCTGCATTACGCAGTGTTCTGGCCCAGCCCGGATTTCTCCACCAAGTGAGAGATTCTGCCAAGCCCCAATTGAACCTCAAATCACTAACAGCTTCAAAGCCCAGAATAGCCTTCGTCCGCCACAAATCCACGATGCCACTCGAACGCTCAACAGACCCTTTGGTCTGGATCGACTGCGAGGTATGTCCAGACACCTCATCTCCGATCCCAAACCTTCCACAACGCGTTCCGCAATTCCCCACCACTAACCCCCCACAAGATGACAGGCCTGAACCCGGAAACCGACAAGATCCTCCAGATCTGCTGTTTCGTCACAGATGCCCAACTAAACCTCCTCGAACCGACCGGGTTCGAAACCGTCATCCACGTCCCAGACTCCACCCTTGACGCGATGTCGCAGTGGTGCATCGACACACACGGCCGCACGGGCCTCACCGCCGCCGTGCGAGCCTCGACCACCTCCCCCTCCACCGCCGCAGACTCTCTCCTCGCCTACATCCGCCAGCACGTCCCGATCCCGCGCACTGCCCTCCTAGCGGGAAATAGTGTTCACGCCGATAAGGCTTTCCTTGCTTGTGCGCCGTACTCGCAGGTGCTGGATCATCTGCATTATCGCATTCTGGATGTTAGTTCGTTGAAGGAGGCGGCGCGGAGGTGGGGGAGTGATGAACTGCTTGAGCAGGTCCCGCCTAAGCGGGAGGTTCATCTTGCTAGGGATGATATTCTTGAAAGTATTGAGGAGATCCGGTTTTACAAGGAGAAGCTGTTTGGGTGATGGTGTGGCTGATTTGGTGGCTTGCTTGTCTCTGTTACTCTGAGACATGGGTCTGAGAGGTAGTTTAAAACTCTGCATGTTGAAATTGTTCTTGATTATGTTTCTCCAAGGTGAAAAGATACACATTACCCTCCGATTTACACTCCGTGCATGTACAATATACTTCGGAAGAAGAGGTACCTGGGCAGTATTTTAATTCCCCCGCGAGAATGATCTGCGGGGGGGCAATTGGAAATAAGTACCTTGACAGATTAACTTGTAGATTGGACTGAATAGAAGAAATCAGAGAGCCTTGAGCTATATGGAGTACAGGCAAATTTAAATTAATACATATATTCAAATGTGGCAAAGTACTACAAGAGTACTAGTGGGATGATAAACACATGACGCCCAACATTGGCCCCTCCCCGTGGAGCTTAACAAGTCGGTGAACTTCTCGACCTTCTCCCCCCCTCTTCTTCTCTTCTCCTTACTATCTCTTTCTCTCCAATCTTATTCCATCATGTCTGTCCAGACGGTTTCCATCCAGCCCTTCACTGACCAGAAGCCTGGAACGTACGTTTCTTGTTGCCCCGCAATTGAACTGCTAGCTAACTTGCTTCCAGCTCCGGCCTTCGCAAGAAGGTCAAGGTCTTCCAGCAGGCCAACTACTCTGAATCTTTCATTACTAGTATTCTTCTGTCGATCCCCGAGGGTGTTGAGGGTTCCTTCCTCGTCATTGGTGGCGATGGCCGTTACTACAACCCTGAGGTCATCTCCAAGATCGCAAAGATCAGTGCCGCTTATGGCGTGAAGAAGCTGTTGGTTGGACAGCATGGCATTATGAGCACTCCGGCCGCTAGCAACCTCATTCGCGTGAGGAAGGCAACTGGTGGTATCCTCTTGACTGCCAGTCACAACCCCGGTGGTAAGTAATGGTCAGGAGTATAACAAGAGCTGTTGGAGACTGACCAAACGTTTCCAGGTCCCGAGAACGACTTTGGTATCAAGTACAACTTGGCCAACGGTGCTCCCGCCCCCGAGGGCGTTACCAACAAGATCTTCGAGACTGCCAAAACCCTCACCTCCTACAAATACCTCGATGTTCCCGATGTCGATACCTCCACCATCGGCATCAAGAACTACGGCCCCCTCGAGGTTGAGATTGTTCACTCTACTGCCGACTACGTGACCATGATGAAGGAGATCTTCGATTTCGATTTGATCAAGGAGTTCCTTAGCTCCCACAAGGACTTCAAGGTCCTGTTCGACGGCATGCACGGTGTGACCGGGCCTTACGGCGTGGATATCTTCGTCAAGGAGCTCGGTCTGCCCACCAGCAGCACAATGAACTGCCAGCCCAAGCCGGACTTTGGCGGCGGTCACCCCGACCCCAACCTCGTGTACGCCCACGAGCTTGTCGAGGCCGTTGACGCCAACGGCGTGCACTTCGGTGCCGCCAGTGATGGTGACGGTGACCGTAACATGATCTACGGTGCCAACAGTTTCGTCTCCCCCGGTGACAGCTTGGCTATCATTGCCCACCACGCCAAGCTCATCCCCTACTTCCAGAAGCAGGGTGTATACGGCCTGGCCCGCTCAATGCCCACCTCCGGAGCCGTAGACCGCGTGGCTAAAGCGCAAGGCCTACAGAGCTACGAAGTGCCCACCGGCTGGAAGTTCTTCTGCAATCTTTTCGACGAGAAGAAGATGTCGATTTGTGGCGAAGAGAGCTTCGGCACGGGTAGCAACCACATCCGCGAGAAGGACGGCCTATGGGCCGTCGTTGCCTGGTTGAACATCATTGCCGGTGTCGCCAAGCAAAAGACTAGCGAGACCCCCAGCATTGGCTCCATCCAGAACGAGTTCTGGCAGACCTACGGCCGCACCTTCTTCACCCGCTACGACTACGAGAACGTCGACAGCGAGGGTGCCAACAAGGTCGTCGGCACTCTGTCCGACCTGGTCGCCAACCGCGACACCTTCATTGGCTCGGAAATCGCCGGCCGCAAGGTCGTCGACGCTGGCAACTTCTCCTACACCGACCTCGACGGCAGCGTCTCCAAGAACCAGGGCCTGTACGCCAAGTTCGATGACGGCAGCCGCATTGTCGTTCGTCTTTCCGGCACCGGCAGCAGCGGTGCTACTATCCGTCTGTACGTTGAGCGCTACGAGGCCGACAAGTCCAAGTTCGGTCTCACTGCTCAGGAGTACCTGGCTGATAACATCTCGCTGTCCCTCTCTCTGCTCAAGTTCAAAGAGTATGTTGGCCGCGAGGAGCCTGATGTTAAGACCTAAGTTTGGTTAGGTTGTTAGGGTTAATGTGGAACCTGCTGGATGGGGATCACCTTTTAATTGTTTTGCAGTTTTATCTGAACGCGAGAAGAATGATGATCGAAAAGCAGTATCAAGATTAAAATATTATACTTTGGCAGGAGATAGAAACTGTATCTTTATCATAATCCGAGCCTGGCTTATCTTAAATTCAGACCTCCAGCTCTGCTAATGAAGTATATGCATTATTGTCCTCTGTGCTAGATCTCAAATTGGGGGAAGTAAACATAAAATATCATAGAATCGTAGCATCGTAAATCATCAGGCCCTTCCATATAATTACGCTTTCCATGCAGCAGCAGAAACTCTCAACTTCTCCTCCCACCAGCTCTCCCATTTAACAACCCTCTCATCCCTCCTTGCCTCCTCAGCCGCAAAAACAACAGCATGACTCCGCACTGCCTCCTCAAGCGAACATCCAACAAACCTCGTTTGCGCCGTCTCAACATCCAATCCTCCCTCGACCGCCTCAACGGCACTAACAAACTGCCTCGCAAGCCCAAAGTCACCACCACCATGCGACTCGTTCTGCCCTGGCGGCGGCTTTGGTACATCAAAGACCGAAGTCTTCCCAGTAGCAAAATCATAGACAGAAATCGTTGTACTATCATACGAAACCTCGCCAGTAGTGCCATACACTCGGCCCCGGCGCTCACACTGTTTCTCCGTAGGCGCAATCATATGGAAGCTCGCCGTTTTAGCAAGCCGATGCGGTGCTGCCTCCTCATCATCCCAAACAAACGTCACAACCTGATCATCGCAGACATCATTATCAGCTTCGTAGACGCACCGCCCGTACCAAGGCCGCGCAGCGATATCCGAGTCCGACGCCGTATCCCGGTCATAGTCCTCGGCAAGACGGGAGAGGAGCAGCGACTCGGCAGCCTTGCCACCTTGAGCACGGAACACGTCTTCTATATCTGGGCAGACAATGTCAACCGGCCAGGCTGTGTGACCCATCGCGAGGTGGCGGTCGTTATAGATCCTGACTGCGCTGTAGTTACAGTCACGTTCAGCGGGGCAGGAGAGACAGTTTGTAGCGTTGCCTGCGGAGATAGGCTTGCGCTTTCGGCGGAACTGAGTCATCGTGCCGGCTGAGGATATGGAGCGCGGGAAGTGTGGTTCGTGAGCTTGTTTGGATGCTGTTTCGGGTGAGGGAGGGGAGCAGAGGAGCCAGAGGATGAAGTCGATGTCGTGGCAGGATTTTGTGAGGAGGGAGCCGTCGCCTGCTGCAGTTGCGCGTCGCCAGTTTCCACGGACGTAGCTGTGCGAGAAGTGCCACCAACCTACTGGCTCGCAGTGTTCTAGGGAGACTATGTCGCCGATTACGCGGTCTGTCAGGAGGAGCTTGCGGAGGAGGATGTTGTGCGGGCTGTAACGGAGGACGTGGCCGATTGAGAATATGTTATTTGGCGCTTTAGGAGTGTTATTTGGGCCTTCAGGTGGTTGGAGGGTTCGGTATACTGTTAGACAGTCGTCTAGCGAGAGGGCTAGTGGCTTCTCGCAGAGGATGTGTAACTGGAGCGGGGCGAGGGCTTGTAAGATCTCGACATGTGTTTCGTCTAGCGTGCAGATAAAGACTCCGTCTACGCCCACGGGAGTTGGGGTTGTGTCTGCTGCGTTCTCGTCGTTGTTTTGAGTCGCCCGCTTCCTTCGCTCGAGTTCCCACTGCACCCACTCGCGCCAATCCGTGAATTCCTGCCCCACTTGGGGGGATTCGGATATACCCCATATATATCTTCGTCCAAACTCGCGTCGTTTGAAGGCGTGGGGCTCGGCGATTGCATGGATAACACCCGGTGTTACGGTTGTGACGGCACGAGCGTAGGCGTTTCCGCGAGAGCCACCGCCGATGACGAGGAAGCGCAGTTGCTTCGGTGATGAGAAGGAGGAGCTGGAAATAATCTCCGTCGGGGGCGGTATTGGCTCTTTCATCTTGGTTTGGGTTGAAGTATTGGGGATGCGGGGGATAAGTTGGAGCTTTAGAGCTTTGGATCTAGTGATACGACGAATAATTGATGGACTTGTTTGACGCTGACAAGGCTTAATATCCTGTTAAAATCAAGGAAAGAGAGAGTAGAGATATATATAATCAACAAAAAGTTCGAGACACGAGAGATTGCAACATTGAAGTTGCAGTGGGCACGCGTTGTAACTCCGTAACTGCGGGGGGGACGCAACATCAGCAACATCAGCCGGACTCTGATTGGGCCATGGCCACTATATTATATTTGTCTTTCAATTTTGGGTCTATCTTGTCTCTGTCTTCTTTTTCCTATCACTCTCCAATTCGTTTTCCTTGTCGAAAATCATAGCAACCTCTTCCAAAGACCGCCCTTTTGTCTCAGGGAAGAGTAAATATATAAGACCCAAAAATACTACCAAACAGCCAAGAAAGACACAGTAGTACTTCCATGCAATCGCCGTAAACGCCACCGGGTTAACATATTGGTTGAAAAAGCACGCCACAGCATCCACTGAAAGGGTGACAGCAATGCCCTTGGCACGCAGTTGGAAGGGCAGGATCTCAGCTGGATACGAGATGAACAAAGGCGCATAAGCGATGTCGTATGCACCAAAAAAGAGAAATAGGAGCGGGACTACTGCTATTCCAGCAGCAGGAAGATGCCTTTCGGCAAAGAGTCCAGCGGCCAGTGTGGACATGGACAGGAATACGATCATGCCCCACGTGGAAATAAGCCATAGAATACGGCGGCCGTATCGCTCCGATGCAAGTGCACCGGCTGCCGCAAGGAGGAAGTTCCAGACATTGAGGCTGACATTAACAGCTGCTTGGTCGGCTGCCTTGGTGATTCCCACTGATTCCAGAATCGGCGCGAGGTAGTAGGACAGGATTCCTGCGATACTGTTAGTGACAGGGGTTTCTCCAGTGCGTTGTGAAGAGCATACCATTTCCAGCCCATTCTTGCATGAGCCCAACCAATACACAGATGGCCAATCGGTGCATATCGCCTTTTGACGAGAAGAAGGAGCTCCAATTCCTGGTACTGTTGATCTCGGCTGTGATCGTGCTGCATATCAAACGGTATTCATACTGGACCAGCTCATCGTCTGTGTCTCCATTCGCATGGTACTTCTCCAGGATAGCCAGGGCTTCTTCTGTCCTGCCTTTGGATACAAGCCACCTCGGGCTTTCGGGTACAAACATGATCAGCCCTAGGATCTGGAACAACGGATATGATATCTGTAGTAGACAAGGAATTCTCCACGACCAACTGTTGGCTATGCCTATAGTTGCATATGTAACCGTTGCCGCGCTAATGGCGCCCAAACCCCAGAAGGCATTGTAGAGCGATGTGGCCGTCTGTCGCTGCCGAGGGTGTGCGATCTCAGTTGCCAGAAGAGGAGCTGCAGTCTGCATAATTCCCATCCCTATACCCGACAAGACTCTCGTGCCAAAAAAGGCCCAGTGGTTTTTGATTGCGGTTTGAATGATCGCTGCCACGATCGCAATGCTAGATCCAATACAAACACACGTCTTGCGTCCGAACGTATCCGCAATATAAGAGGCTGGTGCAAAAGAGACCAACGCCCCTAGAGAGGTGGCAGCAATGATCAGGCCAACAATATTGGGATCTAGTCCGCCAATGATGGCACCAACTATGTCATCATTAGCATAAATATCACAGTATCAGAATGGAGATATTACACTCAGGTAGCACAAGCAAGCTATTCACAAGACTTCCAATGTATCCAGCCGAAGAAGAAGTGCAGAACATGAACACAATACCCAAATTCAATTTACGGAGTCCCCTATCTTTGATCCAGTTTGGATTTGTGTTGTTCGGTAGGAGCTTGAATGCCTCCATAGGGGGCTCCTTCTCCATTGTATCTTCCTTTGTCGCCATGTTGTGTGCTCTCTGAAATACCGGGCTTCTTGGAGAAAATGAAGTCGAATTGAATAGACTCAAGTCTTCAACCTCATGTTGCTTTACCAGCTAGCTTATATTATAAAATTATACGGCCCTGGAGAACAAGGGATCAACAACATTCTTCTAACCCAACAAACCTCCAGCCTTCCCCGGCTGATCCTCGGATAGTTCCAGGATAACTCTGGCGACTAAAACATGACTGCACGGAATGAAGGGAGGAATGCAAGATCTAACTACCCAAACAGGCAATGTGTCCAGCACAAAGACCCACCATCTCCGATCACCTCATCACAGAGCTCAAGAAAATCATGATCTGCAGTCCAAAAGAACAAGTATATTGTACGTTATGATACCATCCACCACCATAGCGAAGTGAGACAGAATTTCATTCACCACACTCCCCAAGCAGCGAAGCATACCGATTCCCAAGCCCACAGAACCCCTCACACTGCCCACCAACCTCCCGCCCTTTATGCAGCACCTCCTCCATGCCCCACGCAACACGTTCCGCGCCCACCCTCGCGCCCTCGAGATTCGGCGCCCCGGGCCCAAGCCGGAGAGATGCCATGCGGCCCGTCATAAATAACGGTACGTCATCCCGCCACGAGAGATCGTTCGTTAGACACGGGAGACCTGACTTGACCTCGATCGGGTATTGGTCGTTCATCTCGCGGAGCAGCGGCATCTCGCGCACGTCTGCCCGTACTCCGGTTGCGAAATAGATGTAGTCTATTACGGGGAGGTCGGGGATTGGTGGGTCAGTTGTCAGGGTCCAGGTCTGCGTTGCTGGATTGTAGTCGTGGGTTTTTATTTCTGTGCAAGGGTGGATGGAGGCACGGTGTTGAGATGCGTGCTTCTTTACAATCTTTGTGTAGCGTGGTGTAATACTGCCGCCGTTTCGGGCGGTTTGGATCATCTCAAGGCGCTCTGCGAGATATTAGTGTCGGCCTTTCGATGGGATTAGGGCTTTTTTTAATATATACCTTCGTCAGTATCGGCGGACCAGAAGGCTGCTTTCTCCCAGTTCTTGTACTTGCCCATCCACGGCAGACTGATATCGAAGTGTTTGACTATTGTTTAAATGAGCCATTATCAAAAACAAACCCCCCCCCTATTTGCCGGGGATGTTATACATACCCTTCATACCGGACCGCATCAAGAACCACACTTTCGTCACGCCCTTGCGAACCGCCATATCGACAATCTGTGCTGACGATAGCCCACCCCCAACAACGACAACATTGGTCTCCTGCCGCCGCTGGATCTTGTTCTGTACATTGGGGCTGGGAAATGACTTGATCTCCGTACTGTGGCAACATGCTGCAGCACCCTCTTGTTCCGTCGAGGGTTTCCACGGATAAATCTTCGACACACCTGCTCCGCCAGGACCGATGGCCAGGACAACAGACCGACTATAAAACTTCTCTCCCGTGCATGTGTTGACAGTGAAAACCTTCGAGTCCGAGCTATCAGAGAGATAATTATATGAGAGACCCGTGGCCTCGCGCTTCAAGATCTGACCGGGCTCATCCAGACCATACCGCTGGATAACCGACGAACAATAATCCGCAAAGAGGTCTGTGGAAGGCGAGAAGTAATCTTTTCGATCTCGCTCGTCGATCTCAGCTCCGATTGTTCTGTTAACAAGGATGTAATGGTTAGAGCTCTGTTTCAACCACATTTGCACGGGACAACATTTACTGAGTTTTCCCACCCTGTCTTCTCTTCTTCTTCTTATGCTTGCTCATCTCCTTCCCAACACACCCGGAAATCTCCCATAAATCCGCATCTCGCCCACTCTCCTGGGTATAAGCCAGCATACCATCCCGATCCCCGGGATCAACATGGAAAAACATCGGGCTGCGGAGCTGTTTAATCTCCAGCGTGCGGAACGCATTGTTCCACCGCTGCATCCATTTATCCCCAGAGCCGTCGAGGACAAGAGTCGAGATAGATGATGTCGACGACGTTGACGATGCGGACGACAGTGACGGCACAGAAGAGGCAGAGTCAGTCGAGGTGCGCCGTTGCCGGTCTTCTTGACAAGGACACCCGCGTTCGCTGTCCCATTTTGCGGCCCGAACGCCGTTGATCTTGCTGTGTCGTCCTTGGACCAGTTTCATCCGTCCGCTATGCTTCTTGATCCAGTGGTAGCGCTGGTGTTCTTCGTCTGTGAAAACTGCTGATGGTGTTTCCTCGCTTAGGCGTGCGGCGACGGCGAGGCCACATGGTCCTGCACCGATGATTATTACGTCGCGGATTTCATGGTCTTCTGGTAATTCTTGATATGATGACATTTTAGAAGGGCGAGGTAGGGTTGGAGTAATGGTATGTGGTAGAGACGTGGTAGTTGTAGTAGTACTTCAGACTGGATAGAATAGTATATTTGCAAGAACGTACGATCATAGGAGAAGTATCTTTCTTTATAGTCTGTAGTCTACGGGCATAACTGTATTTCTACAATGTCCTCATGAGTTGACCATCGAGGTACTCGTCCCCAAGGTCCTTGGGACATGACAACATCTAGGGACAGCTTCATACTCCACAATTAACATCACGGATTTGATGGGTTATTGGGGTCGATCTTTGAGGACCTTAGGGATGGTTTCGATCATCGTGGATTCAAAATGGGAACCTTTCCAACGTAATGTAGTATTAGATGTATAGATACAAGCCATAGAGGCTCATTATACATGGCACTTCCTTGCTTCCCAGATTTTGTCTACGAGAAAGCCAAGTACTGTCATATTAGCAGAGTTCTTTTAAAACCCTTGTTTTCATGGAATCTACTTCAATGACCAATGTGAATACATATACATAGGTATCAATGGTCGTTAAATTCCATCTGTGTTGCCTAACCAAAGGAGAGAGAAAAACTGCGCGAAATCAGAGCTGACACACATCCTTACTGTTGCTGATTTTCCTCGGCTTCTTGTTCAAACCTGCAGCTAATTTAGCCACGCCATTCCTAGACATGGCACGGTAAGCATTGACAGCTCTGCTGACGGCCACTGCATCCGTAAGAGCCAGCGGAGATAGAATAAGGTAAGATATTGAAGTCATCCATGATGGATCCATATGGATGATAGCCCATTTTGATGGAATGGCCGTCTTCCAGGTAAATTGCCGACAGAAAGTAGACCGTCTCTATGAAATGTGTATTGATTGGGCACCAAAATGAAAAGGCTTCGCTGGGCCTGGTTTGGGTGATTGGTGGTATAATATATATCTTCTACTCATCCTCCTATATAGAAAACACAGAAAAGAAGAAAAGAAGAAAAGAAATTAAGTTACTATGAAAGGGAATATTTGCAAGGGGGAATAGCAAAGCACAAAAAGCCACCAAAAAAGGAAAAGCAACAAGAGAAACAAAACGAAATATAATCAAAACTCCAAACCCCAAAAGCCAAACTACCTCCAAACCGGCGCCTACACAGAATAGTGTTATTTATGCCATTTCTTCGTCGTCCCAGTCTTCGCCCTAGACGCACCCCCCTCCCTGCGATGCCAAGGATCCAAAGGCCAAACCCACCCCCTCACCCTCTTAGCATCTCTTTTCTCCCCAATCTGCGGCTCAGGAATCCACTTATCCTTCGCCTCCGCCAGAATCCTCTGACGAGTCATCGCACCAGGTCCGCCAACGTTGAGGTGAGCAGAAGGCTGATGCGGAAGCGGCACCGACTTCGATAGCATCAATAAGAAATACAAGCCTAGACCTGCCGTCATAGCTGGCAATGCATCCTCAACCGGCTCCGGCTCCGACGAGTCATGACGCGAGGGGAACGAAGAGCTCGATGACGACGAGAAAGAGCGCGCGCTGATGGGTGTTGCGAGCGGTGCGTCGCGCGCGTGTGGGCGTGCTGTCTTGAGCGGGATTGACGCCGCGATCTCCAGGTACCCAAAGTAGGGGACGTCGTCGCCGGTGTCACAGCCTGCTCGCACGCAGACGAGCTCGATCTCAGTGATGATGAAGCCGTAGCGGCAGGAGTGCTCGCGCATACACCGTTGGAGGTGGGCTAGTCCGTTGAGGTATTCTACACGTCTGTGGGGGGCTTCGTTGCGCATGCCGGTGTTCCAGCGGTCGAAACTTTTCACGATGCCCACTAGTCGGCCGCGTGGGAGGCCGGCGCTCGTTTGTTCAGTGTCTGAAAGATAGTTTGCTAGGAAGTGCGGGTGGCCGTGGTTTTTGTGGCCTGTGTTGCGGACATCTGGGGCGGCGTAGAGTTGGAGGTGGTCTTTGCCTTGGGAGACGGCTAGGGCGGCGTTTATGCGTGGTGCGTAGAGGTCGCGGATTAGGCTCACTAGGTCGTGCTCGGATTCTGGCGCTAGGCTTCCTGGTGGTACAGCCACGCGCGGTGTGAGCTCTGCTGGGATTTCGGTCTTCAGGAGCTGGATTAGTTGGCTGTCCAGGGAGTCGAATGTCGCCAGTGAGAAGGAGCTCCAGCTGCGCAGGTTGCGGATGTCCCACCAGAAGTAATCGTGTAGGCCACGAGTTGGAACTACGCTCACGTTGCGGACTAGGCTGATTGGTTGGATTGGTAGCGTCAAGTATGACAGTAGGGTTGTGGACCTTGGGGCTAGGTCTTCGTGGGGACTGAGTAAGACTGGTGAATTCTGGGCAATTGATGCCTGGCGGTAGTTGTATTGAGGTGTCGGCACTGTCAATGGAGTTTGTGTGCTTGCAAAAGCATGCTGCCCCCCCAGTCTCTGAGAGTATGATGGGTAGGGCATGATGTTTGGAGTGATTGGGGTGACTGGGGTGGTCGGGGTCGTCTGGGCGTGCATTTGAGGCGCATATTTTGGCAGCTCCCGGTAGGTGGGATACCCAAATCGAGTCAAAGTGGCGGCATCGATGACAGATGCCGACACCGAGCGTGAGTGGCCCCCACCTGCCTTACGCTTGTACGAAGGGGTGATGGTCACAGGCGATGACAAGGCGGAGAAGCTGCCATGTGTAGTCGTTGGCGCCGGTGAGATGGGAGAGGCCAATGTCAAGCGGTCTGCGACATCGCGTGTGCGATGTCCGGCAGATTGCCGCGCTGGTGGGTAAGGGATGAATCCAGGAGGTGGGTTCCGTGTGTTGGACAGAACCCGACGGTGACGAAGTGGCCCGCCAGCAGACACTGGCTCAATCACGACGTCTTGAGGTCGGATCTTAGGCAATAGCTTCGGGCCATGATGATGCCTGGTTGGCGAGGTGGTGGGACTGGTATTTCCAGTCATAGTCGACCAGGGAGATGACTCGCTTGAATAGACGGAAGAGTTGGAGGCATGACGACTATGCCCAGAGCCGATGTATTCCTCAAGAGAAAGACGCGGCGGCGTCGTTGGCCGAAAGCGAGCGGAATCGACAGCAGACATGATAGTGAAGTTGTTGACTAGGCGTGTCACCAATAACAATCTATCATAAGAGTAACAAACGAATGAAGGAACTGATGTCTTATTGACCAAGTCGTTCACAAAAGCATGATCCAGAGGGAGGATGTTTGGATATTAAATGGACATCGACAGAGTCTCAAACAGCCAAGCATGATGCATATAAAAAGATTGACTGACGAACCCTAGCCGATCTAGAAAAGATGAAACATGGAGAAGAGCCCCATTGTAACGCCTACGGAGCTTGAGAATCTTTTTTTGGGATCCTAGTCTCCGATCAGAGGCACATCCACTCGATGAAACGCGAAACTGCCGACATTGTGCCTGAGGACAGGCATGTTGAGCAATAAAGCCCTTGAAACTGCCCCTCCGAGGGGGTCCAGTCCGGCATAGTGCGGTTTCATCGGACTGTCGCGCGTTAAGATGTTACTATATTTTGCATCTTCTTCAATATCATTCTTCAAATTCCCTAGAATGGTTAGTCTGCTGCAAGATTCTCGAGATGTTCTAAAAACGGCAACAATTAGGTCACATTTCCAGGTAATTAGCGGACTTGTTGGTGACTCTCCCTGCTTCAGGACTCGTGGGGTCAGCGGTTAAGGGTTCCAAGAAAGCAGATGGATAAAAATAGCCATCGGAGTCATGGAATGTGTGATTCCAGGGTCTAAACAGAGCCAAAAAAGACTCTTTGAAGGGAGGGTACCTGCTCTAGATGCGCCAGTGGCCGAATGTGATATCGAAGTCGGCGGCTACATGTGGGGGATGAGTTTGAAGTACGCGCCGAGCACCGGCGTCATATCCAGTGATTGGATAGTTTGATCTTGAAACTAAGAAATGTCCCATAATTAGCAACAATTAATGCAGTTGATGGGGGAGTTCATGCAGGAGACATCTAGAAAGAGGTTGAGGTCAAATCGGGGTGATCAACACCTAACCGCGCATTGACCCCTGGGGGTGTTTCACGGTTGTTAGTGTACATTTTGATGTAGTAATGTAGTTAATATCGACTTTTTAGGTACACAAAAGAGTTATTTGGGGATTCATCTCATTAATTTGTCTTTTAATTATTTCATGACATTCATTTCATGTGGGTCGAAATGATTAAAAACACCCAACCGAAAGAGGTAAAAAAGAAAACGAAAAAGAAAGGTCTCAAAATATCCTTCCTGTGGTCTATGCACCTTGACAAAACATTCAAAACGCTCGGGGGAATCTCTCTGAACCGTCTAAACGACACATCGAACGGTAAAGGCAATCGCAGAATATCAAAGAAACTTTAAGCCTTGATCTCGTACTTGCGGCGGAACATGTCATCCACCTCAGTCAGGTAGTAGACACCGGATCCAATAGTCTCGGTGTTACCAGTGGGCTTGAAGTCCTTCTTCAGGTGGGCGTGCTCACGGAGCTTGCACATGGCATCGTACGCAGCAGGCTCGAGGATAGTGCGAGCATTGAGGCGGTTCTGGAGGTCAAGCTTCTCAACCATGTTGGACACATCGCCGACAATCTTGGCGCTGAACATGGAGCTGGCAAGACCGGAACCGTAGCTGAACAGACCGATGCGCTTGGACTCCTTGGGGTCGAAAGCGACGTTGCTAAGCAGACTGGCCAAACCGCCGTAAACGGTGGCAGTGTACATGTTACCACACTGGGTGGCGACCTGGAGACCAGGGTTGACACGTTCGGCGAAACGCTTCTTGGTCAGACCCATGAAGGTCTTCTCAACAACCTTGTCGGTAAGAGACTTCTCGTAGTCCAGGTCGCGGAGCTCGGGGGCAACCTCGGCGAAAGCGGGGTGCGAGGGGTTGGCCAGGAAGTCATTGTAGAGCATACGAGCGTAGGACTTCTGGACAAGCTTGCAAGTAGGGGCGTGGAACAGAATGTAGTCGAACCGGTCCAGAGGGGACCGGGACTCGTCGAGGACACCGTTAGTACCGTTGGTCTGGGCCTTCAGGAACTTCTCACGGGCGTCGTAGGCCTTGTAGCAGGCATCGACAGCCTCAGTGTAGCACCGAAGGGAGTAGTGACCATCGACGACGGGGTACTCGCTGGTGAGGTCAGGCTTGTAGAAATCGTAGGCGTGGGTGAGGTAGGAGGCACGGAGACCGGGCTCGAAGACGATAGGGGCATCGGGGCCGATGACCATGGCAACGCAGCCTGCACCACCAGTGGGGCGGGCAGCACCAGCGGCGTACAGAGCAATATCACCACAGACCACAACGGCATCACGGCCATCCCAGGCGGAGGACTCGACCCAGTTGATGCTGTTGAAAACAGCGTTGGTACCACCGTAGCAGGCGTTGACGTTGTCGACACCCTCAATGTTGGTGTTTCCGTGAGGAGCGAAAAGCTGCATGAGAACGGACTTCACGGACTTGGACTTGTCCAAAAGGGTCTCGGTGCCAACCTCGAGTCTTCCAACGGACTTGGGGTCGATGTTGTATTTGTTCATGAGGGAGGAGAGGACGGTGAGGGTCATGGAGTAGATGTCTGCCGAGAAAGATTAGCCGATTGGTCTTGACCTCCTTTGGAATCGGTATACATACCCTCACGGTCATCACAGAAGCTCATCTTGGTCTGTCCGAGACCGATGGTGTATTTTCCAGCAGCGACGCCATCGTACTTCTCGAGCTCGACCTGGTCGACACACTGCAATTTACATATCAGTATAGATCCCAGGTTATAATATAGACATTGAACACTTACCTGAGTAGGGAAATAGACCTCAATGGCCTTGATGCCGATGTTTTGGGGACGAGCAGCCATGGTGGGGGTATGGAGGGGCAGCTTTTTTTTTTTTTTTTAGGAAAACACAAGAGGAGGGTGAAGGAAGATGATGTAGAGGATGGAGAAGATGGAGAAGAGTAAGGGTTAAGATTAAGAAAAGAGGAAGAAGCCCGAAGAGAAGGCAATTGATATAAGAATGAAAAGGAGTCTGTGTACTCGGTTCTACCGTGTACGATCTGTCACCACTTATTATTATTTTTCTTTTTTTTCTTTTTCTTGTTTTTTTTTTATTATCTAAGTGGGGAGATCTACCCTTTTTTTGTTACTTTTGTTACTGTTCCTTTGGGCCGGATAATTGCCTAATATATAGCTGGAGTATATAAGTGTGTAGGGGATATTTGTGAAGCTATCCCCGACTCTCCGTGATGGAATGTATAAAACACTACTTACTGTACTCACCGCTAACTACTACACTTCAACACTTCAACAAAGAACAAACAAAAACAAATAGCAAATAGCAAATAATAAATAGTTACATTTAGATACCTGGGTCATTAGTGTTGTACACTGCTACGTGGCTTTAATAAAAAAAATAAAACCTCAACATCCAAGCTACGGTGTAGAACTGAGTCTGCCATCTTATCGATCTCTGTCTCCACTCAATTCTTTTCGTTGCTTCCTCTTTGAGATCTTTTAATATCTTTAATATATATATATTTCCAAGATTCCTTCTCATTCCTCAAATCTTTATTACATTAGTGGATGGAACAACTTTGGGCTTAGGATGGCAAAGTGGCATCACTTCGGAAGTCTTGGATATTTGGATATTTAGCCTGAAACTTGCTTCTCTACAAATGTTGTAGTATTCCACACAGCCCTAATGTGTTCAAGTACCTCTAATATCCCAGAATTTTCAGTCTTCCTTTGCTACCTAGGTATATGTTGTATTATTCTGATACTGCCCATCTTTATCTTTGACGTGCGACGGGGGTATGTAGCATAATGGAGAACATCTGCACGACACTGCATTTCCGAGGTCTGATATATATATATATATATATAAAGGAAGGATTCCCAAATCTATCTCGAACTGATAAAAAAATATCCCAACATACTAATATCATAGCATAAAAAAATGCTAATGCTCGAATATCTAATGCCATGATGCGTAATGCAGTACCTCGGGAAAGTTGCCAAGCGTGGGTCACTCACTCCGGGGGTGTCTGCCTATCTCCTGTCTCTCTCCTATACAACTCCATCGGATTCTGGACATACTCATTTATCGGCATATGATGTCGGACGTCGCTCATTTCCCTTTTTCCTACAGATCATGATCCTCCGGATCTCCGCACCCGCGTTACACCCTTCTTACAGCTCTCCGGAGCCCCGTATCTCCCACAATGGGCGACGAGAAGTTTGACTATCAGGCTGTCCCCATTCCTTCTTACGCTGAAGCCACCGGCCAACCCTCCTCCTCTCGATCCGACCTCGGCGATGGAACGGATGTTGAACGACAAGGGCTACTCGGTCGCGACCATGCCTCCACCCGCGGCTATCACCCACCAACCGTGGAATCGGCGCGCTCCAGCCTCGATGACCTGGAATCATTGGCCTCACATTCAGACCGAGAGTCGGTGGAGGAACTACGACGGGAACTAGATCAAATGGACGTGGATGATTCGGCATCGGCCTCCTTAACCGGCAGACACGCCCCTCTACGACATCGGTTTTCCAAGCAGCTATCGAGTCTGAGCCGTACCCTGTCCGCTATACAACGACCCTTCCAACGATATATGCCCAGTTTCCGCTTCACGATAAACCTCAGTGACACGAGGGCACGCTTAAAAGATCAGGGGTGCATCATGCTTCTCCGAGTGTTCGCTCTTTTACTAGTGGTCACCCTAGTGTATGTGTTCTTCATTGCAGATGTCTTCAATATCAACAGCCGCATGGCCATGGGTCAGACCTATAGCGCCGCCTCCGTCGAGAACTTCATCCAAGGCCACATCAACGAGACCAATATCGCCGAAAACCTGCGACGAGTCACCAACTACACCCACATAGCTGGCACGGAAGGCAGCTTTGCGCTATCAAAATTAATTGAACAAGAGTTCCAGAATGCAGGGTTCGATGATGTGTCACGGGAGGAATTCCAGGTCTACCTCAACTATCCACGCAAGGATGGGAGGAGAGTCGCAATCATCGATCCACCCAGTCTAGCTTGGGAGGCGAAACTCGAAGAAGACAATGCCAAGGACCTGGTCTTCCATGGACATTCGAAATCCGGCAATGTGACTGGGCATCTGGTGTATGCTAACTTCGGATCCCGGGAAGATTTCAAGCTACTTGGCGACAAAGGAATTTCACTCGATGGCTCGATTGCCTTGGTCCGTTACTATGGGACTGAATCAGACCGCGCATTGAAAATAAAGGCCGCCGAATTGGCCGGGGCTGCCGGCTGTATCATCTACTCCGATCCCTCTCAGGACGGATTTCGCAAAGGCCCGGCCTTCCCCGAAGGACGGTACATGCCAAGCGATGGCGTGCAAAGGGGCGGTGTCAGTATGATGTCGCAGGTAGTTGGCGATGTTCTCAGCCCTGGGTGGGCATCCACTCCGGCAGAAAATCATCGTCTATCTCCCGAGAAGAGCCCCGGTCTACCCAAGATTCCCAGTCTCCCGCTCGCTTGGCGCGATGCACAGATACTTTTGCAGGGCCTCAAAGGCCACGGATCCAAAGTGCCAAAGGAATGGGTGGGCGGAGTTCCTGATGTACAAGAGTGGTGGACTGGTGACCAGAACTCCCCGATCGTTCATCTGATGAACCTGCAGGATGAAGTGGAGCGGCAACCTATCTACAATATTCACGGCAGGATCAAAGGAATGGATGAGCGTGATAAGAAGATTATTGTGGGCAACCACCGAGATTCGTGGTGCATGGGAAGTGTTGACCCTGGAAGTGGCACTGCTACTTTCCTAGAGGTTGTACGAGCCTTTGGCGAGTTGCTCACCTACGGATGGCGGCCACTTCGCACCATTGAATTTGTCAGTTGGGACGGAGAGGAGTATAATTTGATCGGCTCAACAGAACATGTCGAAAAGGAGATCGATGATCTCCGCGCGAATGCGTTTGCCTACTTGAATGTCGACGTGGGCGTTTCTGGGCCCGATTTCCGTGTGTCTGCATCGCCCGTTTTTGAGCGCACCGTGCTGCAGGCTCTGGGTCGTATATCGGATCCCTATGCGAACGCGACACTAAAAGACCTTTGGGATAAAAAGGGCTCAAAGATCACCCCACTTGGCGCCGGAAGTGATTATGTTGCATTCCAGGATATCGCTGGCACCTCGAGCATTGACTTCGGATTTGAGGGTGGGCCTTATCCATACCACAGCTGCTACGAAACATATGACTGGATGGTCAATTTCGCCGACCCCGATTTCCAATACCACAAAATCCTGGCTCAATTCTGGGGGCTTCTCCTCCTTGACCTTTCGGAGAACCCCATGCTGCCATTTGACCTAGAAGTCTACGGCGATTCCATTGGCGGATGGGTCACAGACTTGGACAAATTTGCCAAATCAAAGAAGGCCGAGGTGGATATGCAACCCATGTTCAAGGCTGCGACCGAGTTGAAAGCCAATGCTGTTACATTCCAGTCCTGGAACAAGATCTGGCATGATACTGTATGGGGCATGGGTGGGTATGAAAGCAATATCATGGCAGTCCAGCGGGTGAACCATAATGCTCGAATGGCTGCCTTTGATACAAATCTACTTGACTTGGAAGAAGGCGGAGGTGTAAGTTGATATTCTGCTTGAACCATCTCTCAACCCTAGCTAACGACTTGTACAGATTCCCAACCGCACACAATTCCGACACGTCATCTTTGGTCCAGAGCTGTGGTCCGGCTACGACGCCTCGATTTTCCCTGCTATCCGTGACAGCATTAACACAGGAAATTGGACATTGACCCAATATTGGATCGACCGGGTCGCCAACATCATCCACCACGCCAGCGACAAGCTGCTCCACTAATGTATTCTACTTTCCAGCCCTTTTCATATTCGTCGTTCTACTCAGCCATGCTTCATCCACGCTTATCGGATCGATTCATTTGTCACGTTCTAAACGCGCACTGTACAGCCCGACACCTGCCATGTGGTTGTCGGGACACCTCTATACCTGCATTTTGGGAACTTCTTTTATGCCCATCATATACCATGCAAGTCTTGAGCTCATACGGGACTTGGTAGATTGTTCTTCTGTCGGTTCCATTGGTCGCGTCATCCCCGCTTTCTTGAATGTATCTAGCTTCTCATCCTTGTCCCGAGGGACCGGCGTTCATATGGGGATATATCACATTTCGTATCTAGCCTCTAAGAGGGTTCCAGCCCTGCCAGTCCATATTGTTTGCTTGCTCACTCCAAATGCTCCACCCTTAGGGTAGTACTTAATTTTCCAGAAGATATTTTGGCGAAGTCAGTTTTGCAGTGTCTTCTTTGAGAGGTTTACGCCTTCATTTCTCCCCATCCAAAACAAGCCTCGATCTTGCCATATTGTATGTTCTATTGCCATTATTCTATCACTGGTCTAAATGTATCGACCAAACATAAAATCTGTCAATTCAACACCACCCCTCCCTTGGCAGCCCTAGTCCTGCTAGGACCTTCATTGGACCAATTTCTTTCCATGCATTCAGTTGATCATGATTCCAGATATAAATTGATCCCATCATTGAGGCCGAATTTGCCGTGATACTGTGGAATTCCTTAGCCCGTCGAGGAATAATGATCATCCATCTCCTTGAGAAGACGAAGTTATGGGGACAAGGAACGTCTTCTTTCGGTAAGTCTAGCGCCTCTCTCGCTTGTTGCAATAGACGCTGGTAAATATCCAGCAGGTGTTCGCCATTCTTCACGCAGCCCTCGGGCAAGTCTTCAAATCTTTGTAGAAAATGCACAAAAGAAGGTCCCGTCTGGGGTACCGTATCATCGTCTGGAAATAACTTGAACCCTTCATCGTACCCTTCCCGCTTGCCCGGCGCCGGGACAACTTGTAAATGCTTATGCTCCCTACTTGACCCAGCTATAACTGTGCAATTAAAGAAAACATAATGTTCTTCCTTTAGTTCACAGATCGTACTCCACGCAGCTTCTATGTCTTCAAGGACAAGAGGCTCATGCTGCCGACGATAGGAGTCCACAGTTAGCAATAACAGCATGGGGCGGAAGACAGGAAATTTGTTGATGATGAGATAGTGAGTCTCATTGACCGTGGTGATGCAAATATCAGGGTGATCATTTGCAATGTCGCTGCCTAGACCGAAGGACATGGGCTGTGTATTGACACCATCTGTCAAGCTTGAGTCGGTTTCAGGGGTGTCCTCGGCCTGGGGCTTGGTTTTGAGAGCTTCAACCAGGTGAAAGGAAAACTGGACTCTTATTAGGAGGGACTGGAGAGAATCGTGCGGTGAGGACGTACGGTCATGCCGCCATCCACCACAAGAATTGGCTTGTTGGGCTGGTAATTGATGATGCCATGGGAGATAAGCCGATCGAATTTTGCGCAAATTTCATCGTAACTTAGATCAAGTGGCATTTTGATAGCGAATGCGAACTGGGATTATCAAAATGATGAGAGGCTGCTAAGTTCAGAACAGAGGGGCAGGGGATACGCATGTCACGCGACCAGGGCATAATATCATAATATATTGGCCCATGAAATGGCGAATAGGCTACCAGTACTCTTTATTACCTCTAGCTATTGTATAGCCCAAGGAATTGAAACGCTAACGTACAGAATACCACTAAATAACTATGTAGATCTTAAATCACTGTCCTCGCCAAGCAACCTAACACAACCTCTTTGCTCAATGCAAAGTGTACATTTTGTTAGGGACTTACATATAAAAGGTACATACGGCAAATTATCAGTTCCTCGACTCTCGAAACAGAGAATAATTCTACACCCACTATTAGAATTTCAAAGGTTATACATAGAAAAGTCGGCTGCACAAAGTATGCTTTTTATTGCCTTCGTATACCCCTAAGAAAAACATCAAATAAGACATCAAAAAAAGCATTTCGGGGGGGTTCTTACCTATAACATCCCTAATACTATCTTGGTCCAAATAGATCAGATCAATAAAGTCTTAGGTCGTCAAGGACGAGACTATTCTTGTCTTTGGTTATACATAAAATGTCCTTTACGGTTTATGCGTTTTACCCCCTCGTATACATCTCGAAGGCATCTAAGGAGAACATATAAGAACACATGTGTTCTTATAGCATTGTCAAGGACAGTGGCCGCATCTGATGATTTACCGTATCTTTCCAAGGTTTATACTACATATGTAGTATGTGAATCGGTTACTTGGCAAGGACCGGGCCTGCCAATTCTATAGACGGAAGGAGACACGCGAAAGGACTAGCGCTTACTCCGTACAGCACATGTCCACGGGTGTATCAAACAAGTTCGGCCTAACCAATGAAGAACAAGATATGTCGGTTGGTTTTTCTACTCTTCCTCACAGATAAATACCATCCGGGCGTGATTCTCGTGTTTTTGCCCAGGCGCAAGCCCGGGCTGAGGTGAGCTGAGGGATCAACAATCACGTCCGTCTTAAATACCTAGGTACACTGCTTCGTAGAATATGCAACCTCTATTCCCATAGTTGGCTCATCATACGATTTTTATCTTTTTCCTCTTTCCCGAAAGTCGCAATGTCTGAGCTCAAAGATCCCCTTGATTTGGCCGAGACTGGAGATTTGTCCAAGTTCTCAAAGCTTGAAGCTACACTTGTGCACACTGAGGTGGAGCGGCGACCAAATTCAATATCACAAGACCGTGTAAATCGCCATGCTGAGACTTCAGATCTGGTTGTCAACGAGCTGGATTTTGATTTCGACCTTGCCACAGACCATTATCCACTAGCTGATCTCAGATCTCTCCAGCAAGTCTTTGATGCTGTGCAATACCATCAGCATTTGGAACGGGAGGAGAACTTTTCCCTTGCGACTCGCGTGGAATGCTTCAAAGTTGATTCGCAGGGAGGAGGTATGTCCCTGAAACATATTGTTTCTGTTTTGTATGCTGATACCATATCAAGAATGGCGAACACTTGACGAGACCAACATGGACCAACTTTTACAGGTGATGTTTTATCAAAACCCTGCTTAGAACTTCCGGCTAAACATCTACAAGTCCTATGCTATAAGCCCCGTATTCCCAACAATTAAACCCTTTCCTGGTCGTAATATGCTCGTTTTGTGAGTGCTTCTCCCTGTTTCCCCCAGTTGTGACTCTCATATTGACTTGTCTAGCTTCGCACCCTTAGTGCCTACCGAGGGTACTTCATACGGCTCGCGCATCCTAATGACCCAAAGAAATGCGAAGCAGCTCCTCGAGACACTACAAGTCAATCCTTTGTTTATGCTGAACATGATTGGTCGGCCAGATTACTGGGCCCCTCAGGCGCATTGGGAAGTAGATGATAAAGGGGGGTTGCTAGCTTGCGGTAAGAGCAGTAGAAGCATCAGACATTAAGACATCAAATGCTAATATCACACAAGATCTTTTTTGCCAACATCCTCGTTGGAACCTCCAAGCTCAGGGAGCTCCGCTATCTGTTTACGTGCGCCACGACGTTATTCGGAACTTGACGATATACATCATCTCGCATAAAGAGCTTGATACCTCCATCACCACACTCAAATCTATACTGAACATTGCACTCAATGTTACTTCCGCAGTTAACAAACCAGCTGTCTTCTCGGATGATCCATTTGACATCCACGCTATTCTCTCCACATTATCCTTCGAATCTTCTAAATTCCATGTCAAGCGTTTCCAGCGGTTCATGTGGAAGCAGATGAACAAAGTTGAGGACCACCTCATGGGCCTCGAGATTAGCGATCGCGCTAAACTTGGAGACTTAACAAAGCAACTCCAAATCATGTCCTCAAATGCAGATTCACATATTGCCAATGCCGATGTGGCAATAATCACGGCCAAAGCCATTCGAAATGCCCACTCACGTCTCATCAAGTCGCTCCCTCAATCCAACCCATTTACAAACCAGCGAGCCGATGATTCCATATCCTATATCATTTCCTCCATGGAGAAACAGAGAATTTGGTTCGTAAACTACAAGCAGCGCAAAGACAGCGCCATGTCCCTGGTCTACAATCTCGTGACCCAGCAAGACGCCATCAATAACATCCAGATCGCTCATAGCATGAAGCAAGACTCTACATCCATGAATGCAATCGCTGCCCTGACAATGATCTTTCTGCCAGGTACCTTTGCAGGCACCGTGGTTGGTGCGGGAGTTTTTGGGGGTGCCATCAGAGAGACGGTATGGCTAATTTGGGTCGCAATTACAGTACCGCTTACAATAGGGGTTATGATTTGTTGGTGGTTGTATAAGAGATCAAAGCAGCCAATGGTCAAGGGGAGCATGATGATGGGGAATGATAAGGCTGATTCCGCGGAGACGAGGACGAGCTCTTCTATGAGGAGGAGGTCCAGTGTTTTTTCTAATGCCTTTTCGTTTCGGAGGACTAAGACTGGAATAGGCGAAGATATATAGTCCGGTCTAAATTATCGTTTTTCATGTGGTATGGGTATATGACATCAAATGAACAGCCTTCCTCTAGCCCAACCCATATGGTACTCACACATGGGTATCATAAAACATCAGAATTAAGTGTTCCATCGAACTAAACAGGAGGCAAAGAAGGCTCAATCGCCAACAAAGACGGATGATCCGCCAAACTCTGCCAAAACCCAGCCTCGAAATCCCACAAATCCTGACTCAACAACGCCGCCCACTCATCATTCCCCTCAACCCCAGCCAGTTCAGGCAGAGGCTGCGCCGGATCCGAATGAGTCGAGTCCAGAAAACGCTGTATCGTCCGTGTAGCCTTAGAAAGCAACGCATAATTCGGATCCCCGGCTTTAACAATCGTCCCGATTTGAACCTCCGCTACAAACACACTGAGATCTTGTAACGACCGTGTCCGGTGCGCTCGTGGCATGTGTTGTTTCAACATGGCCAGAAGCATTATCCCCGCAGCGGGGAGACCGTAGTATGCGACCTGGTTAGCATGTATGTTAGATAATTGCTTGCAATTTGGGGGGTTTATAGACAGGGTATTTTATGTAAACGTGAAGTCAATTCATGCATACCTTCCAAATAAGACCCGTCCCAGAGTTAGTGAGCTGATCCCGCAGCAAAATAATCTCCACAACGAGCGTGAGCATCTGACCCGCCGTCTCGATGATCGGTAGATCGGGCTCGGTCGGTGATTTAAGAAGCAGGAGACGGAGCAAGAATAGCACATGTAAGTGGTGCAGCCGTACGCCGGCAACAAAGTCTCGCTCAAAGGGTCCTTGCGTACATTTCTTCAGACTGCTCTCGAGTCGGAAGTGGGCTGGCAGGTGTTGCCACTGCGTCTCTGCTTGGCATTGTATCACGCTGTACCATTTCTTGATTAGCCATTGTTTCCATTGAAATATTAGGTGCTTGCGTTGCATTTTGAATACCTTGCTCGTTGCGCACATGATGGATCATGCTTGTCCTGAAGAAGCTCCCAGATCTCCTCCTTCAGCGATGCGCACAGCGCAGACCACCGCGTATCAGCTCGGTACCCGGGCTCCGCGTCTGGGGTCCAGTCTGCTGAGCCTTCTTCTGCATTCCGGCAGGATGGGATCTGGAAGTGACAGAAGCGTTTGTTCATTCGTGGCGGGCGGCCGAGGAATATTGCTATGTTCTTGTCTGCGGAGTAGATGCGCGCGAAAGCTGTTTTGCGCAGTTCTTTGAGAAATGGTGGAAGTCCCGCTTTTATTTCAATGTTTTCGTGGTAGCCTAGAGCAAATGTGGAGGATATTGCGTCGCCTAGTTTGCGCCAGGAATGGTAGCCTTCGAGGGGTTAATATATGGCTAAGTAGATATAGTAATTGCGGATGGATGGCTGGAAACCTACTCTGATCTCCATCCACGTAGGAATGGACGATGAAGTTCTCGTATTGCATGATCAGTTGTAGATCATTCAAGCAATCTAGGGAGAGGGATATCTCCAATGCGAAGTCACAAAGTTTGGTGCATAGTCTTCGGAGTGTGTACTGTTCTTGCTCGGTGGTATATAGAGACGGAAAGAACGAAATGTCAATTGTCGCTCGAGTGACAGCGGCAAAAAAATTCCTAATGTCTCCCAACGAGAATTGTGATCTAGAAATTGAGCCGAGAAACCAGCCAGGTCAGAGGTATCATTGAAGTGCAGCGGCTGGGCCGAGTTCTGCAAGAGACGTCTTGCATAGACCAGATGCCAGTTGTCGTCGTGATAAGTGAACAATTGGCTCACACTCTGGGCACATTGGTCAACAAAGGGCTCTGCTAGGGCCAGGTTGGCTCCTTTAGCTAGCCAGAACATGACGAGGTCTTTCATGGCAGACAACTTGTATGTCGTCAAGAGATGTTTGAGGATATCCGCGCCTTGTAGGACTAGATGGTTGTCGCCAAACAAGTCCGAGTGTAGATCCTCTGGTACTGCTTGATGACTACCGGGGCCATGGTCTCCGTCCGGAGTGATGTGCTTGAATATAGCTGCATGGCTAGACGATCCTAGATACCCAGGGTTTGGGTATAAATTACGTCTTGGATTAAATGACGGCGATTCATCAGAAGAACCAAGGCTGCAAAGATATTATTAGCCAATTCGAATGCAATCCAGGCAAGTATGAAACTGACCTTTGCTTCTCGACTCTTTTCCGCTTAAAGGGCGTAGTCCTGTAGATGCAAATCCCCTTGCTAGCACTACAGCGCGTGCAAACGGGCAGCTGATGGTCGCATGCCAGTTTAGCCTTTCTACAGGCTTCACAAGCAGCCAGGCGCGACATGGCTGGTCTGGCGGAGTTTCGCCCGCGAGTGGAGATAAAAAAAGAGTAATGTCGGCTAACAACGGCGAGATCGGAGAGTCGGAGAATCGGCGTGTCGGCGATAAGATGCGGGGATCCATCCATCTATACATATATAAATACTCGTCTTTCTTCTTCTCCGACTGCAATATCACATTCATCATGACTCAAGATATAAAGCTCGCAGACTACCTGTTCATCCGGTTGCGCCAGCTGGGCGTTGACTCCATGTTTGGCGTCCCTGGTGACTACAACCTTCGCCTATTGGATTTCGTTATCCCCGCCGGCCTCCACTGGGTGGGCAACTGCAATGAACTCAATGCCGCCTATGCGGCAGACGGATATGGTCGTATTAAAGGCCTGTCTGCACTGATCACTACCTATGGCGTTGGCGAGCTGTCCGCTATCAACGGTATTGCAGGCGCCTATGCCGAGAACACACCTGTGTTACATATTGTCGGAACTCCACCGCGCCCGCTTCAGAGCGCACGCACGTTTATGCACCACACTTTCTCAGATGGCGACTACCGTCGCTTTGCAAACATGTCGAAGCATGTCACTGCAGCTCAAGTCAGGCTAGAAGATGCTGCCACAGCGCCGGAAAGGATCGACTATGTCCTGCGCCAAGCGTTAATCCACAACCGTCCGGTCTACCTCGAATTCCCCGATGATATGCCCGACGTGCTGGTGTCGGCTACAAATTTGGAAACAAAGATCTGCATCCCCAAACCACCAAGCTCTACCCAAGAGCCCCAGGTGCTGGCTCGGATCTTGGAGAGAGTGTACAGCGCCAAGCGCCCATTCATCTTTGTGGACGGAGAAAGCACAGGTCTTGGTATCGTTGACCAGCTCGATGCTCTAATCAAAGCAACCAACTGGCCCACATGGACAACCGTGTACGGCAAGGGCCTAGTCAACGAGCAGCTGCCAAATGTGTACGGACTGTACGCGGCAGCCTTTGGCGACAAGCCAGCGCAGGAGTACTTCGAGGAAGCAGATCTGGTCCTGACATTCGGACCGCACAAAAGTGATACCAACACCTATTTCTTCACATCAATCCCCAAGCCCGCAGTGGCAATCACATTCTCAGGGAGCACCGTTCAAATCGAGAATGATACTTACCTCGATCTGTCGGCCCGCAACATTCTATCAAACCTACTCCAGAGCCTCGACTCAACACGCCTAGTCAAGGCCAACGGACCCCCAAAACAAGAAATCACATTGGCCAATATTCAGAACACAGACCCACTCGCCCAAGACAACTTTTACCGCCTGGTAAACCCGCTCTTCCGCGAGGGCGACATAATCCTCACCGAGACAGGCACCGCCGCGCACGGCGGCCGGAACTTCAAACTTCCTGCGAAATCCCGCCTCTTCGGCGCGGTGACCTGGCTGTCGATTGGATTCATGCTCCCGGCAACACTAGGCACAGCGCTAGCGCAGCGCGAGCACAATAAAGGCACAGAAAGCAAGAGCCAGACTATTTTGTTCATCGGCGATGGGAGTCTGCAGATGACGGCCCAGGAGATCAGTGTAATGATCCGCGAGAAGCTGAACATTATCATTTTCATCATCAATAACGACGGGTATACCATTGAGCGGGTGATCCACGGGCGCCAAGCGGTCTACAACGATGTGCCGTTCTGGAGACATGCGCAGGCGCTGAACTATTTCGGGGCTGATGAAGAGCATGCGGCGAAGAATACTTTTACAGCGAGGACTTGTGGCGAGTTGAAGGATGTGTTGGCTGATGAGCGGATTCAGAATGGGTCTGGGGTGAGGCTTGTTGAAGTATTTATGGGTAGGGAGGATGTACAGGGGGCTTTGTTGTATTTACTGAACAAGCAGCTTGATAAGGAAAAGGAGGCAGCAGCAGGAGCAGATTTAGAGTGAGAGAGGCGAGATCATTTGTTACATAAAGAAAAATATATATATATCCATGAATATTTTACTACGGCTTCCTTGGATGGCAGTTTTGATCAAGTAAAATGATGTCTTACTATGATTAATTGTGTGTCTCGCTCCTAGTGCACGAAATGAGAAATCCTTGGAAGAACAAAATCAGGCTAAGTGAACGCCGATTCCCTATGCTCCAGATCCGCCATGCACACAGTGTTGTGAAATTAGAAGAAACAAAAAAAGAGGCACGACCCGAAACATCTCGAAACAGACATCTGCTGGAACATGTCATGGGGAGTCTATAGTTTATCTGTGTTGCTGAGAGGGGTTTCTTTCATGTTGAATTTTGGTTATTTGCGGAAGCTTTCAACCCCCAGGGTTGGGGTTTCCACCATGCGATCGGTGGGGACGCCCTCGTCGCGACGACGGGCAAAAAAGCTATCGCATTCGGAGACAATGTGTGCCCACTCCGCCAAGGCGCGGCCTGCATATTTGCTAGGCACGAGATGGTCGTAAGAAGGCTGGGAAGGAAGTTCAGGTAAGGGGGAGTTCTTGGTTGTAGGTGTTCGTGGCCAGGTATCTAAGGTAGGCTGCGTGGGAGTATCTTGGTCGGTGGTGAGGGTGTCTGGTTCTTGTTCGACGTTCTCGAAGTCGGACTGGCCCGGATTCTCTGATGCTGTGTCATAATCCGACTTGTCGGGAGAACGCCGATGCTCGACATGCAATTGGGATGCGACAGGGAGACAAGGTGTGAAAAGACGTTTGTTTTTGGTGGGCCATTGCGGGCGATCCATCCATTCCAATGAGAATTTGAAAAAGAATGGCTGGTGGGGAGCTTTGGGGCGGATGATCTCGTCCATACTGCTGGTCGGAGTATGTTCGTGTTCATCCATACATTTGCTATCCGCAGTCATTGTTAGATCTGATACGCCATTCTCAGAGTCATCAGAACTGCTGCTGCTGACGCCATCGCCGGAACGTGCGTTGGAAGAGCTGCCAAACATAGCCTTGAGTAATCCCCACCGTCTTTTAGATGGTTGACCATCTGATCCACTGGAGTCAGAAGATCCGGTTCGACGGTGTGACGTGAGTTGGTCCGAAGGCACGGGTGGAACGACTCGGTCGAAGCTGACGAAAAGATTGACAGGAGACAGTTGGTTTTCGCATCGGATGATGATGATTCTTCGTCCTGGAGCGGGTGTGCAGGGAGCAGAGGACAAAGGAGCTGTCATATCTTCTTCAGCCTTAGATTGGAACCCGATGTAATACTCCCAGACTCGTAGGAGCCGATCTGAAAGAATCTCATAGACGTTGGAGTCAAGTGAGGAGGGTTCGGTATTAAACCGTCCGACCCTCCAACACAACAAACGATGGAAATAGGCTCGCACCATTGGACTCCAGTGATTGAAGTAGTGGTAGAATATCGGCTCATGCAACAAGAAGTCCAGACAGATGGATGCTTTTCTTTCTTCTGTAGCAGTCCAGGTACCCCAGATGCAGAAGAGGAAAGAAAACACTCGCACCTCAGTCAGCGAATTGTGGCTCTGCATCATTTGGCGACAAACATCGAGCCAAAAGCCCCAATCAAACAATTCCGTTTCAATCGACTGGGCGTAGCGTGTGATGATTGGAATGACCTCCTCGAGGAAGTCACACAACAAAAAGCATGCGTTATGATCAAAGAGAGACGTTTTCTGCGCCGCAGCTTTGATTATGCCACAAAATGATTCGGCAAACAGTAATCGAGCACGGTTCGGTTCCACAGACGATTCGGACAGGAGGTCTCGGAGAAGGATAATCAGACGATTCTCTGCCATCGACCGATGAGTGTTGTTGCCACTTCGGAGATGTTGAGTGGAGGCAGAAGCATCCGGCGACTCGATGAAATCGTCAAAGGTGATTGCAGCAGCTGTGTGGGGGTTGTCGGACCCCTGTTGTGCCGATTGCTTGTAGATCGTGTCCTCCAGAACGAACAGAAGTTGCGCGTGAACTATCAACAACCCAGGTGCCAATATCCTTTTCGCCTTTTCAGTCCCCGGGGGCAAATACTCAGCATACAGAATGTGAATGTATTTGACAAAGACAAAGAAGAGATCCGTGTCACGCCCAGCCCATCGTGCGACCCACGGGCGGTTCCAATTAATAGGAGTAGTGTTTAAGGGTAGCTCGGCTTTCTGGCGCAAATATCGCAACAGAGGTGCTTGTGAGTGAAACGCTAGGGGACGAAGAGCCGGTGGAAAGCACAGAGCGAGTTCTTGCGTGTATGCACGCATATTTCCAGTGCGTGACCCGGCCGATTCTGACAAGATGCGTCGAAACATATTGGGAGGCGTGCTCCACAGGCGGACCAGGATCTCGGGCACCCCGGGACAGAAGAAAAAGGCATATGCGCAAACCTTGCCGCAAAAAGCGACCAGGCTAGCTGGTGCGTGTCTCATCGACATTCGTTCGACCACGAATGCCATCTGAGAGAGCAGGTTTTGGATAAAGATGTTTCGGATGTTGTGATGAATCGATTCAACCAGGAAATCCGAACCCGAGGAGCCTGACCCATCCGATGTTTCCGACACTGAAGTCGACGCATACTTCAATGAGTCAGTAGGCCCACTGCCATTCTGGGCCATGGGAAAGGGGGTGCGCCATTCCGGTCGAGCCATGATTCCCACGATAGCTTCCAGAAACACTGGTCTGTCGGTTCCCGAGATCGACTGGTTATGCTTGCCATTGAGCATCTCCAACATTCCTATCCACCATTTGTTGAGAATGTTGACTCGACGATCCAGGTCTTCTGGTCTGAGGTTCTTGCATGATGCGTGGAGGTGATGGCGGCTGAGAAAAGGGAGGAGCGAGGTACGGATGACGTTGGCTTTCAGCGAGCTGGATTTGGCTTGAAACCTGTTCTCTGGTCAGCAATTGTAACGTGAATGGCCAAGGTGAGTGCACGTACTTTTGGAAATCCGCCTCTAGGCCACGAAAGATACCCCAAAGCTCGTCCTTTTTCCGTGCATGATCGGTGCCGGAATTCGCATATGCCGCAGCAGTTTCTGCAGCCCCCTTAGGCATAGGTGGTAAGATTGGGGTCGAAACGGAGAGTGACGCTGTGAATTTGTCGAACGAGGACCGGTGTCGTAGCGAATTGCCAGATGGGCTGCTTGGAGAGCCGGGGCTGTCTTCGGGGCCCTTGGCCACAACAGCCAGCATTGGCCGGCGCGGGCGTTTGTAGAGAATTGTTCGCCTGCGGGAGGGTTGTGTCTGATCATCTTCTGTTTTTCGACTGCTGAATCGAGTTGGGGATTGAGAATCTTGCTGTTTAGATCTTTTCGCAGACGGGGACGGAGATCGGGAGGAAGAGCCCCATGGTTTCCTCGCAAGGCTGACTATCCTTCCAGACATTGACCGGCTCTTGGACGGCCTTGCAGCGGGCTCCGGTGCCCTGGTTTCGGGCACATATGAATCCGTATCCTTCAAATCCTCTGATGACGATAATGTGAAATGTGAGACTGAGGGTGACTTCGGCTTGTCCTTGGAGCGAAGAGAGGTTCGTCGGAGAATGTCCTTCCCCGCAGCCACGGTTTCCTTTGTCGGTGATTCCGCCAAGGTCGGAACGGCATAATCGGAAAATGTACGTCTTAAGCTGGGTTCTGTTGTGGTTTGACTGGGAAGATCGGTATAGCTGGCGGCACGAGAGAGCTCGGGGTTCTGGCCATCGTTTGTCTCGGGTGAGGGCGAAGACATTGTCTAGAGGATAAAGGGAGGACAGATCGGTTATTGAGGGGATTTATTGGTCATTTCCCCTAAATCTTAGGATTCTGAGCGTAGAAGAGACCAGCTCCTCTGTGCACCAGGAGTTTCCGGGTCGAAGTGGTCAGGCGCGCTGCATCTGGGGAAGGGCAAACAAGGCACAATCACGGTGCTGAAATGCTTTGAGAGGAAATCAGCAAGAGAGAGAGGTAGACAAAAGAATAATATCCAGCCCTGGAATCATGGAGTTTCGGGGTGGATAGATCTTCTATGCAGCCGCTTAGAAGGGCGCCGCTCTGATTCAGCAAGTGATCGGCGGGGGGAATCTCCCCCAAGGGTGTCTGCACAAGGGTCCGGGCAAAAGGGTGGGGGGGGATAATTATGAAGAGGAAGTGAGGGAGAGAAGAAGAAGGAAAAAGAAGTTGGAGAAATCCAAATAGCTAGGGGGAAATGTCCCCAGGCTACAAAGTACTCGATTGGCTCTATTTTTGTTATTTTTGTTATTTTTGTTAATTAACTCGAGACATTTTTAACTTATTAACTTATTATTCTCTTATTATTCTCTATTATACGAGCAATATTCTCCGTATTTCATTTTATATTAAAGTCAGACGTTTTCTTTTAGCTGAGACATTGACTATTTTTCCTTTTTACTCCACTTCTTCCTCTTCCACGGATCTCTTCTTCTTCTTCTTCTTCTTCTCTCTGTAGCCATCATAATCGCGTAAACTGGACAGTCTCACGGTGTCAGCTCGAGTCCATGGTCTCTGTATGCACTGCCATGCTGCAAGTCTGATTCGTAAAGACATTGGGCTCTCTGTTCAGCCCCAATTGCAAGGTCTTTACAGGCGATAGGGCCAATCGCATCCTCTCCGGAACATAATAGGGCAGAATTCACCGAGTGGGCTATGACAGCTGTACATCGGTACCAGATCTCTCGTATCTCATTCTTGGCTATGGAATGTTAGAATGTCGCTGTGATCCATCGCGATGGTATCATGAACCCTAATTCTCCATTATTTTGGCATTCCTTCAATTGTGTGATGTTTCCCCATGATTGATACGGACTACTCCGTATAAGAAACAATATTGCTTTCCACGCGGCATCTGGATTAGGGTCAAATTAATTTCCAAAGCTATTTCCACTACCTGTCATAAGCTGCCCTGCAGGGGGGTTGACCCATAAGACGCTTACAAAGTAATCACCTTACAGATATAGCCTTATGAAATGGCGGTATATTCTCAAGTGCCATACTCTATTTTTCTCTGGATGTATCGAAGAGTTCCCGGGTACGAGTGCCCTGTTGACACACCATGAATCACATTGCACAAGCCCTTGGCGATCAATGTTTTCATTGCGCCCCCTGCTGGGAAAATCAGGACCCAAGTTGAACAACAGTGCCTTGAGGTGGAGTGAGTATGCAATTATAGTGCAATAGTACTTGAATAGTCTTTTTTTTTCTGCTCCGGGATTGTATTTTATTAAACTTTGGCTTTAGCTTTGCCAGCCATCTCAGTTATTCCCTCCAGGGCAGGGATGTTGATATCAAATTGCATGGGAAACCACTGATTGCATCTGATAGGTGCTCAATTCAGGGAATGTGGAAATTTGATATATCAGATCAATTGCAATGCTTTCATGAACTACTCCGTACTGCTCTGTTCGCTACAGTAGATCCCAATAATTAGTTCCAATAGTTCCCTTATGGGGACATCCATACATCCATCGCATACGGAGCATACTTCCAACGTTTGCTCAGGCAACGGATGACTTATTACATGAGCATGACAATAAGCCTGCTTAAGCCATGCAGTGCACATTTTCTAAACCAGCAGTCCCATGTCATGTTCTAACCAAGCTAGTTATCTGTTTGGTTCATCTTGCCTATGCACATCAAGCGATCACCCAACCACTAACCGGTAAGACTATGGAATTAGTCTCGATGTGCCAGGCATTGATTACCCACAGCTCTTGTCGTCATGGTCGACTATTAAGATTCGGTTCCATGTGCTGCCTGTACTATGTACTCCATCACGTCGTCAATCGTCCGGGTCAACCACCGATGTATCTTCTATATGGTATACCATGCTATTGAAATACTAGATTTGGGTACTACACACCCCACTCTTCACGTTCAACCGAAAAGCCGATGATATCACACATGACCCTAATCGGGAGTATGTCTGCTGCACTCACCAAAGACAAGTCTTTGGTATCAGCCACCCCACGTAGCCCTTCCAGACTGAGAACCTTTACTCTTGAGTCCTGCCCTGGAAAAAAACAAAAAAAGTGATAATCAAGGAAAAAAGAAGTCTCAACGTTCAAAAATGTGGTCTAATTTACAAGCTTCAGGACCTCGAGAGGCGGCCACATTAGTTGCGTCGCAGGCGTTTAAAGCCAGCCTTCCCCCCGTATCTCCCCAGACCTTGCTAAATGAAAAAGAAAGACGAATTTAGTGGGCAGCAGGGGCCTCCTCTTCCTCCTCGAACCAGCTCTCCTCGACGGGGGCGGCCTCGCCAGCGGCGGCCTGGCCCTCGACCTCGACCTCCTGGCTCTCGTAGGCGGACAATTCGCTGGCGAGGTTGGCCTCCTCGGGAGACTTAGGGGCCTTGGGGGCAGTGAACTTTTGGACGTGCTCTTCGGCGTCACCAGCCTTGATGGGGGTGGGCTTGTAGGCCTTGAGCTCGCGGAGGTACAGGTCCTGGACGGGATCGGCTGCGGCGCGTTGCGGGTTAGCAAGAACGCGACCGATGGATATAGTAGGGACATCTGGGGCCATATTGAAGATAGTCCCTAGGTAAAGTACGTACCTTGGCGGACGGCGGAGGTCAGGAAGGTGCGGCGAGCGACCGAGACCTGTGCCCGAGAGGCACGGGAGAAGAGGGTGCGCTGCTTTTCGCGTTAGTCGAGGGTCTAAATAGACATATATGAATCAAGCAGTACTCACCGAGGCCCGGAGAGACTGAGACATCATCTTGACTGAGGGTGTAGATGAGGAGTGAGGGGTGGTTCTCAACAGAATAGGTCTGATCCGTCTTTCCGTGAAGTTGGAGGTTCAAACGACTTCTGTTCGGAAAGGTTTCTTGGCAGATGACTCAGCCGGGTCATGTTGTTCCCGAATGTTTCCAGGGCCTCAACACTAAATAGCAAATAGTTGACAGTGATTTAATTTATCGATGGGAAAGTGATGATTGGCTAAGTTATATTCAAGTATGGACAGTATGTTATCGATGAGAGGAGAGGACACAATTCCCTGAACCGACTGTCTACGCATAGTCCCGAGACCACCCGTATAGAAAACATCTGAATCTCTTGACTTCGCTATTTTCTCTCACTTATCACCAAAGGTCGTCTCTAGATATATTCTCTAGGTAAATTCCTATTGTCCTCTCTTGGGTTGGTATATCTCCAGCAGCATACGAGAACAAAGAATCTTTCCAAGGTTACTTGCTATAAAAAGCTTCCTATACTTCCTCGCCAATCAAAACACATTATATCACGTGATCTACTTACTAAGCCCAATCTGGACCTGCGCCTTTCTCTGGTGCCGCTTATGAAGCCTCACCTCATCCCATCGACTCCCTCATCCTCCCCCAGTCCTTGGCTGCTTCTATCTCTCCTCCTCAGCCTGTCCCCATTTTCGTGAGAGACTTCTTGCGGAGACCTTGACTGGTTCAACACGGCTGGACAAGCTGAGGCGAGATTTCTGTTCTACTTTCGATCCAAGAAAGCACAGACTGGTGAAGGGTTTTCTACGACTGGGGGCGACTCCTTCCGAATCCCGAGGGCTCTGGCCTGTGAAAGGTAATGAAAGCTTCTTTGTTCGAGTTTATCTTGGCATGACATTGTTGGAGGTCAAGGACCCGGCAACGTTGCGATACGGGAGACAGTGGATTTGCTTTGGGCTGAGCTAACATGACTGCGAAAAACAGTGGCCTTGAGCGACTCGGTTTTCTTCATTTTCGACCGTTTCCCGTGCTGAGGGATCTTCCGCAAGTGGCCCGCTTTCGTTTTCCTCGCTACAGCCGCCAAGCTGTATTCGCCACTTCTCCTTCGCTATTATAATCGAAAATACAATCTAGCCCGTATAGCGCCAAAAGCCCTTGCAAGACGTCGCCACGATCGATACGCAAGTTACTTGCAAGCTCAAAATATGGCTACTTCCGCTCTTGCGAAACCCGAGGTCGCGGCTCCTTGGAAGAAAAACCTGTCCGCTCATCTCGTTTGCCCTGAATGCAAAGAAGATCCTCCGAACCTGGAATTCCCCGACTCCCACGAGACAGTTTGCGGTTCCTGTGGACTTGTTCTCGCAGACCGTGAGATCGACTTGCACTCTGAATGGCGTACATTCTCCAACGACGACCAAAATAATGACGACCCCTCCCGTGTCGGAGACGCCTCGAACCCTCTACTCAACGGCGCCCAACTGGAGACGTCCATCGCAAGTGGAGGATCTGGCCGTGCCCGCGACCTGTACCGCGCGCAAAACAAGCAGTCGGGCGAAAAGGCGAACAAGGCCCTCCTAGCAGCTTACAAGGAAATCGGTGCTCTGTGCGATGGTTTCAATATCCAGAAGACTGTCGCTGATACCGCCAAGTATCTCTTTAAGATGGTCGACGACGCTAAGGCCTTCAAGGGCAAGTCGCAGGAGGTCATTATTGCCGGTTGCATCTTCATCGCATGTCGTCAGTGCAAGGTTCCTCGTACATTCACCGAGATCTTCGCAGTGACCAAAGTCACCCGAAAAGAAATCGGTCGCATCTACAAAGCTCTGGAGAAGTTTTTCACCACCCAGAATGTCGAGCGCCACAATGCTGCTTTGGAAAATGGCGAAACTCACGACTTTGCTGGTGATTACAACGCGACTACTTCGACCAAGCCAAGCGATCTTTGCAATCGTTTCTGCAATCTTCTCGACCTTCCTTACCAGGTCACCAGTGTTTCTGTCTCCCTTTCGGACCGCGTTACCGCCATGGGCGACTTGGCCGGACGTTCTCCCCTGTCTATTGTTGCGGCTTGCATCTACATGGCTTCGTTCCTTATGGGCCACGGCAAGTCTGCTAAGGAGATTTCCCAGGTTGCGCACGTCAGTGATGGAACCATTCGTGGCGCTTACAAGCAATTGTACGCGGAGCGCGAGCGCCTGGTTGACCCTGAATGGATCAAGGGCGGCAAGGGTGATATGGGCAAGTTGCCTGTGAGCTGAACCGCACATTGGAACACAACATTTACTTTTCGGACGCATTGATGATATTCATGAGAGGGCGGCATGGCCAAGCTGCCTGTCTTTGCAGAAAACCTATCGCAAAAAAAAATCAAAAAAACTAGAGAACATCAACATATGCTTTCTCGGGACACATTGATATCTTTGAACCTTCATCAGAATACCTCGCTGCAATGTGCTTTGGATTTTATCTTTGGTGGATATTGGCTTTGGGACAAGCCTGAGAGACTGACTGCCTTGATTTGTACATCATCATGGATAGCTAGATTGAGCAACAATCAATCATCTTCCTATGAATTTGATGAAAGTAGATGTAGCCTAATGTCCACTCTTAACTAGTAGGTAGAATAACCAGGAAGATCCGAAATGATGTGTTCTGTCTGCTACCGAAGCGACTCCGGTTTCTTGAGTATTTCCAGGATTTCACTTGTCCATTTGAGTGCATGTATATGTAAAAAGATAGACAAGCCCAGAGAACATAAAATACAAAGCCAACAATCAAAACATTGAATCTCGGTGCACAAAGAAAAGCCATTCATCCATTGCTCCGAAGCAGGCGCCTGAACCCAGAAGCCCAAGACAAAAATGATGAACCAGCACCATCTCACAACCTAGCATATCTCAACGGACATATCACCAGCACAGCAGGATATTGATCAAGGAATCAAGCTAGTTCTTGAAACCAGGTTTAATCGTGCCGTCGTCACCAGTAGAGTTATACGGCTTATCATACCGCTCCTCCATCTCCTGATTGTGCTTCTTCACATCCTCGGGAAGATCCTTTTTCGGGTTCCCCTCTCGGTCTGTAAGAGGCGACTGCTCTCCCTCGTTGAGGGTGGGCTTTGCTTTATTGGACGGGATTGGGCGAATGGGCGAGTCTTGGTGGGTTGAGTCTTGGTGGGTTGTGGTTGTTGCTTGCTCGGGGTCATTTGAGGATTTGGTCGCGTAGCCTCGGTATAGGGAGTTGCGGGGTGTTTGAGTACGTGCTGCGGAGAGAGCTGTAATTGGGGATCGGGCCTGGAATGGGATCTTCAGGCGCATAAAGGTCGTCATTTTGGAGGTTGGGGGATGTGTTTTGGTTTTTGGGGTTATTGAAGGAGGTTGAATGTGGACTACTACAAGTGGAATTAACTTCTTATATACAACCTTGGGAAGCCCCTTATGAAATCAGGTTTCCGGGGGAGGGGGGGAATGGCAATTGCCCGTGTCATTTAGCGGTGACGTACTTCGATGTCATACCGGACATGCCAAGAGTTTCGTTCGACAACTTTATATCTATTTTTATTATTTTAGATGTGATATGGAAGATTCTAGTTTAGTTTAGACTCTTGCTTTTAAGTGTTCTTTGTTACTCACATCTTCCTACTAGGGTGAATATAAACACCCAAAAGCGACTACAACCCAAATAGGCAAGAGGCGCTCCAAGTGGCCACTTCGCTTCTTCCAAGGTTATTACATTATTATAATTATTTCGGTTATACCCCACATTACAGAGAGAGGGTGGTAAAGTTGAAGTTCGGTCCATTGAACTTGATCTAACAATAATTTGAATAGTTGCTAGTAAATCCTGGCATGCATGATTCAGCATTCATCAAGAACAAACGAGGATAACAATAAAGGCCAAACAATTCCCAGTATCAACGTAACAATAACAACATTTGGTATCTTTGCAATTGACAAAAGTCCTTCGAGGTGAGGTTAGAGCATGTAATCAGCTCGAACGATAAACACCCATTGTAGCCCAATGGACCCCAAACCACCGCATGCACACGTAAGGAACATTGAAAACAGACCAACAAAAGAATAATCGAATAGAGAGAGAAGAAAACAAAGAGCGAAAAAAAGAGTGGCACAATGTCAAGCATCACTCATTCCTGATGCCTGCAACCGTGTCTTGCACGGGGTTTGCTGAATCGACACCATCAGATGAGCTCTGGGAGTGAGACGATTGTTTTTGACGCTCTTCAGCTGGAGTTTCACTGGATATTCCTCCCGAAGCCAGAGTTGACTCCGATGGTTGCTCAGAAGAACCACCCTCACAAGTACGGGACTCGTGGGAGCTGGATAAACCGCGCTTCTGTTGCTTCTGATCAGGCTTTGATTCATCGAATGGGTCTTGTTGGCCGCATACTGTCTCATTTCGACGATATTGAGGTGGAGGAACTTTCTCGTGCGACCTCTGGTCCTTTCGCTTCGGGCTAGGGGAGTTCGTTTGCTCCGGGTGAACGTGAGACGGGGCATTTGAGACACTGGGAGGATTTCTCGGCGGAACTTGCACTTGCTGTTGGTGTTTTGATCGGGGTTGTGGCGGCCTCGATTCTTGCGAAGACCTAGGGTGAGCTTTCTGAGGGGCTTGCTGTCGTTTCTCCCGCGACCCAGAAGCCTTATCAGTAGGACCAGCCAAATGTCGAGGGGGTTGGGCCTGGATCATAGAGCTCGTAACAGGGAAGGTGTGTTCAAAGGCTGTATCCAACAGGTCCATGTCAGTGAACTCTACATTCTGGGATTTCAGCTTGCGCCTCAGCTGCTCTCGCTCAGAGCGTATCACTCGGTCTCGATGTAAACTGGATGTCGCTTCCGGCCACTGAGAGTCAGAGTGAGAGTGGCGCACTCCCGGTAGATATTTTTTGGCCGGCAGTGGCAACTCACTAGCTTGTACTCGAGGAGGCTGTTTGTGATCGTGTTGAGGTGGCTGGGGTGCAACTGGGAGGTTTGCAGGCGGTGCAGGGCCCGGATAATTTTTCTGTTGGGGCATCATTGGAGGTGCAGCAGATCTGGAAGCCGGTGCAGACCACTGACTCTGCAGTTCAGCCGCCAATGGAAGATCCGCACCGGTAGTATAGATGCCGTTAAAAATTATTGGGACCAGGTTTGGTGGGACACCAGCGCGTAGGGAATCCGACAGCATTGACTGCTCGATGCGCCGCCGTTCCAGTACCAAGTTAGCCTGGTATGTTTTTTCTTCTTGCTGCTTGTGCCGGTCTTCTTCAATTTTGGCGTGCAGCCACAGCTTCATGTCCTCTGTGCCTTTCCATCCAGCAGGTAGTGGGGGTAGGGGAGTCGACATTGTCAGTGGAGGTGGTAGGCGATTTAGCCCAGATGGCGGGACCAGGTCTCTGGATGAGCTCATCATGGGATTGGGGGTCGTCGGAGATTCCTCTATTGAAGGCTGAGGTAGTAGTTGTGAGAGAGACTGGGTCTTTGTTTTGGTAAACTCATGGAGGTCCTTAGCCCCGTTCGTGCGCTTGGAGGGTTTGGAGGTGGGCTCCATGTTGCCAGCAGGGTAGCAACACTTGGAATTGCATAAACACGGGGGGTGACAGAAAGTCACACACGAGTTGGATTACATGAAGGTTATGGGAAGATCTCGGGGGGAGAGAACCCCAAATAGGAAACGACATAGGGTCAAGCAGTTACCCCGTTGAGATTTCCCAGTATATTCCTTCCAGTTGAGTGTGCAGATCTGAAACGTCCTATCAGTACCTAAAGGTGAATGTAGAGATTATGAAACTCCCTGGTATCTTTTGTTCGGTGATGTCTTTTTTCACTTTCGAACATCCTGAAAAGATCATAAGAGCGTGAATACGATAAACCCCGTGAGCGAATATGCCCAAAGCAACAGAGATTAAGAAGATGTGTAACGATATTTGTCCTCTCGTGTTCTTTCCGAATGTGAGTCTGTTGAGGCATCTTCGTACAATCGCATCGATATTTGACCCGCAACCTTTGGAATCATCTGCAAGATGCAGGGTGTCCGTGGTGGAATCCTTTGCATAATCTGGCGTCAACTGGTAATGTACACTAGACCTGTATGGGCCCAGAACATCCATATTCAGTTCAAGCCCTTAACCAACATGGCCAAGGCGAGAAATGCTGGCTATCAATATCAATCTATAGTGACCGGACACAATGCTAGGGATAGAAGAGATTCATTCCAAATATATACTCGACGCATCGGCAGATGCCCACATGGAAGCCACATGGAGCATATCCCCAAGCAAAAAAGACAAGGGCTCAAAGGGTATCCTATCGCTTTATTCGCCATCTTTATCTCACCGTGCCCGCACTTTGGGCACCCGAATAGTGATATCCCAGAAAACAGAAAAGGTGGCCGGTCGCACCATCAAGAATCCAAGCTAGAGGAAAAGTGAAGAAAAAGCAGTCACCATGCACTTTGTTTTATACGTCGCCACGATCGAATCGACTCAGGACCTCGGGTGGGACTGTGGGAATGTACTTGCGAGCTCGTTCGCGGTTCGTGCCACCAAAGCCGGCGCCGTAGCTAACCAGCATGTCTGTACTGGTGGGAAGGGAGAAGGGGAGGAAGAGGGTGGGGTCGAGGAAGATACTATTGCCGCCACCTGGGCGCTCGTCGTTCCTGGCGGCGACCATGCTTGTAGATCGGGGTGATACAGCAGCGGGTCCTGGGGATAGTCCAGTGTCAGGAGACGTGGGTGCTGCGGAGGGATGGTCCTTTGGCGGTGTCTTTGGGCGGGCATCTGCTGCTGCTTGAGGCCCTGGTCCAGCTGCTGCCTTTGCCTTCTCTTCTTGAATTCCCTGCTGCTCGCGGTATAGAACTTCGGGGTCATTTTGCATGTCGAAAAGGAACTTCATTGCTTGCTTGGTCAGGCCTTTCTCGCCTACTTCTGGGCGGTATGACTTGACTGCATGCAGGAGCTGGGCAGGGGTGAGTTGTTGGAGTTGGAGCAGGGTTGTTACGAGAGATTCGTGGTCATCGCCGAGCGACGAGAAGCATTGCAGCCATTGGAGGAGTTGAATGACCGGGGCTAAATGTCGACGAGCGGCGTCAATTGTAGACTCTCCAGTGCTGTTTGTAGAACCGTTTTCGTAATGCTCTGGCACACGGTTGTTCGTGCGCGCCCAATCCTCTAATGATGAAACGTTCATGCGGATCTGCATCGCCTTCGTGCGCGCCAAGTAACGTTTCGTGCTCATAATTCGGTTAAATATCTCGGCACTGAGCCAGTACAGAAGCTGAGAGAGGATCTGGGTCGTGATCACTGAGTGAACATCGTAGAGGTCAAGTACAAAGAGGGTCGATGATAGTAAAGAGGTGATGTTTCGAGGTGAGATTTGTGCTCGTCGCCGTGGTGATGGAGGACGGAATCGCTTCTCGTCAGGCTCGGGGTTTTTGCTTTTATTTTTGCGGAACAGCTTCCACTCGTTTTGGAAGGCAATATCTTCCAGTCCAGGGATGGTCTCATGATCCAGCATTGCCGCATCCAGGACTTTGTTCATTCGACGCTCGGCGTCACGAATAACGAGAACGAATATCTCGTTGATCAGCTCCGCCAGATGGAGCTGGAACTCGACGGTAGATTCCACTAAGCCCCCATCCTTCTTCAGGTAATGGAGTAGAAGCGTGGCATTTGACAGCCAAAAGGCTTGCATTGTCATATCCCACTGGTAACGTTCTACAACGTCATTAATCTTCTCCATTGCAGACGATAGCAGAGTTGTGAGCAGCTCGGGGCTGGCATGATAGTGCGCATAACGGGCGCTGAGGAAGAGAAGATTTGCAGGCACTGGCTTTTGGGAAGGAGACCGCTGGGGAGTCATGTTGGTGATGATAATATCCAAAATGCGCTCTAGCTCATGATCCTGGAAGACAAACATCTGATCATTCAGACACTTGTCCCAGACAAATTCCTGCTGATCTTCCTCGAGCTCATCCTCATCGGACGGCTATCAAATGAAAGAACTCAAATCAGTCAAAGTCGAAACCCCATTTTCACGACATAAACTTACCTCGAATTTCTCGTCAAGCCCTAGACTGGATAGATCGACCTCCAGATTGATTGCGCTCTCTTCCATCATCATTCGCCGCTTCATCTCGCTCTCTGCTAGCTCTTCCTCGAAACGACCATGCGCCAATCCAGCGTCATAGAAGTCATCATCGATATTACCAGAGCCAAAGCTGTAACCATTTTCATGCAAATATTCAGAAATCTCACTACCGGGCTGGGCGAAATCAAAAGCCCTGCCACCGGATGACGACTTGATATCCGGTGATGCCCCGTTATCAAGAAGAATCTTCGCTATCGTCTTGTGTCTGTTGGTCATGGCCCACATCAAGGCGCTCCACTGGTTACGATCCTGCCTGTCGACGAAGGCACCGGCGACAATGAGCGCAGCAACGACTTCTTGATGACCCTGTTATAACCCGTCAGCCTCGCATCAATATTGTGCACATAAGAGCAACCCACAAAGCAACTAGCATAGATCAGCGGCACAGTCCCCTCCTCGTCGGGCTTATTGACATCCACGTAAGTCTTCGCCTCGCCCTGTACCAGTTTCCGCACGCGATCCACATCGCCATTACTGGCCGCCATGTTCAAGCTCTTCTGGAGTATATCGCGCTTCTCGTCATCGGTCAATTTCTCGTCGGCGGCAATTGTATCTTCGTCTGCAGTAAGGGAATCCACCTCCCGATGGGCAGCTTGGGCAGCAAGCATCTCCATCAGTCGGGCGTCATTATCTTCAATATCGCGCCCATAGTGAGCCCGTAGCTCATGCTCATTGTCGTGCGAGTGATCGTCGAGCGCTAGGCTGAAGGATAAGGGTTTTGCGGCGACCGGCGCGGTCAGGTATTGTGATTGACCTGTTGAAAGATTAGACCTTGATGCTTGAACCCCCAACACAGCCGGTAAATTTTCCAACATGTAACTGTTCAAGGAAAAATAGCTTGATCACCCGCGTCGGGGAAACGGGGGAATAGTTCCGCGGACACAAGAGCACTCACCTTGCCAAGCATCGTACATCTCAGTCTCCGGCTGGAAGACCGGAACGGAGCGACGATCGTCCAGTGATTTGGGTAAGTCATCTGGGAGTTCCTGTTTAGCTTCGTGGAAGGACGCGGGGCTGTGGTCGCGGTAGTCATTGGAGTCGATGGGGTCCTCTGAAGACCTGCGCCGCGGTTCGGTCATGTCCATCGTGGCGGGCTAGATGTCCAGTAGTGTTGTGGTGGGACATCAAAGGGTTTGAATTCGGGGGGAAGATCGAAGAACCCTCTCTGGGGATATGTTCTGTAAGGAGGGTACCCTCCACGCGTGGAAATTGGATGTTGGAGGGAGGTGGTGGTGATGAGTAGGTGGTGGATTTGGTGTTCCGTTCCTGGACCACCTCCCGCGATGCGGCCCCGAAGACTTCGAGAGATATGACGCAGCTGTGTAATTCAGGTGGGGTGTATAATATTGGGGTAAGAAACCAATGAAGGCAACTATCCTGGTAGGTAGTTCGTTCTTTTTTCTTATTTTGATTGAAACTCTTATTTCTTCTACTAACATTTAGATCATAGGTAAGTTGCAACCCCCTATTCACCTGCAAAAATGTCTCTATTCGAATCCTATTTCTCCTCTATATAACACAAGAATAGTCGCTTATGCGGTCACTGTCCTTGACGACCTAAGACTTTAATAGTCTGATCTATTTTGACTAAGATGGTATTAGGGATGTTATATGTAAGAACCGTGCGAAGTGCTTTTTGGGTGTTCTTTTTAGGTCTATAAGGTGGTAAAAAGCATACTTTGTGCAGTCGACTTTTCTATGTCTAACGTTTGATTATATGATAGTAGAATCTGCTATTGATGTTATATCCGAATTGATAGCTTCAGCTAAGGTATGGCCAAGGATTGCTGTCATTATGGAGTGGCAGATCCAAGCCATGTATAGACAGATGTCTCCATTCATAGGGACAGCGCGGTTCAGTACCGACAAGACAAAAAAAGGGAATTTCAAAACGAAAGAGATTATCCAGATGCAAGGATCAGTACAAAATGGCAGAGGAACAAAGCAGCCTCTGGAAAGGGGGTATAAACTATCCAATCACGGATGTCAAGATTGAAGTACGAAATGGATATAGAGATGCAACCAAAAAAACCAAGGAAAGGAAATAAACAAACGAGAGATTATTCAAGTGCTTTGCTGCGGGATTGGATTTCGTCTTCGGGGAGACAAGCAATCCACAAGCACCGTTCGATGATGCCCTGCACGGGCTCAAACTTATATTTTGTACTGGCGTCGATGAGACGGAGGAGGCTCTTAACGATTCGTGCTGCGGTGCGATAGCGCTCGAAGTTGACAAGCAGACCGCCATTAGTGTTGTTAACTTGCGCGGGCTTCTGTGCATTATAAGTGAGGTCGTGGACGTATAGGCCTGGAAAGAAGAAGAAGAAAAAAAAAATCAACAAACAAGATCTAGCGCGATATTCAAGCAACCGATTTCGAAACTCACCGATGAATGGAATGCAGCCTTCTTGCAAGTTGGCCGTCTCCATCTCCACACGTAGATCATTGAAATTGCGCACCGGCTGAATTAGGCACTCCATATCCTTGAACAGCCGCTTATCCTCAATCGAAATCAACTGCCACGTACTGTGCAGCCGGGAGCAATCAGACGAAGACAAAGCAATGGCGATCTGGAGCATCGTGGCATAATTGCAGATGCGGCGTGCATGCGCAGCTGTATGGATATACTTGATAATTGTGCGGGCCCGCTCGTTGATGTCACGGGTCAAGACAATCTCCGACAGGATCCATTTGACCATAAGGTTGAAGCGGCCGACGACCAAATCGATACCCTTGCGTTCCTCGCTTGTCAGGAACTGGACCCAGTTTGTGACTAATGGGCAGGCATTGCTCCATTTCATCTCGACCAGATCTCGCCAGTCGACTTCGCTCAGGGCGGCCATTTCGATCAATGTCAGTTGGTGTGCGAGGACCTGGGATTCGCATGCTAGGATGAAGGGGACATGGTCGGGTAAAAGGTTGATGATGGGGTTCTGGTCGGGACGATTGTTTTCTGAATTGAATAACACGTCACTCGAAACCTGCTGTATGTTTAGAGGACGCGAAGCAGAATTGCCCACTTCTTTGTGTCGCGGGGATGTGTCGGGCGTAAGGGGCTGGGCCTGGAACAAGACTGTATTCAACGGCGAAGGATAGGAAGTGAAAGATCCCGGATGTTGGATGGTCATCGGCGGGGAGGGAGGTTGCGCTAGAGGATGAGACGGGATCTCAACTGTTGATGAACTCAGGCTGCGGGTGTCTGTCGAAATCCCTGCACCCATAGCTTCATGCGGATCAATCAGGTCGACCGACATCTCAGAAGACAGACCTGAGAGGCGCTTCGGAGTAACCTGGCCAGCACCATGGTTAGCCGAGGCGGGAATGGTTGCGCCGCGAGGAATCCGACGCATGCTGTCGGTTTCGTGCACAATTTGAATTGAGGGGTGTGACGAGGCAAGTTCAGAAGTTCCATGGCTTGATACGAGGGTGAGCGGAGCACTATGCGGGTCGTATTGGAGTGGCTGGCTTGTAGGCTGCCATTTCATGGACTCGTCGGTCAATCCTCTTTCAAGAAGTGGGATAGAGTTATAAGACTCTTCGGATTCGGCAACAGAATCAGAATAAGGTCTAGGTGGCGCCAATCGACCCCCAACCGTAGAATACGCGGACTTGTCTGTCTGTCGCCTGCGAGAGAGAACATCCCACTCAGGCCTGGCCGTTTCGACGTCGTGCGGAACCAAAGGTTGCTCTCGGTGAGGGTGAGACCCCTCTACTTGTGCTGACGAAGAGTCTCGATCAGCGCTGGGTGGTCCATCCCACTTTCCCTCCAGCTTCAACAGCGTTGACTCAATACCACCGTCGTCGTCATCAGGAATCTGTGCAAACTTCGCAATTACCGACTCAAAGGAACGCCTAATTTGCCGGGAAGTGCGGGGCTGAATAAGTGAGTAGCGGGGATTTGGAGGGATCAACGTTGAAGGAGGTCTTGAGACGCCGCCATCAGAGGGGGCCGTTTCGTCCACAACTGAGTCATCCCAAGATGCAAAGGAGTCACAACAGGAAGGAGGCTCGGTCTCATCTCCAGTCTGCATTTGACGGAGGTTTCCACCTCGGCGCCTGCGCAGAATCGGCCCTGACTGTTTGTTGTTCTGATCTTGCATCGTATTGGAGTCGACAGTGGATTGGGCAGTCTCGCTGCTCATCGAAAATCGTTGTCTCGAGATCCCGCTTTGGAAGGACGCGTACTTTCTGAGTCCGAGGGATAGAGAATTCTTCTTCTTTTTCGTAGGCGTCGACCCGCGTTCGACTGATGACGATCTCTGCGGCGTGAGAGGGCGAAGGGGCCAGAATACGTTTGACTGAGCAGCTGATTCTGGTTCGTCGGCATTATAGCAGACCGGTTGAAGATATTCTCCTTCCACGGGTATCGATTGCGTTGAGGCATCATCGGGCACTTCGAGTTCCGGCGTTTCGTGAGTATTATCATCAGCAATTGGCATTGGTTCCTGTGCTGCCCCTGACATAAAGGGCATTTCGAAACCGGTATCATCCACAATGATGATTGATTCGCTGCCCATGGTGATACCGCTCCTGAGTTTGGGGTCGGAATTGGGGGTTTGCAGATTAGAAGTGTTGGATGCAGGCTCCTGTAGGGTCGCTCGATGAAAGTCAGGTGCAGCTGGCGGCTGAGTTTCGTCTTTCGTTCCTTCCTGGTTCATGGCCAAGCGGTATTGTTTGAGGACTTCATCACACAGTACATCAATCCGACCTGGATATCTGGGAATAGCAGCCATCTTCCTCTCCCGGTAGAACTCAGAGCCGAAAGCGAGTCCAGTTGGCATTGCGGATGTCTTCCCGCGGGAAGGCAATGAAATGGCCTCGTGGGCATTCACAATGCGAGCAGAGACGCTCTGCCCACCGTTCCTCGTGTGCAATGCTCGTTTGATTGAGCCAATGATTGTTCTCATGCCCGAGTTAGGTGACGACTTGGGCACGTCGGGTGTACTCCGACGATCCGGATTTGGGTTCTTCAACGGCGGAGGAAGGGGCGGCGATTCCGGTGCCATCATTGTCATGTACGACTCTGCAGGAGGGTACATCTCTCCACGTATTAAACTGCCCGGATCGAGCATCTCCTGTGGTGTGGGTCCCGTTTCGGGCTCCATCGCAAACATCGGCAGTCGATCATCTCGCGCCGAGTCTGAGAAGCTTCCGCTTCTTTTATGGCTATGGCTGTGGTACGGGTGCCGCGAGACCATGGGAGATACGGGTGACCTAGGTGGTTCATGAGTCCTGGACGGGGACTTGGACTTTGTGAGACCCAATACCACAGGGCGGGGCGCCTTGCCTTTCGAGGCAGACATCGACAAGCGCCTGGGGGGTTTCGGTGGTAATGAACACGAAAGCGCCATCAAGCTTTGTTCGCTTTTGGCAGAGAATGGAATGCTTTGTGTGGTTGCTGCAGAGTCATTTCGATCATGTTGGATGGGGAAAGGAAGACTTTCGCGAAAGGTGGTGTCTGCACGGGGCATCATGCCATAAGCAGGGACGTTCTGCTGCAGTTCCTCAGCTTTAGGTAACTCGATCTGGGGATCTCCAGGTACAATTGAGATTTCCGGGTCGTTATAGGCGCGAGACAAGTCGGGGGAAGACCAATAAACCGAACACTTGCCATTCCAGCAACGCTTCAAGTCAATAAGAATCTTTCGATCACTCGTGCCGCCATTTTGTCGAGACCTGACCTCTGAATATAGGTTGTTGATGGTCTCGCAGAAGTGGGTCCGAAGCTCGTAATTCGTAACGAAGTCATCAACGTAATAATTGAGAATCCAATGTCGCAAAGCCGCAAATGTGCGAATCCTAATAATGCGTCCATCATCTTGTAGCCGGTTGATTGCCCACTTTAGCCGCGCAAGAAGAAGAGCCAAAAGGTGTGTTGTGGATAGGTATGAACGGAAGGTAAGGAAGAAGTCCGATACTAGCTCATAGTCCATGAATGACTCGGAGGAGATTTGCGCAACGATTCGGGCAGGTGTGGCAGCACTGATATCCTTTGTCCCAGTAATGTATCGGACTACAGACCCGTCATCCATATCATACACCAGCGTTTCGTAGATGGATGGCTCAACAGGCTCTTTCAATTCATAGACCATGGAATTCCTCGGCGCTGGTGAAGCTCGGTTCATATCCATAGCCGCCGCGGTGCCCGAGAACATCGAAATCGCAAAAGACGGGCGATGCCGCGAGAAAGAGTCTCGGGGGTATGGACTATGGAGTCCCGGCAGAGGGTCAGCCATGCCCCCAAGCAGGGTTGAATTCCGAAAATTGTCCGACATCGAGGTTCGCGTGTAGACAGAACTTTGCATCGTTGCACTGCCTTCGGCGTTGAATTGCGGCGACCCGAGCCGATAACGCGGAATAGGGACCTCTAAGCCTGGTGTCGAATTCTCCCGTGCCGACTTAGGGCGGTCTTCAGATCTATCAATCACGATCCGCAGCTCCCCACGTTTCCCAGCACCGGCTATCAATTGCTGCTCCGATATTGTCGAAAACGAGATCGGTCTCGTGCGGTGCTGGCTCGAGAATTCGGGGGGAGGCACGGCGAGGACGGGCTCGGGATCTTCGGGCTGTGCGCGCGGGCGTAACTCAGAGAGCTGCGAGCTCGACCACCTGGACGGATCTGGGTCCTGCGGCTGAAGGAGACTGGGTTTCGCGGTATCCACTGGAGAGAAGGATGCAGGCTGTGGGCTTTTCTGGGACGGATTGGCAATCGGCCTAGATTATTGAAATAGTCCTATCAGCAGGCTGCACAGTGTGTGACACGGCATGAGGAATTATGGATCGATTGGTGTACCTGAGAAAGATTTTGCCATTTTGGCCGACACTTCTTACGGTGAAATGGCCAGCCTTCCTCCCGGGTGTACGCGCCTCTAGTGGGCCACGATGTGTTTGGGACCGCTGTAGTTTGTTCTGTCGTAGGAGCTCATGGCTATCCTTAGCATTTATCCCAGTTGCTGTTCTCTCGCGCGCTGCCTTCAACTCTAGGTTCCGCTTGATATTGCCGCCCTGGGCTACAGTATTGGCACGGCGAAGATTCGAGATTGGATTCTGGGGCCCTCCACTAGACATTCGGTTTGAGGCTGGCAGTTCATTGATTTGGACTTGCGGGCCTAGAAAGGCATCCTTAAACTCCAACGGATCGATGGGTGGAGGAAAGGGCTCCATGGCGCGAAAGCTATGAGAACACGAAATGCTCCCGTCGCGACGGGGCCAGGGTTTGTACCACTGGAAGAAGTCAGAGTAAAATCATACAAAATAATACATAACTTATGAGGTCAGAAGGGTAAAAAAGAGGAAGAAATCGGACAGCTCTTGTTTTTTGTGGAGCTGACCCGACGGGGCGGAAGAACACAATGTGGAACGGTACCTATGTTGTAGGAACGCTGGGTCGTTTCCCGTTTCCCATAAAATTGACCACCCCTTTTATCGCCTTTTTTTTTAATAATTTACCATGGAGATCTCCATACATATGTACTCCGTATTAATCTGACTCTTCCTAGGGAGTATATATATCTATCTACTTTACAGATTGCTCACTCTTTTCTCTCTTTTCCGTACACCATACAGAGCTGATTCGGCACTGTGTAAGGGAGGTGATAGGTCACTACGTTCCGGAAGACCCCCGGTGAAAAGCGAGAACTGTCTAAGATTGGCAGTGCAAACAGGGATTCCGGTTGGCTGAATCCGCCGTTATTTCCATCTCCACTTGACCGGCAGAGAGTGACGCGAAACTGGGAATATTCCAAGGAAAATTCGCGGAGCTACCGGTTTGACACATCTCGGATCTGGGTCAACTTATATAGGTTTTACTTTATACGGAGTACTCCGTACGAAGTATAATGTTTTGACTTTAAAATGGGTCTCGATCCTGTTTCTCAAAGAGATTATTAATGGACTGTGTGACCTCTCTGAAATTACGGTGCAGCGCCCTAATTTGGATTGGCTGCCCTACTTTATAGATTCTATGCTAGCGCAAATGCCAGATTCTCACATGACCGAAGATCTGAGATCCCATCGTATGATTGCCAGAAATTTAAGGTCCGGGAAATTGTCGTTCTTTTTGGCTAGATTCATCCATTATCTCTCCAGCCCATGAGTCGTCTACTCTGTACTCTGTACAGAGTACTCAATGTCGACCTGGCCTCCAAGCATACATATTCTGCCGCAATTCACACACTTCAATTACTCTCACCTTGCCATCACTTTGCTGTGGTTGAGACATCACATGTCAAATGTCGATCAAACTGACACTGATCCATAAGAATTGACATGTCGACATAAAAAAAAACGGGACCAAGACCACCTAACTCTGAAGAGGTGAGGGTCTCGGACCTTGCTGATCTAGGTAACTAAATCCATTGGCTAATTCTTTACCTCTTCCTTTTCCTCTTTCTCGGTCTTTTTCGGGTCTGTCCGCCGATACCGAATGTTCTCCTGGTCTGAGGCTCGCTCCCGCTTGTTTTGGGCTGCGATCGCCGTGGAGATCAGCAGCTTTAGGGTTTCGGCATCTTGGCCGAGCAGGATGTCCTCTCGAGCATCGGTAGCATCCAGATGTAGGGTCCGTGATGTATCAGACATCGTGGGTGCCAGCGAAATGCTTTGCGGATTCAAGTGAAAAGCGTTAGCAATATATGGTGAACCAGCTCTAGTCTGAAGGTAAACATGCTAATTGTTTTTGGGTTGTGGCGTTGCTTCTGTCCCAGCGGGAGACTGAGAGTTTGAGATCTCACGAAGAATCCTATTCGCGAAGTATCATCAAATCCAGGGTGTCTTGATGAGAATGAATGTCTAAGTGTGTAATGAATGTGAGGACGTAGATTCTTGAGAAAGTGATGATGGTTGGTGGATGTGCATCGACGAGGGCTGATTGTGAAAGCCAAAGAATTACAACAATCCCTATTCAAGAATTGGGCAAGGATGAAATGGGACCGAGGCATAGCTAGACACTTGGGTCCAGTGTCAGAATACTCATATTACTCAAAACTCATGAAAGGAAATGCATTGACAGTAAACTTCTCAAAACTACCAGAGCTTGCAAGCCGGATTCCTATCTGGGCAACTAAAGGCATTCTTGAACTCCCTAGAGTTGGCCATAGTGTCCTGTGACATGGGTCAGTGATGGCACACAAATGAAGGAATGTATTGATGAGACTCACGATAATTCGTGCTGATTTAGGCGCATGGGGATCGTTATAGATCGCCTGCTCAGCCGCCTCCTTGGTGGTCTTCCCACACCACCAATTACCATAAGATATAAAGAACAGCTGCTCTTTGGTGAATGCATCCAATCCCGGGAGGTGAAGATCAGGCTTTGCCTCATCGTGCTTCTTCCACGCGTGGTATGACGCTGTCAAACCTCCAGCGTCGGCGATGTTCTCGCCCAGTGTCAGTCGTCCGTTCACGTGGAGGACCTTGTTCTCGGGGCCAATGACTGTAAACTTGGAATACTGGTCGACAAAGCATTGAGCACGCTCTTCAAATGCTTCAACGGTCTTGTCGTCCCACCAGTTAGTGTAGTTTCCACTCTCATCGTAGTGTCGACCGGTAGAATCGAAAGCTATATCACATTGGTCTGTTAGAAAACGGCAATATTTTTGCAGGGAACAGAACATACCATGTGAAAGTTCGTGGCCACTGACGGCACCGAATGCACCATATGCCAGATACAACGGAGCGGAAGGTCCATAGAACGCTGGCGGCTGCATAATGCCGGCAGGGAAGACAATCTCATTACCTGGCGGGTTGTAGTAAGCGTTGACAGTCGGTGCACTCATGTCCCATTCGTCACGGTTGGTGGGCTTTCCGAGTTTAGACCATTCGCCGCGAAGTTGGAATCTCGCCACAGCCACCTCATTCTCAAAGAAAGTGTCCTTGGACACTTCCAGTTCCCGATAGAATTTATTCACGTCCTCGGGGTCTAAAACGTTGGGACTCTTTGTGGGAAATCCGATCTTCTGGATAATGTTTCCCACCTTCTCAATGCCCAATTTTCGCACATCCGGAGACATCCAGCTAGTCTGGTCCAGTGTGAAGATGAATCGCTCCTTGATATCCGAAACGATCTGATCGCCAAGTTTTTTTGAGTCCTCAGAGAACGCATCGAGCACATAGAAACGGCTGAGACTCCATTCAAGCCCTTCATCCAGACGCCCAAGGCATTTACGCCATCGCTCCTCCTTGGCCTGAGGCTCTTTGCCGGCGAGTTCATTCTCGAATCGCCGAAGAGGTTCAATGGAGGTATCCTCAATAACATCCGCAAAGGCTTGGATGAGCTTCCACTGCAAGAAGAGCAGAATGGTCTCTCTGGGTGTATCTTTCAAGAGAACTGACAATGCCCTCATATAGGAAGGCGACCCAACAATTAGGCGATCACCTTTGTAGTCGTGCGGCGCCAAAGATGAAATAATATCAGCAAAAGAGATCTCAGGTACCAGTGCCTCCGTTTCCTTGACACTAAGGGGGTTGTAGTATTTGGTGACATCTTCCTGGGTTTGGGTGTCCGGAGTTATGTCCGCAAGCTTCTTTTCAAAGGCTACAACATCCTCGGCAATTTTGTCGAATCCATCTCCAGCAAGTCCCCGAACAACTTGCTTCAAAACGGTTGTGTAGTCAGCCACGGTCTTTGTGTTATTATAGTACTCTCTTGCGGGAAGGCCGATTTCCCGAGGCGGTGAGATCATGATAACAACATTATCAGGGTCTCGATCGTCAGGCTAGAAGGGCCAATTAGTGGTGCCCACAAAGTATATGTCGAATAGACTTACAGTAACACCGGAAGAAGCCAGAGCCTCGACACCAGCGTTCGCCAGATACAACAAAGCACTGGTGAGTTGATCCTGCGCTCCTTTCACAAGACCTGCCTTTGCGGGATAGATAGTCTTCAGTTCATCCAGAATATTAGTCAACGGCTTGCTGCCCCGTTTGTTGGCTGTAGCCTCGTCCAAGCAAGCATCGTATGCAGCCTTGAGTTTCTTGAAATTGTCAGCATCAGATGACTGCGGCGGCTCTGTGCGCTCCAATATATGACGAAGTTTAGTCTGGGCATTCTCTTCCATGATTGTGCCTGCAAATATCGATCCCTGATCGGGCCGCATGTCATGGTGCTCCCTCCATCCACCGCAGACATATTGGTCAAAATCAGTGCAGGGATCTATGTTCTCATAGTTGGGATCCAGATTGTAGAGGATTTCGGAGGCGGCATGAATGCATTCTTGCGACTGGCAAAGCGGGGGAGCCTCGGGGTGCGGGGACGGGTTCTTTTCAGTAGACGGAGAGCCTAATCATGGATGGTCATGTTAGCGACGCATTCTAATAGGGAGAAGGGACTCATACCATGCGGTAAACCTAGATAGTAGATAATAATACCGGTAATCACAAAGATGCAGAGCCCTTTTCTCAGGGTTCTCGCCCAGCAGGGGCGAGTTCTTTGTAGCTTATTGTGACGGGTGTGCCTGGAAACAAAGTCATTGTCCTCGGAGTCGTAGACTTCGTTTATATCCAGAAGCGGACCCTTCTCAGACTGCATATGGGGCAACGAGTAACTAGTTGGAGTCACGTTTGCTATGGTCACTCAGGAGCTATTAGTACCTCCTCATAGCTTCATAGCTGCCGAACACGATGCGCTAATGAAGACATACCTAAATGATGGTGGAGCCGTTCTTGGAAATACTATACTGTTTCAAGAAGATGATGCTTATCCGAGAATCAAGGACTGAATAAGTGTTGGTGCGTATTACTTAGGCAACGAGGAGAGGCTGGGGTGGGAATGGCGTCACACTCGGGGTCCCCGGTGAATTCTTGGCGGCGCCAGCTGGGCTGCCTGGGCAGCTCTACCCCTGGAGCGAGCCCACCAATGATGACTCAGCAGGTTACATTCCCGCCCGGGCGGGGGCCGATCAACTATATATTAGCAACCTGCATTTCAGCCGAGCTATCGTTGGTGAGCATATTCGCTCAGGAAGCTTTTATCTTCTCCAATAAGCGAGGTCGCACCCGGGTGGACGCTGAGCGACTAGTTTGTGGAAAAGAAACCCTGGAAATGGGCTATTATCATCAATCAGCGCCGATCAATTCCTCGATAGTCAGATCTATCAACAGTCTTCTATGAATGGTCTATATCTGTCATAATTTGTCCAAGAGCGGTGTTGTAAAAACCAGGCTTTCTACGGATAAAACCGCACATACAGGTTAAATATCTGCCATGCAAGCCACGACAACTACGAGCCTCACCTCCAGGACTAAGAACCGGGCAATGTCCACGAGGTGCCCGGGCTGGGTAGGCGGCCTCGGGGGGTTTCTTAGGGGCTCAATCTTACACCGAGATCAAAAAAGTGGCAAGAGGTGAGCATGCATGGAAATAGAAGGGCCTCGAGCCAGACATAATCACAACAATGTGGATCACAGTCTAGCCAAAGGCCCATATGCATTGACGATTGCTAGGCTTGCCGAGCTGATCTCAGATATGGATCTACAGCCTGTGAGCTGCATACATCGCTTGAAGTCATCGAACAGGATCTTGAGCATCAGCTCGACTCCCTGTTGACCGTCATACTACAAAGGAAGTAAGTATACCCGCCTCTATCAAGATTATTAATGTAATAAGGAGCACTTACCGCGAGTCCCCAAAGTGCAGGACGACCAACCCAGCAGCATTCAGCACCAAGCGCCAAGGCTTTGAAAATGTCCACCCCAGATCGAATTCCACCATCAATATGAATCTTGATCCGCCCCCGCGCAGCTTTAGCACAGGCAGGAAGCGCATCAATTGTGGCCGGTGTCTCATCCAGCTGCCGACCACCATGGTTGCTAATGATGATACCATCACAGCCATATTCAATAGCAGTCTCGACATCTTCAGGGGTGAGAACGCCTTTAATCCAAATCTCCATTTTCGTGACGCTGCGCAACCACGGTATCTCCGTGGCCCAGGAATGGGAATCCGAGTTTGTCGAGCTAAACCCATCATCATGAGATTGTTGCTGTATCTCTGTAGATGTCCTTTCATACATCGGATACCCCAAGCCAACTGGAGGCATGAATCCATTCCGCCATTCATTCCAGCGCACCCCAAGTACGGGACTATCTGCAGTCAGAAATATAGCCTTGCAGCCCGCAGCCTCAGCTCGACGGACGATTCGTTCTTGTTTAGCTTTGTCGTTCATCGCGTAGAGTTGCATCACATGATGAATTAGTCCCACTTCTTTTCCAGCGACGGTGATCTCTTCAATCGAGTGATTAGCATAGGAGGAGACGCCCATATTGACGCCCAATTTGGCACAGGCTCGGCTTGTGGCCAGCTCGCCTTCTGGGTGAGCCATAACCTGCATTCCGGTAGGTGAGACACAGAGCGGAAATATGATATCTCGGTCAAAGAGGGAAATTCCAGTGTCGACAAGTGAGACATCTCTCAGAACTCTTGGTAAGAGACGGTACTTTCTGTAGGCAGCATAATTGTCGTGAAGTGTGACTTGGTTCGTTGCGCCGGAGTTGAAGAAGTCTATCTCTCCGTGTTAAAGATAAATATCCATGGCAACACGAGGGAAAGTCAATACATACCTCTTGCGGAGACGGGTAGTGAGTTGGAAGCCGCCTCCTCAAGGTCAGCTATTGATAATATTTTATTTGCCATTGCAAATTAGATAAAACAAGAGATATTGAGAGATGTGCACTGAAGGACACGACATCTTGATAGCTGCAGTCGACGTGAGGGGTAAATGTGGGGAGCCTTTTCCATCTCTACTATGTAACCGTGCCAAGCGCCCAACCACCTATACCAACCCTGGTATAGGTGGTTGGGCGCTTGGCACGGTTACTACGTAGGTTTACCGCTTGTCCCACCCTCTAGGAATGGACAGCCCATCGTTTAACGTAAAATTCAATTATTTTAATAAGCATTACAATGTATGAATCGCGAGCATATTGACATAAGAAAGAGTATATTGTGCCTACCTAGAACATGCATGTCTGGCTGTATGAAGTGCCCCTGCCCCCGCCACGACAGATCTGTTTAACGTGAAGCCCTAAGACTTCGTTGGACTACTATTGAGTATATGTAGGATATATGTAGGACTTGAAAGAACATCGCATTATAGCATCTTGCCAAAGCGCTGGAAATTGGAATACCTACTTGAATATTGGTTTTCTTTTTGGGTGGAGTGGGGAAGGGATCAAAAATATTTTGCCCTAACTCAAGGCTGTTGTATAGAGCATATAGCCGAATATTATATGCAGTCTTTCGCGCCACAATTAAGTTCAATTCTTGAGATTCAAGCGTGGAAAGCCAATATATACTCATGTCACACCTGGACAAAGTATTTACTAGAAAGTAATTCAAAAATAACGACACTAAAGATATATAAAACCGAGAAGGGCTGATATGAAGGGACCCTGGGATGTCAGAAGCCTTGCGTTCCATGTTTCATGGGGCCACTAGGATCGTCTAGTAGATGGTCTATCCCTATTTCTGCACTATGTTCTCTATAAATTACCAACGCGACTTGAAAATGTTGATATCCCAGTTATACTTGTCCAGGCATAGGAAGATATGTATCTGACTACAGTTTAGAAATCCATGACCAACCTTATTTGTGACTTGAGCTTGCATCCTCTTTGATAAGCTAAGATTAAGATAAAGGCTACTTGCTCACCACAGCCTCTTTTGATTTGGGCAATGTGCGGGGTTTTGATACTATAGTCCTCCATATCACCTTTTCCCATCAGACATCTGTGAGATTCCTGTGCATGATAGGCCACCTCCTCTTGATGCCAAGTTAGACCAAGACTTCCCCGGCTTTTCATGCCCTGCTCTGTTGCTTGGCATCAAGCGGAAAACTGAGGGGTAACCTTGGTAGTTCCCCAGGTTCTTCGATTGCCCATCTTGTTCCGAGGTCCTAGCAATGTTGTTGCCACTATGGTAGATAAGCTCGGTTAAGATCCTCTTCAAATATGCTCTTAAAGTACAGTCCATGTATTTACTCCCAATCCACACCACGGTTTTATTCTCTCCCTTTGTTGAAATATCAAGAAACCCATCAATTCGTCACAATGGCATCGATTTCGGCCAGCCCCCCAGAAGATGAATCTATGAAGAAGGAGAACTTGGAATTCATCCATCTTGAAGAACAAGAACTAGCACATTGCAATCCTAGAAATGAGTCCCCTGTGTATGGTATTGACGAGGCACATCAGAAAAGGGTTATGTGTGTCCCTTCTACATTCTAACATGGTCAACTAGCCAACTCTAATGTTCGAACTAGTCGACGAATTGATCTCCGCCTCCTCCCAATTCTTGGAATCATGTATTCCATATCACTTATTGATAGGACCAACCTCGGTCTTGCATTTGTAGCTGGAATGGAGCAGGATCTTGGACTTGACATCGGCAATAGGTATACGATCGTTGTTATGGTATTTTTCGTGGCATACATGTAAGCTCTTTGGTATTACCTAAAAACATCTAGATTCACTAATTTTCTAACTTTGTATCTACTTAGTATATTCGAGATACCCAGCGTATGTCTGCGCTCCTCAACCAGGAATCATCACTAATGGATTAAACTCAGAATCTGATCCTTCCTCGAGCTGGTGCAGCAAACTGGCTAGCGTTTCTTGGATTTAGCTTTGGAGTGATCTTGATCGGCATGGGTTTCACCAAAAGTTGGACCACAATGGTAGCTTGCCGAGTCCTGTTAGGTAAATGGATGTCCTCCTTTCCTATTCTACCTTAGTGACAGTTTGTCTTTTTTAGGTGTGATGGAAGCCGGATTTCTTCCAGGTATACCGAAATGGACTATGTCTCCAAGTTAAACACTACTAACTATACAGGTTGCACATATCTAATTACATGTTGGTACACGCGATTTGAGGTAGGCAAGAGGCTGGCCACTTTCTGGCTGGTTTCTGTTGTATTGAACGCCTTTGCTGCAATCTTTGCCTATGCCTTGACCCTGCTAGACGGGAGCTACGGTCTGAACGGATGGCGCTGTAGGTTGTTCACCTCCGTGCCATGAAAATAACAACGGCTGACTGCGATTACACTCTAGGGATTTTCATCGTCGAGGGTGCCATTACCAGTAGCATTTGTTTAATTGGCTGGTTCATCATCATCGATTTTCCGACTCAAGCAGATACGTTTCTCAAGCCGGAAGAAAAAGAATTCATCATCGCCCGCATAAACAACGACAGTGGAGACGCGGAAGAGGATCCAATTACCATAGAACGGGTTATTCATCATCTTAAGGACTGGAAATTGTATGTCTGGGCATTCAATCTCATGGCCTCCACCCTGCCCGGATATGCGTACAGCTACTTCAAGACAGTCATTCTCATGGGCATGGGCTTCAGCAACACACAGAGCCAGCTTCTCAGTGCCCCGCCTTACATTATTGCTGCATTCTTTACATATTTGGGTGGCTGGCTCACCGATAAATATCAAATCCGTGGGCCGGTGATTGCTGTCCATCAACTGCTGACAGCAGTGGGGATGTTGATCACAGCCTATGGCGGTGCAAGTGGGGCAAGGTACTTTGGAATATTCATGGGTGAGCTCTCAATCTTGTCATAATGGATTGTTATATATCTAAAGTTATACTCCAGGTGTGGGATTCCTACAGTTTTGTATCCCCGGTGTGCTCGCATTTCAAGCGAATAACATCACTTCCCACTCGAAGCGTGGAGTCGCATCAGCAACCTGTCTTATTGGCGGGGGTCTTGGGGGAATTATTGCAAGTGTCACGTTCAAGTCTGATGAAAGTCCGCATTATACTACAGGCATTTGGGTGACATTTGGCATTACAATGGTTAGCATATGCTTAACCCTGATGATGGACTTTCACTTTTGGAAAACAAACAAAAAGGCCCGGGAGACAAATGGCCAGATTGAGGGTATGGCAGGATGGTACTATACTCTTTGAGTATGACATACTGATACTGGAAAAATCGTGGAATCAATAGGAGCGTTCGTGGTTTGTGCTAGACAACCACATGACAACAGATCTTCGACTCTATGCGGTGATTTTATATTCCAAATTGCTTGCAAGTAACATCTTGTGATACTCCATATTCATCGCATGACCAAAACATAAAAAGCGCATGAAAAAGACTAGTCCTGCTAAGATAAACTTACCCTGTGGCTTTCCTTGTACCACTAGCTTCACAACTATATTTCCTCCCACCGATGCCCAATGAGTCCTGCGACCTCAATTGCAAGTGACCGACTCGAACTAAGGCTAACAAAATACAATGCGGCATCGATGCCATTGACCACAGCGCCCGTCGTGATGATTCTGACCCCGAACTGGTTCCGGCCAGCATCCAGATAGGAAACCTGGTCCGAGGGATTTTCGGGGACGATTCGAGTCCCTTTAGCACCGGGAGTTTGATCCACATAACGTTGGGTTGCATCTCGTAGCCCCGGGACAGCAAGACGGTGTGTGGTTGCGGTGAGGCCATCAAGCACACCCCGAAAAGCTAAGAAGTAAGATCCAATGCAGACGGCCAAGATGGTACGTTTCCGCACGCTATCTTGATCCACGTCTGATGCAAAACAGGTGATAAATTCGACAAGCTCCGATAGCTTCCCCTGCTCAGGTTCCACATGCGGTAGGATATTGCTTGGTCGTGAGCCAGGGACAATCAATATTTCATAGTCGGACAGGTGAAGTTTGGCTTCAGCAAGGGATATATCTCTCTTAACTGTTGCGTTCTCTTGGGATGTTGTGAGCTCATCCTTGGCGGCATAGCTCACGACGAAGTCCGAGTTGAAGAGTACTGCGACCGGACCGCTCACATCGAGAATGTTGAACCTGGGGAAGACAACTACTAGCGCTCTTCTCTGTATGTGACCCATTGTAAGCTTGCACGGAGAATATAAGACTCGGTTTTGCGAGGTGTACTAGTAGTCTTCTGGAATTCTTCAGTGACGTCACCGATTACATAAACTATCTCCCAATAGTCGAGACACCTAACAATTCATGGTATATACGGACTTGTGGCGTCACAATATGTTCAGTCATTGTAAAGAGAAATATGAATGGTCGATACTCGAAAGTACGCAGCTGAAAGCCCTACCTAACTCTCTGATATCTTCAGTGCGAACGCTTCGCATCTATTGCTCAAGTAAATGCTATTAATATTGTGAGCTTTCGTTTGGTTACTGCTTTACTCCGTACAAGTATTCTATTTAGTTGCTGACAGAAACCGCGCCGCCATCAGTTTATCTCATCCCCTTATGGAGAAGGATCGACAGACAATTATCACGTACTCCGTGTCTCTTCGCATGGGGACTAATAACGAGGTGGGGAGGGGGGAATACAAATAAGATATATATTTCCAACAGATCACGTTTGGGAGTATGCCGTATGTATCCCGGTCCTCACAATCCTGCAGGACCATAGTCTAAACATAGACCCATCAAAACGGCCACTAAAAACGGGCATAGTTCTCCATGTTTCATTTGGTTTTTGCTCCTTTTACGCTCGAAAAGAAATCCCGAACAAATGGAATCTCCCCATCTAAACTTGACGAGTACTATGCGGTACTAGGTATATCAGCTCCGGAGCTATTCCTGAACGACTGACGCTCGGACGTTGAAAAACCAGAAACTGGACCTGCTGCCAAATGCTGATCGACAACGTTTAAATTGCTCGAGTCCCATCCAACGCCCCTGAATAGTTTGGCATTTGGCCATTGGCAGGTTTACCGTTAACTTTCGCACCGGCTACTCGTACAGCAGTTGTACATAGTCCCTGCATATGTACCCCGTAGGTAGGTATATGAATAGATGGGAAGCTAATATTAGATGGTCTTTTGGAGTGGAGTTTTTGTGTGTGGCGTCTGGCTTCGACGAACCTAAACCCAATTTATGCACATGTATCCTGTCTTCCAAGGTTGGCCAGGGAATTATATTGCAAAATCTTTAGAGAAGATGGATCTGTTGTGTATGTAGTACATAGTTATACAATATACTACACATGTAAGGCATCTAGGGTTGTAAGCTCCTTGATTTGCCATGGTGATAAGGCTTAGGATTTCGGTGTGAAGATTTGCCAGAGCTTCATGATGCCAGTGGAGCACCCATTATGCATAAATAAAATGACAGAAGATCAGTATAAAAGTCGGTACCTCGGGTATGCCTTCCGATTGCCAGAGAAAAGACACGCCACACGTGGAAAACTCCTCGGATGTTGCATGTGGAGACAGAACCCAATCTCGGGCTTTGAGCATGCGACCCGTGGGCTCCTCTTTTGCATCAGTAAGCAGCAGCTGGTAAGCATCTGGCTGGGGGAAGGTCGACCCACCCACCGGGTACTCCGTACGGAGATATGTGCATCCCTCTCCGGGATGGCGAATCCTATATCATATCGGGCCACGGAGAATTTTCGTTCGCTGATGCGAACTAGGCTGGTCTAGGTTGATCCGGATTCATCCCATGCGAAATACAACCTTGTACGGAGTACTCCGTACTCCGTATATTGTTAGTATTCCGGGTAAATGTGACATGGCTTTTGGGAGGCTAATCGATCCCCACAGGTGCATTTGACCAGTCCCAAAAGGATCACCCCCTGCCTTAGTACGGAGTACATAGCACGATGGCGTGGTGAGATTGCCCGCAATTAATGAAAATCATATCTCGAAACTGGGGACTGCGAACCGCCCGTAGAATGGGGCAATTGGTCTTTGTTTCAGACCCTCTTGGCAGGCCTGGAGTGCTGAATGTTGCGGGGTTGCATAATACCTTGCAGAAGTGAAATTCGTGTTGAGCACAGTTGGTCATCTCGCAATCCTCATTACGAGTCAAATCCAACCTACTCCAAACAAAGGACTGGCTTCCGCAGCTTCATCTGCGGCTCAAATACGGCAGAAATTATGTGCTGTGGGGGCGAAGCGAAATGATACGAAATGGTACGGTCCACCGAACATCTGTTTCTCTTGATGGAGCCCTTCGGAATGTTCCTGATAACGTGGAAGTGAGCGAGTGTTGGATTTGAGCTCTCTGATTGGTTTGTGCGGAACCCCCTAAGCGCTGTAATCCGGTGCTTGCCTTAGGTCCGTCTGAACCTCGGCAGAACTGTCGTTGTAGATGTACTCCGTATGGATTCTCTTGAGGAATCTGACTCTCAGGGGGAGCTCCAGTGGACGGAACCAACACCTCTGTAGGAAGTGGAGAAGAAGAGCAAGATGCCCATAGTGATCCAAGCAGACCCTTAGTGTTAAACCGGGACAGGAATCCGCCAACGTTTCAGAACGGCCCTTGCATTGGCACACCCATGCGGGTTTCAGCACCTTCATGTCGATCGCCAGAGCTTTGCATTCCAAACTGACTTGGCTAATGCACCATTTAGTACTCCGTACATTACTGTGTCCTTTCGCATTGCGTACTTCGTACATCGGATGTTGTACATGTTTCCATGCCATTTTCTTCCTTTGAAAAAAAATTAAGAAAAAGAAAAAGACAAAAACAATTCGATTGTTCCAGAAATCCTCCTGATTGGACCATCGCGTGGGTGTACCCGAAGCACTTTCAATAGTGCAATTTGATAGGATCTCTAGGTTTTTTTTTCCTCTCTTTTTGTCTCCTAACTGTTAAAGATATAATATCAGAAAAAGATAAAGAACAATAGAAGAAGAAACTCCAGTATCTGTTTACCAGATGTTGATAGGTTCCAACTTGTAGACGTTGCAGACAGGGGTCGAGCCATGGTGGATCGGCCTAGCGGCCCCCCCCTGGGAACAAAGTGAAGATTTGGACGGAGTAAAGCCTTTGTATTGAAAAACAAAGAGAAGATCGTCAAAAGAAAATAGGATAAAGAGAGGAAATAACGGAAATAACAAGGAAGAAGAAACATATACATATGTAAATATTCCTTTAAATGTTTCATTCCAGAGAGAATACCTAAAAATACTCTAGATACCAAATATTGACAGACACTGAAGTCAAAGATACCGAAATAAGTATACAGAATACCAGAATATCTGACAGGAGCTGATCACCTCTCCCCGCTTGTGGACTCTCGCTCGTGGGACGGGAAAGACGTACGACCGGCCTTGAATGCGCCATTCCATTTCTTCCATTTCTCGCCCCCTCTCTCTCCCCTCCGGAGAACTCGGCCCTCAGCTTCCGAAACGTCCTTTTGTCCTCAGAATTCGGGAAAAGCCCATATTTTGAACTTTGGAACGCGATCTCGGCTTCCCCCGTCACCGCCAACGTCTTTCCCCCTCAAGCTTCCTATTTGGCCTTCGGCAGGCTGACGTTGTGTCGCTCACACGAATTCGGCGCCTGTCTCGGAGGATAACCTAGTGCAATTGCAAACATAACCGCCCAATTCGCAACGGAACGTGGTCGATAGGTGTGGGGAACAACGGAAGCACCGATCGAACCTTTCAAGCTTCTGCCTATCACGTCGCACGCCAGTCATTCGACGTTAGGTTGGAGTTGAACTTAGACATAATACAGGGGAGGATTTTTGCTCTTTTTTGAAGGTGGGCACATCTACCACCTTGCGCGGAGAATCTAGTCACCTGTCGAGTCTGGTAGAGTCTAGTCGAGTCTTTTGTCTCTGAGCTTCGACTGGACTCCCGTGTGGCGCAATCCAATCGCATCCCTGACTCAAATCAAATACACGTCGTTGATCCGTCGAGTCCCTTGTTAAACCAGTTCAGCTTGCAATGAACCGTTGCTAACCACCATCGCGCTAGGTAGTTTGTCGTTACCGGACGTAAACCATGGGTTGCTTAGTTTCAAAGCCCCAGGAGGCTGATAAGGATGCTTTCCAGCGCAATGCGCGCATTGACCGGACTATCAAGAATGACAAGAAGGCGCTGGACCGAACCATCAAGATCCTGCTATTAGGTGGGTGATTCTCGGTCGCTGATTGTCGGCTCGCTTCAGTGTCGCGTTACTAACAAAATGCTCAGGAGCGGGAGAGTCCGGCAAATCCACTATTATCAAGCAGATGCGAATCATTCACAGCCGGGGCTTCCCCGAGGAAGAGCGTCACCAAACCCGTGCCATAATCTACTCGAATCTCGTCATTGCGTTCAAGGTTTTGTTGGATATCATGAATGCCGAGGATATCGATTTCGAGAACGAGGAAAAGACCAAGGTACTAACCACCCTTCTCCTCAAGAGACTGACATCAGCTAATGAGGGTTGAAAGCCATTTGCGGACCTATTAGACAATACGGACCCAGATGTAGGGTCCGACGAAGCCTTCTCCGATCCCGAGGTTCGCGATGCGATGAGGGCCATTTGGAAGGATGAAGGTGTGCAGAAGGCCGTTGCACGGGGGCATGAATTTGCTCTCCATGACAACTTGCACTAGTAGGTCGAATTGGCGATACATTACAGAAACCTAGGCTGACGAAACTCAGTTTCTATGAATCTCTCGATCGCATATTCACTCAGGGCTGGCTTCCTGATAACCAGGACATGTTGCAGGCTCGACTTCGGACAACGGGTATTACGGAAACTCTGTTTGAGCTCGGGCAGATGAACTTCCGCATGATGGATGTTGGAGGACAGCGGTCAGAGCGGAAGAAATGGATCCATTGCTTCGAGGGTGTCCAATGTCTGTTGTTCATGGTCGCCTTATCTGGATACGACCAATGTCTGGTTGAAGACCAGAATGCTGTAAGCACGATTTTCCCAATCTGCTCGCTCGCGCCGCTAACCACATTTACAGAATCAAATGCACGAGGCCATGATGTTATTCGAATCACTAGTCAACGGCGAATGGTTCAAGCGCAAACCAATCATTCTATTCCTCAACAAGATTGATCTGTTCAAAGGAAAACTCGCCATCTCCTCTATCTCCAAGCACTTCCCAGATTATACCGGCTCTGACACCGACTATGATTCCTCGGCACAGTACTTTGCAGACCGCTTCCGTGGCATCAACCGCATCCCAGACCGCGAAATCTACATCCATTACACTAACGCAACTGATACAACACTACTCAAGGCGACTATGGATTCAGTACAGGACATGATCATTCAGAAGAATCTGCATACCTTAATACTATAAGGCAGAGGCCCTCAAATTCCCGAGGCATTCCCCATGACCGTCTGTCTGTGACGATGATTTTTTTTTTCTCTCTTCATTTCCTATTTCTCAAGATCTTCAGCCTACCAGTTATTTACCGGTTGCATTCCAGGGCGGCTACTATTCGTTCCCTGCTTCGTGGTCATTACCATCTCATTTTCTTTTCTCTTCTTTTCTTTCTTGTTTTTTTTAACGAGGCGTCTTGACTGAGAGGTTGTTGTCTGCTCTCTGCTCACATCATTGGGTCTATCACGTTGCATCCAAAAGCCTATCCGATTTCGCCAACTAATGCCCACGCTTCGGTTTAGCGACTGTGTCGTTGCCACCCCCACCTTTCTCTTCCCCTTTTTTTGTTTTAACGCAGAGTGATACCATTTGTTTGTCTTTGCAGCTGTGTTTACTAACGACTGCTCTGTATTATCACAATCATTCTGGGTCTTTATTTACTATATCTTATCTCTGAATGAACTCGATATCCTGCTCTCTTATGAGCACTTTTTTTTCACTCTTCGGACTCCAATCTCAATGTAGTTTCAAAAAATAGGTTTAGTTATCAAGCCCTAGGCCGCTTACCATCAGATTCCTTGCTGTATATCACTCGACATAGACCATTTCTCCAGGGGTGCACTGCATAGAACCCTAGAATCCAAGAATAAACCAGATTACTCGACGAAATCCCACGGTCAATATGTATAGAAGACGGGCTTCCCCCCCCCCCCCCCCCCCCCCCAATCGAGTCGAATATCACGAGTTCAAGATTGCCCAGGGTGTTCATGAATGTACGCCTTAGGCATCAATCTTACATAAACATCCGCATGATCAGTGACCCCGAGTTCCGGGCCGACTGATTTCGCCTCCGGTTCAGACTCATTCACCTCCCCAGTGACTGGGTTATCTGCCAAACATGTTGTCAACATCCCTACGCCGGGCGGCATGGACTCCCATGCCGCTTCCTGGGATAACTCGCTCCGGTCAAAACCTTACCAGCAGCTTGCTCGGCGCAACCCGACCTCTGCACCAACGCCGGTATTCCTCCTCATCCTCTAAACCGCCCGTCCCGCCCAGCGATGGCTCCCGACGAATCGACACCTCTGCCCCGGCGAAGGGAGTCAACTCGTCTAGCGAGAAGAGCAAGGCTAACCGCCGTCGGGGGAAGGACAGCTCTACCCGAAACGGATCTTCAAAGTCTAGCCAACATACGGCATTTTCCAACCTCCCAAGTGTTCCCTCGACACAGCACCGACAGCCACATGGTTAGTTCTCAAACCCCAGCCAGCTCCTTATATAATTTTATCTCCGCAAAGAAATAGCCTGAAGCTAACTTTTCTTCTTCTTTGTTCGCTGCTAGATGTCCATGTAGCATCGTTCTTCTCCATCCACCGGCCAATCTCGGTGACGACTACTGTGCCCCCGACCTCAAGCACCGATGCCTTCGAAGCGATCTTCTCGTCAAAGCGGCCTTTGAAAAATGAGCCAGAGGACGTCATCTTCACTCTTTCCTCCGCCGTGCAGTCGATGGAAACTGGCTCTCAGGGCGTGTCAGAGTCTGAAGACCAGTTCCGAAGCTTCAGCGAACAGGACGGCGAACTCCGCATGCTGGATGGCCCCGACGCAAAGTTGTCCGTAGAGGAATTCACCCGTCGTCTTCGCCCATTCCAGCCTCCTCCCCCGCCCGTCCCCATGGACACATCCGCTGCCGAGACTGCTGAGATTGCCGAGTCCACCGATGCTCAGATTGACAACGAGTACCAGACCTACTCGACCGTCCTGACTATCCGCGAGGCTCGTCACGCCGACGGCCGCAAGACCTACGAGGCACACACGGGACCTTTCGTTCGCAGCGGAGAGATGGAGGACCCATCTGATATGCGCGACGAGATCTCCATCGAGGCGCCCTCTGATCCCACCGCAGGTATGACATATATGGAACGTCTGCGCAACAACCGCACCATGCATGCAATCAGCACCATGAGACGGCGCAAGGCCAAGATGAAGAAGCACAAGTTCAAGAAGCTGATGAAGAGAACGCGTACCCTAAGACGGAAACTCGACAAGTAGACCCGTGCTTGAGGTTTCCTGGTTTACCTTTGTTCTTTTTTCTGTCAGTTGCATCTTGCCTGCGTCTGTGCATTTTGGGTCGAGGCTAGTCTTGTAAGAGAGAGTTCAGGGCATATATCCTTGTTTTCATACATTTTTTTTATTACTTTCCCGTTCTCCTTTACCTATTCTCTCTCGCCGATACTCGATCAAATATCCACACATACCTCTTCTCCGTTGGTCTTTTTGCTGTACTTGCGCAGAAGTAAGTGCGGTCTTTGGCTTCTTTGCTATGAGGGCATTAAATCTCCCCATGCATTGCAGTAACCCAATAGATCTCCATTACTCGATTTATGTTATGGCGCTGCTGCTGCGTTGTCTGATTTGAGTGTCTGATTTGAGTGTCTGATTTGAGTGTTTGTTCTATTTCAGTAAATATGATTATGTCGCAATAGAGGAGGGAATGTCTCGACTTGATACCGTCATTTCCTATAAAATTCCTCCCGAAAATTCCAATACCCGGGAAGATCTATACATATTCCAAGAATTGGTCTATGGGTGACAATGCCGTAAGACAGAATGCACGCATCGGGGTTTACTGTCCTATCAAACCCAAACCCTAAGTGACGAGGCCACTCGATCAAAAGAATTACACAATCCCGAGATAGAAGAAACATATGTCTACAAGGAGGACAGAGGACGAGAAGTAAAGAAACAAGAAACTCCTTACAGAAGATCCTGCCAAACCACCATAATGGAAGAGAGGACGGAGACGCAAGTCCCGGATCAGCGAATTTCATATAAAGTACAGAGTCCAGCGCGTTGTCATGCAATGTAAAGTCAAAAAATCCAATATCTACCCACACCTATCCATCGAGTTCAGGACGAACGCTCGAACAGATTCCCCGATTCTACATCCACTCAATCATTGAATCTTCACTCTCAAACGGGCTGAAATCGATTTATCATTTTCCGATGTCATCCGATCCTGCACCCGCACCAACTTTATCAAGTCAGCTTCCCCAGCCGAAGAGACACATTGGTTTGCGTCGGGGAAATGTTGAGAATGCACATCCGGGAATGAACTAGGAATCGCGTGCGGTCCATGGGGCGATTTGAGGTTCCATTCCCGGAATGCGGCGAGAGGTCTTTCGTTTAGCAGACTCCTTTTGAGCGGGAGTTCATGAGAAGGGCAACGATCAACCCGTACAGACCTGCGAGGGGGGAAGTGGTTAGACACAATTATCCATATTGGTATGGGGAGCAGCAACGACTTACCCAAGACTTCAGCGAAAATGAGAATCAGAATCATTCCGACATATAGTCTAGGCTGTTGAGCCGTTCCACGAACACCCGCATCACCAACAATGCCAATAGCGAAACTGCAATCCGAGTTAGGAACAAAGTTCTAGAACAATGAGTCGCAAACTTACCCTGCAGCAAGACCAGCCAGACCAACAGACAGACCAGCACCGAGCTGGATGAAACCAGTGTAGAGAGGAAGCTTCTGGGTCAAGTCGTTGGCGACCAGGACTGATACCACAAGACCGTAGATACCAATAATACCCGCCATGACAATGGGGACAATATCTGGAAACCGAGTCAGCTAATTGTTGCCATATTCCCTTGCGCGACGCTAGGAATATCTCATTGCCAGATCGGCAGAGGTCTTGATGAGATCGACGTACTCTTAACGATCAGGTCGGGGCGGAGGACGGCCATGGAGCAAACTCCGACACCAGCCTTAGCAGTTCCATATGCGGCACCGAAGCAGGTGAAAACGATAGCGGAGGTGCAGCCCAGCGCACCGAAGAAGGGCTAAAGGAAGAAATATATCAGTTATCATTCCAATGCATTGTGAGCAGGTGGATGACGCGGAGGGGCCGAGACACGGGCGATTGGCTTGGTCGTGCTCGGGTATCGGGATCTAGCATATAATAAGACTCACCGCATAGACGGGGCTGTCAAAATCCAAATGTTAGCAAGGCTGATCCGTAAATTCTGTAGAATGACGGGCTTGATAGCAAGGTGTCGATCGGAAGCTGTCGAGCACCCAGGGGCTGGAGAGAGGTCTGGCTGACGACTTACCAAAGTTCAGTTGCCATTTTGATGAAAGACGACCCGACGAGGTTCTCGTAGAGTAGTTTGAGCTTTGAAAGGAAATAAAAACACCCGAGGTCGGCAGCTCAGTTGGATGCGGTCGGGGAGGATGGAGAGTCCAGAGGCTTGGAGGTCGACGGCAAACATGCTGGCCTCTCTGGGTCACGTGCAATGTCTTGGCATATCCACCGGGACAGGTAATGACTAGTCAACTACAGCATAACTATGTGACATGTATAGATCCAGCTGTGGTGGGTTTGTTCAGTTGATTATGTATTGCATTATTGTAAATGTATCATTTTGTTTATACAGTTTCGAGGACAACTCGAGATCCTGGAATATTCAACTTCGTGGAAGACTCCGACATCATTTCTCCTTTGATGGGCTGCGAGTAGGCAATCGCCTTCTCGGACAATGCTCCAAAGGTATGAGGTAAAGAAATGATCCCATTGCTATCCTCATCCGTTTCATGTGTCTCAAGTTCCATGGAGTCAGCTACCATTCCAAAGTGATAGCTGATAGGCTCTTCCTGCGAGTCATGATTGCTCGAAACTTTGACCTGTGCCCCAGTCGGTTCTACCGACACAAAGAACTGAATATAATCACCTGCGGTAGCAACCTGTGAAAGTAGAGATAGATCATCTACAGTAATCCCTTTATCAATAGAAGGGAGTGTGTCCAACTGTGCGGTATCAGGATCAAAAACATGACTCAATGCGACAAGATCGTCTCGGTTGGCAGTCCCCGAGAAGCTGGCTTCGGGATCCAGCGAAAGAAGGCCTTGCTTCTTTCCCCATCCACCTCCACCGCTCATGACACGGTGCAATTTCCCACCTTGGTGCAGAGATTGGATCAAGCGATCATGGGCAGTTGAACCTGAATCAGCCACCTCCAAGTCAGGTTTCTCGACAAGTGCCCATACGGATACACGCTGGTCAACGATATTATGTTCTGCGATATAACGTGGAAGCTCCTTCTCGAGCTCCGACGAAGCAGGAATTGTGTCCGTCGAGGTCGCATCCGTCGATTTTGCTAGTTGCCGTAAAATGTTTCCCATGCTAGTCATGACTCTTCGTCGTTCAGTCACTGGATGCAATGGCAACTCCAATGCGGTATCGACAGCCTGGGAAGTGGCTGTAATCATGCAGCTTGTGAAATCGATCGAATTGTCCAAAGCATATCTGTTTGAGGTTTTATCCCAAAGCCAACATGTACCAAAGATTGTTGTTTCTCTCCCATTCACAAATATAGTGTTCGCCAGGCGCAATCCAATCTCATGCGCAGGTCCCTTGCTGGTTTGACCAGTCACTTCGGTTTGGAATGAAAACAAGAGATTGGTTTCCTCGCTGGCAGAGCTTCTAATGAGACGGGGTGGTGCAGCCTTTGCCTGGACACCTGATTGCCCTACTGTCAGAAGCGACAACCCTTCAGACTCGCTTAAATTTGGGCTTTCGGATGTAGTATTCGGGAGTGCGTCAACCACGGCTGTAACGGCATAGAGAGTATCGTTCCCTGGGGAGTTGCCGTAAAGGCGACTGAGGAATTGCGACAAGAAAGGGCTAGAGGAATCAAGCCAGTGGGCGAAGTTTGGGGTGACGAGGAGGAGAGGGACAGAAGCAGGCGCAGCTGCTGGGCTCACTGGCCCTGAAGGAAGACTGGACAAAATATCATCTGGGGTCTTACATTATTTAGCTTGAATTCCAAAAGTGTAGAAAGATTGATTTTGCTCACTGTCTCTTCTGCTGTCTTTGTGAGCCAAGTGTATGCAAAAGGTCGCCCACCTTTGGCCAGGTTCTGTGTTGCGTACCATCTATTTGCACGACCGGGGCTTCTAGAGGCTTTGCATGAGTCTAGAAGCTGCCGCCGTCCGGGATTGAGGGCTACCCTCATCTGTTTGAATCTCATTGACATTGAGATATCAACGTCAAAGCTGGTCCAATTAGGAAAACGCCAAAGTCATTGCGGAGGATAGTGGGTCAGTCGCGGAGCGGAACATCTGTTTTCACCGCACTCCGAGAGATCACTATGTACAATATAGGATAACTAACTAGTTACTATAACACAACATACTTGACATGAGCTTCGGATTGATTTGTTCAAAGTTGAGCTGAGTTTATTCTTGTTACGAAGCAAATAGTGACGAAGTCCTCCATGTAGCACGCTAACCCCATTTAAACAAGAGCCTCGGAAGACTGCGGACCATCCATGGATATATTATTCCTTGGTTACATATGTATACAGAGAAAAATCATTAGCACATTTTATGCATTTTACCGGATTTTCATATCTCTAGCTGTAAAACTGACAATGGAAAAAGACCTCCAAAAAAGACATGGCAAGGCCCCAAAAGCGGCCGACTTTTCTTGTTCAAAGCCTTGGATAAATTAAAAAATATTGACGATGAAGCGAGATATTCATGGCAGTCCGACTATAATCATACCCCAATGGTACTGACTGTCCTTGTCGTGCTGAGCCTGTCGAGAGAAAAAGTGCCGCTGTTACCAAGCCCAGCCATGCATCAACTGTGTGCAAAGGAATATCCAATGTGAATACTTTGTACAAAGCCCCGAGAGCCCCGGAGATCAGAGGGCTTTTCAAATACCGGCTCCCACTAGCACAGACCGAACAGCTACAGCCCCGGCCATCAAGGCTTTACCTCAGTGAATATCTCGTTGGCGCACTTATAGGCAGGACATACCAAGACGTTCTTGGGAGGTCCCCCAAAAGGTACCTATATCTTCTAACCGAAGTATATGAACGCAAATTATATAACCCTAGGTCCCTAGCATACCAGAGGCTAAGGCTCAAAAGACCAGGGTGCTTGCCGTTTACAAGACGCTGGAGAAATTGAAAGGGAATCTAGATCACTGGTTAAGAAGAACATGCAGACGCCGCTGTCAACACTTCAAAAGCAGCGGCCCTAAACACCAAGTCTGCAGGGTGGGTCTCTTGCAGGAAATAAAGAACCACTTGTAGCGACTCGCGAAACACTAGACTCACTGCAAGTGGGGACTTGACCGATGACATTGGGGAAGGTGGTTGGCAACAGTTTTGGTCGGAGTTTGTGGCTGTCGCGCCAGATCTAGACATCCCGCAGTGGAACTCCTTGTTAGACGATGTTGAAATTGGCTGGAAAACGATGTATAAGCCCGATTTGATCAGTCTATTAACCACTCTGTATAATATGAGTAATAGTAATTTTCCCTCTAAATTTGGCGTAGAACGCATCGACATAGTCGACTGCCTCAATGCTTATCTCTTTGTTGTGTCGCTAACAATTGTGCCCAGCCACTTTTCTGTTTCAGTGAAGTCATATAAACGCCAACCATATGCCGATACCAGGCGCCTTGGCAGGTGGGGGCAAGGGCCCATCATAGGGCTGAGCTGTCTGGCCACGACGTAGGGGGTTTTGGCGCCACAAACTGTACAAAATACAGCAAGTACTTGGCACACCTAACCAAGTAAAGATTCACGCCAAAGTTAGAAGTGACGGTATTTGTAGAGATCGTCACCATCATGAGACTTAGACTGCAGGATGGGCGCATAGCTACATTACAATGTACATGTAGGTAAGATAGAACCCTGTACTGTACAACATATACAGTCAAAATATAGAAAATAAATAAAAAACCAGAAAATGGAAAATTGGAATGCAGGCTAGTTCCCAGCGCCAAGTTTCCTCCAGGCAGCGAGCAAAAGAATGAACGGGATAGGTGAAGAACCTTGGGGGGAGTTGTCACAGCCGCCAGCACAGAAGATCATTTCTTGGCAACTCTGGACAGAAATAAATATTGTAGTGAAGTGACCAAGTTAAAATTAAAATACATAAGAAAAACTCAAAAACAAAACAAAACAAAACAAAACACCCTTTGGTCATAAGTCTAAGCCACATTTGTAGCCTGTTGGTGCCTTGATCTGCCAAAACGGTAGTGTTTTTCCAAGGGTTTTTTTTGTCTTTTTGGTATGAGCCACAGGTGGGCCATGATGTAATGACCCAACCTCACTTGTCTTCTCCTTTTAAGACTTCCCTCCCTCCACTTTCCTTCCCATTTCCCCATTAACATCTCAAACCTCCATCAAATCTGCCCAAAATGCCTTTCACCGCTTCGTAAGTTGTCCATTGTCTATGGGCTATGGCTTCTACAGTCCTAGCTTCCGCCCTGTCACCTTGTCACCCTGTCATCCTGTCACCCTGTCACCCTGTTACTCCGTTACCCCGTTACCCTGTTACCCTGTCACTCTCATTCTCCGACATCCAGGTCGCGCTGTTGCCTGTAAGTGAGACTATGTCCAGTGTGCTAATATTGTCAACAGTGACATCTGCAAGATCATCTTTGCCATTATCCTGCCTCCTCTGGGTGTCTTCCTGGAGCGCGGATGTGGTGCTGATTTCCTGATCAACATCTTATTGACTATTCTGGGATGGATCCCCGGTGTCATCCACGCAATGTATGTGTTTATTTGATGAATTTGCAACCTCTCGCGACAGCTACTGACCATATTGCAGCTACATTATCTTCAAATACTAGAGATACCCACCTTCCACACACCTTCGCAACTCAAGACTTTCCAAGACTAATATCCCTTGGAAAGCGATGCACTGCGACCAATTTCACAGCCCTTGCTCTTGTCTTACGCTTTGAGTAAGGGTCGGTGCGATTCAATATCCTGAGTCGGTGTCAGCGTGATTCCGTGGAGGTCCGGTTGAGACTAGCCTAATGCAGCCTCCACCACTTGGCATCGGGTCCGACGCGAGTCCGACATGATGTCCATAATTCCCTAATATTTTGTGTGGTCGCATGGTTATGTTTTATTTTGCTTCTTTTCCTTTGTCTTGCTCGATACTGCGGGTTTTTGCTTTTTCGTTATGAATGATACCAGCTCATACGGTCCGACTTTGCGTTGTTTCGTACCAATGCCCGCCGTTGGCTAGTTTTTATGATTCATGGGAATGAGAATCTTTTCACTATAAACCACCGAGTTCCTTGTGCGTAGGGAGAGCTCAAAAGAACCTGTAGATTGGATGGTTAAGTACGGAGTACTCTATACAGTACCTAGAATCCCTCGTAACTGGCAAAATAGCAAACCAAACAATATTTGTTCCTAACATAATGAGTCTTGTGGACCTCAGCCACGTCTCCATTTAAATAGGTCAAGTGATTGATTAGTGCAAAGCATTGCATGAGGCGGGTGCAACTGCTCCGTAGACTGTTCCGAGGACATACCAGGGTAGCCCATCAGCAACTACCGAAAACAAATCAAACAGGTAACGCGACAGGAAGAAGGTGATTTTGGCCACTTAGATCATTGCGCTTCCGAATCTCTGAGCGAGTCGAAGTGTTCCAGAAACCCTTAAATAAATCATCGTCAGGCGGGTAACCTGCAACTAAAGCGAAACCAACCACAACGCTGTACAGAGCACAGCATTGAATTGCCCAAAACAACAGTTCCCAGTCACTTATCCACTAAGTTTAGTTTGAGAAATCTGAAACCTAGCCCGGCGCCATCCACAACTCGTTCTGCAGCCTAAGCGCTTTCGATGGCCCGGCGCGTATCGGAGCCGCTTACTGGGCCCCCCATCCGGACAGGGCGCTTTACCACTACAGCGATTCGTCTCTTGGGGGATCTTACTATTTCAAATATCATGCGGTTTCACTCTAGCGCCTATACATACACAGCCTCAAGCACTGTGTTTCAGAATGATGTCGAAATGCAGATACTTGACCCCAACGGTCAATGGGCGTCATGGACAGTTTTGCCTCGCGCCTAGAATGATGTCGCGCTCTGCCTTCGTGTTTAACTAGATTGGAGTCCCTCTTTTGGCTGTTTGTTTGGCATTTACTTCTTCTTGGCTTTGTATACTTGTTTTGCTACCTTCACGCCATTTGCTATTCAATTCGCAGACACATCTACCAACTATGGTAACCACATGTACAAGGTTTCACGGGTAATCACTCCCATGCAGGAATATACAAGGTTAGTTAATGGGAGAAGCGTACATGATAGATCGTCGCTCATGGTAAACGTGTATAGGGCTACCGCAGAATGCTCCTCCTTCCTATCCACAGGATACTCATCGCGATCCTCCTCTTACTCGCACTCTGCTCTGCTGCTGAAGATACCTCCAGCGATGCATCAAACTCAGCTCTATATGACATGGTCCCGGATTGTGCTAAGGACTGCGTTGATAGCTTCATCAAGTCCGAATACACACCCATGGAATGCACGTCACCTTCCAATATCAAGTGCCTTTGCCGCACCAAGACAACTAGTAGCTTGACCTTGGGGGAAGCGGCTTTGAGCTGTGTTCTGTCTGTATGCTCACAGACAGTTATCGCAAAGTCAAAGGCTTATCACATATGCGACTCGGTATCTGAAGCCCTTCCGAAAACACACCAGACGATTACCGCGACCGTCTTTTCTGATACGAGTACCACAGAGGCGAGTGATGCAAAAACGACCACAGAGACAACATCAACTAGCTCCATTTCGACAACTGAACACACTTCGGAGGCCTCTGCGACAAAATCTACAGCGACATCGGCATCGACACCGACGTCAACACCGACGTCAACCACCTCCAGTCAAACCTCTGAAATCACATTCTATGATGCTTCTTCATCTTCAGGTTCTCAAGTGGAACCAACATCCTCTACCGGACAAATTTCCAGTGACTCTTCCGAAGATACGAATAAGAAAGGTGATCATGGTATCACTCCAGCGGCGATCATTGGGATGTCAGTAGCATCAGGTGTGGCAGGGTCTTTCATCATCGGTGTTGCTGTGTTTTTCTGCTGCAAGAGATGGCGACGAAAACAGCGGGAACAGACAGCGCCACACATTTTCGAGATTGGAGGCGCCATGTCTGAGCCTTCTGATTTTTTGAAACCCATGCCACGACTCCCAACAGAAGGTTTGGGTCTAGGGTCTTCATACCACTCAACTAGTGACCGCGAGACAATGTTACAGCGGCCACGTACTTTCCATTCAATGGAAAGCGTTCAACCACTATCACGATACTCACCGCAATCCGCCACGGTACATCACTTGGGCCAGAGCAAAGAACCTAAAGACCAAGAACGAATAGGGTTTGCTATTAGCTCCGATTCGGACTGGGAAACTTCGCCCCGGACACAATCGTCACAGCACAGCGTAGCACGACTACTCCCAGATCCTACAGCTGGACTATATCCAAAGCCGTTGAAGTGGAGTCATCGGCCACCTAGTGGAGAGACTCTCTTTGAAGAAGACGAAAGTCAACATGCAGCGGCGGCAGCAGCAGCAGCGGCAGCAGGAATGATGCAAAACAACTCCCCAAGGCCAGGTATCCAGCCGAAACTCGCAGGGCTGCCAGCCAATCCACGCGCATTCAAAAAGGAATTCCCAACAGGCAACTACAAACGAAGATCTGGGGCCCGAAGTGCCCTAGCACCCCCATTCAATCCCAATACAGCCTTCAGAACCTCCTCATCAGACAGTAGCGCTGCACCCAACGAAATCTCCGAAACTTCACAACCCTCCTACTCCTCCATAAACCGAAACATCCTCCTCGCCGCCCCCGTCAACACCCCCCATGTCCAACCTCAGAACCGCAGCCTGTCACCGGGACGACACGCGCCTCAAGCCTGCCCCGCCCCATCATCATCATCAACCCTCCCTCCAGGCTCGGAGATAGTATCCAGGCCGCGGATCATACGTGGAAACGACATCAAACGTGTCCAGATCCGCAACAGTCCACGACCGCCTAGCGAAGTCGTAGCGCCATACTGCCCCGATGACCTGTGGCTGGAGCGTGGACGCGCCCTCGCGCCGCCGAAGTCCCGGGAACCGTCTGGGGAACTGCCGTATCCTTCAGATATGTTTCCAGGTGCTGTGCATTATCCTGATAGTCCGAAGAAGAAGGTTGGCGCTGTGTCAAATCGGGTTTCTCCAACTAGTCGGAATTTGACGCCATCGAGGAGGGGCGATGATTTGATTCTTCGTGTTGATTAGTAGATTTTTTTTTCTTGATGGGACTGTATGATCTGGGATTTATGCCATCATGAGAGTTTGCTTTTGTTGTATATTACCATGTTCCTTTCATATGGGTGGAGAGCTTTGAATTTTTGAATTTCGTTTGTATTGCATGAGAACATCCAACATTTGAATTGTATAGAAATTCGATAACCTGCATTGAAGATTGGCTTGGCTTCCTCGTATTAATTGCTTCTTTCTTAGTTTTCTTCAATTATGTTTCTATCCAGCTTTCAAAAAAAAAGGGCGAAAACGCGTCAAGCGTACAAGCCTGGAGTCCACGGGTATTTGGCGGGGCTTAGATAAGAAGCTGGGGTCCCGCCCAAAGGAGTAGAAAATCCATCACCCGTGGACATCCTCGTCTTTTTACATTATCTTCCGAGCTGTGTTCGGATTTCAATATCATTCGTACTGTTGGTTCATCCTCAATGGCCACTCCAACGGAGCGAACATTCCTCCAGAGATCCACATTACTGCCCGTCTTTCCGCTGGAACTCTGGGATATCATCATTGAATACCTACATGATGAAGAATCTGCCCAACATCTGAGCCGACTTGCTCAAACATGCCCCGCGCTTTATTCTAGAATTGATCCCCAGCTCTACAACAAACCCGTACGCCTGTTCAATTCAGAAAGCGGTGCTCGTCTTGCTCTCACGATAGAGAAGCGTCCAGAGTTAGCACCATTTATTCATGAAATTCGACACAAGCAAGATGCTGGGTCAGAATTCTGGTCTCACCGTCATCTCAAGTTCTACAAGATGGCTGTGACTTTGCCGAATCTGGAGAACTTGAGTTTGAGAAAAAATCCCAGGCCCTTTGATTCTACTCGGTGGGCTAGTACACATGCCAGAGATGACGCCATGTTGCAATGGGTGAAAAGGATTGGCTCTGAATCAGGGAGCGTCAAAGAGTATCGAGAGTTGGGATATGGACCTTCAGGAGAATCGTCGTTCAGTCCTCCAGATCACGAGCTGACTCTCATGCGAGACAGCGCGGCCGAAACTTTGTTCTGGCACGCTTCTCTTCAAAACCCACCGGGGCTGCCCGCTCTGCGCGTTTGTGAGTCTGATAACTGACTCTCTCCACTGAATCGAAAATCTAATGTTATCAGGTCACATCGGAAGCGACTATGATCATAACGAGCACAATCCTAAGATGGACGGCAGATGCCTACCAATTTTCAACGAAGCACTCTTCTATCATCCAGGCTTACGAAAGCTCTGTATCACTGGCGCTACTTGTCAAATGTCCCAATCTAGCCCTATACCTTCGAAATTATCTACATCCCCTCTGGAGGAACTGACCCTTTTGAACTGCGTCATAGACCCGTTTGACCTCCAAACAGCGCTCGAGTATCCAAAAGCCTTGAAGCGGTTCACATTTAGAGGTCCTAGGTCACAGGAGATGCTAGACCATGAAGGAGAAACCCAATGTTACATTCAATCGGTGCTCGAACACGCCAGTTCCCTGGAATACATAGATTACGATCTTTACTGGGGAGGTGATGAGGAGACAGACTTTGGTGAACTAGTCCGCCTCAAGCATCTCACAACAACCCTCGCCACCCTTACAGGGAGGGAATGCCTAGAACTGGATCCTCTGGATGATATTCTCCCGCCGAGCCTCGAAAGTCTTACGATACGATACGATGAAGTGAAGGCCTGGCTTCCTTCGGCTATCTACGAGATGGTAAAAGAAGAAAAGCTCCCAAACCTGCGTCGCTTTACCTGCGAGGTACCGGAAATCATGGAGCACCTTCCATCAATCAATGAAAACAAGTTCAACCCCCCCGCAACCGAGATATGTCAGGAGGGCAACACTTGGAAAAGCAAGTTTGCGGAGCTAAATGTGGAGATGTCTATGGCCTCTGTTCCTTATCCTCTTGATCTGCCCAAATACGACGTGTGTTCTTGCGAATGCCTGTCATTTTATCATCGCATGTTCTACCATCCCCGTAGACGACTGGCACCTCCCTGGGAGGAAAACGACTTCGGAGAGGAGGACGTGTTTTTTGATGATTGGGCCGATATCGATGATGAAATGGCTCTTGATGCTCTTATGGATGACCTTGCGGAGCAGTCTGGATCTGACGTCTCGGCTTGAAGGCTTTATTTAGTATGACTACCGGGTCCGATTTATCCCTCGTAATTTGATTGTGATATTTCTCACGGGATTTCCATAACATTCTTCTGTGTGGAACTAACTAAACAGTTCAGAAGTCCTCTTACAAACTGAATCAAAGTATAATAAATTCAGTATATCTTCCAGAGGAGTCCCACTTGGAATTCTTTGTGGAGACCTTCTTGATCTAGGATTCCTTTGTTCAGGCTGTTCGTCTGTAGATCTCTCTCTCTCTCTCTCTTGTCCTCTCAACACATTGACGGATGTTGTATTTTCGTTCTTGCCTTTTTGATTTCTACTCCGAGATTCTACTGAGGTTATTTCATCCAGCACTGAAATAATCCATATGGGGCCCAAGGACTTGCACCAAAGACCTACATAGCTACCTGCCAATGAGTTTCTTGTGGCTGTAGTAACAGAAGAAGATGTGACTGGTCCCATGGACATTTCTATTAACTGTGTAGATAGCATAAGATAAAGATCTCCAAGAGGGTAAGAACTATACAATGTAACATAAAAGCAGCCCAGTGGAGAAGCCGGCAGGGTTCTTCCCCAGATTCTGTCGATCGTGATATTCATGTGTTGGCAAATACATCTCTGGATCAAGATCTCTTCCGCCTATTTCTGAGACTCCTAGGCCCCTTGTCAAGAGCTTTGTTCCAACACCTACCCAGGCAACCAAACATTTGGCAGGAAACATAGGTTTTCGATTTGGCCTGTGAAACAACTTCCAACTTAGGCTCGGACTCATCTCAATCCAACAACACTCGCCTGTCTACGGCGATCATGACCATTCCTCCACAATCTATGTGCACAGACTGTGCTCGGACCCAAGCTAAAAGACAACAATTCAGCTTCCTTTCTTCTCCATACAAATCAGCCCGGTGCAAGATCCCGTACACTGAGCTGCTACGGATAACCTCGTATGGCGCTCTAGAATACGCCTGGTCCACCTTATATCCCTTGATCAAGGACTGAATCCGCCATCGCCTAAAGAGACTCGCAAGCTTGCAGTCCGCAGGATCTTTTGATTAGTTTACAGTATGCATGCATAGTGACGCTCTGACCAAGTCTGACAGGTATCCCTGCATATTATCACGAGTTCATTAGACCAAGTTTAGGGCATCAAAGTGTTCATCGCGCTGAGCATTCAAAATAGCAAGACTAGGGTTTCTGCTCTTGGCGCCTACTTGTTACTATATTTGATGCGTATTAATAAAGACATTGCATAGGGCACTTTATCCAACCTGCGACCTTTGGTTATGGCTTGCATTCCTTAGTCCGAGGTAGTTTCGGCCAGCATATGGCGCTAACATACCCAGTCTAGGCCCTATTCTTCTTTCCACACCACTTCATACGGTATAGGGCATAGACCCATGTTAATTTGCTGGTTTTGATTTCCGTTCCTAGGCGAGAATAAAATCCAGGGGTTATGACGTCAATGGCCTACCGTGGATACAGATACTTTGACTCCCTCGAAAGGTCCCGAGGTCAGATTCGAAATACGCGATACCGCCGAAGAATTGAAGAGGCGCTTCTACACCTAAAGCAAAGCAAAAAGGCTTGAAGCGGTCCGATCTTGTCAAATCGTGCCAAATCCTACCGTCATCATTGGTTCTGATTCGCGGAACGTGCAATCCTCTGCCCTCAACCTGCCAGAAATTCCACTTTTTAAATCCGAAGCGCGTCTTATCAAATCAGCGTCATCAACCCGACTTGTAGCCCACCTGGACAGGTTTCATGCGCCAAGGATGTGTCGTTGTGGATCGACAATCACTTACTTTATTTTTTGTTTTAACCCAGAAAACTTGTACAATGACGAGGTCTGAGCCTCAACAAAGACCCCATTCTCTTGGGGTAAAAGGGTCGATGATGTAAAACCCCTTGGAGGCCTGCTATATTAATGGCCCTTGGTTTCCCCCCACATGCTCCATCTACTCTACATAGTAACTCATGCCGATTCAATTTGCATTACTCTGTCTGCCTCTTTGACTTTGCAGCCTGCACAAGCATACATCCAGCGCACATCCAGCGCACATCCAGGTGCAGGGATCGGAATAGCTTGTGTGACCCTTTGTAAGAAATTTGACAGAAGTAATTTATACACATCAAGGCAGCGATCACCATCGTCATTGTACCCGCCGCCCCACACCTTTCATCTTTCACAATGGCCACAACCACAAATAGGTTAGGAACTCAAAGGGTCCGACTCGACCTGGACACCGCTCGGGATCTCTATGGCCCCAACGTTGTCGTCCCTAAGCATTTGATGACTTTCACTTCTGACCATATCTTCAAATCCAATATGGCCAACCAACAAGTCTCATCTGAGGATGCTTCACCAATCAACACACCTATGCCAAACCCTCCTAAGGTTACTAGTGATGATTTTGCACTAGCCTTCGACATCGATGGCGTTCTCATCAAGGGCGGCGAGCCCATCCCTGAAGCCGTTGATGCCATGAAGTATATCAACGGTGAAAACCCCTACGGAGTCAGAGTGTAAGTATTTTCCCTGTTATTCCATGTTTCCCCTCACCCCGAGGTGAGGGGTAACAATTGCCAAATAGAAGAAGAATTCAAATCTAACATATCCTAGTCCTTACATTTTCTTGACCAACGGCGGCGGAAAGACAGAGAAAGAGCGATGCCTCGATCTCAGCAGACAACTCGACCTGGAAGTCGACCCTGGCCAGTTTATTTGTGGCCACACGCCCATGCGCGAAATGACAGAGCGATACCACACCGTTCTAGTGGTTGGTGGCGAGGGTGAGAAATGCCGGGACGTGGCTGAAGGATACGGATTCAAGGATGTTATCACCCCCGGAGATATCATCAAGACGAGACACGATACTACGCCGTTCCGAACGTTGACGGATGAGGAGCACGAAAACTCCCGACTACTCGATCTAGACAAGGTCCGCATCGAAGCAATCTTCGTCTTTGCAGATAGTCGCGACTGGGCCGGCGACCAGCAAATCATTTTGGACTGCCTCATGACCAAAGACGGCTGGTTGAATACACGGTCGGAGACCTTCACCGAAGGTCCACCGGTCTTCTTCTCGCACACCGATGTGGTTTGGTCAACATCGCATGAACACTCACGTCTTGGAATGGGCGCGCTGCGCGCTTCCCTCGAGGCCGTTTACACGGCTATCACCGGCAAAGACCTGAACACTATCGCCTTCGGTAAGCCGCAGCTCGGAACCTATGCATTTGCCACCCGGCTTTTGCAGAAGTGGCGAAAGGAGTCGTGCGGCATCGACAGGTCTCCATCTACCGTGTACTTCATCGGCGATACTCCGGAGTCCGACATCCGTGGCACAAATGAATTCAACGAGACCACGGAAAATGACTGGTTCTCAATCTTGGTTAAGACTGGAGTCTACCAGGATGGTGCTGTCTCACGCTATCCACCCAGGAAGATATGCGATAATGTTTTTGATGCCGTCAAATTTGCTATTGAGCGCGAGCACCGAAAGACTTCCAAAGGCATAACTGTTTCCGAGCTCGACTTTGAAACCAGCGAAGAAGTTCCCAAATAAGCAGATCTCGGTATGACGTGATCTTCTTTCACTCATGCGTTTCCTCGACAGCCGGTTTCGCGTCCTCAATCTAGTCCATTCCTACGTTTTCTTCACGACCTGTTCTGATATGATTCCCAGTTCTCTTGGTGCATTTTGTTGCGATTCATGGCACAGGTTTTTTTTACACATACAATCCCAATATGGGTTAGATATCTTCCCTACATAGTACTACCGGAACCCTTAAATGGATTTCACAATGATCAATGATAAAGAAACGTTTCAAATTAATGATATAAATATAAAATAATACGTAGTATCGATATCCATGACAGGATATGATATTGGAAGCCTGAATATTGAGGCATTCCGCCCTGTGGTTGACATGACCCACCATACGGGAAAGTCCTCTCATACAAACAGAACTTCTCTCCCTGAGCAGTATACATATCCAGGATATTCCTTGGCGTAAAAGCAACACCAGGTAATAATAATGGTACGAATTCTCCGGCTTCGACCCGATATGCCATCACTAATGCGGCAACCCAGGTCGCAAGAACAGAGGCAGTGTATCTCGATGATGCCACGCTGCGGACATTGACCACGGAGGTTCTATCCTCTCAGTCAATACCCTCACTCTCCGAAGAAGAAAAAAGCTTAGCCCAAAATGTGGCCGCGGAAGATAGCGCCATCACCATGCGCCAGACTATCTTTTACGCACAGGGCGGCGGACAGCCCAGCGACACCGGCGCAATTGGACCAGTAGACCAAGATCCCACGTTTGAAGTCTCGCTGGTACGCAAGACGCCCGATGGACGGTTTCTGCATTTTGGAAAATTCCTAAACCCCACCTCTTCCTTCGTCGCGGGCCAACCTGTCGTGCAGAAGGTCGATGACTCAAAACGCAACTATCATTCCCGGCTTCATACAGCTGGTCACATCGTTGGACTGGCCATGCAGCTTCTGATGCCAGATAAGAAAAAAGTCAAGGCGAATCATTTCCCGAGGGAGGCTTCTATGGAGTATGAGGGGTTGTTGTATAACGAGCACAAGCCGGTCATCCAGGAGAAGGTGGATGAGCTTGTACGGCTGGATCTGCCCATTCTCATTTCCTGGCTTCAGGGTGTCGCGCAGGTTGGGGATAGGGAGGGTGCTGAAGATTGTCGCACCCGGATTGCGAGTATAGGTGGGCTGGATCACAATCCTTGTGGTGGTACTCATGTTGCGAGGACGAGCTTGGTTGGGTCTGTTGTAATCCGCAAGATCAGTCGTCAAAAGGGAATTAGCCGGGTGTCTTACGATATCTCTCCGGGGATTAAGGCATAGCTTTGAATTTTCTCATTATGGTCATTTATAGTAATGTTCGGGAATCAGTCAGTGGGATGTGGAGACTATAAATACATGCTCTAACGCTCGAGAAAGGCTTTATGTTTAATCACAAAATCACAAGGCGAACTCATTGTCTAGCCAATGTTTCATCACAATCTTGCCCTCGCGGAACCCATCCTTCTCGACCCGGACGATTATAGCTGCGTGGCTGTGGTGGTGCTTCTGAATGTGGACGGGATATTTCCGAATTCCCACAGCGTTGAGGGAATCAATTATGCCAAATTGTTCGTGAGTCAATGCAAGCTTAGGATAATGTGTCGAAACCTCCGTTGTTGATGAACGTCTAGCCGATGCAGACTCAGTGCCGGCATCGTTTTGCGCAGACTTCGAGACAGACGATCTAGCGGGCTTCTCAGGCGTCGCATCAGACACTTCAGTATCGCTGCTGGACAAATAAGCTGGGTCTTGTATAGCAGTGACGTTCTCGAAGGCCTGTTCCACGACATGCTGAACATCTTGGATCAAAACCGGTACTCTGTATCTTCCGAAGCGCTCGCCGTTTTCGCCAACTTCATGCATACGAATGCGCTTTGAACTGCGACACGTTTGGATCCCGGCATTTATCAAGAAGAGCGTAGAAGCCAGAGGCGCGAGAACAATGAGCAAGAGTGACAGAGGTATCCAAAAGGTCACTGATTTTAATTTCTTCCAGAATCGGGCTGCTGGAGTTCCAGGTTTTCTTTTCGCCGGTGGAAGCACGTGAAGGTCGGGATCGATAATAACATCTTCATAACCCTTGACGTAGTTGATATTCACGTCTTCCAGATCCCGGAATGGGTCCACTTTAGAGAGACCAGATGTATAGAAGAGAACTGAGCGGTCATTGACGATATTCGCATAAACACTCCGCTTCCGGAACTTCTTCAGTCCAGTTATGAAGATGCTCTCGGGATCAGCCAAAACACTGAGAAGTGGCCGTCCAGTATCTCGGAAGGAATCGATCAGCCACATTTGGCGGCCAGATGCAGAAATCGTCCTCGGCCCTAGAACATTGAAAATCTGATCTTTGTAACCTTTCAGTGGGGCTCTCACTCCAACATGTGGCGTGGCAAAGGTCGTGAAGTTCATGGGTTCCAGCTTATCCAGCCAACCCCGTGCATTAAGCAAGCCGATCGCATAGCGCGCGAGCAGACCACCAAGCGAGTATCCAACCACACTGATTTTTGTAATCTTTTGTCCCTTCTCGGCTAGGGATTCAAGCGTCTCCTCGACCTCGTGCACAATTCGTTCTCCGCCCAACTCGATTCCGTCGTAGGTATAGTTGCCGCTATTTGTTTTTGGGCAGAGGATGTAGAGGTCGTCGCCGCCATATCTGTCTTTCAGAGCGGATGCGATATAATCAAGGTGCGAAGGGTTTCCCCAAAGTCTATTGGGAGATTTGTCGCATTAGCGGGCTCGTCAATACGTCATTGAGAAGGGGAAAGCAGTGTACCCGTGAACCAAAACACAGAGGTGGTCGGCTTTTGAAGTATCTGGCATTGTTCCGCTTGTTGATTCCATCTTTGAGAATGGAACTGATTCCAGGGGAAAAGAAGAAAAAGGAGCCTTATTTCACAATCCGGATGTCTATTCACCCGAAGGCCGCGCATCTGCGTCAGCCTGGAGCTATCGGCGATAAGGGACTTCCGTGCAGGAAATACAACATAACTACGGAGTACATATGTAGATATCTAGGGCTGTATGTGTTCATTCTTACAGGAGATTATCAATTCTGCCAATGAAAATCCAGACGGTCTTTCTAGCATCGAGCAAAGCTTCGAGTCAACAGGAAATATATCAATGGATCAGATGAACAAATGGATGCCACTCCACCAGGTGGTTTATGCCTGCAATATCAGGCACTACATGTTTGTCTTCTTTGCATCCTTGACTTATCACTTTACTGAACAGCTCTAACCTTGGAATAATGTCGTCCTTTGGTGATGTCAATCTGATCTCTTAATCCCTTCAAATCTACTTTATATCTTGAGATCCAGTTGCTTTGTTCAGAATAACGCACTTTGGCTTGTTTTCAATGGTCTTCGCCACAAGCAAGTGCTGAGCGATGCGGTAGCGTTACCTGCAATATTCGTTTCGGTCTAGTCGGTGCACAAAAACAAACACGAAAGGGTCGATGGGCCACGATAGCTATACATATTCGTTATTACTTCTAAAAATTGTGATCGACTTGACTAGCTCCTGCATTCGAGACCTTGATATTTACATCTTAACCTGTCTTCTCATCTGGTCATCATCATGTTCACATCGCTCGGACTTTTTGGGGCAATTTTATGCCCGCAAGGCAAGGATTGCACTCTGTTGAAATGCATATTCTCTCATGATAATAAGCCGACCTCAGCTGAGGCTCGGCGTTCAAATATTCCAGCGTCAGGTGACGCCGGTCCTCCTTCCAAACGGGCCAAAGTGGAAAACACACAGTTGCCGGGGTCCATCCCATCTCACAGCTTGAAAGAATCATCGCTCGAAATGGGGCGGCGCTCATCAAAACCAGTCGCCGCCAAGCAAAATCAAAATACACAAGATACCCCAAGAGCTCAAGAAATCGCCCAGCCTACCTCAAGCCATGGCCCACCAAAGCCTTCAGGGAACGAGCCTGCAAAGCGCACTAATACCACATCCGCTGGGTCTTCATCACAACTTCCTCCTCGCACAGCTCCAAAAGAAACTTTGAATCCTCGCATGCTTGCCCATGCACCGGCCACTCATGGCAGTCGGACTGCCATTCTCCAGAAGCTGCACTCCGCCATGACTGCCCTCAATGAAAGGCTACGAAAAGACAAGCATAACTCGAATAGATGTTTTGTCCTAACCCCCGACGAACTCATCACAATGGCCCTGGACGAGGAAGAGAAATTCGCGAGGGACAGTCCAAGTGTTTACGGCAATGTTATCAAACTTCGAATTGTGAAAGTTACAAAGATGGGCATTGACGAATGGGCCAAGGAGGTGATGTCCCATCTGAATGCGCGATATTATAAGATAAACCCCGTTCAGAAGCCGCAGGCGATTCCCAGGCCTATCAACACAGGCCTCACCACCGCTGAAGAAATCGCAGTTGTATCCCAGCTAGTCACCCCCCTCACTGGCCTCGAAGGACATGGATATGTCACAAAGCAGCCCACAAATGCAGATATAGAAACCGCCAAGAGAGGTGTTGATGAATCCAAGGGCTGGGAGAAGTGTGATAGGTGCGGACAACGATTCCAGGTATTCCCAGGTCGTCGCGAAGATGGTACCCTGACCAGCGGTGGCTACTGTGACTATCATCCAGGACGGCCCGTTTATCCTCAGCGCAAGAAAACAGACCATGTCACTGGTCCCTCCCAGCCATACTTCCCCTGCTGCAGCGAAGCCCTGGGAACGTCTACCGGCTGCACCAGAGCCGAGACACATGTGTTCAAGGTCTCGGAGACCAAGCGGCTTGCATCCATCCTCCAGTTCCAGACAACCCCATCTCAGCCAGGAAAAGGACCCTTGGGGCCGGTCTCTATTGATTGCGAGATGGGCTACACGACATTGGGTCTCGAACTGATTCGTCTTACCGCAGTCAGCTGGCCTAAAGGCTGTGATCTCCTTGATGTGCTGGTCCGGCCTATGGGTGAGGTATTAGATCTCAACACACGCTTTTCTGG